ATCGTGGCAAGATGGTGATGATCGAGGGTTCGCTTATCACTGGTGGTATCACCCTCAGCTACTGGATCAACTATGGTAATTGAAATCTCACAATGGCAATAATCTAGCAAGAATGCTAATTGCTGGCGAACAGGCATGTCATTCATTGGAGAGAAAGAAGTCGCTTGGCGGTTCCCACTTGCGTTCCAAATTCTCTTTGCCATCATTATCTTCATCTCAATCATGAATCTTCCTGAATCCCCGCGTTGGCTTGTTATGCAAGGTCGAGATGACGAGGCGCTGGAGATCCTAGAAGCTCTCAACGAAAAAGATCGCGACGATCCTTTCATCAGAAATGAACTCCTCGCTATCAAAGAAACCGTCAAGGAGATGAACAAGGGCTCTTATAGAAGTCTATTCAAGATGAGCGAATACCGAGAGTTTCATCGTGTCGCACTTGCCTACGTCAACCAAATGTTCCAGCAGATTTCTGGAATCAATCTTATCACCTACTATGTCAGTACTTCCCGGTGCCAGCTTCCCAGTGCCAGCTTCACAGTCTGCGGTTAAGGAATAGTACCAATTGACATGATCCTTTAGGCCCCTGATTTATATGCCCAAATTGGTCTGGACGGCCAGAACCTTCCTAAGCTCCTGGCCGCCTGTAACGGCACCGAGTATTTTATGGCTTCCTTTATTCCCATTTACATTATTGAAAAGGCCGGACGTCGTCCTCTGATGCTTATCGGAGTAGGTCCATTCTCACATTCCTATTCCATTCGTTCTCGAGCTAATTTCGAATCCTAGGCTGCTGGGATGTCGATTTCAATGGCTATTCTTGCAGGCTGCAACTACCGCTTGACATATCTCGGTGATAAGCAGGCCGGAATTGGACAGGCAGTTTTCCTCTTCGTCTTCAACACCTTCTTCGCTATTGGTTGGCTCGGAATGACCTGGCTGTATCCCGCTGAGATTGTGCCCCTACGAATTCGCGCCCCGACCAATGCGTTAGCTACAAGGTAGGAAAGCTTATCCATTGTTCCTTCAGCAATACCTTCCAGATATCGTCTAACCATTTTCTTTACAATAGTGCCAACTGGATCTTCAACTTCATGGTCGTCATGATTACCCCAGTTGCATTTGACAGCATCGGATATAAGACCTATATTATCTTCGCCGTTATGTAAGTTCCCAGCTCCATACTAGAGTTTTCTCGATCCAGAACTCAAACTGACCATCATAGTAACGCTTTCATGTTCCCTTGCGTCTACTTCTTCTTCCCTGAGACTCGCTACCGTTCCCTGGAAGAAATGGATGCCATCTTCAAGAAGTCCACCAACGTCTTCGACTGCGTTACCATTTCCATTCACGAGCCATACCGCTACGACAAGCACGGAAACCTCAAGCCAGAATATCTTGAGGAAGCCATCCGCCGTCAAAGTGCTACGGTGCACGTGGCTGGCGAGAAGTTTGACAGCGATGAGAGCTAAATTAATTCTTGCGTTGACGAGATATGGGCGCGATAATTTCTGTCTCTGGCACTGGGATATGCTGGTAGCCGGAGATAGTACGATGGTATTATTTAGATTCTTGCCTTTCTGTTTGCCTATCTGAATATAGTAGGCAACTTATTCAATTAGCTTCAAGGATACCCAACTAGCTATTTCTTTATATTTAATCATCCTGTTAATTAGCAGTACTGTTGGAAATGTGTCATTTCTGCGTAGACGACATGTCAAGCCCTTGCCAGATAACAGTCAACCTCCCTTCCAAGGTTGAAATCCATCATCAGATCATTCCAAGATTTTAAGAGCAGCAGACTTCGCAGGGAAATGAATATTTGTGATCAAAAAAGCCCTTCACAGCGCCACCGGCATGCTGGTTCCGCGATCAGGACCTTCGGAGGGTTCGTATGTCTGCACAATCTAGGCTTCCCGGTAAGGTCTGTATACTTTCGTGGAGCTTCTGGCAATGCCAGGTCCCGATTCGGAGGTCATTGAAAATTCACGGAGCTTCTTAAGATTTCGGCCAAGGGAACTGCCGGACTGTTGACAGACCCCTTAACGTCCTCGAAATTACTGATCAACCCAACACTTCTTTTGAATACTACTGAGGCCTGAGGGCTCAGGCCCCAGGTTGCTGAGTCAGCCAGTGCCCACCGTGCCTGCCATATAGATAGCTTCGCTCCATAGCATCTTCATGTCACCACCATCTTCAGTCTCTCTCTCCATGCGAGTATCCTCATCCTGTGCCTCCAGTAGGTTATGAGCCCGGTCTGCTAGTAGTTACCCTACAAGCAGCTTATTTTCTCTCCCCTTAGGTGATACTTACACTCTTTTTTGTGTCCCCTACGACGTCATTAACAACACGTGGAATACAGCGAATTTTTTATTGAATCTCGATAAAATTTGATCTGTCGCCATACAGTTTTATCTTAAACTCAGAGATTACTATACCTCTTAACTTCCTATGGTTTTTACGCCAAGAAGTCAATATCGATATTGTAATTGTTACTTGTAAGGCTAAGGATCTATACCAAGATCCTTACTACCTATCTACTTTTAGGAATTCTATCCTGGAAGTAAGGACTAGAGCTAAGCTATACTTAGTTTCCTAGTATTTTGACTTAAAAAGAGTTTTTAATAAGTTATAGCTAAGAAAAGTGGTTTTAAAGATAGAACTGAAGCCTAATACTTAATCCTATAATTAATAACTTTGACTTTAAAGAAGTTAACAAAGAGTTATAATAAGTAATAATATTAATAATACTATAGATAATTACCTTACTAGTAACTCTTTTACTAGTAATTCTCTTATAGGTAATTTATATACTATATTTATAGGATAACTCTCTATACTTAATATTAATATTTAGTAAGTCCCTACTTATACTAAGGAAAAGCTTAAGACTAGATAGTATAAGATATTATAAGTAGAGACTATTCTAATTAACTAAATTACTAATTTCCCTAGATTTTTCCACGTCGACACTTCACACTTCTCCATGATGCTACACAGACTTAGGTTCAGAACACTCGGCGGCACGACCCGCTTCCAGGTACTAACCGGCCCCACATTAAATTTCTCCAATATTAATTGGACCCTCGCTTACGAGGGTCGGACACCCAAATGACAATGTGCCCCCAAATGACACATTGCATGAAAATATTACATTTCAACTTTGTCGCATCGCTACACCACTAATATGGCAGATACCAATAAGTAAATTGAGCACCGTATTTAGCAAGCATGCGAAAAGCACTCCTATAATCTCGGCCGAATTACGCACAAATTGTGCGTGAATTTGATATGCTATATCGACGGCTTCTTCGCCGTGTGTAGGGTACTAATTTGCTATTTGAACGAGAACCCAACGGTCGCAAGTTCAATTCTATATAAGAGGAAGCTCTATGTCATTGGATTGATTATAATAATAAGTTTGGATTGTTAGTAAAACGTTCTGAGATTGCTATAGCTACTCTGTTAATTCTATAAGAAACAGAACCTGATATAGTTATAATTAGTGATAAGTAGCTTAAATGCTTTCTTAATCGATACCCTAAGTATTGTGTACGTAGGTGTAAAAGTCTTGATATTGAACGGCTTTGTGTATATACTAAAAAGTCTATGGAGGAATGGTTTGAAAGTCTTTAGTATATGATTGAAAAATATGGGATTTAACCTAAGGATATCTATAATTTTAATAAAACAGGCTTTTAGATTGGGGTTGGTAAAGATTAGTAGATTGTTATATGAGAGCTATGTCGAAAAATTGTTTCTGGAAACTATATAAATTGTGAATATGTGACTGTTGTTAAGGTTATATTAATAGATGGTTTTACCGTCCTATTGTTGATTATTTTAGCTATAAAATAAGTTTAATATTGTTGGTTTGAGGACCTTAAGGATGATGAAAGAATTGCTGTAACTGAAACTGGCTATATAAATAATCTACTTGTATATTAGTAGATTTAAATGTTTGAAAAATCTATATGTTTATGTACTAAAAAATCCTAGTGGTTGCTTATCTGTGATGGTTTTGGTTTGTATCTAAAGTATGAATTTGTTAAATTTTGTGAAGCTTTAGCTATTTAACCCTTCTTCTTGAACGTTAATACTTTATATTTAGTTTAGCTATTAGACGTTGGTATATTTAATGTCTATAAATACTATTATAGTAAAGTAATTAAGGCTGTAACTGCTACTAGATATACGAAGTTTCAGAAAGTTGATTTTCTTACTGTAATTACTTCAATCTGTGCAAAAATCTTTACGTTATGTACAATCAAGCTTAGATATCGGTTATCTAGTATCTGGCTATTTAATCCTACTATTGTATATGATAAAATAGTTGATTATATACCTGAACGTACTGAATTACCCCTATTACCAAATAAATCTGAATCTTTAACTTTGTCACTCTTATCTAATTTTAGTACACTAATAACTATTTGGAAGATTTAAAAGCTTGAAAAGGAGTTTCTTTAAAGTAGTGAAGATATGTATGACTATACAATAGCTATTCAAAAGCTTGCAAAGTTAGTGCAGTTAGCTGTATACTAATTGAAGGAAGTACGATGGGAAATAGAAGTAATAAAAGCTGCTATACTACGTCGCGATGAGTGATATAACTTTTCAAGATTAGGTATTCGTACGTGAGGTATTGTATTAGCTCAGAATCTACAAAAAATGAAGCGAGATAAGGAAAAATTGACGGAATTAGAAGTAATTGACAAAGTGCGCCCTAAATAGCGCAAGGTTATGGAGGAATTGAAGCGTGAATCTCGGCGTTCAGGGCGGCGTCTACGGCGCTGAATTTTTGATATATTGCACTTTATACGCTATATTATATATGGTTATATGCAATTAAGTGGTATATATAGTATTGTGTGGTATATCGTAGTACTGAATGTAGGAATGGTAAAAAAGTGTCATTTGGGGGCACATTGTCATTTGGGTGTCCGACCCTCGTAAGCGAGGGTCCAATTAATATTGGAGAAATTTAATGTGGGGCCGGTTACCTACATGTGAGATCTGACTGCCTTCTGAACACTTCGACCATCACAGACGCTCTTTCCCACCATCTCCCCTACCAGCATGCAACTCGCCATCGTATTTGCCGCCGGTACAGTCGGTAGCACGCTCGCATCTGCCACCCTCAGCCCTTTCACGCCATACACCCGCCCGCTCTGATCCACAACGCCGCCTTTCTCGCGATCAGCCATTCGGCATGAACCGCAGAAATGGTAAGTCGTCGAATATTGAGCTTGTATATAATCATCCAACATCACGTCGTCGGCGACAGTTTGCGAAGTGATACCCAACGGAGCTGTGAGTACGGCTTGCATGGCGGGCGACGTGAGCACGGCGTACGCAGTGCGCACCACTTCTCGCGCCAGGGCTCGGTCGCGCGGGGTGCTCAGATAATTAGGACGTACTCGCGGCATTTGGTTCGGGTCCTTGGAGCGGATCTCCACCATGCCGAGCGAAGTGGGCTTATTGATGTTACATCCTATTCCCGCAACATGACCGGTCTCTGTGCCCCCCTAAGCTCCTGTGCGGCTGGCCTCCTTGGGGTGCGGACGGATCCGCCGGCTGGGCGAATAGATATGAGAAACAAACCATCTGCAAGTCGACCGCACCGGGATTCAGCGACGACGACCATCGCGCTTGCATCTGCAAGGAATAATCCGTGTCCGTGTAAGCACCGGGTCGTGGCCGCGCGACCAGTGGGATACATGGATGGTCGCTGAGATTCATTCCCACCGGCAGCTCAACCACAGGCTTGATTTCATGTCGTTGAAGTAGCTCCCTAGGACCGATACCCGAGCGTTGCAAGATAGCTGGCGAAAATACTGCGCCCGCACAAAGGATGATTTCGTGGGTTGCGTGTATCTTGCGGCCGTTGGCAAGCACCACCGTCTCGGCCTTGTGGTCCTGATCCTTGAAGAGCACTCGATCCACAAGCGAATCGGTCAAGATAGTAAGATTGGGGAAGCGTCGGGCCGGGCCGATAAAAGTGTCCGCTGCACTAACCCGAGTGGAGCCGCGGCGACAGACGGGCGCCGGACCGACACCCTCCGCCCCCGTGGCCTTGACATCCGGGGTAAGTTGGAAACCGCAAGATATAGCACCGTCGACGAAGGCAGCCTGAATCTTGCCTGCTTCGTCCATACTCGCTCGTGCAATGGGATGCGGTCCGCGTGTGCCTCGAAGGGGGTCGCCTTCAAGTCTTTCGTATACAGAGACTGAACTCTCGAAATCCCAGCCATCATTTCCCAACGCAACCCACTCACGTGCATCGGCTTCTGTCTGTCGCAAAAAAGTGCCTCCATTGATACTGCTCCCTCCGCCCATAACCTTTCCCTGGGGGACAATCATCCGCCCTCCGCCAGGCACGTCGACTTCAAGATTCCAGTCGATCTTGGGGTCAAAGATCGCGGATTGACCTGCCATGGGGACCCGGCGGGCATCATGCACACCAAGGGGTATGGAGGAAGCATTGGCTGGAGAAGTGTCAACGTCGGGCCCGGCTTCGATCAGCAGGACGTTAAAGGCCCGATTCTGGGCCACCCGACGGGCCACAATGCAGCCCGCCGAACCGGCGCCAACGACAATGTGGGTGAACTGGTCGGCCTGCATGAAAATACCGCTATAATGGTTTTGTTTTCGCCGGCTCTCTGGGGTCTATGGGGTCTTTAGGGATATACTTCTGGGGTACAGAGCTTAAACCATGACCAACTCCTGATTGGCGGCCCCCGGAATTCGATTCGAAGGGACATGGCTAAATGCCTAAACGGCTAAACGGTTTGGATCGGTCAAAACATGGGAACAATACCAGGGAGAAGGGAGGCTAAACTGCTGAAAGGCTTCAGACCTGCGGCTCGGGCAGGTTTACGGCAACATCGGACCAGCTTTCCCCGTGAGTGAATGGGTCCGGGGTCTGGGGTCTGGGGTCTGGGGTCTAGAGCCGATAGGGTGGCGTGTGCTCCTTGTCGTCAAAATGACCATACATATAAACATCCAATCCTCCTGCGATGTGATTTCACATGAGTACTCTATCATCCCTGGTCTGCCTTCGCTCCCATCGACCTCATTCAATTTCACAGATCGCAGAGGCAGTCCGACGTACGTGCGCTCATCATGGCCGTCCAACTGTGGAAACACCTGCCCGGAAGGGCCCTCATGTTTCTCCTCAACCTCTTCTCCGCTATTGCCCTCATCTTCGAAGGCTACAACCAAGGAGTTCTGGGCACCGTCAGTACGACGCCAGGCTTCATTGATATGGCTGACATCGGGTCCAATGGTGTCGTGACCAACAGCACCAAGCAGGGTGGTCTGCTGGCAGCGTATTATTTCGGTGCCATGTGGGCATGTTTCGTTGGAGGTACGAACAAATCACTTCAAAATCCCTTGTTTTGTGATGATTGTGCTTTAGATACTGATGACTGGAAACAGGGTGGGTAGGCGACAAGCTCGGCCGAAAAAAGGGTGTTTGGCTCGGCTCACTCTTCTGCATGCTCGGCGCGGCGCTCATGGCCGGCAGTGTAAACAGTAACATGTTCATCTGCGCGCGTGTCATCGCAGGGATCGGCATCGGGTTCATCAACGCTATCGTTCCGCCGTGGGTGAGCGAGCTCTCTCAAGCACACGACCGCGGCTCCAACTTCTCGCTCGTCTTCGTTGCGAACTATGCTGGCATTGTGATTGCGTACTGGCTCAACTTTGGCATCAGGTCGTCCACAGTGGAATTCCAATGGCGTTTCCCCCTGGCATTCATGGCAGTTCCCGTCTTGATTGTTATTCTTACGGTCTTCTTCCTGCCCGAGTCGCCGAGATGGCTGATGTCCAACAATCGCCCTGAAGAAGCGATCGAGATCCTGCGCAAGATCCGTGGCGACTTGGATCCCCGTGACCCTAAGCTTCTTGCCGAAGTTGAGCAGCTCGAAGCAATTGTCGAATCATCGCACCACAAACGAAACAACTTTCTCAATCTCGTCCTCGGCGGGCGCTTCTCGGGGAAACTGCATCTTGGTCGACGCGTTGTTATGGGTCTGGCGCTCCAGCAGATCCAGCAATGGACAGGTATCCTCGCTATTGCCACCTGGGCTGGTACGCTGTTCAAGCTTGCCGGGTTCGATGCAAACAAGTCAGCCTGGCTGGCCGGTCTGGTCAACACCTTTGGTATCCTGGGCACCGCCGCTGCATCACTGGTGATCGACCGCATGGGCCGGATTAAGTCCCTCATGGTGTCTTTCGTCACGCAGGGTATCGCCTTATTCCTTGTCGCCGGGCTGATCAAGGCGAGTGAGAATCACCAAGCCACCGATCCCGCCTTGGCATCCAGCCTCGGTACCGCCGCAGCCGCGTTCGTTTTCGTCTTCCTCTGGTTCTTCACCATGTTCAACATCGTCCCATGCTGGATCTATGGCACGGAAATTTGGCCGCAGGAAGTGCGCGCAAAAGGTTACTCCTTCACTGTCCTCGGCTGGGCGATCGGGTGCGGCATGAACACTTTCGTGATCCCCATCATGCTAGACCACTTGGGATGGGCCACCTTCATCTTCTTTGGCTGCATGAACGTCCTCGCCATGCCCCTCGTCTGGTTCTTCTATCCCGAGGTCGCGGGTAAATCACTCGAAGAGATCAACCTGCTGTTCACGAGCGATAGTCTGCTTGTGAGCAAGAACATGGCAGAGTATCACCGACGCGTTGATGAGGCCGGTGGTAACATTGCCGTAGCTGCGCGAAGGCTTTTGGACGAGGTCGATGGCACTACGGATCTCGATCCAAGAAGGGTGCTTGCGGCGGAGGGGCTTGTGGCGGAGGGCGAGAAGAACGGATTCAATCATGTAGAAGAGTTGCCAAACAAAGTCTAATAAAGATGCTCTGGCGGACTGGGGATCAATCGACCGAAATGAGAAGAGTGCATTCCAGATCTGGTTCGGTTGAAGTCGTGCTTGTATACTATGTTATATATGAAAATGATATTTCATTTTGACATTTTCTTACTCTATATAATACGTATATGAGAGTTGTGAGGTCCTACATTTCCAAATTGGCGTTTAAGAGGCTAGTTCTCCTTGGTAGCGGGCTTAATCCTCGCTGAGAAGGGGATAACGGAGACCCGGTGTCTCTCTCTTTGCGATACATAGAATTAACCGTGTTGTGTAATAATCAAATTCAGTACATTTTTCTATTTTAACGGTCAACAGTTACACAGACTTGCAGAACATGTTTTCTGCCACCCTTCTTAGTTTGATGCTAAAACAGCTGGATGCTTCCAAGTACTCGCCCCACCATCAACCAACAAATCCTGCCCTGTATACCATCCACTTGCGCCATCACAGCACAAGTACAAGATAGCACCCTTCAATTCGTCCGGCATCCCAATCCGCCCAAACAAAGTCTCCTTCTCAAACTGGTCCACCAGCTGAGGTTGCTGTTCTTGCAATCCTCGCATCATATCCGTCATCATATAGCCTGGACTCAAGGAATTGACTCGAATCCCATACGGCGCAAGTTCCATGGCCATGGGTTTCACCAGTCCCTTCACAGCCGCTTTGGATGCAGTATAGCAACTGATCTGCTGCGCGCTGGAGGCAATGTGCGTCGCGATACTGGCGACAAAGATGATTGTGCCAGTAGTGGGCTGCGTTGCTGGCTCGTCGCCGTGGGTAGATTTGTACCGAGCGACCATGCTGTTTGCACAAGCTTGAGCCACGAGGAAGGAACCGGTAAAGTTGACAGCGAAGGTGCGCTCGATGTTCTTATCGGTCGTCTTCAGGAAGGGTTCGTCCGTGACCACGCCCGCGGCATTGACATTGATATCGATTCGCCCAAACTGCGCTTCGATCTTCTCAATTGCGGCAGTGATCTCGGAACGCGAGGTGATGTCCGTGCGGTAATATTCCAATTTGATGTTATGGTTGTCTCGCAAAGCGAGAAGACTAGGGGAAGGCTCTTCGAGGATGTCTAGCACGGCGAGGTTACAGTTTGCGCTCGCCAGTGCGGTGGCAAATGTGAGACCTAGACCGCGTGCTGCGCCGGTGATAACGGCGGTCTTGCCTTTGAGTGTGAACTGTAGATTATTAGCAAAAGCTAGGTATATAGTACATTGTGTTGCCAGTAACTCACCAAGTCGGTTGCCATGATAAAGGATTGGATTGCATAAGAGTTCTGGTGGGCGAACAAAAAAATTACCGGACTGAGTCTGGAGAAGAGGCTTAAATGCTGTACCAACGACCTATGCCCTTATAAGAAAAAGTCAGGCGGCTTGAAAGTTTGTCGGGGTCGCTATAGAATGGGAGGGGCAAAATCTCCGCAGAGGAATCTGATGGGACTCCAATATCCCCGCATCGCCACTATCGCCATCCATACAGATGATTGGTGTACATTGTAATAGGCTATTACCTGCTCTAAATCGGCATCTAAGTTGGCTTAGCAATCTTCCAGCTTATTCGACGGTAAAACGCTTGAGCGGACGGCTAAATGGTTGACGAACGGCTAAATGGGTGGCGAAACAAGCTCTCGGCTTTAGTATCTGGGGAATAGTATAGAACAAGATATGGGGTAAGCTCAAGTTCCTCCCTATTTAGGATGATCCTCAACCTCTGATAGCCTCTCTGAATACGCACGTCTTTGGAGGCAGCCACAAGTTGAATTTTTTTTTCTTTTAGGAGGACCAATCAATTCCAGACCCAAGTCACCGTCCGAAAGCCTTCCAGCACGATTTACACGTAGCCCACAATGGCACAGAACCAATTCACCTGCCGCTGGGCTGCACTCTCCCTCTCTAATATTGCCTCCGTCTTCCTACCAGACTTGCTCCTCCCCCGGGAAGCTTCTGCGTCCATCAAACATGAGCTCGTCTCAGTCAGTACGACCGGCGGCGCCTCTCGTGCAGCCGACTGGCTGAAACAGAACAAAATCCCCAATGCCGAGTCCATCACCGTCTACCACTCCTGGGAAGAGATGCTGGAAAAGGGAGACTTTGACATCGTATACATCTCCACACCACACCCCTTGCACTACGCGCACGTGCAAAAGGCCCTGAAGTGCAAGCGCAATGTGCTCGTCGAGAAACCAGCAACGATGAATCGCGCACAATTCACTCAACTGTGCAAGCTAGCCAAAGAAGAAGATGTCGTGCTCATGGAAGCAATGTGGACGCGCTATCTCCCCGCTACGCTCTACTTCCAGAATGAGCTACTTCCGCGCATTGGCGATGTGAAACGCGTGTACGCCGAGTTCAGTTTTCCCATCGTGTCCCCGGACTTGAGCCATGAAAGCCGGTTCCTCGATAAAGCGGCTGGAGCGGGAAGTTTGTTGGATCAGGGCGTATATGCATTGACGTGGGCTGATCTCGCGCTCAATGGCCTTGCGTCCAGTCAAGATAGGACGCAGACTGAAGTCGTGCATGCGCATTCCATGCCGGTTCCGGGTGTGTCTGGTGATGTGGACGATATCAACACCGTCATCCTCAACAAAGTTTTCAATGAGAGTGGCAGCAAGCAACAGGAGGCGGTCGCTATAGTCACGACCAGCATGACTCTTCCTGGCTCCAGCAAACCAGCTTTCTACCAACGGCTACAGGCCACGAAAGCAGCCCCGGCTGTACGTATCGAAGCCACCAAGGCGTCGGTTTCCATTCCCTTCCCTCCTATCAGACCTCAGGAACTACATGTTCAGTGGTATGGCGAGGAGCATCTGGATGAAAATGGTCTGGAGACGGAAGAGGTGGTCAAAATACCCGTGGAGAAGGGTTGGGGCATCTGGTATCAGGCCGATGTTATCGCGGAGAGAGTTGCAAGGAGAAAGGAGGGTACTCAGGGCATGGGAGAGGTTATTGGCGAGGAGGAGAGTGGAAGGGTGATTGGATGGATGGACCGTGCTAGGGAGATGGCCGGCATTGTGTATGATGCGGCGCTTGAGGAGGTGTGAAATGGAGCTGTGTTAGGCTCGACTGTAGTGTCGCGTAGCATCATGTTATCTGTCAAGACAATTATTCACGTAGAGCCAGACTTTTCTCACATGAGTCAAAAGAATTCTTCTTATTCACATCTTTATTCACAACTCTCAATTTGCCATGATAATGCCCTTCTGCAATATGAGTATCAGACACGCGAGCACTATTCACGTCGGTTAACCTCAAGCTGGATTCCGGTTGGAAGACTAAGATCATTGAGGTGGCGCATTATGCTGAGTCCTATACACTAAAAAGGAAAGGAAAAGCCCAGAGTTGCCAGACATTATCCGGTACATATGCGAAGCACAATGACAGGTAAATAGCGCATGCTGGCAACATTATGGCGAGGAGGCAGCATCGGCATAGGCAGATGATTGGAAAGGCAGACAAGGGAAATATGGTACAATACTTCTTTCACTTCAGACTAATCAAGAGTCAGGCCTGTTCTATGATAATCGAAGGCAAAGGACAATGGTGAATTCAGGATAGAACAATTAAGTTATAAAGAAAAGGACGAAGTGCATTAAAAACATTCTAGCGTTATTCTCGGTTCTTTCCTCTCTTTCTTCTCATCGCCTCAATGCCTTGTTAATTACATCGATCGCTTGCTCTTAGCTTCTCCTAGCTTCTCCTAGCTCGCAGTTACCATAGCTTAATAATACAATGAAATTGTATTTGCCCCACCAGAGGCTGAAAATCTCTACGTCCGCTATAGATCGATTTGTGCAGGACGTAGAAACCTGGTAAAAACAATTATCCGGACCCATTCCCAGACCCACTGAAAAGTCACGTTACTTTTCTACATCCGCCCAGCTGAATCCCGTCGACGGGGTGCTCAATAGATGCCTCTGCCGAATATCTGAGTAATCAGTGATGGCTCAGTGAGCCTGACTCTGAGCGCCCTCATAAAAGCGGCGGCAGCTAAAATAGGAAAGCCCTACCTGGCATAGGAAAAATGTTACGTATAGTGGCCTAGGTATTCACTAAATGACCTCGGGACCCACGGATAGACGGCGCGTGCGTCCTGTGCCGTCAATATTGAATTTTGTGCACCACTATGCACTTATAGACCTTCCAAAGCTTCAATACCCTGGTCCGCCCGAAGGATACCGGAGTGCCTGCTAGCCCTGGAGTGCTCGATAACCTGGAACTCGAAGCAATGGCATTGTTGCGGATATCTTATCCGGCATGACAGGGATCCCTGTCGATTCGCCCGCATTCTTCACGCCATGACACATCGCCTTGTCGCATGGATCCAGCGGGCGCATCCGCAAATCAGAAAATCCACTTGCTCGTGCTCGGATTCCCGTCAAAACACGAAGGAAAGTCGAGGCCCAAAGAGGAAAGGGGCGCAGTCGAAAAAGTTAGACTTCCTCCTGTGTCGGTGCAAGCAAAGGACTCTGTGCGCGACAGGTTGCCTTCAGGCGTATCACAGCTCTCTCTAGGGCTTGATGGAGGAGGGATCGGCTAACGAATTCGTTCCCCGTTCCAGTGAAAAGAATTCTATGTCAGTGGCGGGTCGAACCCGCATTAAAATCCCAGAAAGTCGTGAGGGTCCACTTGTCTACCCACTTCTCTGGGCCGTCGTTCTCCTTGCTTTTTAAAATGATGAATCCGCTCCCCGCATTCAGCAGTGGCCGTCTTGGATCTTCTTCCTCTCTGTGTTTTGCTCCCGAGAAGTTGAGGAACCTCCCGATTTGTTGGACCTTTACGCTCATCACGTAGAGTCGTGTTACCTGGCTTTCGCCATCCTGCCCTCAAGATGCAGGAGGTCGATGAGAAAATCGCGGTCGTAAGTGCAGTCCGAGCGAATTGACCGATCATATTTAGCTTATTTCCACGATCGCTCCAGGATCCCGACTTTTATCAGATCGAAAATGATTATGATCCTAGCGACTTCCAATCGTATGTTTTCCAATTATACTATTCTGGTTATCTCGTTCCAGGGGATATAAGCTGACCAGTTGGTCTTGTTGAATGATAGAGAGACCACATCTCTCGCTTCCTCCATCTACAAGGGGGTGATGGATAACGGCCGACGGTACGTGGTCTAAAAGAGATTTGAATCTATGTACTAGGTACTCATTGTTACGTACAGGTATCAAACTCTTCGGGAAGGCAAATACTGGTACTTGCAGCGTCTAAAAAGCGAATATCACAACACGACATTCTAATTTCAGGACAGGGGCCCCTCTGATGAGCAGCAATTCGAGGCACTCGAGGCCGGGTAGGTCATACAGCCCTCTAGGTTCACGGCATATTTGCTGACACCTCCAGACACTTGGTATCCATGGTCATGGATTCCGAAACAAACAACCCTCTATTCCAAGCCCCAATCAAAAACCCGAAGGTATCATCTTGTACTACTCCTTTATTTTTCCATTTTGCTATATCCTAATACTCCTGGAATCTAGCGCATTCTTGATGTCGGTACTGGTCGAGGAAGCTGGGCAGTGTGAGTCTCAGCCTTGGCATGTACCACAACAATAAAAGGAAGCTAGCTAACTCTCCCAAAATTAAGTGATGTGGCGGACATGTTTCCCGAATGTAACAATATTCCATGTCTCTCACCTTAACGAGAACCAATACTGACCCCTCACAGCCCAAGTTCGCGGTGTCGATCTTTACCCTCCGCCCATTGATTGGATGCCTCCCAACTGCATCCTCGAAGTGGATGACGTCCTTCAAGAGTGGACTTGGCGTGAAAAGTTTGATCTCATTCACATGAGTCTCATGCTGGGCTCCTTCAATGCAACTGAATGGGAAACTGTCTACAGGCAGTGCTACGAGTAAGCTGCGAGAGGACTCGAGGCAAAACAAAATAATAATCTTTAGTTGTCTAGGAACTTGGAGCCCGGAGGGTGGTTTGAGCAGTTTGAAGGAGGCTGCAATGTACTCTCTGATGACAATACCTTGCCCAAGGACAGTGTCTTAGCAAGCTGGGGCCCCAACATTCTAGGTGCAGCTGCGCTATCCGGCCGCCCTGTCGACACCCTTGATACTATGCGCAAGGAAATTGAGAAGGCTGGCTTCATTGATCTCCACGAAAAGGTATATAGATGGCCCATAGGCCCTTGGCCAAGGGATCCTGTGTTGAAGGAAGCTGGTCGTCTCAACTGGCACATGTGGAAGACCGGGATGGACGGGTATGCCACATATTTGCTCACTAAGTTCGGTCTCCCCGAGCCATGGAGTATCGAGGAAGTTCAAGTTTTTGTCGCCAAAGCCCGAGCTGAGATACACAACCCCAAGTACCATATCTATCACTTTTCGTGAGTATCTCGCCATCACTTCCATGGTATTTTGACATGCTGATACAGAAGTAGTCGGCGAATTTGGGCCCGTAGGCCCACGGAGGAGGAGGCCGCAGAAATCGCCGCCAAGAAGGAAAAGGAGGACTTGCAACGAGATAGGGAGCAGGACAAGAAACAGGGAAAAAAGGATTTATCAGGAGCCGACAAGATTAATACTAGCCAGGTGACAACACCTGGACTGATGAAAGACACCCCTAGCTCCGAGGGTGTTTGAACATCGATGCACTTGGGCATTTATATAATCCTTCTCTTTGAAATTGCACATATTGACTTCCATGGAGTTATGTGAGATCGTTCCGAGTGAAAGACAACATTTTCTTGAATGGAATTTTTTTTACAAAAAAAATCACATACTGTTACACAAAGGCTACTTCCTCTTAGTCTAGTAGAACCTTGAAATGCTCGATATTTCTGATATTTAGCATTATACTACTAAATCATAATCTGTCATCACACATTCCCGTCGGTCCGGTATTTGTAGGAGGACAGCAAAGGAAAACAAACTATGTTAGTAAGAAAAAACCGAGGATTGTTAGCCTCCTGACTCCTTGCAAAAATAAGCTGCAGCCTAATTACAGGATGTAGGTACTTCGTACTGTAACGCAAATCCTTGATATTCCACCTGGGCGTCAAATCTGGCCCGTGACGATGGTGGTGCTGATCCTTGGGGGCCAGCCCCAAAGACAACCCCCGAACCCCCGCACCCCAGTGGCCTGATTTTAACAAGTATCTCTCTCCGCCTCAACCTAATCACAAAAACAGACTGACAGCTCTGAGTACCCTTGTGAGCTTATAATTACAACTCAGAATGGCTTGCACTGTCGCACTGAGCTTACGGGAGCCCGTTCTAGAAATGGAAAAGCCCTCTCACCCATTCTATGAGCCGTGGCGAACAAGCCTCGTCCTGTTGCGCAGAATTGCTCTCGACCGAGTGTGGAGATACAAGGACTTTATCTCCGACGGCGAGCAAGGCTATCTTGGTGTGAACAAAGACCACCCTGGTCGTGCTATCTATATCTATCGTGAGTGTGCTCCAATTTAAATCTGAACTGGGTCTCTGGCTAGGGAATGGATTTTTTTAAAATAGCTTCACAGAGAAAAGAATTCACAGTACTCAAACGCAGCTGCGCCTCCAAAAATTCAACCTTAAGTCAAACCCTTTCGCCTCATTTCAGCAAGCCCCTTGCGGCTACATGCATACAGTGAAATAAGATCCAGAAGGGTTTTTTCGCGTTCTCTTTCTAGTTCGGACGCAGTCTCTATCTAATTTCAGCCCTCTCGGTCATGCCAAGAAATGATTTTCTCGCCTACTATTACCTCCAGCGCTATCCATGGATTGATTCAAAGTATCTCGGTATTAGTTTATAAACATAACAGCAGGCTGTTTCAGGTTCGAGAGGCTCGGTTGGAAACCGCACTGAATTCTTCATTGTCCACGGCCCTAGATGCAGGCTGGTTAAATTCACTCGATGAGTTTTGTTAATTTATTGAAACCTCCTCGGGCCCTTAATCATAGCTTATGCAATTTTCAGCATGAGGGAAGTTGAAGTGAAGCCTGCAAGATGTGTCCGCACTGTATCATTCTTAGTCATTGCCAGGCATTCATGCGATATTTGTTTTGTCCTGAATTAGCATTATGAGGAAACAGTCATTTTCCTTATAACAAATATCATTTTGCGAAATTTATAGTATTCTTCACTTCAAGAATCAATTGCACTGCGAAAAGCTTCAGAGCAAATTTCGAAGACCAGAGAAACCGAGGCGACATGGCAGATTGCGGGGATGCAAATAGTAGTGCGCGGCTGTATATGGAGCGAAGTGGCAAATCAAATGAAGGTGTGAAGCTATAGACAAGCCCTAGGACTTTGGGGTTGACTCTGATGAACATCATTTCCGGACCTTCTGAATACCTAGGTACTAAGCCTAGTGAATTGGACTATTTCGTAGCCCAAAATCACTGAGGAGATTAGTTGATCAGAATGGATAGTAGAGACCCCAAAAAGTTCATACATATCAGATAGCAGTCCAAAGTGAATAACAAGCCAAAACAAAACAAACAGCCTTCCTCGCAGTATTAAACTGTCAAAAAAGTAAAACAAAAAACAATATATTGAAGACAGCCAAACCAGAAAAAACAAAACTTGTAACCAACCCAAAAATTCGTAATTCACAAACATAAACAAGACAAGATAACATTAAGAACCGAAGACACATTAAGTCGTAGTTGTCATAAACCAATTGTATCCATGCTGTTCAAAGGGATGTGACGCCCCGTAAGGGGAACGTGTTCTTCAAACAGCTCATCAAAATGAGAGGGAATGCAAGACTTGAGAAGCTTGCTCGTAGCAGTGCGTGATTGTCGTTCTTCCAGACGCATAACTCGTCTACCCAAAAGCGAGGCCCGACAGGGTCATCATTTCCCCAATTCACGATCAAGAGAGAAAGCGAATTACGCTACCGATAATACCCAGAGCAAAATTCCATCGGCGGTGGGGGCGCAAAAAAAGACAGCAGCCATTCCAGCAAGGTAATTTCCATGAGCCTCATCAACGGCGAGGCTCTCCGCGGGTTCCATGTAGGTGATCAAGGGAGTAACAGCAAAGGGTTGGTCCAGGGTGTAAAAATATCCACGGTTAAAACAAAAAAAAATAAGGGATTATCCATCGGCCTCGAAAACCTGGGTCAAAGTGGCCGTTCCTCCTGTGGGTTCAAGGGTTTGCAAATCTCACGCGGCGCCGGCGGTCATGAATCAGTTTCTCCGTGTCAACATAAAGATCATCGAAGAACTGCATGGCATCGGAATCTTTGAGAATCTTTGCCACCTGTGTACCGGCAGAGATGAGCTGCAGCACGTTACGGTCATCCTTGACAGGTCGAGAACTGTGCTTGGCGGCATGGCGCATCTCTAGAGAGTTCTCGAGGACAGTAATCAACTGCTTGATTTGACCATTGTGGAGGGCATGGCGCGGGATGCGTCGTCGGGTAGCCAGTCTCCGTAAGAGATGCACCCACTCATTCCACTCACGGTCCGAGGGGACCTGGACTCGCCTCTTATCCTGTTCCAATGGGATGGGGAATTGGTATCGTGCAAAGAAGTCAAAAGCACACTGAGATAGACGGTCATTAACTTTATGCAGGATCCTGTCCTGATCTGCGGCGTCAAGATTAGTGGGAAGCTGGGGCAGTTCCTCCTCCCGGGGAGGGAGACTCCGTGTAGCAGGGAGGTCCAAAATTTGATGCGGGCCATCAAACTCATCTCGGTTGGAGGTCCTTCTCTGGGAATGGTACTGCGGGCTTCCTCGGGTTACGTCGGTAGCTCGGCGGCTGTTCCTTTCCACTATATATTCTGGGCTCTCCGGTGGGTTGATTGGCCTGATCTCATGACGAAGAGCCTCATGGGGCATATGCGGGGGTTGGCTCCAATCCGAGTACACCGGAACTGGTGCATGAGCATGTCCGGTAGAAGGGTAAGATAAACGTCCCATGGGCTGGTTCACAAGATGGCCGTGGCTGTCCAAGGGAGTTCCGGGGTATGGGGGTCGGGGATCGAATTCTATGGGTCCAAGGAGGAGTTGACGATTGTGATCAAGGCCGTAAGCTCGAGGTGCTGAGGGTGCCCTTTATATCGCTTAGCAGGAGTAATTGGGGATCGTATATTGCCTTCAGAGCCCAGGAAGGAAAAGACCAATGCTTATGGTATGGAAGTACCTTTGCCGGTGGATGACGGGAGGGTTTCCCGGTGCCGCGTACATGGAATGCTGAGCCATAGTGCTGTTGGGATGTATGAGCGGGTTGTTGCACCAAAGATAATAGGCATGCATAGGAGAAGAGTAAGTGAAGACGGGGCGATAGTTGTTTGGTGCTAACCTGGGACGAGAGAGAATGTCCAATTTACTGCTAACTGAACCGACCCGAGTGCCAAAATGTGCTGGAGTCACCGGAAAGGGTTGAAAGCCTACTGGTACGGCCGTCAAAGGGGGGGCAGGCACCATGAGGATTGAATATGTAGACGTTGGGTAGCCGTGGCACTCAATAATAGATAAATGAAATGTGGGAAACGGACGGAGAAATATAGGCAGAAGAATCAATTAAGTAATAGGGTGCGAGTGAACGAATGTGCAGACGTAAAAGAGGCGCAGGGAGGTCGACTTCGGAGTAATATATGGACAGGAGTGCCCGGGCAATCATTTCTGGTAGGTGTGCCTGACGCCTGCTTCTGGACTGGTATGGCAAATCCGGTTCCGTAAGTGGATGGAGAGCCGCGCTGGAAGCTTTCAGACCCAGAGTGGAGATACCAATCTCAGCAAATAATACTTCCGTGGCCTAGGCGTTGCTCTTTGGCAGACACCAATTGCATAGTTTTGACAGGGGCCATCCCCGGCTCCTCCTTATGCCACAAAATGCGTACATTCAACAGGGCAGATCTGGATCGATCGAGGTTGGAGTCCGGTCCGCAAGACGCATTGATTCGACGTAACTAGGATGTCCTAAGGCGGCTCTGGAACGTTGAGGGGGCTGTATCCACCATCAATTACCCACCTGTGATCGAAGGGGGTGGAATCACTCTTCACAGCGCTGATCTTCATGGGTTGGGGACTGCAGATACCAGCTGCAGGCCGCGCCACTTTGACCTAGGCACTATGTATAATGTCCCTGTAAAGATGGTCTTGGGCAGCAGTTGGGTATGATAGCATAGATTTGGGGTCGGGCGTCAATTCTCGTTGGCTGATCATGGCTTGACTACGACGTGCGGGATCTGCAACGAAGAAGATATGGAGTGAGCCTGAAGGTGGAGGCGAAGCATATGCAAGAATCCCGTGACGTCGAGGTAACTCAGATGTACACTTTCAGACAGGCATAGTATCCACCTCGGTAGGTATGTGATAATGTCCATACTACCTAACCTCAAACTTGACTAGGTTGGTTCCGCCGGGTCGCGATGATCGGGCAGGCAATAGTGTTGTCGCCCAATGAACGCATGGACCATGTAGATATTTCGGCCGCGATCGACCTTTCTCCATATTACTTTCGGTGGAGAGCCGCCTGGGGTATGTCTGGTTCGGGATCAGCTTGCAGCCCAATGGACGGCCCAATGTCTTACATTCTGCGCAAGCCCAGTTGCTAGATGTCGAGCGATGGGGCGGGTGGTGGCAAGACGGAAGCAAAAAGGGCTAACAGGCGCCTCTGAAGTCAATGGAGGCTGGGTACCCATAGGGATCGGTTTTAATTGCAGGGTATTATTTCTCAAACACCGCTGAGAGCGAGAAAGTTTATCTGGATGTTCGTCATGCACTTGATTAACCAACGCCCCGGCACTGGCAGCCCCTGGTCCGTTGGAATTATTAACAGCGAGCGGGAAGAACAACTCCGATACGCCGAGCATATTCCTGAATACCTATTGTCAGCTTTCCAGTTTTATTCCTTTTTTACCTTTGTTCTGTCTTGCTTACCTCACAGCTCAAACGAATCGCGTCCTCCATCCCAATCCGAGCCTCGTATCCCAGGATTGCCTTGGCTTTTTCTCCACTAGCGTATCTAACGGCGCACGCATCTCGAACGCTTCCCCGACTTAAGGTGGCGTGGGTGTCTGTCACCCAGGCTACCATCTCGCACAGAAAACCTACAACGTAGGCCAGTTTTCCAGGGATTCGAATTTCGAAAGGTGGGTTATGCCCGAAATGAGACCAGATAGCAAGGCAGAAATCACGAAAAGTGATCGGTTCATTATTCTGAATGAAGAATGCCTCGCCTGAAGCCGTGCGCGAGGTCATCAGGTTCTCTATGGCCAGGATATGGGCGTCGGCAACATTTCTCACATGGGTAACATCCCACAAGTTCTGCCCATCTCCGATGATAAAGGGCGTTTGGTACTTGGCAATGCAAGCGTGGAGGGCAGGGACCAGCTGATAGTCTCCTTCCCCGCACAGAACCGAGGGGCGGAGTGAGCAGGTGGCCATTTGGCTGCTATCTGCCTCGAGAACCAGGGCCTCCGCTGCAGCCTATTTGTTTTTGTTAGCATATTTTCGATTCCCTGAGCACGAACCATGGCCCGGTTGGATGGTTGTACAACCTTAGATTCACCATAGATGAGGGATGTATGAGACGTCGGCCACTCTTCATCGATATTGCAATAGGGCGTGCTCAAATCGTCTGTCACCACACAACAAGAGCTGGTGTAAATGAAAGCCTCGACATCACTTTCCAATGCTGCGTTTAGCATGTTCCGGGTGCCCTCGACATTGGTTTTCCACACCTCACGCTCCAACCTCCGGCTAAAACGGTCTACTACAGACGGTACAATGCCCGCAGTATGAATAATGATATCGGGCTTAACGGTTTGAATAGCCCTGTCCACTTCTGCAGCAGACGTGACATCAACTTGCATACATTGAATCGTCTTTGGGAGAATATGTTCTGCCCGGGGCGGACTCCGATCAATGACGGTGATGGCGCAGCCAGGGTGCCTTGCAGCAAGGGCACGTACTGTAGCGGAGCCGACAAAACCGGTGCCTCCAGAGATCAGGACCTTCTTCGACTTTAACATATCTGCAGTCCTTGCAAGGTGGGTTGAAAGAGTGTACAATTCGGGGGTTGCTCCTGGAGATTAGGGAAGCTGGCACCAGGCGGCTAACAAGTGATTGACTGGGCCCGTGACTTGCTGGGAAATATGCGCCGTCACATTCCAATAGGATATCACAACTACGATCTGCTGCAAAGCCACGGCAATAGTATGGTACATAGCACAGCCAGGAATCGAATTGAACATGGCTTAAACTGAGAAAAACGAATCTGAACCTGTTTCAAGTCATAGTCTATACATGGCGTCGCCTCAAAGCTCCGCGACCACCCCACGTCATGCGGGGACTGCGATAAACGCAAACATCTAATATACAGATCCTCGATTGAGGCAATTATTCCAGTCGCGTCAAAAAGGATCGGGCTTCAAGAGAGGGCCCCGCTGCGACAAACCAGTAAACTCCAAGGTAAATGCAAAGAAAAGAAAGATCGGGATGGGTGCATCCACTTCTCCCGCCCACCAGAACAAGCGTAATTGTGCCATTGCGAGTCGCATGCAACGTATGACACGATTAGAGCACGCGGCACAAAACCAGACCGCCGAGCTTCTTCTCCACGCACTCGCGGGCCTCCAGAATACCACGGTCTGTCGAGAGGAAAAGACTCTCGCCTGGCGAACGAAGACCGCCCACATAGCCGGAATCCTCACCACGCACGACTCGTCTCAGACCTTCGACGTCGATCGTAACTCGTCGTGTGGGCTTGCTGACCATCTGCACCTTTCCAAGGACTGACTCGTTGCGCCAGTACTTTAGACCCAGCCAGAGGCGTCGCGATGCAACATTATCCAGAGTGACGGGCTCAATGCCTTCCACCTCATCGTTGGCGGCAGGGTATCCGAGAATCGGGTGGGCAGGGGAGGAGTAGGACCTCCGCGGACGACAGAGGAGATGTAGCCGGAGTTCTGAAGGGCGTTACACAGCTTGAGGTGAAGATTGCTGTTTGGGATGGAAGTAAGACTCAAACGGGCTTTGGTGGCGTTGTTTAAGTGCGAGCACACGTGGGCGAGGTTGACGAGAGACATTTCGATCGATGGTAGGCGCAATTGGCCCTTTTGGAACGGGTGTTCGGGGAGGAGAGAAAAGTTGCGGAGATCGGAGGTCGGAAGTCGGGGAGCTGGCGAGACACACGGCGTCGGCCAGACAGTATTGAGGACCCTTCTGGTATAAGAATGTGCTCGAGAGTTTCGAAATAGCACCTCGACGTGGATGGGCAAAAGAACGGAGACGTGCAGAGCTGGTCGACACACCGCGCTGTTAGGATGGAAATTTTCGGACAAACCTGGCTCCGGAGCTCCGGGGTATACACACGCCAAGCCCAACAGGTACAGCTCGAAGAAGTACTCGATACTTGCTCCACTATGGATAACCAGCACTATCTTAAAGTACTGGTGACCTCACTTTGTCACACATCTTAGCGCCTGCTCATCACACGCCTACGCTCGGCGGCTGCAGAAGCCCTCTCACAGGAGGAACACTGGCCCCTCCAAGCGCATTAAAATGGCAGCCTTATTTCGTGAGTTCTTTCCTTTCCCTCCCTATATAATCTTCTCTCCCTGCTATTTTGACTATCCTGGTTCAATAAATCACCGCAATTATGCCTCCGCTCCCGGGCGAAGAGCGTCTACTGACCGTGTGAGTCGAGGCTAACTTCCCCCGCAGATGACGCAGTGATGTGGAGGGGTTCTGACGAGACAACAATTTAGTTTCGCCGATATTCATTCTTATTTCACGGTGCCGACCCCAAAGCCTTTACACCACCGGTTTGATAAAGGCTCCTATCTATACATCTATCATGATGATGCCGACAACAAGGCTAGAATCGAGATTGCCAATAACCCAGGAACATCTGATCAAGATGCATTCCATGGAGGGTTGGAGAATGTCCATATCCGTCATTCAACTCAATTCCCTACCCAGTGCACTCTGACGGTGGATGGGCTTGGCTCGCCGCACCAGCCTGCCCATTATGAATGGCGGCTCCCGAGTGGAGATCCCCGCAACGAGCGTCACAGCCTCTTACGTCTACACACACTAGACATCTATTTCTGGACTTTGGACGATGCAAATCAATTCCTAGACACAATTGGCCGTGTCCTGGCTACACATCAATTAGAAACAGACCGCCTCGCTCAGTCGGAACAGCCCTTGAGCTCGGTCGTACAACAACTTGAGAATGTCGCTGTGACAGATCCAGCCTACCAGAACGGCCAGACACGCAACTCGCGCTCCGAATTCCCATCAGCAACTGTACCCGGTATACAGGGGATCCAACAAGTTCCTAATCTCCCACCACCGCCTCCAAGCGGACAAACAGCCGACCCACAAGGAGCCAGCTCGGTACAGCAATCCCCGGTATTGGAACAGACAACACCAGAGAGCTTCGCGCCTCTGCCTTACAACCCAGCCGCACCTGCAGCTCCGGAGCCCATCAAACACCGCGAGAAGACCCCGCCCCCAGAAGATGGAGCTAATGGCACCGGGCTCGCCGCAGCGGTGGCAGCCGACCATGGTGTCCCATATACCCCGCCATCGCAAGTTGGCGGAGCCGTAGGAATGGCCGCCTTGACAAGCCCACAAACTCCCCACGGGATCTCATATACTGGTGCACCAGCAACTGCTGCAGCAGGATACGCTTCGCCCCCACCAAGCGCAGGCCCAACAAACCCAGCAACGTTGTCAAGTCCCACCTCGATCCAAAGCCCAGGACCACCCGCGTATCAACAAGCCTTCCAGCCCGGGGCCCAGCAAAAATGGACACCTAGCACGCCGGGATCAATGACCTTTGCGCCGCCACCGCAAGATCCCAACGCCCACCTCTATGCGCAGCAGCAGGCTCAGCAGCAGCAACTCTATGGCTCACCACAATCACCACCTGCCCATCACCCCAACAAAGCCGTCCAAATCGCCGGATACTCGAACTTCTCATACGACAAATCACAACAACCCCAGCAGCAGACGCAGCCCGGTGCCTCAGAGTACGATGTCCACAATCAACTGTACAGGCCTACGGAAACAGAAGCCAACTCGCATGTTTACCAACATGCGCAAAAAGCCATGAAGAACTCCGGGACCCGGGGCCGTAAGCTTGAGGACAAGGCGGATAAACTGGAGAGCGGGATGAATCGCTTCTTCAAGAAGTTGGAGAAGAAGTTCTAAAGCAAAGGGGAGACCTTACTTGATCAAGCTGACTGGCATTCTGTCACCATATCCTGGAGGAATTTTCCTGGCCAGGTTTCCTTGAAAGCGTTCTTGTTGATCAATTTGTTCTGTCTGCGTGTTCCATGCTATGCGGTGTTGAGGCTCCCTTTGGAATGCATTTCTGAGACTAGCCCGAGGTGTGAAATGTAAGCTAGTAGGCTTGTGGTCTGCATAACCGCAGGACGGTTATAGCTAAGATAGAGATGATGAGAAATATGCATATGGATAATTCGTTGTGAAAGAAAATCTTGTTTCTGGCTGTAAAAGCTAGTTATGATAACAAAAGTGTTTATACTAGATCTACTGGCCATGAGACAAGAGCGGTCGAAAAACCTAAGAAACTGGCATTGTCCTAACGTACAAAGCCCGCCTCTTGGTAATAAGTAACAAGAATACAATACAATAGTATGATGAACCCGAAGAATGCTTTGAAACGCTCAAGAAAATCCATATGCTCACCAAAAAAAAAACAAAAGGTAGAATGCAAGTCACACTGATATCCAGGATATCAGGAGATAGCCCAGGATCTTGGCTGGGTTGAAAGAAGAAAATTAACTCCCACAGAAGAAAAGAGACGTCACGCAGCTCAGAGAAGAGAAGAGAAGACAACATCAACAAGGGAAGAGAGAAAGGTCAAGAGTATAGCACAAAAGGCTAGAAAAAATTGGTCGCCCAGGCAGATGAGAATGTAATGATGCAAGTAGGGATGAAAGATACGATCTAACTCAATTGGTTGGCAAAGTCGATATCGACGGTGTCCGACTTAGCCTGGGTGATAGGTTCCTCGGCGGGAGCAGTAGGCTCAAGGGTTGCTAGGGAATCCTTGGCGGGTGTCTCATCGATAGATTGAGATGTGAGCTCCGACACGACCACACCCTTGGTGGGATCGGAAACATCTTCGCCAACCTGGACAGGTGCTTCAGTGGGCTCGGGGACCTCATGGACATCAGAGACCTCGGCCTTGGGATTCGAGGAATCCAGCTCAACGGCATCGGTCTCATTGTCGGCAGCAGGCTGAACAATAGGCTCGGTGATATCCTCGATAGATTCCTTGGCATGCACCTTAGAAGTCTCTATAGCACCGTTGGTGTTCACCTCGGCCTCGAGCTGGCTTTCTTCGATGGCTGTTGCCTCTGTCTCAGATTCAACAATTGGATCCTCCTTGATCGTTACGGGAGCGGGAGCCTCAACGGGAGCTTCAAGGGTGGCATTTGTGACGTTCTCCTGGGTGGTTGTGGGCTCTGCGACAAGCTCGGGCTCAGGAACAACTTCAGCGGGAACTTCAATTTCTTTTTGTTCGACGGGTTCGGCCTTCTTGATGACTTCTTCCAATGGAGTTTCGAGCTCAGGTTGCTCGACGATAGTGTCCTGTGCTTCCACAGCTGGTTCTTCGACCTTGGGAGCAACAGAGTCCACATTCTCCTTCTCGCTTTCAATATCCTGTCTCTTCTCAGCAGGTTTCACCTCGTCTTTTGAAGGAGCAGGAGTCTCCTTAGGAGAAGGCTGAGACTTCTCGCTCCGGGGACGAAGAGGTGCGGGTTGGGCCTTGGGCTGGACCGTACCATGACCTGAGACTCGTCGGGTAGTGGTCTTGGATGGAGCAGTTTTGCTCTTTGGCGGGCTCTTAGCCTCGGGACGATCATGTGTCTTACTGGCCGAGCTGGCTGTCGGGCGCATCATCCTGGCCAAGAATCCTTCATTGACGGGCTTGGAGCTGTGGTCACTAGTACGAGAGCTCGGGCGCTCTTGTGCTGGTTGCGCAGCAAGGGAGGGTCGAGACGACTGTCTCCGAACGCTCGAAGTAGCAGATCCCCGCGCTGGGGGTGCATTGACCGCACTCTTGAGGGATGATGGCTTGCGTGTGAGGGTTGAAGCAGTGGTCGTGGTGCGTCCGTTTGAAGGACCCACGGCACCCAATCTACCAGAAGACGACGCGGTTGATGCAGTCGCAGAGGATGGTAGTCGAGCGGGCCTGGTAGGTGATTTCGATCGAGGCTTGCTGCTTGGTGCGGTGGTAGTCGATGTCTTAGGGCCGTCTTGAGAGGGGGTTGTACCGCGAGCTGTTCGCACAGCGGTCTTGGTAGCCGGGTTGAGTGAGGCCCGGCTTGACTTGTGGGCAATTGCGTTCGATCGTTCCTTTGCTAGCTCGCGCGCCGAAGTGGGCTTCGCAGTAGCACTGGTCGTGGGTTTCGCGGCGGTTGATGCTGCGGCCGGGGCGGGCTTATTCGGTGCGGTAGTTCTTGTGGCGTGAACATTCGATGGCTTCTTAGTCACTGTCTTTGGTGCCGGCTTCTCTGACTGTGCCGCGGGGCTAGAAGTAGCCGCAGGCACAGGCGTGGGTGCAGCAAGCTCCTCTTTCTTCGACGATGCAGACTCCACGGAAGACGTGCTGACAACCCGAGATGAAGGCTGCTCGTTAGCACCAACATTTCCGTCTAGGCTTAAAGCCGCGGTTCTTTCCTGGATTCCATTGACAGTCCGGTCCATGATGCTGTCTTGGCCGTTGTTGTTATTCCCGTCGGGTGTTGGGGAAATCACGTTCTGTCGACGTGCTTCCACCTCTTCCTGGTTGATCTTAGGTCCAAAGATTCCAGGGCTGTCACTCCGTCCACTAGTCTTTCGCAATGGCGAACCTGAATTCGACTGGATAGCGCCCTCGACGGTCACGAAGCTGGCGCGGACGCGAGAAAGTGGACGCGTTCCAGAGGATCCTGGAGTATCCGAAGGCACAGGTGTTCTTCCACGCGACGGAGGCGAGGTGATAGGGCTATCACCGGTTTCGAATTTGGCCAGTAGGCTACGGACCCCAGGGTGGGCGTTGTTGTCGGACATTGTTGATCAGGCAAAGCGGTCAGGGGAAGGGCCGGTCGGCGCAATTGCGGGGGAGGAAAAGGTCAAAATGCGTTGAGCGCACCGACGGCGCGACAGTGATAGAACGAAGCTATACAAACAGATCGCTGTACAGAACGTTTGTTTGAGGAGAGTGAACACGGTGTTGAGAAACGTCGAAGGGGGTTGAAGAAGGGCCGATCAGGAAACTAAGCCCACTAGTGAAATGATTAGCGTGTCCAACGGGGCTGCCGGCGCCTTGCCTCACGGAGAACACTTCTAGCGTGCATTGGACCTCCGGGTTCAGGGGCCAGTCCCCATCTCTCTGTGACAAAGTGGGTTGGAAATGATTTCATACCCTAAAATCAGCCCCTGAATGCCATCCTATTCATCTCGTTTAAGGCATGAGGCGTTCCTTTGTGTGACCATTCATGAGAAGTACGGCAGAGTACCTCATAGATACTGTAGGACATACATCAAAGACCAAGGGTCATATTGAAACTACCAAGGTACATCTGACATGTAAATGATATCCCATGGACCAACCAAACCGATCTGCGCCACACTCCGATCGTAGGAATCCGTGGTCCATGGATCATGGCCGATCGGTCGCGTGTGGAATGCCCTGCAGCAACCAGCGTCGCGCTATCTCCCCCAGTACACCTCATACACACCTCAAACCCCCAGATTCCACTCCGTGTCGTACGGTCTTACCCCTCTAATATGTACCTCGGTCTGATCCAAGCTTGGGCCAACTGAGTGCTTAACATTTGCTATCTGACTACGGAGTATTGCCACCATTATGAACAGTCCAAACCCATAACCTTAGGATTTTAAGTTTTTTACTTGCCATTTAACTCGGGAAGCGGTGCCAAATATCCACCGATCTCTTCCGTACATTGATTGCAACAGCAGTGAAATATGTACCATGGTCATTATCAATGTGTTTGTTTATGCGGAGTAGACTGTCGGAGCGGTTTAACAAGGCCCCGTGTTAGTCAGCATTTTTTGCCTGTGTGCGGCGTCCATGGGAATACGAGCATCCCATTCATTCCCCAACTTATGATTCGATATGCTGAAAAATGGTTGGAGTGCCTCGTAGCAGTGGCTGCCGCCGGTGCGTAAAGCGCAGGGTCAAGGTATGTGCAATGGGAACCGAGTTGGGTGACATCAAATATACTAACACAAAAGGTAGTGTGATGAAAGAGTACCGGGATGTGCCAAGTGTGAGACATATGGCCAACCTTGCCCAGGATATGATAAAGGGTTCAAATTTATAACGGGAAAACCCTATCGAAGTAAGCGGAAACAGCCGGCTCTTCATGTTGAGGCTATTCCTGGGCAGCAACTGTCCAGCTCCGCATCATCCAACACATCCTCATCATCACCCAACATCGGGAGCGATTCCTCAGATTCTGGACTCATTCTCTTTTCAAGAGAGGAGCCTTCAAGTTTGATCTCTGCAGATCTGAACATCTTGCAGAGTATCAATGCTCTTGTTGATGATTTTACCCTGCCGGCCCCGGCTACCCAGAACCATCGTGCTTCCCATTGGTTTAGTCTCCTGCCGTCCATCTATGGCTTTAACCAGACCTTGGACGCTACCATCAAATCCTTTGTTGCACACCATTTCGGAAAATCCCTCCGAAATGAAGAAATGATTGTGTATGCCCGATCTTCCTACGGGGAGGCATTGTCTCGATTACGCAAAGCCTTGACAAATCCTTCCGAATGTCTTTCAACTCACATCTTTTGTGCGGTAGTATTGCTTTGCACCTATGAGGTAAGACTGGGGAATATCATTTCTCTTTGTTATAATCCAAAAACCTGATGTATAGACAGCTTTTTACCGACACCGAGAACCCAGAGTCTTGGATGCAACATGCAAAAGGACTCGGCCAACTGATCAAGGTCAGAGGACCCGATCGCTATCGAAACGAAATTGATATTACTTTACTCAAAAATTCCCGAGGGCTAGTCGTGAGTTCTTCTCGAGCATTTTCCCCAGTACATTCACATACTAGTAGTTTTTGAGTCTAACCATGATCCAGGTCATGCACTCAATGTTCTCCGGAGAAGCTTGCTTCTTAGCCTCGGAAGATTGGCATCAAATGATGCGACAGCAATATACAACAAGCTTACCAAGAGAACTGCACGACATCATCGAGGAATTTTTTGCCTTCTTCACATACACACCCAGCATTGTCCATAAGCTCTATCATTTGAAAGACATGGACGTATCAACCCCAGAAGCTTTCCAAGTCATTTCAGCTGCTCTAGAAGAAACCCTGATGCTGCAGAGCAGAACCGATGCCTGGTACAAGCAGTACACTAAAATCGCCCCTGTTCCCGCCGAGGCTCTGTCCGAGAGAAATGATCCCTTGTTCCCCGTCATCTTGACCTACTCCGACATGATCTTTGCAACTATATACTGCGGGTATTACGCTTGCATGGTGATCGTCCATGAGGCATTGAGAATTTTCTGCTATCCAGGCCCCCACGAAGCTATGGTGGTCTACTTCCGGGATCAAATTTGCCGATCTGTCGAGTATTGCAGCGCTGGGCTACTCGGCCCTTACAGAATGGGGTTTTCGCTACGGGTGGCTATGGAAGTTGCCGATTCTATAACGAGGACGTGGCTTATAGCTCGCCTGGGAGAACTTTCAAAAACCTACGCTGCAGCAAAGCCCGAGAACCATACGACAAAATTACTATGATCCATTCAACTTTTCACGGTCTGCAGAAAATTAAACTACTGTGTCTTCCAACCAGGGGTCCTCCCTGGTCTCTTCAGTTTCCAGCCCACTCCGCATCGTTAGATGTGACGTTCCTCTTGTTTTTACTCGACCCCGAAAGCGGCTCTATCACTGTGCGTGCCAGAAAAAAGATTCCAATGATGATAATTTCCATCAATAACCCCATCTCAGCAAGAATTCCCACGCTCCCTGAAGCCGGGTTGAATTCCGAGGGACCATACTCCTGCAAAAGGAAATAAATGACTCGGATCAACAAAAATGGGAGAGTTAACATTGTCAACATGACCCCCCGGCGACCTGTTGCAGGAAGAATAGAATGGCACTTAACCGATAGCCATCCTACCAAGCCACAGACGAACACAAAAGTGACGACCAGCACGACCGAACCAGCTTCCCCATAGGGTCGGATATCGATAATTCCACCGACTACCGCAAGCACAATGGCGATAAATATTGGGAATCGGAAGCCATGGAGTGCGATGCGAATGGGCAGGGACCATTTCGAGTTTCCCCTTCCATATTCTCCAGCTTGGCCACTGCGAAAAGACACGCATTAACTTTGCAATTCCAAGAGCGAGTAGCGGGATCTTTTCTCGTAGAAAGTTGAGAATTTTATACATACCATCGCAAAAGAACCAAGCTAACCTCAAACAAAAGAGGTGAGAGGCCCACACTTTGCAAGCAAGCCTCGGCGATCAGCATCGATTTATTGGGGTGACTCTTAGAAATTATCATCGCAGAGCTAGCGATGCGAACTATTGAAAAGCATTTCTTTTTAGCTTCCGCTGATTCGGGCTTGGTTTTGGGTTATTTTACTCACGTTGCGACAAAAGTCCAATCATACTAAACCAAGAGTAAAAGAAGCAGCGCGCGACATGCCTTTTCTTCCGATTGTGCCAATATCGCCATTCTTGTGCGAAGCGGATTGGGATTTGTATCAGATGAATGGCGGAGAAAATGACAAGTTCGGCAATTGCGATGTTTCGTCTGGCAGTCGAGATGGATCCATCTTCCGCTCGGGGTAAGAGGTGCTCGATTGCCATGGTGATGGGCTGTTGCATTCTTAACAATTTATTGTCGGAGAGCAGCTAGGGTGAAGATTGTATACTGTTAGCTTCTTGATTGCTGAAGATTAATCTCGGACTGCGACGTCCATCTTTAAGTATTAATCTTCTGCCAGTACTAGGTCTTATTTCGCGAGTGTATAGATCTCTACCGTTCTTGAATACATCGCGGTTACTGACCACTTTGGGTTTAGCGTGGATTTTGAACTAAGGTCTCAAACTTAAATTTTTACAGCTGAAGCGTCACTACAGTGGCGTGGAACAAAGAAACCGTGAAAATAAGGATGTAGCCGATGATTTCCATATCAAAGGGGAGCCCAGGAGGGGCCTGAGCGTCGGTCAGCCACACAGTCTTTGCTCGCGAGAACTGTCCCAATTAGGCAATGCTCGCTGATTCGCTTACCTTAAGGCTGATGTTCCATAGACTACATAGATATGGATGATTCGGGGCATAAATCACTGGGGCAGTCTTAAGCAGTAGCACCGCAGTCCAGCAAGGCAGCCATCCCTTATTCAATTTATTTCTACCCTCTATCTCTAGGCATTTTGCTCTGGCGAAAACCGGAGAGAAGTATAGACGGATCAATGATCACCCGGCGCCGCGCATAAAACGCAAAAGCTCCGATGACGGCGAGCCCTCGACGACAGGAAGCATTCCCATAACAATTCACCATGGCTGCTGCTCGGACTCTTCGTATTGGTAAGTGAAACTGGTAGCCTTGTACTCAATCTCCCGAGGCCGCATACTTATCGCTTCCTTATAGGTCTCATCCCCGGTGACGGTATCGGACGGGAGGTCATCCCGGTACGCAACTAGACAACCCGAGTCATCGTGCTCCTGAGCAATCAATTGACAAAAAACAGGCCGGCCGTCGGATCCTTGAATCCCTTCCATCTTCCCTGAACCTCAAGTTCAACTTCGTTGACCTGGAGGCTGGTTACGACACCTTCAAGAAGACCGGTTCCGCTCTCCCGGACAAGACCGTCGAGACCCTGAAGAAGGAGTGCGATGGTGCTCTGTTCGGTGCCGTCAGGTAAGCAATCAACCTATGCGTTGCCAATATAGATCCAATGGGCAAGTCCCTAACACCATTCGCCCCCAGCTCCCCCTCCACCAAGGTTGCCGGCTACTCCTCCCCCATCGTTGCGCTCCGCAAGAAGCTCGACCTGTACGCCAACGTCCGCCCCGTCAAGACCACCATCGGCAGCAGCAACGGTAACCCCATTGACCTGGTCATCGTCCGTGAGAACACCGAAGACCTGTACGTGAAGGAGGAGAAGACCTACGACGGCCCCGACGGCAAGGTTGCCGAGGCCATCAAGCGCATCTCCGAACGTGCCTCCTCGCGCATCTCCACCATTGCTGGTGAGATCGCTCTGCGCCGCCAAAAGATCCGCTCCGCCGCCCCCACCTCCATCCGCGACCAGCCCATGGTTACCATCACCCACAAGTCCAACGTCCTGTCCCAGACCGACGGTCTGTTCCGCGAGACTGCCCGCAAGGCCCTGGCCGCCAACAAGTTCTCCTCCGTCCTGGTCGAGGAGCAGATTGTTGACTCCATGGTCTACAAGCTCTTCCGCCAGCCCGAGTACTACGATGTCATTGTCGCCCCCAACCTGTACGGTGACATTCTGTCCGACGGTGCCGCTGCCCTGGTCGGCTCTCTGGGTCTGGTTCCTAGCGCCAACGTTGGTGATAACTTCGCTATTGGTGAGCCCTGCCACGGCAGTGCCCCTGACATCGAGGGCCAGAACATTGCCAACCCCATCGCTACCCTGCGCTCCGTTGCTCTGATGCTGGAGTTCCTCGGCGAGGAGGCCGCCGCTGCTAAGATTTACGCCGCCGTCGATGGTAACCTCGACGCTGGTAAGTTCCTGTCCCCCGACATGGGTGGCAAGGCCTCTACCACTGAGGTTCTGGAGGATGTCCTGAAGCGCCTGTAAGAAATGAGATTGTATATAGATTTGGGACGCGCCGGTGTTCCATGGAGAAGAGGTGTTTTGAATAAAAGCCATTCGAGTATTTGATTAGTGAGCACTTCCAGATGTAGTGTTATCTATGGATTTCAAAGTTACTCTTTAGTATTATATAGTATTCTCGAGTGTAATACTAGTACTCTGGTACTAGTAGGCTAGTCCACGTCTTGATCCCCAGTTTGCTCGCCATCTTGCGCCTTTTCAAGTTGGTTCCAGACAACAGTGAACAGGACAGCCAGATACACCTCACCGGTTCTCACATTCTTGAGAACATAACGCAATTCGTTCATCGTGTCATCGACCATACTAATCACCGGAATAGAGAATCCAGGAAGATGAATCGACATATCTGGGAAATGCCAGGATTAGCAAAGCTCCTTGTACAAAAGCACTTGGAAAATACTAGGTCACTCACCGCTGAAAGAAAGGTACCCGTTACCAAAATCAGCCAGGTAAGTCCTACCAGCCTCGAACTCAAATGCCTTGCGGTGCTTCTCATTTTGAAAATGGCTTCGCCGGGCCTTGGCCGTGTCACCGGGGATTTTGATTGAAGCGCGGCTCTCCACGCCATCCCCATCAGCGCCCTCCTCCACAACGTATTCGGTTGTTAATCTTGGAGTACTAGTCGTAGTACTCTTTCCGCCGATGCGGAATTGGTTCCACGTAGCCAGGGCGGGGCTGTAGAGATATGGCTTGTCGGCATAGGCATCACCGTCAATCGACGGGTCAATGGCCCATTTGACGGTCTTTAATGCAGCGTTGAAGCCCATTGGTAGGCGATCGCGGATAGGATGGTCGAAGTCATTCCCGAAGACTAGGTCGTTGCCATTGATATTCTGTTTCGGGGTGAACGAGCAAGATATTGAGTATTGATCGTGGGCGTGCAGTGGTTGTGAGAAATACGGACTTGTCTTCGGGGAGTTATCAGGGTAGCCTGAGTCTGTTGTTAGTCCCTAATTCGTTTCTGGTCGGATAGATGTGAGAGGGGGGAAGAGGTTACCGGAGAAGTTCTGGATATGGACGCCTACGTCCACTGCTGCTCGGTCGCCATCAAAATGTAGTGTCTTGTCGTTGACCGCAACCTGCTTGTGTGTTGATCGGTCATACTCCGGACCCGCCGTCACCCTCAGGCGGTATTTAGGAAGCTCGGTTTGGCTGGGCATGAGGGAAATGTTATAGTGCAGCTGCGAATCAAGTAGTTGTGGTTGTAGAGAATATAAACATGAGGGAATATGGTATGTTTGTAACGTGAAGATGACTCGAGATCAGCCAAAGCTAAAAAAAACCAGGATCGCGTTGGGGCCTCTTTATATAGTTTGACGTCGTGACAGCATCATACGCGGCTGCTCTCTTTCCCTCTTGCCCCTACCATGGTTCAACTAACACATAGGAGGCTCGCAGATCCCTCTCGCCTCATACAAAATATGTAAGCCGCTTCAAACTAATAGTCTAAATCACGAAGAACCCTTACACCCGAAACATCTCCACAGAACACCGATTTGATCCATCGCGGTTGGGTTTAAGGCTGGAGTTGGGGGCCATGACATCATAACCATTCGTACCAGCACGGAGACCGCCCGATTGCCATTTCCATGTCGATTTTGATTGGTTGTTGCGCCCAGTACATCCTAGATCGGCCAACTGCGCCCCCAGACGGGATGCTGGGCGTGCTGCGCATGAGGGCCGCCCCGAACACACAAAAAAGAAGAATGTGGGCCGAGTTTATCAATACGGCAGCACGACTCGTATAAAGGACCCCAAGAAGTCAGGAGATGGCCGCTTGATTTTATTTCTTGGTCCAATTCATAGCCCTCAAGATATTGAGTCATCCGATACCCATTTAATTTGATTTCATTTCACCATGGAGCCTTCCATTGAACTCAACCATCGAGCGCAACCTACTACGGCTGACTCTCAAGCTCCTCAAAGCTCAACGCCACCACCTCGACTGAGCGTTGATTTTGGCTGGCGGAAATTCAAATCGCTCCTTTCCGACGAAAATACGCCCAACGCAGAGCCCCTATACATCCTCGAATACCAACTTGCCAAGAAGCGTCTCAAATTCAAGCGCTATGCCACCGGCGAGGTATTCGGCGTCGGCAATTTGAACGTATTCAGCATCGATGCCGACTACGAAGTCCACGGCCGCAAAGACCAAATTGTTGCGCAGAGTCGCCTGAAGACTTCCTACGCGCATCGCTCCACTGCCGCATCTACTACCGACAAACCAATCACCCTGACCTGGTCCAGCGATAGCAATTTCACGACATGGGATTTCGTCTGCTGCGATGAGCAGCAACTACCCGTGGCTAAGCTCACAATGAATATTTGGGGCCTAAAGAAGATTGCCCGGATCGAGTTTATGGGTGTGGCGGAGCAGAACCTGGAGTTGCAGGAGGAGCTGGTCGTGACTACATTGACTTTGTCCTATCAAATGGCTTTACGGACGGGCAATCTCTTGAATCTTGTCGGAGCTCTCTTTGCTCGTCCTGGCCACGAGCCCAAGGCGAGCGGTCCGGGTCGCAAGACTGCTCCCTTCTCGTCCCCTCGGGCTTCCGTTGAAATTGGACAATCTGAGACCCCCGCGACTGCGCAACTTGCCTCCGGGACCGATCTTCATTCGGCTATTTAGATGTTTCTCATGTGGATACTGCGGGATTACATTTGTTTTTAGAGATACCAATCATGCCATGGCCAGTAAGGCCCTTTGCGCTTAAATAATGTTAAGATTTCATCATATTTCAAATCAATATTTGCAACTACTACAACTAGTGGTGGTATAAACTTGAATCAGAGCGGGAAAGCAACATCCCGACCAAGCGAGCGAGCCACCCAGTAGCCTAGCGCCTGTCGAACGATATTATTACTAGACCAAGTCCGATTCGGGTGCACAGCATGAGCCAGCAGGACCATAAATGTATCCGAGGCTCTATCAACCACAAGCGAAGTCCCCGTAAACCCAGTATGGCCACCAGCCTGGATATTAGCCATAGGCCCAGAGAAGTAGGATTGGTTCAATTCAAATCCAACACCATGTTCATCGCCGGGGAATTTCTCATTGAAGTTGGTAAACATCAAGTCGACACTTCTCGCAGTCAGAATTCTCTTGCCGTTATAGGTCCCGTTGTTCAGTACCATCTGGCACAAGGTAGACACATCGCTCGCGGAGGCAAAAAGACCCGCATGTCCACTCACTCCGTCCAAAGCCCAGGCATTCTCGTCGTGGACAGTACCCCGCACTGGCTGGGGACGTTTGGGCTCCGAGGAACCAAGGACTTCGATTTGGTACTCAGTCGGCGCCATGCGTGAATAATACTCCAACGAATCAGCTCCAATATTACCCTTATTGAAGAAGGTACAGGTCATTCCCAAACTTCGGGTCCAAGAATGCACGAGATCTTCAAAGGGCGTTCCAGTGATTTTCTCTAACATGAAGCGCAGGTTCATAAAATTGAGGTCTGAGTAGGTATACGTCGACCCAGGAGGATTGACCAGCTTATGCAGGATAATTGCTTCGATGCGCTGCTGCATATTCTCATAGCTCGGATCATATAAGCCCGGCTCGGGGTCGGGGGGAAACCCGCTGGTATGAGTGAGCAGCATCAGAACCGTGACATTGTCTTTGCCGTTTGTTGCGAACTCAGGAATATAGGACGCTACTGGTTTGTGTAGATCCAATTTCCCATCATCGATGACTCGTAATACTGTGATGGCCGTGAATATCTTCGTTAGGCTAGCCATGTCGTAGATTGTGTCCATTTTTGTCGAGACCCACGCACTGGGTGGAAGAAGCGTGCCATTGGCGTCAGCATATAAACTGGCATTGCCGAACGCGAATGAGCTCACGACTGTTGCTTTGTGGCCGACTATAACTGAGCCCCCTGGTAGAATGGGATGTACTTCGTCGTACGAGTGGGATCCATAGTTTGCTGGGCGAGTGTACTGGCTCAGATTCATCTGCATCTGTCTAAGGGGCTCCGGGAGAAGACCGACAGAATCTGGCGAACCATCTCTCAAAACACGGTCTGTGGCTGCTGAGAATGAGAGAAATGAAGTGACCAGACCGATGGTGGTCACGGCTTGGAATCGCATCGTGAGATAGTTGAGGCTGTAGCAGAACAAACTTAGGATATTTACTTTCTAAGGGATGTGTCAACTTCATGGAGTTGGCTGACTCTGCGCGCAAAGATTAAAATTAAACTGACGACAATTTGAGGGAGTAGTAACCATATGTTGCATTCTCGCTGAGATCTGCGCTCCAATACGGGATCATGTCCCCACTTCGCGACGCGCGAGCGCATCTCGTATACATCTTGCAAGCGGGTGAACCCGACGAGACTCCCAACTTCCCCGCATTGAATGAGATTTAATACCTTCAACTTCCAGGAATTTTATCATATCTAATGTCCATGGATGTGACTTGAATATTGTGAGCACCCCAGGGCGATGAACCCAAAGGAGAATCAAAGATCGAAGATGTGCAATTAGCTGATTAGCTTTAGTTCTGTATTTGCATGAACAATTGAAAAGAGATCTTAGACAAGAAAGATTGACCAACGGATAGAATCCGAACCATGAAAAAAAGAAAAAAATTGAAAAAGAGTGACTAGAAATAGGTACGCCATTTATGCACCGATCAAATCTAAAGTAGGCAGATCAGGATCTGAGTCCAGCTCAGCTCGCAGGCCAGGGACGTCTTCACTCAAAAGACCTTCCTTGGTGAGAATTCCAACACCACTATCTATACGTCTGCGGTTTTTGCCTCGTCCGTACTCGACATCAACGAATCGAGTCATGCTCACAGGCGTAATGGGCTCACTACCCATAACAGTGGTGCCATCAGACATAAGATCGTCTGATTTGAGCTCCCAATTAGCGGCACGAGCCTTTGCTCGCCGCCGTTCCGAGCCAACACTCTCTTTCATGAAAGCAAATGACCTCGCTTGCTCGGCGGCCCATTTATCGAGCATTTCGTCACGGGCCTCTGTCTCGATCTGCAGCTGCTCTTCCAGACCGATATTGACTTGACGTAAACGGTCCGCCTCGCACTTTGCTTCATCAAGGGATGTATTAAGCTCAGAGATACGAACGTTGAGCGTTCCCGTTTCTTGCTCGTGATGTTGCAGTTCCTCCGAGGCCTTTCTGTCAAGGGTATTAGAGGCAACACGTTGTTCCTTCTCAAGGCATTCCACCTGTGCCATCAGATCACAGGCTTTGATCCGATTCAGTTCGACAGTTTCTTCCAGTAGTCGAACTCGTGTCTCATACTCTGAAGCCGAGTTTTCGGTGTCAGAACGCTGTTGCCGCTCACTGGCGACTTGTTGCTTGAGTTTCGCAATCTGCTGCTTGTATTGCGCCTTGACAGCAACGTTTTCGTCTTCCAGCCTATTTACCAGGTTTTCAAGACTCTTCATATCCTCATGATATCTATCCAGGGCGGTGTTTAATCTGTCAATCCCGATCGTCTTTTCCTGGTCTTCATTTTCAAGGTCTTGTAGTCGCATTCTCGTATGTAACATATCTCGGGCAGAGGACGCGATGGAATCTTCAAGGGTGCCGATCTTGTTTGCTGCTGCCTCATATCTATGCAATAGGTTGTCGAACTGTCCTCGGAGCGCCTTTTCTCGGCCCAGAGAGCCATGGTGATATTTGCGTTCTGTCTGAAGGTCTTTCGCCAATGATCGCACCCGTTGTACAAGAGTACCCAGAGTTGCTTTCCCGTTCGCTAGACTGACACCAGCGGTCTCACCCGGGATAGCCCGCTCGAGCTCTAGGCGTGCCGAACGAAAGTGACTTTTGATGTCAGAGACCACTTCCTCTGTACTGGCGCCAGAGAAGCCTTGACTAGAGAATTCTTCGTTGATTCCCTCGAGAGCTTCCGTGGCGTCAGCGGCACGAGATAGTGCATTCGTCAGGATACTGACAATGTTATCGAAGAAATCTTGAGGAGGTGAAGGTAGGCGAAGAATATCTCCCATACTGGAGTCCTCGAAAGCGGATATTTGTGAGCGGCATTTATTGAACAGCTTCTCCTTCTCTGATCGAGCCGCTTCCAAATCGAGGGTCAAGTTGTGCATATCCGAATTGCCGGGATTATCAGTGAATGACGTCTGGGTCGCGACGTTTATGATGGTTGATTCGTCGCCATACATCAGACTGTCCGGCTCTGGCGTGTTGTAGTCGCGCATGGCACGGAGATCTGGCGAATTGGAAACAATTATAGCGCTGTCATTGAGCGTGAAGGTGTCCCCGTCGACATATTGAAACGGCTCGTTCTGGTCTCTATCGGAAGCCACGGAGATTCCCTCGGGGGAAATCGCTCTTTCGGGCTCAGGTTGCTGAACGCAACCCTGGGATGACATCCAATATGACTCATCAGATGGCTGACAATCCTCTAGATCATCTCTTTGCTTCATAGAATTCAGTTCACGTTGCAATTCGTCTCGCTCGTGGCGTAGTGTAGATAGTGTCTTTTCGAAATTGCGGCTCTCGCGTTTCTCCCGTTCGATCTGAGTAATCTCATCACTCAATCCAATCCGGCGGATTCTCCGTTGTGTACGGCAATCCAAGATCTGGCGTAGAGGAGTGAACTGGTAGACACGTTCCAAAGAAGATTCGTCATATTCCTGAACTGGATCAAAGGCCCGTTGGAAACGAGGCAGTGGCGCCGATCTCCGGCGTGCACTGCGACTCGGGGTCTGATTTCCACGCTGAGCGAATTTCTTGGAAGGCTCAAACGAGGTACGTTTCATTGCCGGTGTCAACCCGGTGGAGCCTACCGTAGTGTCATGCAGCAAAGGACCAGGGTCCGAAAAACGTACTCGCTTTCTAGACTTTCGAGGTGTACGTGTCTCTTGTTGCTTGGGCTCGATATGTTCTGTCACTGTTCCTGCAGCTTGTCTCGTTCGATGTGAGACAGGAGGCTCATTGATTAAGATCGAGGTAGCACTATTCCTGCGCTTCCGGCAGGACGATCGCGTCTCCATATTTGCGTGGTGGTTGAAGACAGAAAGGATATCAAAAAGGGAATTAGATGGAGAAGATTGAATGGTGCAACAAAGTAGTTGTTCAGGGTATCAAATAGTTGGGCCGAATAGAAATTCAATAAATTCGACACAGCATTCGAATAACGACAAATCAGAGAGAAAGGGATTTCGTGCGACACGCTTATAAAGAGAGGGAATTGTATACATCACAACATAAACAAACATTCAGACGCGGTGTGGGGCGGCGCCTCCAAGTTCACTACTGGTAATATTGGCAGGCACAGGCAGCAGAGTCGCGCCTGCCCCGCGCGTGCCTGGATATGTGCTTGCCTATTCCGGCGATAAACAATCTACCGTTTTGGGATTGGCGGATCACGTGGTCATTCCATGCTGGCAGTTGATGTTGTTGACTTTAATTGCCAGTCTTGTTGGACCATATCATGGTGGACGTAAATTAGTAAACTTCTTATAATAAATAGTCGACCAGATGATGATATGATCCAGATTTAATCCAGGTATTATGTACTCATCTACATTAGATTAGGTACAGTCTTTATATCTGCGCTCTCCAATCGCGATTTTACCATTTATGACACCCTTCACATCTTTACGATAGTCTACTTGATCAGACTTCCTAGTGGATGAATGAGACAGTATATTCAAATTAGGGGGCGTAATTAAATGGCTTATGCAAGCTAATAAATGCACGCCTTCTTACTCCCCAGTGCTGCCGTTGGCGTAGCCGCAAAGGTAGAGTGCAAACGATTTGTCTAAGTCCCTTAGATAGAGTTCAGGTTATTCATAGGGAGAGACGGAAATTTACAAGAGGCAACGGACTTACCCAGCTGAATTTTCAGCCCCTCCTCGAGATCCTATCAGCGGGTAAGCCGTGTGTCAGATGAGACCCAGAGAATTCCAGGGAAAGTCTCAACTTACAGCCACTTTCAATCCTTTCTCCAGCGCCCCCATAATCTCGATCGCGTCGCGCTTCGCAGATTCCCAGGCCAATTCCATGGAAGTTGTGCCCTTATTCATCACCTGGAAGTCGTCGTCACCCAGTTTGATCGAGTCCTGTTGGACTTGTTTCAGCTCGTTTAGTTTCTCGTTCATGGTCTTGATCTCTACCTGCTTCCTTTTCATGTCCTTTTCATGTCCTTTTCAACAGCTGCAGATATATTTAGTGAAAATCATGCGATGATTCGTTTTCCCTAGGTCCTCGCTGTGCTTCTAGGTAGTGAACGGTCAGGGGGTAGGGAACTAACATATAGCATAGGCGGCAAAGCCTAGCGCAGTGGCGGCTCCGATACCAGCGACCACCGCCCCTCCAACCTGAGAAAGTTAGATGCTTGAAGTCTTACGACGAAGGATCCCGAGATAGAAAATATTCAGAGGAGTTCCTATGCAAAGCTAGCGATGCTCTGCGCAAGTGTCCGACTTCTGTCGATTGTGACGTTGAAGTACTGTCTGACAATGGTTAGTCTCCTTCGTACGATTCGACTGGAACACAAAGTGAAACCCAAATCTCCACGTCCTTACCGTCTGTATTTCCTCCTATCTTTACCCAAACTTTGCGCTGCTCTGACCTTTGTCGTCTAAATCCTTGAGGCGCCTCCATATGGTGAAGAACATGTCGCGGATACTCTTGATATCCTTGTTGATCTTATGAGGCACGTCCCGAATGATTGCTTTACCTTGATCAGAGGACAAAAGTTTGGCAATCTCGAGCGTAAGCTTCTCATTCTCTTCCTTTGAAAAGAACGAAAAGTCAAGCGGGTCCTGGCTCTCTCTGACGTTGATGTCTAGGGTACTCTGAAAGGGAGCTCGAAGGAGCAGTTTCTCAGCTTGCGCGGTTTGCCCAAACTCAAAGGTATAGCTCCTCACGTTTTGCATGACGGCCTCGTACGTGGGAAGTCCACCATTAGACATGATGTCGACTGATAGGGTAAAGCTTCAAGTTTGATGTGAGACGGAGGGAGGAAGACACCTGGCAAAATGATAACTAATGCAAGTTGTAGATATCTTAAGTACTACTACTAGTAGTACTATCTTTCAACAAGTTGAAATTCCCGAGGTCTTTGTGATGGATGGATTCAAGTTCTGAGGCTTTTGAGGGAATAGTATGGATAAGTATATATACTAGTGCTACTCACTAACAGCCCTGTCACGGTGTATCCGATTACCACTACTACTAGTAGTAGGAGTAGGCATAAGCCGTAGCAGACTCGGAATCTATTGGGTACCTAGGTATACTAGTTTTAAAAACAATCAGCGAGGTTGAATAGCTTAAAGTGCCCAGGTGAGGGGAATAGTCATTAGTGTTGGGAATGATAAACGTCTACTAGTAGTAGAAGCAGCGCAATAGCATATGCTACTAGGTACAAATCGTATGAAATGTATATATTAGAAATAATTAGCGAGCTTAATATAGCCGTAAAGCAAGGTGCAACTGTACTTCAAGTTGGTGCCCACCTATTGCGTCGTGTCCACGGCACATTGGCGGTTCCGACTAATGCACTCCGTCGCCATTACGTACGTCTGAATCCATCTCGTCCCACAATGGCACTCAGCCATCAGCTGGCGACTGCTCAAGGTGGCTTGCTCTATTGCATTTCACCTTATGAATAACATCAGTCCGTTGGTTGGCAAACGACAGATAGTTCTAGAATCCGAAAGTGTTTCACGAGAGCATTCGGGCAGCCCGGGAGCTCAGGAAACGAGCAAATCCGCCCGATGAATGATGCTGATCGTATACGCATCCTTAAAAAATGTTTGCTCTATAAGGGATCCATAATTAGTTCCACCAGACCTGGAAGTTTTCTTCTACGCACCAAAATACCAGGTATCCAATGATACGACTCCCCAGCTGTAATGGGATTGGAAGGTTAACCGCAGGCGGGCCGAAGGATCTCCATTGCCACTCCAATCGCGGGGAACCAACTCCAGTTTCGTCCCGAAGATCGTCCTTGAAATCCGTCCTCTGTAGCCTCTGTACGGTGTACCTTACACTCCGCACACACTTTGAATATTTGGTCCAACTCCACGCTCTTTTCCCATTTGCGGAATGCGTTCCATTTTCAACAGGGGTACTGTACTACTGTATTATCTTATCAGCTTGACCCACCACTGAAGGTCACATTTGGCATCCAGTTGTACCTTCTCTCGTCTCCAACGTATACACTTGGCTCGGCATTAGAGCCCGTCTTGTTGATATTCTCCCTAGTGGAGCATCCTTCTTAGTTATTCTTTGTTGCAACATCCCCCCACATCACCAGATGCGCCTTCACCCGCTTGCTCTCAGGTGATGTCATCTGCGTTGCCGAAGGGGGGGTCAAGCTAGAATCAATACCCGCATTCACATCCTCTCTCTGAGATTAACATTGGGATATTGACCGGCATCATGCCAGACGCGGTCTCTTCGAACGAGGTATGTTTCATCGAAAGCTAGAACCGTGCGTGGTAAGGGCAACGGCAACGGCGATCTCGTCTACCAGCCGGCGAGGGGCATTTGGAACCAACTGACTTGTTGGACAGGCCTCCGGTCTTGATAAACGTCGAAAGTACATCGATAATATCCTCCATGACCAGCAGTGGACACACACCACGCACGCATCATCAATAATCGATAAAATACCCGCCGAGATCCTCCATTCGATTCTCTCGTTCCTTTCCCCGCACGATCTTGCCCGCGTGTCCGCTACATGTCGTGCCCTCGCCGAACATGCCTCCAACGACCTGTTGTGGAATCGACTACTGAACTCCCATCTCCCATTCCCGATCCATGACCCGGGCCCCTTTGACACATTTCGCCGACTGTACCTCGCCCATCTGCCCTACTGGTTCATCCCTCAACACAAAATCTGGTTCGCAGACAACGAACACACTGGCAATTTGATACTAGCCCGCTACGATAACAGACGGGGCGTGATAGAAGCATACCGTGTAATCGCAGATCGGGGCTCCCCTCAATTCCAGGTTTGGGAAGCACACCCAGACGTGATGATCCAGTCATTCTATCCTGCTGTCAGTCTGTGGTTAGATGACCCTGTGCTACTCCTCAAAGATATGCAGCCATCGGAACCGACATCTGAATGCCAAACTTGGATGGCAGAGCGCAAAATGCACATGCCTGCCGAGGCCAATCATCTCTTCAATTCACTTATCCTGTGCTCTAATCAGCAGGATCCCGATGTTCAAGAACCCGATCAACTTTGGCCGCCGCCGACTATTCCCAGTGGAAGTCGCGTAGTCAGATCGACTGAGGGGGTGGATGTAAGCGATCCTGTGCATTGGTCCGAAGCATCTCAGAAAGCATTTCGCATTCGTCGATGGACGAACTTCAGACTGATGATATCGCCGGGCCACAACTCAGCTATGCTTACTTATTCCACCCTTGATCCGAACCTGTACACGCCAACGAAAGAAAAGCCCTATCAAGGTATTTGGGTCGGGGACTATTCAGCTCACGGCTGTGAGTTCCTCCTCATAATCCAAAGTGACATACCCGAGGACGAGGAGTTTGAAGATGACTCGGAATTCGTCCCGCGAGGAAGTCTGCATGCTCTCAAATTGACAGGAGACCCCAATGTGCCACGAGGAGAAATCACATTTCTTGCCAACGATATTGGACCAAATGGTCTCATCAAGGTGGAAACCGAGGAGCCCTTCAAGGGCGCTCGGATTGTCGAGGCCCAGGGACACGTTGCCGGCCTTGGTTTCCATGATGGTAAGTTATATCCATCCCAATCAGAGCCTAAAGAGGAAAATGTCTAACTGTTATCGCAGACACCTACATATCATCTCAGCTCATTCTGGTGTCTACAGAGTACATTGCTCATTATTGGCAGGAGATGGGCCACATCTCTTATTACCGCCGCGTGGATATTAACACCCTCCTGAAAACATAAATCGCGTGTTTCTTTTGTGGATACCATCATGTCATCCCATGTCCTGTTTACATACCCCTTTTGTTTGCACCGCAATAGGTACTACTAGTCATGGTCAAGTCTGATATGACTGCCAATTATTTTTTGTCTCTTTCTACACCAAGGCCCCAGAGACCCAATCCACTCTCTTAGAGCCCACATACTATATAATAGGTAGCCATTCGATGTGGCAGGCTACTGATTGAATCCAACCCAGTTTGAAGGGAGACAAGATGCAATTGATTCCACGAGGCGCAGACAGAATAGATACAAGCGCAAAAGGTATCGAATGGAAGGAACGAAGGAAGCCAAAGACGCCGTGGCTCTAAACAATGTCAAAAGTAGAGGATGGAGTGGAGTACAGCGCGAGAAGAGAAGAGTTGGTCGTCACTCGTGATCCAGCCATGGCCTCAGCTGCCAGTCACTCAGCGTGAAGAGAGAGAGAGAGAGAGAACATGCATGCACAGATGCCGTCGAAAAGTCGTACAGTCACCACCACCGGCCGGATGTCAAGTCGAGAAGAGTTGGGTCAAAGAACGTGTCGTTGCTTCCCATACAAGGTCGAATAGATCACCGTCTCCGCTCGAACCAGCCCGAGGATCCCATCACCGCCACCGATTGATCCATCACCCACTCCCCAACACCGAGGTAGCTGTCGATCCACTTCTTCACGTCTTTGCTGTCGGAGATCTTATCGGAGTCGAGACTGGGGCTGTCAAAAGTCCCCGCACACACACATCCCTCACAAGGGAGGTGCGGCGAGGTCAACTGAGTTAGCGTGATTGTTCGGTGCCCGGGAGGAGGGCGTATGGTATAGAGAGAAAGGAACCGAGGTTGGAGGGTAGGATGGGGTGGTATTTACGTGAGACCTGTGGAGCGCTTGACGCCGGCCAGGAAGGCGGAGACTGTGAGGTTTATGGTCAGTACTCACGCGTTTTTCCGGGTTTGAATAGGACCGGGAAAGAAGAGGACTTACAAAGAACCGCATCAAATGCGTAGTGAGTGAGACGGCCGAACTGTTTGGACATGGTTGAGGTTAGTTCGGGCTGTGGGGATGGTCGAGAGCTGTGGACCGGTGAATGGAGAGAATATAGAACGCACCATTTTGACGAATGGGTAGAATGGGAATAAAAGACCGAGGAGCATCAGAATTGTAGATCGTGAGGACGAAGCGGTCGAGTTAGCAGGTCAGGCAGCGGACACTCTCAGCCTCGTGGGTCTCTTTCACATGACGGTGGCTGGTGATATTACATAATCCAAGTGGCTGGTCGATTATCGTTCTGCCTAAAGCGGTGAAAGTTGGGGAGGTCGCTGCCTCAGGCTATAAAGACTGGCTAACTTGGGAATCTAAAGTGGGCAGGGACCTTCCGAAGGTTAGGACCTCTGGAATATCGATAGCTAGCGTTATCGATAGTGGCGTGGCGTCGGTGGACCAGGTTGAGCCCACCGAAATGCCATTTCTGTCTCGGAGAGGGGTTCGAGGTTCGGTCAATTGGGTGTGGCTATTTGTCACATTCCATGATAAATGGGACCCAATGTACGCTGGTTATGCCAGCACGATCCTCCACTTGCGGAGGTTTGCATGCAATGTTTTCTTTCCTTTTTTTTTCCCCTCTCCCAGTGTAAGCCGGTAGGGCTGCCGCCGGTTCCGAATAGTGTCCAACGAGTTAAAAAAGGCCGTGGGTAGCAGGGGTGGTGCAGAGTAGAGTTGGGCAGGCACAAATGAGATCATATCAGGGTAATAGTAATGGGAAAAGTAAATATGATAAATGTAATGAATGTAATAAATATCAAACGGGGTGAAAAGCAAAAGCAAAAGCAAAGCTAGCCAAGGCGACTCACCGTAGTACTCCATTCACCGTAAAAAAGCTGGGGCGGAGGAGTCCTCCACCGGGGATAGACAATCGGCGGCCAACATTTTCCCTCCCGCCCCTCACCCACACTTTTCTCCCCCTCCTCTCCTTCCATCCATCCTTCACTCCTCTTCAAGTCCAATTGATTCTCCCTTTCTGCTACCCTAAACTACTCGGTTTATCTAGCAGTACAAAATGGCGGCCACTACTTCCCTCGACCACCTGAGCAACCGTATGAAGCTGGAATGGCACTCCAAGCTTAACACCGAGATGGTGCCGGCCAAGAACTTCCGCCGTACCTCTATCATCGGTACCATTGGTATGTGTCGCCCTTCAAAGCCTCCCATTCCGTTCTCGACCCCAAGGATGGTCTCCTCTTCAGAGCCCATCGACCCGTCCACAAGGCAAGATGGGGTGACAAAAAAAACTTATTGCTGACCACATTCCCTCCGCAGGTCCCAAGACCAACTCCGTCGAGAAGATCAACGCTCTTCGCACAGGTACGGCACGAAGCTCCTCCATGAAAACTGATCGGATAGGACTGACTGGATTGTAGTGGGTCTCAACGTTGTTCGTATGAACTTCTCACACGGTTCTTATGAGGTGAGTACCTTATCAGTAAGATGACCATCGAAGGATAATCCGATTGACCTTGCTATCAGTACCACCAATCTGTTATCGACAACGCCCGTGAGGCTGCTCGTGTCCAGACTGGCCGTCCTCTGGCCATCGCCCTTGACACCAAGGGCCCCGAGATCCGTACTGGTAACACCGTTGGTGATGCCGACATCCCCATCAAGATCGGCCACGAGCTTAACATCACCACCGACGAGGCCTACGCCGCCGCCTGTGACGATAAGAACATGTAAGATCCCATTTCCCACCTTCGGAGGCTATTCAGAACCACAGAGTCTGCCCGACCACGATAGTGGCGATCATGAAAAATTGTGTTCTGACCGGCGTCCAACAACAGGTACCTTGACTATAAGAACATCACCAAGGTGATCTCCCCCGGCAAGCTTATCTATGTTGACGATGGTATTCTGTCGTTCGAGGTGATCGAGGTTGTGGATGAAAAGACCCTGCGCGTCAAGTGCTTGAACAACGGCAACATCTCTTCCCGCAAGGGTGTTAACCTGCCCGGTACCGACGTAGACCTGCCCGCTCTCTCCGAGAAGGATATTGCCGACCTGAAGTTCGGTGTCAAGAACAACGTTGACATGGTCTTCGCCTCATTTATCCGCCGCGGCGACGATATCACTCGCATCCGTGAGGTCCTCGGCGAGGAGGGCAAGGAGATCCAGATCATTGCCAAGGTTGAGAACCAGCAGGGTGTTAACAACTTCGATGAGATCCTCGAGGCCACTGACGGTGTCATGGTCGCCCGTGGTGACCTTGGTATCGAGATCCCCGCCCCCAAGGTCTTCATCGCCCAGAAGATGATGATCGCCAAGTGCAACATCAAGGGCAAGCCCGTTATCTGTGCCACCCAGATGCTGGAGTCCATGACATACAACCCCCGTCCTACCCGTGCCGAGGTTTTCGGACGTTGCCAACGCCGTCCTTGACGGTGCCGACTGTGTCATGCTGTCGGGTGAGACTGCCAAGGGTAACTACCCTTGCGAGGCTGTCAAGATGATGCACGAGACCTGCCTTCTGGCCGAGGTCACCATCCCCCACTTCCAGATCTTCGATGAGCTCCGCAACTTGGCTCCTCGCCCCACCGAGACTTCCGAGTCCATTGCCATGGCCGCTGTTAGCGCCAGTCTGGAGCTGAACGCCGGCGCCATTGTCGTCCTGACCACCAGTGGCAAGACCGCTCGCCTTCTGTCCAAGTACCGCCCCGTCTGCCCCATCATCATGGTCACTCGTAACGCTACCGCTTCCCGGTACTCTCACTTGTACCGCGGTGTCTGGCCATTCTACTTCTCTGAGAAGAAGCCCGACTTCAACGTCAAGATCTGGCAGGAGGATGTCGACCGCCGTCTTAAGTGGGCCATTAACCACGGTCTCAAGCTCGGCATCGTTAACAAGGGCGACCCCATCGTCTGCGTCCAGGGATGGCGCGGCGGTATGGGCCACACCAACACCGTTCGTGTGGTCCCCGCCGAGGAGAACCTTGGTCTCGCCGATGAGTAAATCTGCTCTGTGCCGAGGACAACCAAAAGTCAGCGAACAGATCTATGCCCCCGATAACATTTCTCGCCTTTTTTTCTTTTATTTTAAAGTGTTCTGTTTCACGCTGGTGCGCGGGTGGGATCTACATACCTTTCTTATCTTTTTTCCCCTGTTTTCTTGCTCCTTCGAAGCTAAAGATCGTTGCTGTGCCATGGTCAGGACCATTGCTCTGTGGGGAAGGTTAATGCATGTTGATGTAAATGAGAACGAATTTAATGCCTTCAGGTCAAGTGCGTCGTCAGTCGTCAGTTGTCAGTTAGCCTAGATATTCCCTGAAAATAAATCAATAGACATAGACCTAGAGAGATCACTGTGTTCACTGTGTTCGCTATGGCCATGAGACGATTAGTCCTGCTCGCAACATTCTGCGAAGTGAGTCCAGTCTTTCAACCACGTCATGCGCGGGACATTTTGCTGCAGACGAACTGGCTACTCTGCAGTTGATGCTGTATGCGCAAAGACACGCGCAGTGCGCTTTTCCTGTGTTTCTCGTAACTTCCACGACACAGCCCAAGTAGATGAAGGACGAGAGAGAGAGAGAGAGAGAGAGAGAGAGAGAAAGCGAAAAGAGCGAAAAGCAAAAGAGGATTGCCGGAAAGACCTGCCACCCTCAATTGCGGGGACGAAAACGAAAGCGACTCTCTCCCGAGGCCGAGGCATGTGTCCGGCTGCCCGTTGTGGTATTGTGGTACCCTCTCCTGCATGTAGTGTAATTGTAGACAACGCAGACGTTCAGATCTCGCCGCCACGAATTTGGAGCAGTGTTCCGGAATTTCAAGAAGAAGAAACCCCCCGCTGATGGATAAAAGAAAAAGATTAGATCCATTGGGGAAAAAGCTCGTCTGGCTAAAAGCAATTCCCGGCAACCCCATTCGGCTCCCGGTTTTCGCCGAGGGCTGACGATATTGGCGCCTGATACTTCAGGCTGTATTGTCGATCTTGTGAACTATACAAGTTAAGGTGAAGGTTAATGGATGAGATGAATGAAATGGATGAGACGAGATGAGATAGTAATATGCATTATGTCTTCAGATGAATCTGAAAATGGACGTATCAGTTTGTTCCCGAAATATGGTGAAATATGCCGGCAATCTCTTCATTTCCTCTCAACTCTGACGAAAAGCAGATCAGTATCAGTCGTCGTCTTCATCTGCAAAAATCCCCAGCGCGGAGCCCGACTTCTTTGCCGCAACTCCTTCGTCAATGGCCAGTTGTCTCGCTGCTCCAACACCAGCAATCATGCCTAGTAAATAAAGATGTTAGCTTTCCCTTCTCACAAAAAGAAAAGACCCTTCCCCTTCGTCCACATACCAGAGCTCAAAGCAACAGCAATTGTCTTGTGCATCGTCGAAGTATCCCCAGCCACAAAGCAGCCTCGAACATTCGTCTCTCCATGCGCACGAGTGGTCATCACATATCCGTCCTTTGGCATAGTCTCAATCCCGAGCTCCGAGATGAGATTCTGCGCCCGATTCCGCGTAGGAGGCGTGTACAACAGAAACCCCAGATAGCTGACACCGTGACGGAACTGGATCACAATAGAGTCATCCTTGCGCTCAAAATGGTGGATTTTGCGAGAATCGATTCTGCAGCCGCGCGACAGGGCCATGTTGAGGTTACACTGGAATCGGTACTCGGCAGGATCTTCGCCGTTGGTGTAGATTGTCAGCTTATTGTGCGAGACGACGTAGGCCATGAGCGTGGGCACAATGTCGTCGAGAGAGGACAGGCCCAGGATACCTGCTGGCTTATCTCGCTTTTCAAAGCCGTTGCTGAAGAGTCCGTGAATGCTATGCATGGATAAAATGTCAGATGAAAGCTCAGAAGAAAGGATGAAAGAAATAAAGAATGAGTAGGTAAAAGGGTAGAAAGACGTACATGGTATCTCCCCAGAGATCCTCAAAGCCGGGGATATCGGGGAGAATATCCACTGACCCGCTAGCAAGGATCAACTTCTTCCCTCTGTAGGGAATTCCGTCATCATCATGAACCATGAAATCGTGTTGGGCGTGTCCGGTATGAACAGTCCACGCGTGGACGATGGTTGTTTCGAAGAACGTGACGGTTTCGAATAAACTGAGCTCCCGTCTTGCCAGGGCTCTGAATCTCTCAGGGTCTTGTCCGTCGTGACCGACAACATTGTGAATCTCCTCACTTGAAATATTGCGGTATTCGTGTGAGTCGAAAACTGCGACGCGTCGACAAGCTCTTGCGAGTGATGTTGCAGCTGAGAGGCCAGCAGGACCTCCGCCGATGATGAGTACGTCATAAATGTCTTGAAGGACACTAATAACGGGCGACATGAGGGTTTGATCCGCGAGAATTCACGGAAACAGGAATGGTTGATACAAAGACAAGCGGAAGAAGAAGAAGAAGAAGAAGAAGAAGGGGGAGGGATAAGTTTGGTCACTGAGGAAGTGAACTGGCGCCTGGAAGACATCTGATGGCCGGCATCGGCATTAATCTGAACTGCTGTTGGGCTTGCGGAAAGTCCTACTATGGGAGATAGTTTCCTCTTGATTGTCTATATTGACATATCACCGAAAGTTGTTAAGAACTTGAAGACTTTCGTGAACTGGTAAACACACGCAAAGGTGTTTAGCCCCAGGCTATTGTTGTTGATGCTGAAAGAAATTAAAAACATACCAAACAAAACTAAACTTAGCTGATAAGGGGGTGAAGGTTGTGCGAGTTTTGCATTTTCATTTAGCTGCTAAGTGATTTGCATTGATATCTTGAATTATTGTATACATATTCACATTTCTCTTTCCCCTTCAGAGCCTTAACTCCAAGTGACAATAGCAAAGATAGCATTGAGTATTTTAGTATTAAAACTGGTAATTGCACGCACTCGTGATCAGAGAGAACCACCGGTGCTTCCTGGTCTGTCGCGTGGTTACCGTACTTGCATCTTGAACACCATCCCTTCTTGACAAGAGGTACCAGGGCTTATGACATGAGGGTCACAGGTAAAACAAAGATGAAGATAATAAGGTCGTAGGCAACCCTTGGTAACGTTTTGGGAAGGGACTGAAGCTTGCGTGATTTGAACCACTACCATGGCGGAAAAAGAATTTGGGGTTGGAAACGTCGTATTTTTGTTGAACCAGTCATGCGTTTCCGGACTAGTTTCCCATCTAGACGACTGACCCGGTCACCTAGCCCTGCATGTTTATTGTATTTGCCATCTGTTAGGACCATCTGTGAAGATACATATCTAGTGGATGCCATCCACAATAGTAACAGCCTTGGTTCGTTACAAATAGTAAAAATGATTGTATACGCTTGGACCGTTGTACGGAATGATAATTAACAAAATCCATAGAAAATATCAAGTCAATCATTTATGGGGTCATATTTGTTCAAATTACATAGGGGAAAAAAGTAGTGGCTAGCAGGGAGGGTTGCGGTTTATACTACTAGTACGTGCAGCAATCCCGCCAACGCCCTCGGGCAGTTGCAACAACATCAGATCTTGGTCATTGTCTCGTTACTCATTATCGCAAAGAAAAATGCATATTGTGGGTCATGATAATCATAGAAGGGGGCCAGCTTCCCCACTGCCATCGAAGGCTTCAAACTCCGTGAGATGACTTTGTTGGTGATCGCCATGGGGATGTCGGTACATTGCACTAGGTTGAAATTGGTGCCAGCAACTGCTTCAATTAGTACTCATCCCGAGACCGAAGAAGGGAAGTAGAGAATAGGGAACATACCTTGGAGCTTGAAGTACGTATCTGGCCATCGCCTCTCGGAATCGACCCTTGTACTCCTTGGGACTCGTAACGGTAGGGCGATTGCGACTGCTACCAGCAAAGCCGCGATCTTTAATCCAAGACTCGAGTTTCTTATCCCAGGTGTAGGTACGGATACAGTCAATAATCCCCACCACCAGCTCGCTGCGCTTGTCGTCAATCGCGATCATGAGCGAATAGTCCATGACGTCTTGTCGACCAAGAAAAAGTGTGTCGTTCCATACGCTTTGACCAAGCAGCTTCTTCGAATGCTCTCGTGCAAATAATGGAGTCTCGTAAATGAAATCGACCATGTTCTCGTCGAGCAAGACCTCGTCGCGCTCACCAGTACTTTGTACCTTGCGATTGCGCATCGACCCTTTCAGATCGAAAATCCGATTAGGTACGCGGTCGTAGAACAAGTTCTCCATTAATAACAGGAACCAATTGAATTCTGTTCCTGTAGATGGGTTCTTGATGATGACCTGGTAGAAACCGAACATCTTGGCAATCGCAGACGGCAGCTCATGGAACAACGCCTCAGACATGATTTGGAAGTAGGCAGGGGCGAATTTCAGGAAGGCCTGGGTCTCAATTGGAGACAGAGACTTGAGGATGAATCGATCGTCCAAAGTCTTGAGGAACAGTGATTTAGTCTTGCCACCCTTCGAATCCCACTTGGCGCACCGAGAAAGCGATTCCACAATTCGATCAGCAACACCGCATTTTTTGCGCAGGGCATCGAATTGTTCGGCATAGAACACTTTGCAAAGCATCTTGGCCTGGCCTTCTTGAAACTGGTATTTGAGGTGGGTGCCAGTTGCTCGCAAGAGGGCATGTTCAACTCGAGATTCTTCTAGGGCTTCTGGCCCGCTATCGGGCTCCTCTTGATATTCTTCCTTTTCGTCATAACGCTGCTGGATACTCAGAAGCTTCTCTTTATAGTCGGATGAATCCAATGCAAAAGAAATCAAGGAGCTGGGCTCATCCTCTCGTACGATAATGTCACAGTCTGCAAAAACGTGGTCCATGACCGTGAGAGGATACTCAAGAGCTGTCCATCCGCTGGCAGATCGCTCAGACCAGAAATTTGTTAACATTTTGAGGAGTGTTGTGCGTTCATGCTTTGCAAGATCCTTGTATTCGATGGAATCGTCATCGGGAAGCTTGACCTCGTCATGAGAATCAACAGGGTGGAGCCCTTCTGTCGTGCCTTGATCCTCATCGCTAGCATTGTCCTCAGGCTCACCTTCTGACATGGGCTGAGAATCGGATCGAACAATTCTTCCTGGTCCAAAGGACTCGGTCGGGGACTCTGACAAGGGCTCTGCCGACGGCTGTTGGTCTGCCTGATCCATAAATTCATCGCTTCTCCGGCTAGAGTCATCCATCGAGTGTCTCGGCGCTGATGACATGGACTCTTCTCCGTCAACCGGGGGTTCACGCTCTTCCACGGCCTCTCGGACGTTCCGATAAACCTCCACGATGGGCTTCGAAGATGCTAGCGGGAAAGCGCGAGATTGAGCACCACTAGCCCTCTGTCGCCTCTCGCGCTGTCGTTCCATCTCGAATTCACGGCTTAGTTGCTCAAAATGCTTGGCAAGGGTTGATACATGGGTACTGCCACGTTTCGGTGTTGAGCGTGGAATGAGAGAGTGCCCCGAGGCGAAACGAGTATTCTTGAGCGCGGACAACCCCAAACGATCTGTCAACTTCTTGTCAGATGCTTTGGCAGGCTCGCCTCGTGAGTTGCTAGCATCATTCAAATTCAATGGACTTGTCTTCCCTCCAAAGGATCTGTCTCGAACAAGGTGGGCTGGCTGTGATTGAGTGCGAAGTAAAGGAGGGGAGCGAGCTTTACTAGATCGTCGGAAAGCGCCTTCAGTGAGTCTTGGGATAGCTGAAGGTTTATTAGGCGGCGTGGCGGGTAGATCAGGCGAGGTTTCGTCCTTCCTCGCATCATCTGCCGGAGCGGAGCAATCAATTGCCTCTGGACCGGACAACTCGGTACAATCGTTTCTGGGTTTGGCTTCGATGGACTCTGCCGGTGCATCGGGGCTAGACAGATGCAGATTTGGAGAAGAAGCCGCGCCCGATGGCGACCTTTCAGAGTGACCACTTGGAACAGCTAGGTCGAGATGGCGGACTTCCTCTTGTGAAGCAGGTTCGTCTTGCGGGGAAGCTTGTTTACTGACCTCAGCATCAATGGTCGACATCGTTCCCTCGCTTGGGGTGAGCAATGGAGGTGTATCTACTGCCTGGGAAATATCTCTGTGTTTTTTCCCAGCATGCTCCTCAACCACAGAAACCAAAACATCTTGAGCCTTTTCAGGAGAAAGAGTCATACGGCGCGTGAATCTTGGTTTTTCGTTCTCCGTGGTACTGTCGTCCTCCACATCAGTCGGCGTGTGCAAGGGGTCATCCGTGACCTCTGTTGCATCCTTATCGAGGAAGATCTTCTTGAGTTGTAAAGTCGCCATTCGTTTGATATCTTTCTCCGATGGGAAGAAATTTCGTTCAAAGTCTGCGAAGATGGTGTCCCATTCAACAACCTTTTCCTGAACCGCACGGAATACCTCATTCAAAGGGATGACCTCCCAGTAGCGTGAACTGTTGTATTTGTCTTGCAATTGTCGTACCAAGACAGCGTGATCTTCGTGGGCCTTTTTGATCAAGTCATCTATCTCTTTTTTGCTGGCATCTAACAACTCGGGAACGACGCTCTCGACATTAATTCCCTTCAGACGCGCGACAACTGAAGTCATGTACTTGCTCAGTCGTTGCTCCATACGTGTATAAACCTCATTTCGCAGCTTCAAATCATTGTCCACTTTCCAGGTGACTCGAGGCCGTGGAACAATGATCTCGAGGAGATGAATTTTATCGTACTGAATGCGCACAGCAACATCTTTGAAGCCAAAGTAGCGGAGGTGGTCTCTCTGGAGATCGTGCGGACAAACACCGGCGCGTGCGTGCAAATTTCTTCCCCAGAACGAGAGCTCCAGGTATTTACCGAAAGAATATTTGAAAGTACTTTCCGACATCAAGGTAGTTTGAGTCTCATGTCCGCAGATTTTGCAAACACTCCACATCAGGACTGTGTCTTGTAGTCCTCGGAGTTTGGAGGCATGGGGCTGCAGCATTACACTCAGTTGGGCGTCACCATGAACGTATTGGCGATGATGCTCGAACATGAGCTTCTCACAGCCATTCACACCACAAACATGGTTCGCTGATCCACAGAGCGCCTGCACAAAACGTCCAAGTGTGCAATCTTCTTCATACATGGCGTCATCTCCATGTTCATTGTAGAACTCCAGAGCGAATACATCTGGCCCGACACATGGGACCGATGTTGCCGTGCAAACAAGGCTGTAGAGCACGACAATGTTTTGATGAGAATACGGGTCAAACATGGTCGAATTGCCCGCCACATAGGCTTCCCACTGTCGTTTCTGAGTTTGGTAATGGTAGAAGACTCTGTCGTATTCTGCGTCATGCGCTGCACGCAACACTTCCTTGACCTTCGTCGGTGCATCACGCGGTGATTCATGGACCATTTCAGGTGTAATAAGTATGAATTTCTGTGGCTTTGCTTTCTCATCTGCATTATCCCCTGTGGACTCATTGTTGTCTCGAAGACCTTTCAGATATGCCAATCTTCGTTCCATTTCTCTGGTACGCATCAGCAAGTACGGCGGTTCGAATTTGACGAAAGGAGAAGTAGACAGAATCTTCGTTTCGTAATCCTGGACGAGATCGTCATAGTACGTTGGCATTGGAACATTGTCGGGGACTTCGATCGTCTCAGTAGCGGCCAATTTCTGATTCTCTGGTTCTTCGCGCGATTTGTCGGTTGTTTGTGAAGACTCCAGTCCTGCCAAAGCCGGGTCACTTTCGTTGTTGCCTTCAATATCGGGTTTGGCTTTCTGCTCCGTATGAGGTGCGACATTGACGTTCTCCGTCGGTGAGGCTGGTATCTTTGCAAATTCATCTCGCATCAGACATGTCTCAAGGCGCAGATTATAGACAACATAAACCATGAACTCGGTAATTTGTTTGACTTGGGCTAAAACATTCTCATCGGCACCCCGGAGAACAATTGTGCACCCTAGTTCTTTCGGACAGCCGGAAATGTACATGTATGTTTTCTTCCTGCCCGAGTGAACGTATGTTTTGACATCAAAACTGCTGCAGTCACTACGCAGTTCGGTGGTCAAGAGTTTGTCCATGGAAGTCACAATTCTAGTTTGAGTACATCTTGACACAGCTTCGAGGACGGAAGGTTTCACGTTGTAGGCGGTCGCGATGCGATGTTTCTCAAGAAGAACGAGAGCTAGGCCAGAGACGTTGTTCTGAACGAGTAGTAAGTTTGGCCTCAGTGCTGCAATCCGACTGACAAGGTTTTCCAAGAATTCACGTTCCTGTCGAATGACAGGCTCAAGGCTCATGAAATGTTGCTGCTGGCGAGCATACTCCAGTGGGAATGTGAGAATCAGTATGTTTGGACATGGGATACTTCGGGGCATGCTTTTCAGAGCTAGGTTCTTCGTGAAAACTAGCCCTGAAACATAAGAAGTGTCTCCCGGCCTCCCGCCTGGTATCTTTTTCAATTTGATGTAATGGCGAATATCCATATCATCTCCACGCTGCACATCTGGGTCCACCTCATCAGCTGTCTTGAGTAAAATTGGTACCAGAGCATTCTCCCAACTCTCCTCATTCGGGACGGAGGCCGCAATCAGAAGCTGGCGCAGGAGCTTACGAACGTGCTCCAAGCTAGCCTTGTTCAGTTCCACTGGTGGGGCCCCGACTCCCCTCATCGATGAGCTTCTGGTCATTTTGAAACCAGCTTCTCTTAACTTGACAGGGAATGGAACAGGCGGGGCAAATGTATCCTGTGGAAACATGCTGTCTTTGGAGGCTCGGGGAGACTGGCGTTGGTGGACGCTGCTAGCAACGCTTAAGTTTCGACGGCGTGAGGAACGAGGCAAATTCACCGCTCTAGAGCTGCTAATACTGGCATCATCTGCATCACGAGTGGGTTGGGCGATGCTCGGGATACCGCGCTCTCCAAAGGCCGACCGGCCCTTTTTCATAGCTGCAAGAAGTCCACCAAAGGTGGCCTTTTCGCTATCACCACCACTTTTAGACAGGTTGGCATCTGTTACAGCGGACAAAAGACTGGGCTGTTCGTCACCACTTGATGCGTCATCCGAGAGGTATTGAGCAAGGTCGGGATCGATGATATTGTCTTTATGGAAAGCGGGAAGGCGAGACTCCGTGCTCAGATCATCAATGTGGCGACGCTGGAATGGCGCTCGATCGTCATGGTAAGGCTTGAAGCTCCGAATGTATTGTTGGCGAGAGTGGTGGCGCTTATGACTGATCGAATGGGGCCTAGTTCCCAAGGAGGATCTAAGGGACCTGGAAGATGTCGGCCGTGCCAAAGAACGTTCGGGGTTAATTTCAAGCACTGCCGATCGGCGATTATGTCCCTCGCCTGCACGTCGTGTGGCTGGAATAGCCATAGTTGGGGTTCTGAGCACGTGGTCGATCGATTGTGATATGACAGACGCAGTATCGTCGTCGTCGATAGAGGGACGGGCACTGCCCCAGCTGAGCTCAGAGATCCGGGGGTTCATAAGAACGGGGCTCTGCTCGCTATCTGAAAAATCAGAAGAATCATCTTCGTGGGCATTTATCATTCGTTCACAAGGCTTGCAAACTCGAATGGATCCAGGCTGTCCAAATTGAGTACCGGGGATCAAAAGTGTGCACTTTGAGTCGAAAATCTGGCCGCAAGTACGGCAATGATGTTTCCTGCGAAATGTTGTAAAAGGTTCACCGCAATGAAAACAGTCCTTCGCGTTTTCATCGCGCATCCAAAAGTCTCTGCTCATTAATCTGCTTCGTAGCTGCGATATGACACCATCGGAGCCAGGTGCTGCGGCCCGGCTATCTAGCGGGACTAGTACTCGTGGTACGGCCGTATTAATAGGAGGCAAGGAAGAAACCGTGGTTGCCGACTCTGCTGTGGAAGCTCGAGACATCACATACCCAGGGAGTCTATTCTTGGTGTTGACTGCGGTTGGCTTGGCTTTGTCGCTGGGCATAGTTAAGCCAGGAGCTTCCGATGGCAATTTCTTCCCTGTTTCCTCGCGATGTATATGGCCGACATTCTCAGCGGAAGGGTCTGTACGAAATGATTCACCATCTTGAGGAGTGAGTTTAGAGTGGGCATTTGCGAGCGTGGGTGCGACGATTTCTGGTTCGTCTTGATTGAAAGACATTCGAGAATTTGATCTGACTTCTTGAGCTTGAAAAGCCGTTTCTTTGAGAGGGTCAGATTGTTTTGAACTTCGTGATAAAACAGACTGAGACATGCTCTCTGGAAGCCTCGGGGGATCAGCAGATGCAGATGACTTCCTGGCATGGACTCCCGAGACTTGACTTGCTGGCATGGCCGGTCCACCAGCTTTTACCGAATCGTGGTCTTCATGGATGCTCTCGTGTGTCTTTGTCGATAAAACGGGTGAGTGTGGGTGAATTTGGCTTAGCACTGAAGAAGATTGGCTCAAGGACAGATCGACGGGGCCGTCTCTACTTCCAACGCTTGCTGACTCGGCATTTTTAAGACCATGCGAAGGAACATTAACAGAGCTACTTCGAGAGCGGCGGTCCGATCCTACAGCATTTGCATGGAGCTGTATGATGGTGGGATCAACTGCAGTGGAGCCGTTGCCGGACTTGGTCAAAGGCGCAACATTGCCTTTGATACCCGGCGACGGGGGAATAGATGCCTTAGAAGATATGCTGGCGCTCTTGGAAGATATCTTGGAGTTCTTGCCATTATTGGTGGGTGGGGTAGACTCTTGGCCATGCTGGAAATTAGTTATAACCGGGGAATGAAGTCTAGAGCCTTGAGACGAGGCAGGATGCGACGATGCGTGATCTGCATGGTGAGCTGCGAGATCCGAAACCGACTTTGTCATCGAGCGTTCTGGGGCCGGGCTTTTCACTAGGGGGGCTCTCTACCGCATTTTTGTCCGTCGGCCTTGTCCCACCACTAACGATATCTCTCATACCACCAACAGATGTTCTGAACCGAGTATAGAGCCCACTCAATCCTCCCTGTAGTTCCTCTGACAGGCCTTTGTCATCTTGTGCTGATACCGGGGTCGGAGGACTGGTGAAGTCGTTGAAATGTGTCAGTGAGTCGGACTGACACGCAGCGTTGTGGATCTGGTCTAAAGCTGCATCTTTATTTTCTCGTTCGGTCCGTGTAGTCGCCAGTGAGGCTTTGGACCCGCGTCGGCCGAGTCTAAGAAGCCCAGACGACGCGGAGGGGCTTGGCGATCGAGGCGATTTATGCTCCATGGGTGCGCTATTGCGGTCAGCCCCAAAGTTCGTAGATCATGATTCCGAAAAGGCGAAGAGTAAGGCGGGTGGGGGTATAGGCGGTGATTTAGAAATCAGACTCGAGAGTATAGCCTTGCCCTGGGAGTATGTCATCCAGGTCTAGCCAGTGCGGGGTCTCCGAGACAGAGGTGAGTCAAATAGCGAAGTGTGGTAATGAAGTGAAGCTTCCCACGTTCTCCGCACTCGCACAGCTTCCCGCAGCCCCATGACGTTTGGCGGTGAGTACCCTACTGAGGCTGGCGCGTCGCGTCTTCTTATCGGTTATCGGTGGATTTTGCGATCAGTCCATTTCCCCGGTTTGGCATCACGCATTTCTTGCGAATGTCCTGCTCCTGCTCCTGATCCTTTCTGGTCAGATATGACCTGGGCTGCGCTCCATCTGGTTGAATACAGATTTTGGAGCGCATGATGGCTTCCAACGACCTCATACTCCCTTGGATCGCAACCTTCGTCGAGCGCTGTCTGGGTTTCTATATTGACCAGACCTCGGACAGTGGGATTGAGGTGGAGGACAACGGGGCTTGTCTAAGCTTTCGCGTCAATCAGTCTTCATGTCTGGCTCTCATTTCAGAGGTAACCCACTCCTTAGCCCTCCTCTACCTTTAGCATGCTGACGGGTTGTGAACTACTAGTGGGGCATAGGACCTGCCGGCGACGGCACCGTGTTGATAGATGCGAATAACCAAATCCAGGGAACCATATCGAATGAATCCTTGATAGGATCCAACCCTATCTCTTCAGCCTCCAAATCCCCCAAAAAACGCTGCATCGAGCTTCTAGACTTCACGCTAGTCGTCACATACTCAGATCCCTCCCCTGACGTTTGCTTATGTGTCAACCGCTATCGCATTGACTGGCAGGGAAAAGAACACAGCTTTACACCCAAGAAGAAGCTGAAAAAGAATAACACAATCAAAAAATTATTGGATAAAGTTCTCCAAAGGGTCCGAGACTCTCGCAAAACACGTCAACTTGCTGCAGTTGATACTCCATCAGCCAAGCCCATGCGGTCTGAAATCGAAGCAAGAATTCCCCAGGGCAGCCCGGTGAATGATAATGGATCGCAGTTTTTTTCCCAAGTACCTGTCAGCCAGCATGGCAATTTGGAAGGCAACCATAAAGCCAGATCCCTCTTGGAAACCGGGGCCTCACTACTCCGTCATCTGAACCCTTTTTCAGCTACTTCAGTCACTGGACTATCATCGCCAAATCAACCACCAGATTTTGGGAAAGGATTGACCACGGCTGGGGAGATAACGCAGGGAATATTCGATCATACGACCTTGGAGAGCACCCGCCGAGCTTCAATTGAGTCACAGACTGGAAATGAGACTATCCGTGATATCACTCGTATCAGCCCTCCAAACCTGAACTCTGAAGAATTGAAAACTTCCCCCACAAGGAAACAACGTGAGGATATATCTTCGGAGAAACCCCACAACCCCGCAAAACTTGTATCGGAAAGTAATGCCGCTATTGAAATTGAGAATCACACACCCAATAGATCTTCCCCACGGAAGCGTCGGCGTGGAAGTCCCAGTAATGTGCCAGTGTCCGATCTCGACGAAAACGCGGTCGAACAGTCGATCGCAGACCATCCATCTCCGAAAAGGCAGAAGACACATACTGCCCATGACGATTTTACTGAACTATCCCGTGCTGGGCTCTCAACGGTCAACGCTACAGAGGCTATTAATCAGAGAGATGAGCATCTCAATACTCCTATTAGTCTCTCCTCTGTCGCCAAACCAAGCCGGGTCAATCCATGGAAGTGGCAGGGCGATATTCCGCGACATGAGATCAGTATTCCAAATGACCAAAAGGAACTACTTGAGAGCCACAGCAAAATACGCTGGATTCCATCTGAAATTGGCAAAGCTTCTCCGCCAGGACATGTACCACCTTCGCTTCTAGAGCGGTGGAATAGCATTGTCGAGCGAAGACACCAGTCAGCTGGAGAGGACAACTCAAGCCCAGCGCGGCCGGTGACTCCTCGCGACGACTCTTCCTCGTCAACCGAATCGGAGGTTGGAGAGAGTGACTGGTCTGTGACCCCATCCCCGAGCGGGCGGGCACTTCGACGCCTACCTGCAGACAGCAGTCCTTTAAAGGGAAGAAGCCCAGACCTTGGGAGGCGACAGCCGCCTTTGGGCGAAGTAGAAATCGAATCGAATCAAGTCGAATTCAACCAGTGTTCCAATACAGCCAAACGTACTGGCAAGCCACAGGCTCTCGAAATCGATGCCTCTCAAGCCTCTCGTGAGAGATCAGGATCCGGCGCTTCTACTCAAATTGGGAAAGATGATAGCGGTAAGGTGGCTGGCCTTTCTTCGACCCAGGATGCTCGCGGTGAGATTGGCGATGAGAACGAAATGGGCCCGCCGAGGGTATCTGGTAAGGTGTCAGAAGCGTCAAACCCGGCCCAACATTCTACTTCAGAAGAGGCAAGGTCGCCTCCAGCTGTTGTAAATGGCCCAGAAGCTTCTGTCGAACACCTCGATGCCCATGATTCAGGCGACGAGAGTGACGATTCAATGATGGACACTTCGCTCCTTACAGCATTAGGCGGAAGCTTTCCAGAACCTTCGCAAGATACACAGCAGGAGCATGACCCTACAAGCTCAGGTCATTCACTCCCATCAGCAAACGCCGGGCGCGTGCAGGTTTTCGAAACCCCCCGCTGTAAACAACAGCCGGCTGCCTCCTGTTCAGGCAACAAAAGAACCTGGCAACCCCAACGTCACAGACGAAGTATCGTCTTCCAATAAGCAGAACAAAAGTTCCTCGCAATCTCGGGTTCTTAATACCTACCCTGCTCATGGGAGCCACGAACAAACACAGTCTTCAAACGAAGAACCTCATTCCTCTAGTTCTTCTAAGGGGTCTGTCCAGGTCCAAAGGAGCCAACCACAATCAAACAATGAAAGCCAGTTGGCTCATGAGGGCGCCCAAATCCAAACACAATCACAATCAGAAGTTGTGCTTGATTCATCAGAACCGGCCCAGCGTCATCAGAATATTCCCCAGTCCGAGTCTAAATCTACCCCCGTGTCATCTTCCAATCAAAGTATAGCCTCTCATCACCCAGAGGCATCGCAGCCGATCCAGCCCACTCAAGATTCCATGGCAGGTCTTTCTTCTCTCGGCCCATCCGTGGGCTCACAGATATCCCCCCTCGCGCGGTTCAAGCCAGCAGTGAACGACGACTCCTCTCCATCCAAAGCACCCAAAGAACCATTAACTGGACCCACGGATTCCAGTAAAGCTTCACTCTTGGCCGACAGTGCTGAGCTGATTGTTCGCCGTCTGGGTTATATCAACAATCCGAAGCAATTTCGCGAAGCGCACGAAATCTACGAAAATTTCCGCACCCAATATCACCCACACTACACAGGAGATTTCGCTCATTTTGCGGGGCTTTGCTCGAAATTACGAGCCACCAGGGCCGGGGGCCAGTTTCAACGGTCTTTTCTCTGGGATGATTTTATCATCATGCACCTCACCCAATTCCCACTTTACCTTGAAAAACACCCATCCCAGGAGACTGAGCCATTAGGTTACGAGGAATACTTTTCATTGCACCACACCCATCCTGTCCACAAGAAGCGCTGCTTGACGTTCTCTGCCATCGAGCTCGCTGCATCCCCAGTTGAGATAGCTTCTCAGATGACCAGCGACCACCAGTCTCCCTCAGAACCACCGGCTACCCAGAACGAAAATCCGGGGCAATCTTTCACCGCAAGTCTAGTCAACCAGTTCTCAAACTTCCATGCGCATTCTTTCAACGACACTTCGCCAAGTAGGCTTCCCTCTATGGATATCGGTGCTAGATTTATGGAACAACCCTCGCGTGAGCCGTCTGTTGAAATCAAGTTGGAGCATTCTGCAGAACCATCTGAATGGGTGGACACGCAGACCCTTCCGTTAAGCAGCTACGAGAACGCGGTGGACCACACGTGCGTGAAACACGAACCAGATACCGAACAGCCCCAATCACTAGGTTCGTGTATCGCCAACACGCAAGAGACAAACGATGTCATCATGGAAAACGCTAGGGAAATACCACCTGGTGACGAAGATGAGGATGAGGAAGAAATGGATGACCACGAGGAGGAAGGGCAAGAAGACCACGAAGAGCAGAAATCCGACGACGATAATGACGACGAAGAAGCCGATGACGATCCCCGTCACGAAACAGCCAGCGTCGAACTAGGTGATGAAACATACACTTCAACCCCATCGGCATATACAAACGGGCATGTCGACACCGTAGCCTCCGAAGCGGAGGAAAGCGACGAGGAAAACTGGTTCTTCGCACTCCGGCGTTCACGAATTCCCGTGCCAGCCTGGTCCGACGATCCAGACACACCTTTCAAGCGCTGGGCCGAGGCAGACCAGAATATCCTAAGTGAGCGACGACGACGCGGAGGAGCGAGAATCCTCCTCGATGCGAACGGGGTAGTTCGACGACCTATTCATCGTTGATACGATTTCGTGTGATCAGTAGATCAATATGGGGCGGAAACCGAAGCTTCGCTCCCGTTGCTTCATCGGAGATGGCTTGCGAGCTAATTTAGCGGTGCGGCGCTGGCGTCGATTGTGGGAATTATGAACACCGCATGGTACAAAATTATATTCATCGATTATTTACTTATTGTTCTGGTGGAATATTGGTTATTCTCACTTTGCTTTCTCTGTTATAGTACCATGACCTACCGGTTCCGGACTCTTGTATATTATCAAATGTCACATTTACATTGCCGACCTCACACGAGAGGCATCAAGGAATCCACATGCAAAGACCAAGCCCTAGTTAGTAGCTGTGGACTGGCCACTGGCTTTCGCATCGAGAGCCTCACTGGTAACCCGAATCTCCAGTAGATACCAGTACGAGCAAACGGCAGGTATAAAACTTTGAAAGCATGAATCAACACGAGATATGGAGCCACGTCACATAGTAATCATACTCCGTACGAAGGACTCCGTCCATAACGCAACAAATCACTAAGCCCAAAACAACTCGAATACGCGCAAGTGGCATCTTACTCAGCCCAACGCCATTGACACCGTTATGACAGCCTTGTTTCTCCGATCGCCAGATCCACAAGGGTCGGCTGCTCATCTCTCTGTCAGATCCCCTACCCCAATGTGAACGCACGGGGCGCGCTAGATTGCACTGTACCGATTCGGAATATCGCTGCGATGTCATCCATCCGAACAGGGAAATCCTTGCTTGAATCCCGACGACTAATGGCTGGGGAGGCGGGAGAACGTTTGACATCATTTTCGTTCCGAGCGGGGATTTTGAGTTTGTGGCTGGGGCTTTTATTGGTTTTTCTTGGCGCGTTTCGGGCTGTTTATTGTTTACTGCCAAGTCGAGTGGCTTCGTATTTGGGGAAATTTTTTTATTTTATTTTTTCAATTCCAATGGGTTCATTTGCATTTTGTCATTTGGGCATGATATGATGTACTAGTAACTATGTAGAATATATAGACAAATAATGCAATGCTATTTCGTTCGCGTATCGCGAGATATGATTCAAGTCATCAAAAGGAAGGTCATAAGGCGTGCCACAAAAGTAAGGAGAAAGAAAAGTAAGAAGCGCAAATAACCAAGCCCAAACGCCTTTGGTATCCCAAGTCTAAGAACGCTTCAGGAGGATTGTACAGAATCAACGGAAAACAAGACGCGTTTCGTTTTCATGATTGCTTAGACGTGACGGAAGGGCTCGTAGGCGCTCGCCTGCTGTTGGTTGGTGTGGGTCATTGGGTATTCACCACCGTGAGCAGCGGGGGCCGGGTACGAGGTGTGCTGGGAACCGTAAGGCTGGGCACCAGCACCGACGGGCTCGTAGGTGTAAGGGGCCTTCTCAGCGGTGATACCACGGTTGCGACGGTCCTTGTGGTTGTAAGGGGAGCGGCCGGAGCAACAGCAGACGCTGAAAGTCCAGAAGATGGCACCGATGAGGGCGAATGCGACAGCCAACCAGGTCGCGACGAGCATGTTCTTGCCGACGCTCATGGTGATTCCGTAGGCCTTGAGAAGAGTGCCAGCGCTGCCGTCAACGACGGAGAAAAGGACAGTCGCGGTGATCGAGGCGGCGGCGGTGAAGATGAAGAAAACAATAGCGACCAGAGTAGTAACGCAGCTGCCCCAGCGACTGCAAATGGCGAAGATGCCGACGAGCAGATCGACGATACCCAAGATGAAGGCGACCAGGTATGCGATGAACATCCACTTGGAGACAGCCTTATAGATCTTCATAATCTTGTTGTAGTCGGAGGGAAGCTCATCCTTGATGGTGTCGTTGTCGCTGAGACCCCAGACGTCCAGGGGATCGAAGTAGTACTCGGACTTGGGCTTGGAGCACTTGGTGGTTTTGTAGTCGCCATCTTTGATGCTGCCCTCACAGTAGCCCCAGAGACCGATTGAGTAGAAGTCGGCGAGAGTCGAGTCCTCTTGGATGGTCTTCAGGGTATCGGAGACCTCATCGGCAGTGACGGTGGAGATGTCGTGTTCCTTGAGGAAGGACTGGATTTCGGAGACTGTTTTGGTGCCATTGCTGCTGATATTTTGCAGATTGATCTAGAAAGACGGATTGTTAGTGGCGCATTTCTTTTGAAAGTTGGAGGTCACATGGGAACTCACCCGCAGGAAGTAGAGGTCGGTCAAATTGCTGTCGCTCGATTTGGTGCAGCCCAGGCCCACAATGATGATGCAGACCAAGGAGGCGAGAGTGAGGACATAAGGCGTGAAGATACACGCGATGCGACCGGCTTTACCCATGATGGTAGTGGATTGAGGGTGAATGCTATGGGGAAGGAAGAGAGAAAGGGGTAAAGTGATGAAGTGGTGGAGTGATGAAGTGAGAGAAAGATGATCTTACGGGGGGCCGAATGGTTTTTAACCTTGGGTGATCGGCAGGATTGCGAGAGAGAGATCAGTACTGGATACGAAGTGCCTATGCCGACAGTACACTCCGTACACAGCCTGCGAGTGCGAATGCCCCCCCCAGCCCCAGCGGCGCAGCACCCGCGGACCCACCGCCACGCTAATTTGTGCGGAACGCGCTTGTTTCTATTCGTGGAGTACGTACGTAGTGTATCTTGTACAAATATATGTACTGCATGAAGTAGTATACTACTTTGATGTACATTGAAACAGAGAGTATATATTATACTTATACTATACAGTATGAGTACTCTACTCTACTATCTCTCTACATCAAGGTATCTACCATTACTGACTAATATAAATACACTACTAATACACCACTGACCCCTGTCAAGCCTCGTCATCGCAGCCTTGTGGATCGCTGAATTTTTCACCGTCTTGTACCCCCCCACTAAACCCCTTTCAGGTACTTTCCAGGGATCTACCAAGGGATGCATCCGCCCTACGTAAGCCATCCCAGGCTTCTTCATTTCCCACTTGGCACCTTAAATCTCCTCCCAGAGGCCCCACTTGAGCCACATTATAGGTGCACTGCACTGCCGGAGCTTGCGTCCCTGTTTCTAATTTTATATCTTGCTTAGTATACAGAGTAGAGAGATAACCTTTTCCGGGGAGAGAACTACCTTACGCTTGATCTGGACATCTAGAGAGGAAGATCGGATCGCAGCCGAGATAAGAATCAATCTGCCTAGTCTTGGGAAGTCATCAGTCTCAGCCACGAATACACCTGCATGCTAGCCAAGAACGGCAATCACTTCCATCCTAGCATACTCGGGCACCATCTGTCTGCTCACTACTCCGTACTTCGCATACATCACAAGTATGGCTCCAACGTTGCCAGCATCCCAGTATAAGCCGTCCCACTATCCGGCTCCATACTGAAGATATAGTCTCCCCACCATGGCCCAGCCGCCCACCACATCGCACCCAGCCACACTTCCGAGTCCGCTGCCAATGCGTCCAACATCCCCGTCACCGCCGTCTTGCATTGATCATTCACACCACCCGCAAACTCCCCCAAAATACCCTTCTTGCCGTTTGCCTTCAGCCATGCCGTCGCGGAGCTCACCCGTTCGGCCCCGATCGTGCTTGACACGCACGTCGCGCTTGTACCGGACCCATCGCTGTCCAGGTACTGGTGCATCTGATACACAATCTTGTTCTGCGGGTCCGTCAGTGCTTTCATGTTGTCGTTGATCGACGCCCAGGTCCAAGCGCCCGTCCATGAGTTTCCCTCGACGAAGATGTATTGCGAGGTTGCCCCAGCGGCCCGGATGCCGTTGATAGCGGCTTGGTTGAGGTTCAGAACCAGCGTCTGGTCCATGTCATGGTATTCGTTGTCTTCTTCTCTCAGTACGGCTTGTTTATTTCAACTTCAAAGGGTCAGTAGCATGGACTTACTCGTGTCAAAGATGACATGGTTGTTCGATGCGAATTTACTCGCGACGTTCTGCCAGAATGTCTGGAAGTCTGAAGTACTGGTCATGATAGCACCATTGCTGTGACTGATTAATATCTAGTCTTCTCCGATCTATCAACTTTCAGGGGCTTCTGGGGTCTCCAACTCACTATCTGCCATAGTTATGGGGATCGAGCACCGCATAGGCTCCTGCGTTTGTGATATAATCCACGACCTAGCGCCGTCAGTTATCCATGCTGGCCAGTCAATCCTCGGAACGATCATCTTCTACTACTCACTGTCGTTAGATTCTTCAGATAAGCAGCATCCAGTGATCCCGTCATGGAACTCTGCGCCAGCCGCTCCATTCTAAACTGAACCCGGAAGATATTCATCCCCTTATTGATCAAGGTCTGAATCTTAGCGGTGTCAGGGAAGATATATTGGGTTCCCTATACACGGTCATCAGCTGAATGGAATTTCAATCAAAATGCCACAGATTGCACGCACCCACACCCCCGGGAGGACGGTTTCTCCAAACTCGGCGCCCGACTCGTTCGACCCGAACCCTATCAAGTCTCAATTAGCCTGGCTTGCCTTCCAGTTGTCTACATGAAGACCAGCAAGGGAAAAAAGCATACATTGGAAAGGAGACGCTCTCTTCGCATGGCTCTTGGCCGGAGCTGCTACCGCAGACGCAGCCGCGGCAGCGAGAAGAATCAATTGGCTAAACCTCATCTCTCAGGTAATTGTAGATAGGAAAGGCTACTTTGAGATGCAAAGTCGTTGACAGCCAAATATCGGTGCGAAACTTGACTAATTTATACAGTACACTCGCCCAGAAACCAAGCTGCGCCGAGGATCAACTCAGCTCCTTTTGGCTATACGTAGACGGAGTCGCAAAAAGACACGGAGCGTAAAGCTTCGGCACACCATTCCGCGAACCTACAGGGCAGTGACACCGAGAAAGGACTCGTGGTATAATGCGGGGTCCCCATGTCGATCTGCAGGGACGATATTCCCCACCAAGGAAAAGCATAGAGTCTGTTTAATTGTCTAATTGCAAGGGGCACAGGCACACGGCCGTCCTTGGCTGAAGCCAACTATGAAACGGAACGGATCGTGCTTAGGTTACTTTTAACCGACGCCACAACTAGACCCTACCTCCCATTTGGGAGGTCAGATCGTTCTCTGCAGAACCAACTCCTTGCAAACTTTCTTCAGGCACCATGCCTTAGTTGAGCCATGGCTGTGTGCCATGTAGATCGCTGGCGGCGAACCCCGTGGCGGTTTGGGAATCGATCAGCGATAATGACGGACGAGGCACTCCATACTCAATAGAACTCGCCATTTTTTTTTTTGAATCAACTCCGAACGGCCCTTCAAGTTTCTAAATGTCCAATCTAGACATTTGAGACAGCTACGTATCTTGGACTCGTGAGTGGGGCCGGGTGTCAGGTCTAGAGCGCATTCTGTGGATGCAGATTGATGGTAATGCTGAAGCAGGGACCTATGTGAAACTCCCCCTCCCCCTACACTAGTAGGAATCGATCGGTCTATTGAAGTAATTCATGTTCAATTTTCTTCAAATGTTTCTGGTGAACTTTGATCTCTGCATTTATTGACAGGTTAAGAATATTTCATTGCAAAAATAGACTACCGACTACCACGCGCCCAACGATGAGAGATGTGACTTCATATCCGCTGCCTGAAGTTGGTGATACTTGGTCCCGGGATGATAATTATTCCACCAGACACAAGAAGTGCCATCAGCATCGATGCAGTCAGCGGAGGGGAATCCATATGCCTTCGGGTTATCGAGTATTTTGCCCATAAAAGTGTTCGCGTCGTATACCACAGTCGTTACCTATTCAGAGCACCCATTAGCATTCATTCATTCCTTGTCGGATAGTTCATCACCGCAAAAGCTTCAACGTACATCTTTGTGCTTCGACTTGAGCGTCGCAACCATAGTCTTTATCCCCTCGTTATACGCCTTGATCCAAGCGGCAAGCTGGTTTGACGTTTCCGTGCCCTGCTCGGCGAAATAGGGACTCCGGTCCGTGGGCGGAACGTTCACGAACAGGAACTTGCGCCCGCCATTGGCGTAGATATCCAGGACCAAGGTTTCGTATTGACTCATGAGTTTCGGAACGAGAACACTGGACTCGTTTTGCCAGAATGCATTGCCGCAACTTCACGTTGAGGCTTGTCAGCGTTGTGTTCAGAGTAATGAATCAGACCGGGCGAAGTCTTACTCGTTGATCCCAATCCAGAATCCAAATACTGAGTCGTCGGAACTCCATGGTGCAGAGGCAGGCTTGCTGCTATAGGAGCTCTCAAATGTGGCTACTTGCGAGGTCATGTCCTCGTACGGGACTGGGACCAGGTTGTTGCTGATCGTGGCACCTCCAACGGCCAGGTTATAGTTCAGCACAAGGGAGGCATTGTCGGCAGTTGTGAGGTATCCGATCCAGTTTATGCCATTGCCGGTAGTTCCAGTTCCTGGTTTTTGACATTAGTCGATGGTGAATGGGTTCACTAGGGCGAAATGTCCTCACCAAGAGTCGGGTTGCCCATCGGGTTTGAAGCCGATGGCTGCGTGCCATTGACATTGAAATTGGTCTGGGAATAAGAGTCGCCACTATTAAAGTCAGTAAGTGGACCTCTGTCAGTTTCTCCAGGCTACGTGCAGCGCAACTCACAAGGTGAAGAAATAGGTCGGGTTAGATCGCGGCGCGGCAGGTCTGGCAACTGCCATGGCAGCAGCACCAACCAGACAAACTAAAGAACTTCGCATAGTATCGTGCGAGATATAATTCCGCAAATGGACATAAGTTGGAAGATGTGGAAATGTCTTGTCGATCTTCAGGAAAGCCCGAGTGCCTCCAGAGATCCAACGGACGAATTGATTTGAGTTGGGAAGGCACCAGTCCCCTTCATATATAACCCGACCCGAACATCTTCTCGCAAGCCATGTCCACCAAGTGTCCAAAATTTCCTCACAAGTCCTGGAGCACTACCCTTGTAACTTGAAAGAATCAGGTAAATTATTCCCTCCGAATTCCTCTGTTTCTCCGTGATTCACCCTAATGGCCCAAATGACGTTTTGTGCAAGGAGAAACCTCCGAAACCACTGCGGGGTCAGTCTCCCCCTGTCATAATATCCAGTGTTTGATCAACACTCGTGGTTCAATCGCCTGGATATACCACTAGTGTCTTAATGATTGTTTGCGGGGTAGTTGGGCTTTGCCAATTTTAGGACGGAGTTGAAGAGGCTTCTTATGGCACTAGCTTTGTGTTCACGAGGGAAAAGACATTAGCTGGATTTTAGTTTGCCGTTAGCGCTCGTGGAATTCAAACCTACAAGGACTCGGAATTATTCAACGTTAGGTTCGACTTAGATAATAAGATAATCGTCCTGAGACCCTCGTGCCGTTGTATCTGTCTTGGAAGGATTAGGCGTGATCAAAATTCAGGACCGGGGAAGATGATGTTTACAAATGATGTCCATAATATGTTGCGTGAGTCCCATTTTGGCTGATTCCCACGGGCTTCCCAGACTTGGCGTAATAACATTTTCGGAAGATCATTACTGAATCCTGCGACAGACCTAATGGCATCAAGTCTTAGTATGATATAATGGCGTGAATGTAAAGAGAGGGTATCGGTTCCTGCAATAAATAGTGGGAAGATGGCCAAGTCGATCAGGCTGGATGGGATCTCGGATACCGCATCCAATACGGCTTCCACTGACTCCCGGATGATTGGTAGCTCAGCGGGTTGCTCAGGTGACAAAAGCCGGGACGTATATAGTAGAAATGCATGTCGAAAGCTTTCATATACTGCACCCCAATTGGACCCATCATCCGGCAAGTTCGAATTCGGCAGCTTCCATAAATTTATACTCAGGTATACACCCATCAGGAGCTCTTTGTATTCGGAAAAATCCATATTCTGTACCTGACGAGCCTTTGCATACTCCAAAGCGTCTCCGACCTCGAGGAACAGCTCTCGTGGACATCCATTTACCTGCTCAAACTTTGACGTACTTAGAGCAACGATTTTCCTACGTAGATCCGATGAGACGCATAGTCGTTTCGGGTCTGAAAATGATCGAATTACGTCCAGCCTGATAAGGAGTTAGGGAGAATCCGCTCAATGATATCGGAATACCGACCACGCTAAATTTCCAAGAAAAAATATAGCCCGTTCATCCCTCGCTGTTAAGGTCTCCGACAGCCGTAGTTGGTTACAAACTGACATGGCGCCAGTAATATGGGCCCCATGGGTTGAGATACCGGATTCACATATCTTTATCAAAGGTCAGAAACACTGTATTGATTTTGTCCAGAGAATAAAAGCGAAGAGGGAAATTTCAAGAGTTAAGAGTACTGACATCGTGGAGGAGGAGAAGTTGGATCGTGGCGAAAAGCCCGTCTCTCTCATTCTCATGGGACTGTGGGGATATCACATTCTGGATGGTATGTATCAAACAATTAATGCACCTGAGTCGATACTCATCGGCCACTTCACGGAGGTCGTTTTCTCCAACTGTAAGGGCTCTATGACAAGCCGAAAGACCGAGAACTGCGTAAAGCACACCGAGCTGTTCGTATGCCAACGGCAGGACATATGATCGGTACGGATTGTTGGTGTCGGTCTCGGAGAGCATGATTTGATGTGGACATATCACTTTGTCGTCTGTAAGTTAGGCAGTCAGTAAAGAGTCTGAGCAATAGGCATTGCGAGCCAGCGAAATATACAGTGTGTTAGGAGGGACTGCGTCCGGGTCATTGCGAGCAAATCATTTAGTTCCGAGGTGTTGGTAAGATGGCGTGACACAGGGCTGCTATTGGCAGATGATGAATCAAGCGTGATATCTATGTCCCAATATGCAGATTCATGCAGGTCCAGCTGGGGGCTGGTCCCTTTTCTTGAGCCCTCATTTGTTGCCTCCAATGAATTGGCCTCCTGTGGAGATTCCTCTTCAAATTGAATGACATGATTGGAAATTGTTGATTTGCGCCTTTGTCCGCTTTTTTTGCCGGGGGAGGTCACGCTGCGGAACCGAAATCTTTCAGGATACCCTTTACATTCCAGCCCTTTTGCAGCACATCGCCTACAGGTAGGTCTTGTTCGGTCACAGCGCCGACATTTTTCGCGGCAGGTTGCGCACGCCGGATCTGTCCTGTTCATTTTAACGATTTTGATCAGGCTTCAAGTTGATCGCGTCGCACAAATCACGCCTCGGCATTCATGTTGATGTTATTGTATTAATGGTAGCGGGGATGTGAAAGTTGGAAGTTTCGAGTTTGCGATATTCGACCCCAATTTGAAATAGCATTCCACGAGATGTGATATAGGTTGGGGTCATCAAACTTGAACGGAATGCGGGGAAACGAGCGAGGGGCAAATATAGTGGCTCTGGAGTCAGAAAAGCTTTGAGCCATGCTGTCTCGGTAAAGGTTTTGTACTGGAGGTGGTAACCACCTGAACAAAGAAAGTGGAGAATCGTTGCTCAGATCGCCTCTAGAATGCGGCGTCGCCTTCCTATTTGGGTTGATAAGGCCGCATGTGATGGCCAGCATAGTTATGCATTAACCATATGCCGCGACAGGCCACATTATGTGATTCGTCGACTTCTTGTAACTTTTCCAATAGATACACCGATTGTCTACGGGATTGATACAGCATGGATTCGCAAAACCTTTCAATATCCATTTTGGCCTCTGTATTTTTGAATGGATTGTGGGATCTAGAGGAATAGTGCGGATGGAGCAGCAGCATCCACCTGGAATCGTGCTATCTTTCGAGCAGCAGTGCAAGTTATGCATAATTGCTTAACTTGCATGTGATGAGTCTATCGTATAATACCCATCTCATAAGATAAACTTGATGTGAGTAAAGCAAATTTGCAACCAAATGTCTGATACCTAGGTAGAAAGTGGAGCTGCAAGGAGCTCTGGCAAGGAGCCCTGAAAAGAGGTATAGCTCAGTCTTGCCCAGCTTGTTTCATCACCTCCCAATCAATACGTGGCCCTTCAAATGAGGCTCTCCCAGAGAAAAACCAAATGAAGTTGATGATAAAAAAGATTCCCACCAAAATCACAGCGGTAAAGTTCATGGATTCGAGCGAAACAGGAAAGTTTGGAGGCATGCAGATCATTACACCCAGCAGGACAATCCAAAGGGTCGAAAATATGTTGCAAAATAACCCTAACCAGCCTAAATTAAAAGATCGATGAGGCAGAATATTGCGGCCACGAACCAGTAAGATGCTTTGAGGTACCGTATATGAGATATTGAGGAAGAGGACAGCCGATGTGATAATTGAATTGAAGGCTGTTGAAGATGCCAGATATAGAAGCCCATAAATACAGGTGAAGACGTATGCGGCGATTGTTGAATTTAATGGAAACTGTAATTTTGGATGAACATGAGAGAACAAGTCCGCGAAAGGCACCCCATTCTGCATGTAATGATTAGCTACTTGAAATAAACCTTGGGTAAATAATACTTACGTCTCTCGCAAATGCCCACGCAATGCGTCCAGCAGTCACCCACTGAGATGGTAGACACGCTGAAAATTTTGTTAATTGCACGAGCTTTCAGGCTCGGAAGTCATAGAGTCACTCACAACTATAGATCACAAATAAGAGGATGAAGAGACCAAGAGTGACATTTCGGCTTCCAGTTCTGTCACCATGCAAGTTAGAAATGATACGTGGTCTGTAGTCAAGATGAGAACCCACACTTGATAGATTAACTCGAGACTTGGAAGCTTTGCGGTCCGCACGGCATCCATATCAACTTGAAAAACCATGAGAACAACAAAAAGAGAGAATGCAGTAAAAAGGCCAATGGACATAGTCAAGATCATGATTTGAGGAATTCGTTTTCCGGGCCTGGGCATCTCCTCGGAGATATGGATGACTTTTTGATGAGGTTAGCTTCGACCGCAAGATCTTCCAGAGAGAACCCACCGCCATCAATACCGCCAAACGCGTACATAGCATTACTGATACTGAGTAGCCATGATATGCCTGGACTCCAACCACTGTTTCCCAGGCCGTGCTCCACCAAAAAGGAAGTCGGCATCCGACTCTTGTGCATTACGAGTGAAACAATGAAAAATATGAGATAACCAGCCAGTGAAAGATAGAGAGATGCCTGGGCCATAGCGTGCATTTTGGCCGAGAAGAAAACCGGAATCACTGAAATAATTAGTTGCGACAAACTTGATTTTGAGTTCCAATTCCAAGGTTGAAAATTCAAGTTGAGAAGACCTACCGGTCATCGTGGAAACAGCCACATATATGCAATATGTTTGCCACTGATTTCCAGCATAGCTTGGATAACAAAAGGCCACAATACCGTTGAGCACTGCGGCGCCGAGCGAGACACCGGAGCATCTTAATAGATGTCAATGGATATGAGGGCAAGAAAAGGGGGGTAAAGAGTATATCATACGTCACAATCCACCAAGCGAGCATCGATATCCAACCAACAATATAAGCGGCGTAATTTCTTGTCTTTGCAGGGCTGAGAATGTAACAGAAATGGTATTGTCCTCCACTTGACTTTTTGCTGTTAGAATCTTAAATCTCTCTCGCTGTTGAGATTCCTACCGGATAGGCGGAAGCCAGCTCTCCTAGCCCGATGGCGACAACGCACTGAGTGAAAAACGCAACTAGTAGGCTAAAGATGCACATCTGTGGACCTCCATAGATCAATCCTTGACCGAAGCAACTCTACCAAGAGATTAGGGTGGGTTGGCCTCAAATTCAACCATTTTATAGCGTGGCTCACCAAATATCCAATCCAAGAATTCGTGATTGAAAACCCAAGACCAAGTGCTGAAAGCCAGTTGAATTGACGAGGCATGGCAGCTTCGTGGCCATTCGCCCGGAGAATCGCATCGTCGTCATCATCTTTCTTCATTAAAAATTCGTCCCCCAGAACACCATGCCTTGTGCTGGAAATATCAGGTAGGGTACCATCATATTTTGCTGATTTAGCAGGAAGGTGAGTCATTATTAATGTTTGGCTCGTCAAAAAAAAAAGAACATCCGGAGTCCTGTGTCTGCATCATCTGAAAGAAGACTCGGAGGGGGTAGAATCTCTTTATATAAATAACTTCGGCTGGGTCCTGTGTTTAGTTGTCTAGCCCCATGTCTAAGACATGAAGAGATATCGAAAAGCCTGCCATAGAGCACCTGGGCAATAACTCTGAAGAGGGGCCGTAGCAAGCCTACCCCGCATTGCAAACCTTACCGCGGAGCAGATAAGCCATCGATTGCGGAGGCAAGGATTCAACGGGTGGAGCAGCTGAGTACATTGCCGTGTTGGATCAAGATTGACCATACTGAATTGAGGCATGAACCCAGTTTTGGAACTTCGGATTGGGAACACATGCAAGTCTCAGTAATTGATCTCAGAGTATTTTAATTGTTACCTGATTTGCCATCCTCTAATCGAAGTTTATGTAGGCGAAGATAGTCGAGCTTGGAAAGCTGCGTACTAGTATTCGATGTCAAGTGAGTGTACATAAAAGGTTGAATGCATTGCCTCAATTGGAAATTCTTTCAACCCAAAGAGAAGATGGGATAAAATATCATTATATGTAACTAGTCGGCTGAATTAGGTTACTCAACAGATTAGCAAGGCATGATGGATGATGGATTGTGTGGGGGCGTCCGGATTCATGGCGATACGGGCAACGTGAACAATGCAACTCCATACTGTCCATGATAGAAAACGAAAGTGTCCGAAAGTGTAGCTGAATTAGGTTATAGAATCTTGAATTGAGTTGAATTGAATCGAAAACGAAAGAGATACGTGAGTGGAGCCACTGCCGAGATTAGAACTCCAATCGAAATAATATTTTTCCTCCATAGGAACGGCCATGTTTCTTGTTGTATTGCAGGCAAGAGGAGCTAGGTCATTGCATACCAGGTTTTGAATAGATCCCCCTTGCTGTCCAGTTCCATAGAAAGTGATTGAGAACGCGGACCGTATCTGAAGCGAAACAAAAAACAAGGGGTTGTTGAAGACTTGCCTTTTCACCAAGAATATTGGATTGGCTAATGATTAGGCTGACGGGGAAGCCTCAAGGCATGAAGCAGCACTTCGTGAATTCGCCTAAAAGCTGAAAATTGACCATCAATGGCCCATTCCTCGCTCTTGTAGACCACACGGCTGATGTGTACTATAATTAAAAGATGCCCAAAATGAGTAAAGGAACAAAACGCAAAAATTTCGATGTCTAAAAGAATGAGTCACAAATATAAACTTGGTCCTCACTTTTGAATCCCCACCTGAGCAATTTAACTTATTAGTAGTACCCGTTCATATTGATTGGCCGAATACCAACAACTGGTTCGAAGGTGATGTGCAGACCTTGAGATAAAACTAGCATATAAAGCGGCTTTGACGTAAACAGAGAACATCCACAAGAAGAATTTCATATTTCTCGGGGCAATGGAAAATATGGATGTGATGTTCTTCTGAGGGAGGACTTGATTATTTATTTGACCGGTGAGATTCAGCCATTGACTGACCCCATGTAGTATACCGGAAAGAAATATTGCATCATCGATCACAACTTTTGCCTAGTATTGCAGCCTGTGATTTCCTTCTGAATAACTTGCCCCCGCAAGCCTACTCCACTGCCAGTGGATTGTATTTTCTTTCTCGAAGCACACCCACTCCAGATGTTGTTGCGAATTGTCGGGCTCCGTATTATCTCAAACCCCTCGCATTTACTTTATATTTGTCTAGGCGGGGGCCTGCATTAATAATGGAGTTTTAGAGTGAGCCTCCAGAGCTGCACAGGATTTTATAGTTAGGGAACCTTCCGCGCTTCACCAAGTAGTTCTCTAGCACGATCTTACTAATCTAATTCCAAGTCCTTTGACTGTGCAATTTTATCTAAGCCAAAAGCTTTCAAAAATGCTTTTTTATCACTGGAAAGGAAGATAACCTAGACACATCCTTTAGATACAAGATATTGATGTGTAATGCCACTAAACAGCAAGTTATTTACAGTAGATTGCCCGCAATAATCAAAACTCGAAGCTTCTTCATACTGTAATGTCATTTGGAACTACAGCCGAGTCAACAGGTTAAACTTAGTATACCACAAGCCCTCAGGTTCATGCCTGATAGAAGGACTGGGAGCTATGCCAAATTGGGTAAATTTTCCAGCAGTCAACATCATGGTACCATGCCGCTCCCAGCAAGGAGCCTAGCAAAGCAAATCACATTTGGCGAAGATTAGTACGAAGTTTATTAAATGCTTCTGGTAAGTTATATTCCATTTCAAACTAACAAAATGCCTAATCTAATGAATTAAGCCCCACGGAGTTCTACAAAACTTTCCAAGCAGCACGTTTTCATCACGGCACGACTCTTCAACTTCTTAAAGTTTTATCCATGTCTCAAGAATCAAGGAGTTCAGCCACACACAATTTCGAGACATGCTATTCTAAAAGAGATGTCATCAACATGTCCCACGAGAAAATAAGCAAACTCGAAGCAGGATTCAGTGCGGAGGCCGTGGACGATCCTGAATATGTCAGAGATCCAACCAACGCAATTAAGTCTCCTACTTCAAGACTGGGAAACTTCATAGGCGGACAGTCCGTGAGAGAGAGTTTACAGAGGCTTCGGCTGTAAGTCCTGATTTATAAAGCACATTCAAATACTGGGTATTAACCTTTAAATATAATACATAGGCTACTACACACATCTGCGGGACAAGATTGCGTTTTAGCGAGCATCGAATATCTCGCTCACGCATTGCACTTTCTTATCGCAAATTGTCGATGGAGAATTACTACGTATGCAGTTCTAGGGCACCCGAAGAACTGGTGGAAAAGCTCCAACAGACGAGTGGTGCCTCGCCGCCTCGATGGTTTTACCAAACAACAATATCCCGCTCTTCTCAACCTCTCTTCTCTATTCAGCAGTGCGCGTCATACTTTGAGGCTGTTCGGTCTATTTTATATATGGACAGACATCCTTAAAGATCTCCAATATTCGAGCAAGAGCAGCCTCATAGATGGTATCAACATTATCCAGGTTATCACAATGACGTCATATCAACTTCTCGAAAACTTTGGCCATCTCGCATCGAACAAGATTATATCGTTAGAAGCGATTGGAGCAAAAGTCAAGATCCGAAAACTCTACATCTGGGCCGCGCGGGCATTATTCTTACATCTTATACTTGAGCTGATGAAGCTGAGCAAGGAAGCCTGGCTCGCTAGTGCAGGAGGCCGGAGTCGGATGCCACCCGACGAGAAAGATACCGGATCAAAGTGCGGAGAGCCAGATTTGACGGTAATTCCTGAAAATGGGGATACTCAAGATTGGAGAAAAAGATTTTGGGCGAGCTCGGCTTGGGGACTTTTGTGTTTGTATTGGAGCTGCGAGCAGACAATTCCGCTCGTGGAGGATATGGCTGGTGGTCTAAGCTTTTTGGCCGACTTGTTTACCTTGAGAGATAAATGGATACGAACTGCCCAGTAGATAATACCTCTATTTGGGCGTTCTAAAGACTGATGTCTCATAAATAGCTAGTACGTAGAAATAAATGTTTCAGGGAAGTAGAATTACTGGATTTTCATAGTATTCTTTCTGAAAAAAGAATACGTGAAATATGAAGCACAAATATGTATAACCTTGGAATACTTGGATTTCTTTATGGATCTTTTGTGAGATAATACATACTACAACTAGTATACATTGGTGTAGCCTGACAACTGGTAATCTTCCGAATCCCATACAACAGCCAGGGGTGGGAAATAATTAGTTAAATCTGGGACATATGTACTATGGGCGGGCAGCAGGACCCACTCCGAGACAGTGAGCGGCAATAAGATGCCGAATTAGGAAACTCGGCCAGCAGTGCCTCATTTGGTTAATCATCCAACCACCTGCAGCTGCAACGTTGGCTACCGCTGGAATTTGAGTTCGATTGACAGCTAGTTAGGGAGATACGAATGCTACATATGAGGGACCCCTAACCTTTCAATTTCGTTATTGGCTCATCTGAAATGCCGAAAGAGCTGTGCCGGTTAGCCTTGAGGACCCATTCCCAAGCCACTCCGCGAGATTCAAATTTGAGATCGTAACATTTTCCAAATCTACGTTTTTACTCATTGGGCCCTTATCTTTATCTACCAAGTTACCATTCCACTCAATAGACATCAAAAATCAACATGTCGAGAATCGAATACTTCCAGGCCCCAGGCCGGCTAGGCGAGATATTTGAGGCTGGGGGTACCTCAAACGTTGTGAAAGTCCCCTTGTGTGGCAGTCTTATCGTCACAGGAGGTCAGCCCGGTTTTGATCTCGAGCGCGGAGAATTGGTGACCGGTTCACTAGAGGACGAAGCTGATGCGTGTTTCAATTGTGTTGACGCGGCGCTGAAATCCGCCGGAGTCACCGGTGGACTTGCGCAAGCACACAGATTCACTTGCTTTCTCAGCGACATGCGCTACGAAGCCACTATTATGAAAGTTTGGCGAAAACGGATGCCCAACCATAAAATACCCTGGATCACTATCGGCGTTTCCATGTTGGCAATCCCAGCTATGAGGGTTGAAATTGCTGCCGAGGCTCTTACAGATGACTACTAGTAGTCTTATCACACTGAGACACCGAGAATGGACTACTAGTATGCTGCCACAGCAGACTCGAAGAAAAAATACTTAGGGCTTGTCTACTAGGTATATATTACGTTGGATCTTCATCTGAATGGATCCCTGCTTCTTTCTAACTGTCTCAAAAATATTCATTACTACTCAATACTCGTACTGTCACAAAGCATCAAAAAATGGGACACAAATTTTCAAACCCATACTAGTACTCCATAAAGACTTGAAGAATTAGTATTAGAACGAAATTATGTTTAAGAGAGCTATTAGCTAGGCATTCTGTATTATCAATAATGGTTTTTGTAGGATTAGAGTTGGAGGGCTACTACTAGTACTGCCTTCGATCGATCTCCAAATCAAAAATGGAAGTTTTGCCAGCAGACGTTTTTGACTAGACTTTTAAGCCAACGCCTTTCTTTCAAGTGTGGATCTGATGATCGAATACTAGTATATTTTCAAGTTCTCTCGGCACTCCTGACCTCGGCGAGAGCTGAGAATATAAATTAGCTGTAAGATTCCGAGGTGGACTCGTCTCCAGCTTTTGTGACAAACTTTCTGTCCACGATTCGTCAATATAACCATGGTAGAAAGAACAAAGACAACGATGGAGCCCCCAATCCTACCTCTGCCCCCCCTACGACCCTGAGATCATCGCAGTGGATGATACACAGCACCGCCCAGTACCGAGAGGCTTCGACGAGCTGAAGGAAATCCGGAAAGGAGAAGAAGATTGCAGTCAAGAATTCTTCGACGACCCTGATCTGACCATCAATGATCACATCATCCCTATTTCAGAAAGATATCTAACAGCCATAAGCTTATCGCTTCGTCAACCCTCCGATGCGAAGAAGGCTCGACCGGGAATCCTTTTCTTCCACGGCGGGGGTAGAGTTATGGGGAACGTTTTCACCGGTCTCAACAGTCTTACTGAAGCAGTTAAGAGACTCGATGCTATTGTCATAAGCATCAATTACCCCCTGTCGCCTGATTACCCCGGGATGGACGTCGTGGAAGATTGCTATAAGTCACTGGCGTGGCTCTCTCAGCACCTCGACGTTTTCAGGATTAACCCAAGGCAGTTCATGATTTCTGGGGTATCAGCTGGTGCCGGTCTTGCTGCGGGGACAGTCCTCATCGCAAGGGATCGCAAAGGGCCCCAAGTCTGCGCCCAGCTGCTGATGTGCCCGATGCTTGATGATCGATGCAACACTCTGTCGTGCTTGCAATTTGAAAATGGACGTGGATTTTACACAACATGGGACCGTTATGCCTGGTCTTGCATCCTCGGATGTGAGGCCGGCCAAGATGGTGTCAGTCCCTATGTTGCGCCTGCCCGCGCGACGGATTTGTCGGGTCTTCCTATTGCATACATTGATGCAGCATCCGGAGAGCCCTTTCGTGACGAAGATATTGCATATGCCACCAAACTATGGGAGTGTGGTGTACAAGCGCACTTGCACATCTGGGGTGGCGGGTGCCATGGTTTCGATCTATTTTACAAGAGTCAACTTGGTCGCCAGGCATGCGCGACACGTACCAAGTGGCTAATAGAATTTCTTCAATCTCAAAGATAAGTGAGGAGCATCTCATTTCCGAAACAGACTGGGAGACATTCAAGCACTCTGTGTATTTAGAGCATTGCAGAATGCGTTCAAGTGGCATTTACTAATTCATAAATCCCCTCATCGTTGATATCGCTCTAACATTACCTCCAATTTCGCTAGAGTGATTTGAGGTGTCTTTAAAACGTGATATGAAGCAGAACCAACAACTTCACTATATATAAAGATAGCAGGGAAAGCCGTTTAGACATATGGCTCAGTAATTCCAAATTGGTCTAAATCAGTCTCCCTCTTTGTTCTAGATCATCACCACACACACGATACAAACCTTTTCATCATCATCTTTCTCTTCCATGATTTCATTTCAGGTACATCATCAAATATTAACACGTTGGGATCAGAGCCAGAATATTGGATAGGATATCAGTGTTTTCGCTCAAGTCGAATGAGTCAGCTGGCCCAGAGAAGAAAATTGAAAGCAAGAGCATAGTCCGGGTATTTGGGCAACAATGATCGTCGAAAGTGATTAATACGCTAGTTTGAGTGACCAAAAGCCTTGGGTCCTCTGGTTCCGGCATCTACCTCTCTATCTAGATCTCTCTCGAGGTCATTTGTACAGAAACAATTCACCTGGGCATATTCAGAGATCCTACTCGCATACATTTTTGTCTCCAGATCCGCTGATTATACAAGCACACAGTAATACACCTTTCATTAGTACATTGATAAGTGAAAAGGATTACTAGAACTCGATATCGAACATCTGCCATCTTCCCAAAAACATTATGGTTTAATATACTGAAATTCCGGAGCTAAGAGGTAAATTTGAATTTCATATGCGAGAAGGGCGAGTGGAGCAGCACGAAGAATCATTTTGGTGGAGCGTGGATTTATTTTCGTTTTGGTTGGATCGTGGCACGTCGTTGGATGGGTTAATATCGAAGAAGTTAACGGGCTTCAGTGACACCATCATCTTCTCAGTGGGCATCACAGGAAAATCTAAGAAAGCTCAAGTCAGCTGAAGTTAAGCAGGGAAAAGAAATTCTTTATCAGTGATACATACCTTCCGTTCGAGTGATATGTGTAACACCAAAGCTATGCCAGAGCACGACATCTTCATTCTTAATATTCTCGTCACGAGCAGCCCATTTGGCCAATCCAGTGTCCTCTCTGCTTTGATTAGTAAACTCGCCCGAGGCCCAGAGCTCATGATCTCGGTATTTGGTGACCCAGATAGGCTTAGTAGTGAAGATACCGCGCTTGAGGTTGAATGTCGAAGGTCCCATCATTAACATTTGACTGGGAACGGGATGTAACTTGTAGCCGACGGGCTGGTTTGCAATGCAGTTGAGCTTAGACTCGTTCAAGATCTTAAAGGTGCGGTTCTGGGTCAGGTCAAGGTTGTATCCGCCAGGTTTTTGAATTGTTGTTTGCTTGACCTTGAATGCACATCCAAACGGGTCAAGTTGGGGCTCGTTTTCCACGGGAATGCAGTCGTCATAAACGACGGTGTTGGTGCGCCCATCGAGTGAAGGGTTGATACGAAGACAAAAGAGATGCTGGTGATTGACTGCTAGCACACCGGGGGCCACAGTTGTGCCCCAAGGAACGTGAACTCCCTTATTGATTGGCATTGTAGAAACGATACCTGTGGCACGGACATCAACATGTAGACTGGCCGCCTGGTCGAGAACGAAAGCAAGGATATACTCGTAGTTTGCGACGGTGGCAGTGCACTGAACAACGAGCTGGCGGTCGCGCACAACGGAAGACTTCCCATTGCGGAAGTTAGTGTGCTTCCAGCCAATTCCGTCATCAACTTCGTGCATGCAGACAACGTTGGGCATGATAACAGGATCACCGCTACTTGTAACGCGGATGCCGTTGAAGTAGGCAATGTGGCCAAGACAGTCACAGCCCAAGCTTAGGGAGTTGGAGGTGAGACCGAATCCAGAATCCCCCCAAGTCGAATGCTTGTTTGCGATGATAGGGCGAGCGGGGATCGCCATATGGAACGGTCATCTCACTCATGGAGACACGGTAGAATAGAGAACGTCCGTCATAACGAACATCGTGAAGAACAGGCCCTTCACGCATGTTCCATCCGAGCTGAAAAGACCACTTCTGCCACTTAATATGGCGTTCTTGTATGGTAAAAGAAGGCCCATGTGGTTGAACCACCTGTAGAGGTTTGACGTCCTTGCGGAAATAATCAGGACCCATGAGATCGGCGCTATATTCTACGGCGCTGGTAGGATCCCAGGGCCGGGTTTCCTCATCAATTTCATCAGAGGCACCGGTAGGCAGTCGCTGTAGGTCGATCAGCTCCAGAGTATGGCCGTCGAAAATAGGAGCGAAAGGTAGAGGAATGGAGTAGTGGTTGGCCTGGGGGTCATCGTTCAGGGCAAGATACATGTAACACTGGAAGAGACGGCGGCGCTCGTTATGGTCATCGGTTCCAAAACTCCACGGGTCATTCTCAATGCGGGAACTGAAGTATCTGTCAGTCAGTGAGCTTGCTGGTGTTTGAGAGGAGAAGTGCTTGCCCGACGGGGAGCTTCAACTTGGCCACCTCCTCGAGGACCTTCGGGTGTGATAAGCAGGCCTTGTGAATTAAATCGTACTCGACCCAATCGACAGGGCCTTGAGAGTTGGGTGCATCGTAGCTATTTTCAACCACTCCCTTGGTAATGTTGACAATAGCAACCGTAAGAACAGGGTTCTTCAATCGGTGAAAGTAGGCGCGGGATCGGCGATCGGGGGCCGGGGCGCCGTGGTGAATGTACTTCAGAGTCTCATTCTTGGAGGGCTCGTAAAGATCAATGACCTTGAAACGAACATCTTTGGTCGTGACATTTAGGTATTGCAAGATGGCCGTAGACGCGGCTTTGATCTCACCCGCGTGCAATGGGTCAAGAGGGTGAGGGGTGGGGGTGGATGCGGGGAGATACATGATAGCGAGAATTTCACAGGTCTGGCCTTTGGAGGAAGTAGATATAGACTTGTCGCAGATATTCCTTCGGGCATACAGATTCAATGGATTTCCCCATGAGACTTATATAGCATTTCGGATTGCTCTCGAGCTACAGTAGTCTTGAGTGTCAACCTTCGGACAACCTCCCAAAATTCCGGATCGGGAAGTAATGCCAGCATCTCCGCATACAAGTTTTGGTTAACAGCCGCCACTTGATTGCCTCGCGTATATTTATCCAGAAAGAGTAATGTCTGAGGAGGTCTGAATCGTGGGGAAACTCTGAGTTAGTTGGTATTTCTGTTTCATGTGGCGCTGCCAAATTGGGTAATATTCCCAACCACGAGGAACGTCGAGAGCCTTGGCAGTGAAACAACAAGCCCCGCTAAGCTAGATTATTCCGTACACTAAATAACTGTTTTACCGCAATATCAAACACAATTTTCCATTCGCAGTCAAAAGATAGAAGCGGAGAAACCGATGTAGCCTATCACTTTAGTAGCTTGCGTTCATTCCAGGTTGGAATTTTGCAGTAGATAGCTGGGGAATTCCATTGAAGAGTCATTCTGAGGCATGGTAACTCTTCTTGGATATAATGATTGAATAGCATCAAGATTTGCTCCATTGATCTGATCTACGTCACGTCATGTAGCCTGCCACGCAAAGTCCACGCACGAGGTTAGAGAGGTGAGCCACAATGTTCTGGGTAGCGAGAGAACGCTTTTCATTTGTGAGAAGTACGTTCAAGTTTGACAATTCGGTGAAGGAGTTAGTTGAGTAAATTTCTCCATGAGGAAACCTTCTCAGCCTGGTTCCTCCCACCCCCTCGCAGGTTGGCCAATTTCAGCCTTTTTAAATGGTAAAAACTCCATGTCGTTTACAGGAACTAAATCTTGATTTCAACCTCGTTATCATTCAAAAGGCTTCAGATACATCAATTTTCTCATTTTCTCATACCTGAGGTTTTCTGGCCACCATGTCTTACCACGCTGAGCTCTCCCACGACGGTTACACCTACACCAAGCAAGACGGCTTGGTTCAGGGTCTTCGGACGTACGGTTTTATACACCCGCAGACCAAGATAGCTGACACTGATGCTGGTAAAATATGGGACGCCATTGTAATTGGCGCTGGATACACTGGTCTAATTGCCGCCCGCGATCTTGTCAAGGCCGGTAAGTTGTCTGCGACTCGATTCGAGACGCGCTCCAACCGGAAATTCTGAGGCATACTAACCCAATGCCAAATAGGCAAGAAGACTCTTCTATTAGAAGCTCGTGACCGTATCGGTGGTCGTACCTGGTCCGCAGAGGTCGACGGGACAACATATGAGATGGGTGGAACCTGGGTTTCGCACGTCCACGGTCGTCTCTTTGCTGAGATGCAGCGCTACGGTCTTCAGGACCATGTGCAAATGACCCGCACCGATGATGGAGGCTGTTCATACTTCACTCTCGATACTGGCACCGGTTCTCGAAAGCTATCCCTTGAAAGCGCTGGCGAGATGACCCAGAGGGCCTGGAAGCTCTTCATGAACTATGACGGTCTCGATGGTAGAAAACTATGTCCTCTTCCCTACTCCACCCTCGGCAACTCCCGTGTCTCCTTTGAGCAGGTCCAGGCTGTAGACCAGATGTCCTGTCGTGATCGCATCGACCAGATAAAAGATCAGCTATCCGCTGATGAGCTCGCTCTCTTGGAATCTTTAGTGCCTCACATGTGCGCCGGCTCCGTCGAGGATGTCGGTTATCTTGAAATGCTCCGCGCTCAGGCTCTTCAAGGATTCAGTCCTGAAACATTCGAGGAAGTCTGGACTCTCTATAAGATCCGCGACGGCCAATCCGCCCTTGCTCGTCGTATATTCGACGATGCTGTTCGTCTCGGCCTGCGATTTTCTTTCAAGACGCCGATCAAATCTATTGTTGACCGCCATGGTGTTGTTTCTGTTGGAACCACTGCTGCGAAGGAATTCCGTGCTCGTCGTGTTGTGAACACTATCCCTCTTACCGTTCTACACACCATCCACTTTGATCCTCCCCTTTCACCACTTCGTCAAGAGGCCATGCGCATTGGCCATTTAAACCACTTGACCAAGATCCACGCTGAGGTAGAGGGAGATCTACGCGGCCTCCGTGGCTGCACATGGCCTGGTGATCTTCTTTATGTATATGGTGATGGCTTCTGTGCTGGTAATCAGTCCACCCGTATCACTTCCTTCGCTGGTGACAACCGAGGCAAGCTTGACCCTATCAAAGAACCCGAGCGTCTTGAAACCGCTCTACAGCGCTTCCACCCCATGAAAATTAAGAAGGTTGTTTTTCATGACTGGCTATCCGATCCTTACGCTCAGGCTGGTCCCGCGTGGTACCGCACTGGCTTCCTCACTAAGTATCTAGCTGAGTTGCAGAAGCGCCACGGAAATGTGCTCATGGCTAACGCCGATTGGGCCTGTGGCTGGCGCGCCTTCATCGAGGGTGCTATGGAGCAGGGTGCATTGGCTGCTGACACTGTTATGAATGAAATTGGAATTCTTGGTGCTAACTCACCCACTGATCCTGAGCGTGAGGCTCGCCTGTGAGTTCTATGTTCCAAGGCTACGCAGATACTTGAATAGTCTTCGGGGTTGTGGTCGGACAGCAGTTTGCACAATATTTCGGTCCATGTCTTAATTACTTGAAGTTGAGAACACCATATGGCCTGTTCACATAATTCAACCTGGAAGTTATACTACAGGTGAACTGGTAGTAACAAACTGTTTTAACGTGGATATTAATATCAATCCCCTTTCCAAAATTTCTCGCATGCAAATATTCAATTTCAATTCTGGTCAAAAATCATTTACTACCTGGTTTTGGCTAATTCTGTGGTTAAATAGCATAGTGCCCCAAGTCTTCCAACCTTGGAAGGTTGCATCGGACCGAAGAGCTTTGATCGATTGTGAATGCCAAAGACAGAAATGTTGATCTGCAGATACACCTCACTGTGGATATCATTCTTTTCACTACCAGCCCTGGAATATTCACCCTGAAGTATATATCCATAACAGATTTGCAGATTCAATCTCCCGAAAGCTCTATGAGAGTTAATATCTTCTTATGTTCCTTCCACATAAGCCCTGTGGATATCCTGATTTGAATCTTCATATTTCGTTAAATTTCTCAACGATTATTCTAGGACTAATTTAATTGTAGAGGCCACCATTCGCCGACAAAACGGAACCAGTTGTCCACTTAGAATCTTCAGTGCACAAGAAAGCAACCAGGGGAGCGATATCTTCAACCTCGCCCACACGAGGAGCAGCCGGGGTAGCCTCGATCATAGGCTGCATGTCTTTCAGGAACTGCTCGTCACTCTGGAACCATTGGTCTAGAATACCTGATTAGCTGTGACTCACAAATCTGGACAAACTTTGCGTTCTTTTATCTTACCAGTAGCAACGGGGCCAGGGTTGACGCAGTTCACAGTGATACCGTGGGAGTGACCGAGCTCTTTTGCCCACACGCGAACCAATGCTTCATTGGCAGCCTTGGTTGCTGCATATACAGTCTGACCAGCAACTCCAAGACGGGCAGCAGCTGATGAAATGAAAACAATACGGCCACCCCGGGGAAGATAAGGGAGAGCGGCCTGAGTGAGAAAGATAGGGCCGCGGACGTTGCAGTCGAAGTGAGAGTTGTACATTTCCACGTCAACATCCTTCAAGTCGGCTTCATTGCCAAGCGCTGCACTGATTATCTGTCAGTGACCTGCAAGCTCTCCGGTCCAGGAATATAATTTACTTATGAATAAGAATATCAATCTTTCCATCCTTACTAATCTGCAAGGCCGCTTCGACAAGGCGGGGACTATCCAGGATATTAATCAGACTAGCTTGGCATAGGATTGCCTTTGTTCCAATTTTCTGAATTTGCTTGACAACCTCCTCTGCGCGCTCTTGGCTGTCCTCGGAGACATAGTTGACAACAACGTTGGCACCACGTTTAGCGAGCTGGAGGGCAATACCGGCACCGATGCCCCTAGACCACCATTCGTCAATTTTAATAAGTGTAGTTGAATAACCATAGTGGTAAATACCGGGAGGAACCAGTGACGACGGCAGTTTTTCCTTCAAGAGAAACACCAGAGAAGTCAACCATTTTAGCAGTTTTGAATTTAACCTCAGACAGAAGTCGAAAAGATGATAGAGAGGTAAGGCAATTTAGAAACAAAGATCCAAAAATTGCTTTTTAAGTAGTTCCTGGGACTCATCAATGTCCTCAGTAAGCGTTAAAATGCTCTCCCAGAACACATCGAGAGGGGTTGGCCATCATACCATATGGGGATTATTACCTAGCTGGGAAGGTCACCCAGCAACGGATCGACAACAGGTACCAACGCTCCTCCTGCATATCCACGGGGCTGTCCAGTTCCTAACTAACCGTGGTAAGGAAACTTGCAATCTGTAGCGGGGTAAGAGAAAAGACTATACCCGAGAACTATGAAGCGATCAGAGATTAGGCAGGATGCCATCACCCTGTGGGCCGGTAGGTCCACCAGTGTCATCACAATTGCTTTACAACAACTCGGCATTAGGTTTACATCTTACTCGGGCTATAGCGTCTGTATAATTCCTGGTCAACAAGTATAATACAGTCTGATCCTGCACGTTAATAAGTATCTCCCTTCTTGGATTTTACGCGTTAGCTTCAATAGCAAGGGTATCCCAAATCGAGCGTCAGCATTACGTTGAAATTCCCGGCTTTTCATTTGATTTACCAAGTAACTGAGTCTCATTTTCGGTGATAATAGTATAATAGATACTAACAGATCAAAATCAAATTCTCAATAGCGTATCATCTACTTATTAAGCCCATCATCAACCTTAAGGCATAATGAGTTGGCCCGCCCTTCCTAATCAGCAATCTGTAGCCACGTAACCTCTTGAAAACACTCGGGAACGACAAAAAGAATGAACCTGCTGACATTGTTCAAGCTATTCTTCGTAACTCTCGCTTTTCGAATTGATCCAAGGATGATTCAGGTCTATCTGTGTCAATTGTCAATTGTCCATTTCAGATTATAAAGTACTATATTTCATACCAGTATAGTATTGACCTCTTACCAGTGTCTCTTTCTCCGCAATCCAGATCAAAGATTTCCTGCTTTTTCAATTTTTTTCCTCGGGGCGATATCTCCTTCTCGTAGAAATATTGAGGGAAAGAAAATCCTTTCATGATAGACGACAAGCGGTGTTCCTTCTTCGACTTGGGCGAATGTCTTTGCCAGTGGGCGACATGAATATCACCACAGAGTAGTGAAGCAATAAAATTCATTTTGCTGGTCGTTGCCCAATGTTGTTGCAATGTGAACTTTCAATTTGGAAGGCATGGAACGAAACTCTCAAAATTATTTATCAGCCTCAGACTTTTCTCTTACAAGGAAGAGAAAAAACGTAGATACTTAAAGAATACCCAGGATACTTCAGTCTTATATGTAGTAAAGAACCGCTAAGTCAATTTCTAACAATATCCGACTAGAGGAAACACTGGCAGCTTGAATGGGTAAAGCGGGCCCCGTGGACCGGAAGTTTTAATTTAGGTTCGATTTATTTCAAGTGCTGTTTAAAATTACTAAATATCGAATCTATCAAATCAGCTGCGAGTGCGGGTATTTCCGAGTTGGGACAACTGCCTCTTTAGGCATGCATCGCAGCAATCGTAACGCGACACCTAACTACCCCTCATACCACGAACGGGATATTTTGAGTTGGAGAGCCAATTTAGATTGGGGCTGTTTCAGCAGCGCCGGTGGGATGGGAGCATAGTTATGACTAGCATACTTTTGCTTCTTCACTTAAAGTCTTGAATGAATTCGAAATTTTATGTCTGCCGTTTATATGTACGTTTCTATTTCATGATTCAGATACGCGTCTAGAGATTCATCGCGATTTGAGCTGCAACAGTTCCAATCCCACTCCTCCGATTAACAACCGAGTCTCCGCCGACGCGGGATCCCGAAGAAGCCCAATAGAGGAAATATCGGCAACAGAGCTGTATCGATCTAACAAAAGATCAATCTTGATCCCCGTCGTACCATCTTGAGCGGGATCGATAGCGATTGACCAGATTTTGACCCTGTGGTCGTTGCCGGAGGTTGCGACCGTCAGGGTTGTTGTTTCGGGTCCAGAGTTGGAAGTCTGGCTCTTCTTGCGTTCGATGATTTGAAGAGTTGTTACCGAAGCCGCGTGGGCGTCCGGGATTGAAACCGTCACTACTTGCGCATTTTGGCAAGGGTTTGTAGGCGATGTCTTCAATAAAGACACTGTCAGCGAGTTGTCGTCGCTTCCAGTCAACAAGGCGTTGACGTTGTCGAATATTTGCACCAGCTCCATTGCCTTGATGCTATTGGAGGTGATCTGGTAACGGTTCTCGCAAGTAATGCTCTCGGGTGAGATCTGAGAGCCATCAAGGGGGTTCTTGAGTTTCAGTTCTGACGAGCTGATTGTATAGAAAGGTTCGAGAGTGCTGGTCAAGTCCCAGAGAGTGAAATAGCCATCGGTCGCTGCAGTGACCAGACTGACTGAAGAGTCTTTTGTCACAAATTTGGCTTGGGTCAGACAGTTCGTCATGTATTTCCCTTGGGCCAATAGGGTGAAGCGGCCACCTTGACTCGGGGAAAAGTGGAATATCTGTTAGTTTGTTAGCAAAATCCTAGATGGCCCTTTGGCAATTTACATACCCTCATTTTTGAGTTGGAAAGCGTCAAGCAAATCAGGTATCCCTCAGAGCCGGATTCTCCCACTTCCACAGTGTCAAAACTAGTGACGCGGAGCTCCGAGTCTACCTCGGATGTTGGGCAGGTAGCAATTAGGATAGCCGTGGTGCCGAAAGAAGGGAGCGATCCAACCTTCCAGACGAACAAGTCCTCATACCCAGCGCTAGTGAAGAGATACTGCCCATTCTTGGACCAGGTGACTTGCTGGACTCCACTTTTATGTTCCTTAAGAATCAAATGAGTTTGGAAAGATCCCCAGGGCGCTTTATCCGCATCATTAGATGGTGACATTATACGCAAGGTAGTGTCCTCTGCCCCTGTAGCGAAGAGCGCTGGTCTTCCCTCGACGGCATTTCGGCAATCCAGTGATTTGATTTCTCGCCCATGAACGCCAGCTCGAACAGATCGTTTGCGATTCATTTGGATGCGGACGGGCAGTATCTGAGCGCCTTCTTGGAACATGAAAAGAGCTTCGCCGCTGCCCTTGGTGCCGGGGTGAAAGGTCCAAGTACGACGAAACCCACCTGAAGGAATATGATCAATATCAGCCTGTTTAGATTCGTTTCGGAGGACAAATGTTTGTCCCCTGAATCCATATATCATAAGATCCCCATTGTCTTCATCAAAATACACTCCCTGCAAGTGAGTGCCCAGTGCTGAGGAAGTTCGGTGCAGAGTTTCAAAGGATAATTCTTCGTGGCCGTTTCCGTTGGCCTTGATCTCGTGGACACAATAATTGCCATCACGTCCACATGTTAGAATGAATTGAGAGGATTGGCTTTGCTGTCCACTTGTGGTTGGCAATGCCTGGATATGGTGAGTACCTTCCTTGCCATGTGCACGCCGATCTAGCATAAGAGGTTCCGAAGACATGGTAAGGCCCGACACTCGGTATATCGCCAATCCGCCAATTTTAGATCCAATTACCAGATATTGACCATCGCGGGTTAGCCCCGCAGAAGATATTTCAAATGGTTTCTTTGGTAGGGAAAACGTGGTGGCTTCAATTCGTGGGCTAGCACCTTCCCACTCACTCACAGTCACCATTGTCGCCTTGTCGTCTTTGAGATAGGTCGCAATAAATGAAAATGATCCAGGTTGCACAAAAGGCTCAAGGAAAAAAAAGACCAGAGCCCGCTCGCCGAGATCAATCAACTCGTGGAATGATTTCGTGCTATGGTTGTACAGTCGAACAAGACCTTTGGAATTGCCAATCAAAGCCAGTCCAAGTTCAGGTGATCCTGCCATTGTTGCAAACTTGGAGAGATCTTCCAGGACAGAAAGCTGCTCCCAGCTGATTTCAGCGTACTCTTCGGGTCCCAAATGCCCGAGCTGGAGTTCGCTGCGCACCGAGCAAGCAAGGAAACAGTCAGGTGCCACCAAAGCAAAACATTTAGGGCCATGAAGTCTTGCTAGTTTCAAATTCACTGGAGGATCAGGTTTCTTTGGATAGTTAATTTCCTGAATGCGATAGCTTTTCAATGCGCCATCAGCTCCTCCAGTAAACACCACAGTTTCTTCCCCTCGGCTGCAAAGATCCATGGACCAGATGTGTTTGCCAGCATGAGAGTGCATCGAGGATGTCTGCTGAAGTTGATATTTTGTACTAGCAGGTGATGAAGTCTCCCAGGTCAGATCCCATTGCACAGAAGTAGAGTCCTCGCCGCGAGTTACCAGTCCCAATTTGTTCGGGTAGTCCTCCCTCATTGATCGGAATTTCACGGCCCAGATGCGAGCCGTATGGCCATACGCCTGTGCAACGCACGATTCCGATCCAAGCTCAGAATGCTCTGTGGCGGTGCTTCCAAATCCGGTACTTCGAAGCTCGAATCCATCGGTGGAGTACGCGGAGTGATCCTCGACTGATTTGTTTTCGCAGTCCGATATATCCCAAATGCGCATCGTCCGATCATCACTGCAGCTTGCTAAGAGACGACCGGGTTGGCCATTGTTCAAAGATTGGATCTTGGGCGATATACGCACGCCGTATATCGATCCTTCATGTCCTGTGAAGAAGTGATGAATGGATCCAATTGCTTCTGGTTTAGATGAATCATTGTCATTGATAAAGCAAGACCAGACAATTATCTCTCCAAAGGCGGTACCGGAGACGATCAGGATATGGGAGGATGATAGCGCCACCAAATCTCCAGTATATAGAATGGATTTGACGCTTGTTGTCAATTGACGCAAGCAAATCGATGCATCATAATGACCAGAAGAAGTATTTGATGAGAGCTTCAAGCCTAGAAGAGCATTGTTTGCAGTCATAAGATATACCGAATTAGATCCACCTGGGACTGCTGCACATCCATTCAAGATCCAGTCAGGAGCAAGAAACTCAGCGGTGGCTGCGGATAGTGCAATGGCTTCATTGGGATATTCTCCAGTGGGATCTTTGCTGTAAACAAGTTCAACAGCTCGAACTGATGAGCTACCCCAGATAATCACCTGAACACGATTATCTTCAGCCTGTGGCAGGGGAACGAAACCATGAACATTGTTTCTCTTGAAGCCTTGGATTTGAGCAACAACATCTCCAGTCTGGTCATCAATCACCCGGAAAAATGGACCTTGTCCTTGAAAAACAAAAAGTTTGTCACCCCATTCAAAAGTTTTCAGGGCTGTAATTGGGACACAGGCATCCACATGCTGCGATTAGAGTCAGTGGAACAATTTCATGTAGAAGGAATGTTGCCGAGGGGCATGCAAACCTCAAGAGACGTCGACATTCCCATTAGCTCCGACATATTTCCTGCATAAAGCACATGAAGTATCAAATATAGATTCTTTCTTCGTTCAACGTGATCAATGCCAGCCCACCAAACATGAAGGCGCCTTCAAAATTGCTGCCCTCCCAGAAAATATTATGTCATCCCCCGTTTGTCCCGCACTAGACCCAAAGTGGTCATATTGTCCACGTGACTCCGCGCCGGTCCAGCCCAGGCGGCTCCATCGGTGCCGTCATCGCGCGGACCCATCGATCCTGAGATCCATGACTCTCACCTCAACAAGCTTCCACCTCTCGCCCCTGTCGTGGTCAGCCGCTCGGTTCGGGATCGAATGACTCTCTACCCTGAACAACAATGGGTGTCACCGGTCTTTGGACCGTAGTGCAGCCTTGCGCTCGACCCATCAAACTCGAAACTCTCAATAAGAAGCGCCTAGCCGTCGACGCGTCCATTTGGATATACCAGTTCCTCAAGGCAGTACGTGACAAGGAGGGAAATGCACTGCGCAATTCACATGTCGTCGGTTTCTTCCGCCGCATATGCAAACTATTATATTTCGGAATTCGACCCGTCTTCGTCTTCGATGGTGGTGCCCCGGTCCTGAAAACGACAAACCATCGCGGGCAGAAAGAAGAGACGGGAAGGTCGCCGAGAAGATGCGACGCGGACGGCAGGCAAGCTGCTCGCTGTGCAGATGCAGCGTAGCGCCGAGGAAGAAGCCGAAACGCGACGTCGAGAAAAGAAACGTCAACAAGAAGAAGAGGTCACCGAAGCACCTGTTTACGTAGATGAAGCCATGATGGACGAAAAGGAAAAACAACAGACTCGAAAGTTCAAGAAAAAAGACGCTTATCGTCTACCGAATCTTGATGTGTCCTTGGAAGATATGGGTGCTCCGAATGACCCCCGCATCATGTCTCAGGAAGAGCTGGAGGAATATGCCCGGCAATTCCATCAGGGTCAGGATATCAATCTCTACGATTTCTCCAAGATCGACTTTGATAGTCAATTTTTTCTTAGTCTACCGGCTACCGATCGTTATAATATCTTGAACGCGGCACGACTTCGGAGTCGACTACGAATGGGTTATTCGAAAGAGCAGCTTGATACCATGTTTCCGAACCGCATGGACTTCTCGAGATTTCAAATTGACAGAGTAAAAGAGCGCAACGACTTGACGCAGCGATTAATGAATATTAATGGGATGAATGGCGAAGAGGCATTCTACAACTCTGGTGGCCAAAGAATTGCCGGAGAGCGTGGCAGGGAATATGTTCTCGTCAAGGATAGTCAGCACGAAGGTGGTTGGGTGCTGGGCGTTGTGGGGAACAAGAATGAAGGCTATGAGGATCAGCCCATTGATGTTGATCGATACGGCCAACCGGAGTTTCTCTCGGGATCCGAGGACGTGTCGGACGAAGATGAGTTCGAGGATGTCCCGATTGAAGGTCTCAACAGGCTTCCCAAACTTCCATTCTTACAAGAAGGTGCCTTTGATCAGTCTCTTGAGCAAGCACAGGAAGACGCTCACATGCAAAAAGCACTATGGGAATCACGCCAGTCTGCGGCCAAACGAGCACAAGCCGAGGCCGAAGATGACGCTCTCTTTGTCCAGGGTGAAGATAACGTCCTCCCACAATCGGACACTGGATTGTTCGATGAGGAGGAGGATGAACTGAATAAGGCAATCGCACTATCGCTGCAGCCGGATGGGGAACTCGATGAAGATATGCCTGACATTCCTATCAATCGACCGACCATCTCGACAGCTCCTCCTGTGCCTATCATGGACATGCCGATTGAAAGCGACGATGATGACGATGGAATGGATTTCGCAGCCGCCATCGCGCAAACGAAGCTTGTCAAGGACAAGCCTCGTCCGCGTGTAGAAAACCCATTCAGTGGCCCTCTCCCGTTCGAGTCTATTCAGCTAAACAAGGCCCCCCAGCCAGCCAAGCAAGCAAAGCCTGATGAAAATGCTGGTGGTTTCATGAAGGACTCCGACAAGGCGAAGAAGAAGACTGAACCGCCTCCACCTTGGTTTGTTGGCGAACGCTTAAATGAAAAATTTATCATAGATTCCACACACGAGGCCGAAGATGAAGATGGCCGTGATGCAGACGAACCCGATCATCTATTTCTTTCCAATCGTCGATTACCAGAAATCATCGATGTTGATGACCTCTCTGAAACGAAGGAAGTGATTTCGTTAGAGGCGGATGAACCTGAAAAGGAAGAACTCGTGTCTCAAACGCATTTTGAGATCCCTCCGGCTGATATACTGGAGACTACCAAAGAGGAGTCAGTCTTCGAACCATTGGCGGAAAAGGCTGAGCCCGAGGCAGTGGCGAGTCCTTCTGATATCCCAGTTGTGGAAGGTATTGAAGAGTCTCAAAGATCGATCCTTAACCAAGCGGGAACGCCTGAACAGCAAAACCTGCCTGCCGTTGTTGAACATTCTCCCGAGCCGTCCCCCGAACCTGAGTTTGAGGATGTGTTGACTGAGGCACCTGCACCAGTTTCTGCTGAGCCTGCATCTGCACCTGCACCTGCACCGGAAATAGTCGTGGTCTCCAACCAGCACTACGAATCCCAAGGGCCGGTTCAACCCCCGATTGCGATGGAAGAGGATGGTGAATACAGCGACCCGGAAGATGAAGAACTTCTCAGGCAGCTTGCAGCCGAGTCGGAGGAGCACGTCCGATTCGCCCAAGTTTTGAACTCGGCCGCACCCATCCAGGACGCACTCGATTATGAACAAGAACTCAAACAACTGCGCAATCAGCACCGCAAGGACCAACGTGATGCAGACGAGGTAACCCAAATCATGATCAACGAGTGCCAGCAATTACTACGGCTATTTGGACTGCCTTATGTCACCGCGCCCATGGAAGCCGAAGCACAGTGTGCGAAGCTTGTCACTCTCGGACTTGTGGACGGTATTGTCACAGACGATAGCGATATCTTCCTCTTTGGTGGGAACCGAGTCTACAAGAACATGTTCAACCAAAGCAAGTTTGTGGAATGCTATCTCACCTCCGACCTGGAGAAGGAGTATGCCCTCCACCGACAAAAGCTCATCAATTTTGCACACCTTCTGGGTAGCGATTATACCGAGGGTATACCTGGTATTGGACCCGTCACCGCATTGGAGATCATCACAGAATTTGGCAGCCTAGAGGAGTTCCGTGATTGGTGGTCGCAGGTGCAGATGGGGGTGAACAACCCCGACGATGCCCATCTTGCCTTCCGGAAGAAATTCCGAAAGAAAGCATCTAAAATCTTCCTTCCTCCAGCATTTCCCGACCTACGGGTAGACGAGGCGTACCTCGAGCCCGAGGTCGATGCAGATGCTTCGCCCTTCCAGTGGGGAGTTCCAGACTTGAATGGACTACGAAACTTTCTCATGGCGACGATCGGCTGGAGTCCCGAACGCACAGACGAGGTCCTCGTACCGGTCATTCGGGATATGAATCGACGAGAGCAAGAAGGCACGCAGTCGAATATTACCCAATTCATGGCAGGCCCCCAAGGGGCTGGGGCATTTGCACCACGCGCGCGTGGTGCTGGACCGAGTCGGATGGAGAAAGCGTTTGGGCGACTTCGGCAAGAAGCGCAAACTCTGACGGGGAGAGAATCTCGTGCCGGCGAGTCTACGGGAGGTCTGGGGGCCGACCCAAACCCTGACTCTGAAGCCGGGAATGCTGCTACAAGCCCAGGCAAGCGTGGAGCCCCCGCTACGAACAAGGGAGATGTTAAGAGCCGGGGAAGCACCAAGAAACGTAAAACACGAGGCTCTTGAGGGAGTTGTATGTATCGATAGAGTTATAATTAAGATATACGAACGTTATACGACAGGTCGGGGTCCAAAGTGGTGCAGCATAACGCACATCTCCCGAGTAAAGTTGGAGATGACCCGAACGAGTGGTTGAGACAGACGACTGGCCACTCATACGAGACGAACCGAGAATTGTTCCATCTGGGTCGGGCCATCCCCCACTGATCTTCCTGATAAGCAGTGTCTCCTGCATTCCAGCTCCAGCTCTAATTCCCCACGATGATCCAGGACCATGACAGGAACCCCCTTTGATCTGAATTTGAACCTGACCCATCGTAATGCATTGAAAGGTTTTCTCCTGTCATTCACACTGTAACGCCAATGACTCGATGACATGGTTGAGTTCTGCAGGAACAGCCGTAAGTCTCAATCGCATGACATCAGGTCCAGTTCGATGACGTCGGCGATCGTGGCGCAAAATTGCAGCAACACGATCCAAGCAAGCTTGGTGCTACTGCGGGCCTGTGGGCCCGAATCGAACCATTGGAAGGACTGACAAGGTCAATTGAAGGTTTTCTAGCGTTCGCATTAGTGAGGGGGAGAACAAGCTGATCCGCCTTCTCCGGGGCAACCCAATAGTGTGAAGTGTGAAGTGCAAAAGTGTGCAAGGTGACTATGCCGTGCAGCACCGAAGACTAGCAAACTTCTACGACGTCACCAGGGGATTCTCTCATCCTCAACTCCCCCTAATAACTCACTCCCCACGCTTTTCTTCCCTCGATTCTCTCCTGAAAACCCCCCCCTGTGTCAATATCCGGTTGCAGCTCGATTTCCGTCCTGCTCCGCTCGTGAGTTCCCTCCTTTTTTTCTCTCTTCCTATCTCCACGTCACTACTGCGCAAGCTTCTCTCCTATTGCCCTGGGCCTTTGACCGATCCAAGACCTTTAACCTTCCTCGACTCTGCAGGTACCTCGCTTTGTCCTCCCACGACTCACATCTCCCTTCACTCCTACTCGACCCAACCTCGCATCCTCTCACCACCCACCATGCATCGCACCTATTCTATGCGCCAGTCGCGCGCTCCGACCGCCGCTCAGGTCGAGAACCCCCCCCCACCACCCATGTCCACCACCAAATCTAACCGCTGGCTCGGAAAGGGAGGCATCGGTGAGTGAGATCAGATATCTGCTGTGACTCCGAAAACTCCTCTGTGCGACCGGAAGAGCGTTGGGGCCATGAGAGAGGATGGTTCTGAATGCTGCCTGATCGGGTCGGGATCTCCAGCCTCTCCCGCCCTCCCGCCTCCGCTCCACCCCCAAATCCAAGTGGATTTTCGCGGATCCAAATTGCGCAGACGGTCGGGAACGACGAGCACACAGAGATTGAACTCCAATTGGAATGCGCCCATAGCTAATACCTTCACAATCTAGGCCATGCCTTCCGCAAAAATGCCGCGGGTGCCTTCGGACCTGATCTCGCCCGCAAGTTGTCGCAACTCGTCAAGATGGAGAAGAACGTCATGCGCAGTATGGAACTCGTTGCGCGCGAGCGCATGGAAGTCGCCGTATGTCGATCAATTGATCATCCAAAAATCCGGGGAATTGCCGCCAGGAATGCAGAAGAGAATGCTAACCGAACCGCTAGCAACAATTGTCCATCTGGGGCGAAGCCTGCGACGAGGACGTCTCGGATGTCACCGACAAGCTCGGTGTCCTGATCTACGAGATCGGTGAGCTGGAGGATCAGTTCGTCGACCGCTATGACCAGTACCGCGTGACCATCAAGAGCATCCGCAACATTGAGGCTTCCGTACAGCCCAGCCGAGACCGTATGCACCCCAGCAACCATTCCATGACTGACGACCATTTGAGCCGCAAAAAGCTAACCCCGAACCAGGCAAACAAAAGATCACCGATGAGATCGCCAAGCTGAAGTACAAGGACCCCAACTCGCCGCGCATCGTCGTGCTGGAGCAGGAACTCGTCCGCGCTGAAGCCGAATCCCTCGTCGCCGAGGCCCAGCTGTCAAACATCACCCGCGAAAAGGTCAAGGCAGCCTTCCAGTACCAATTCGACGCTCTCCGCGAACACTGCGAGAAGGTCGCCATCATCGCCGGCTACGGCAAGCACCTCCTGGACCTGATCGACGACACCCCCGTAACACCCGGTGAGACCCGCCACGCTTATGACGGCTACGACGCCAGCAAGGCCATCATCCAGGACTGCGAGGATGCGCTCAGCAACTGGGTAACCTCCAAGTCCGTCGTCAAGTCCAGCCTATCGCAGCGCTCGCGCACTCTCTCCCAGCGCCACCGCAACGCCATCAAGAGCCGCGAGGGCGTGGATCTCTCCAACCAGGACCAGCCCATGACCGGAGACCGCGACTCTTGGCTCCCCGCTGACCAGCACCCCGGCTACCAAGACGAGGATGGTCTCAGCACTGTCGACGGCGAGGTACGAGGACGCGAGGAGGAGCGGGAGCCCATTGCTGCTTAGGCGACGTGAACAGAATCTTTATTTCTGTTCAGTCACTGTCAGTTTATGCGTTCATTACTCTCCTTCGATCTGTCTTAGTGTCTTAATTCCCTTAACCCCTTTTCCTTCCCGTCTCTTTCTTCTTCCTTTTCCCCCCGCCTTTCTTATTGTCACGAATCTCACGGCTTCGCTTGTGCTCTGCTATCACGTCTTGTCTGTGCCTCCTGCACGCAGATCCTCCACCATTCGCCCCCCACACTCATTTTTTCCCACGTCCCTCCTGCCTTGGCGATGGTGTCATCGCATCGGTCTCTCAAAGGGTCCTATCCTGCATCTGCTCCTGCATTTACCCGCTCCGGGAAATCACCAGGATCACCGCGTGTGGGTAACATGCAGCCGGCTTGTCCTGAATATAAGACCTCCGGACTCTACACACCAGGTGCTAGGCGCCTTGGCACCCAACCCAGCCAGGAAACCATCGAACTATGCTTGGGGAGGAATAGTGGAGAGATGTGGCTTGGGGCAGTTAAAGTAAAGTGGTCACGCAATTCCGTCAAGGTACTCTTCAAGCCTATCACGCTTGATGTAATGGGCGGTTGCCTCCGCTCCTTGCGTGCACCTCATGATGATGGCCGCCGCAATGTCGTGATATAGCATCCGTTGGTCGTGCTCGTTCAGCCCTGACCTGGAGGGGAATACAGTGTGGGCCGCGGGGGTGCCGCCGTCGAGGTGGTCTAATCTAGTCTGGTCAGTCAAGTCAAGACGAGCCAAAGTCCAAGTCCAGGCTCCAACAAACCAATTGGGTTTTGAACGGCCAAACTATTTGAAAAAGAAAAAAAAAGAGGAAACGATCTGATCCTCGGCCGATCCTCGACCCGACAACGCACGGTAAGGTTTGATTGAGAAAGACCCGATGACATATCGGTCCTATTTCCTCGACCTTACCCTGTTATGGAACCCTCAGGATGCCCTAGTGCCTTATTACCTCTTCCAGGGCGGGGATGGCGTCAACCCATGGCCGGAATACGCAACGGATTTTTTTTGGTGCTGACGATTCCTCTGATTTTGAATGTGCTTGTCTGTGTGCTTTTCTTCTTCTTTTGCCCTGTGATTTTTTCTTAATGTAATACCATCTCGTGTTGGGGCTTTGTTTGTGGATGGTTGGGTAATCAGTTAGGTGTTAATGAGTTTGTTCAATTGATCTATCTTCAACGTGATGAGCTAGATTGTAGTTGGCTGTCGCCGAGTTCCAGGGTACCCTACTCAGCCTGAAGTGCGTAGGTAGCAACTCTAGTAAAGGTTGGTTTCGAGTTAGCATCTTAATTAGTATACGTTAACAATTCACCTGCTGTATGTAGGCCAAGTTACCGTTATTGCAGTACATACTAGTACTTTGCGAACTACAGGGTAACTTGAACATTACGAGGGACTAATGAGAAGAAAAGGACACGCCGGTCCAGAGCAATCATTTCTGTGTGCAAACTGCGAATCCAACCCGGTAGGATAAAAGAAGAAACAGAACCGAGAACAAAAAAAGAAACAAAAACCCCCGCAAGAAACATCACATCGATGGCCTAAGCTATTCGGCACCGACAGTCCAAACAATGAGACATAAAAACCACACCACGCCACACGCACCACGTCAATACCGCACCCACATCGCATCTAATCGTCACCTATCCTGGCCTGGATAGGGCATGCAGGGGATAAAAAGCCCGCAAAGAGAGAGAGAGAGAGAGAGAGAGAGAGAAGGAAGGCAAGGCAAGGCGAAACAGATCCTGAAGCATTTCCTCATGTGAGGGCGGAGAAGAGGTGGGAGATAGAAGAGACAGGAAAGCCCGGGTATAGGAACAGGAGAGAGATAGAGGAAGACGAAAGTACAAGATCAAATCTTTTCCGAGCCGAGCCAGGCCAGACGAGACCAAACCAAACCAAAAGAGAAAAAGAATGACTCCGATTCTGAGCACAAGAGGACCATCTCTAGAATCGCAGAAGCCACGGTCGGCAAGGGCCGAGTGGAGGACGAGAATTGGAGAAAGGTCGTGACATCGTCATGGCCCGCTACCACCCCATCCGTGGAGTGCAGCGGAGCCGCGAAAATAGGTAAAACAGAAGGAAGACCCGTCATACCAGACGGGCGGGAGCGTGCCAGGTAAGAGAGAGATGGATGATACATGAAACGCACAACGGGATCAGACTCGAGCAGTTCGCAACCAGTATTCGAGAGACGACAACGGCAGCAAAGAAAAAAGAGAAGCTCAAAAAGCACAGCAAAAAAAGAATAAAGGACGCGAGCTTTGATTTTGAGTCCTACTCATCAGTGCCGACGCCCTTCTTTTTTGGCTGAATATGTTTTTGGCCGCCGCGAGTACTGCTTCCTTTGGAGTTCCCTGGGGTAGAAGTATCTTGCGGAGCGCCCGGCAGGCGCGGAGTCGTTGCTTCATGTTTCTCTGTGAGGAGATTCTTCAACCAGCGGTTCTCCATCTCGAGCTGGGCGACGCGGGCCTCTAGAGAGGCGTTCTTTTCAGTTGTCTCGCGGACGGTCCGTTCGAGGACCTGTTCGCGAGCTTTCTTTTTCTGGCGGAAGCGAGCCGATGCCGCTGTATTGCGGCGGCGGCGGTCTTCTTCTGCGGCTACCCGTACGCCTTCCTCTTGGCCTAGGGCTGCCGCGATGCGGTCCCCGGGAATGGAGGTGGAGTACTTGTTGTTGCCCATTATGCCGTTAGGCGGGGAGATGGACGATGAGACATCTGATGGAGTCATCTGTCCTGGGGCATGGCCCAGCTCATCGGGCGCAAAGGGGACAGGTGGATATATAGAGTGAGCCGAATAGGGCATCATGTGGTCGGGAATAGAGTAGTTGATAGACTTGTCGCCAGTAGGACCTGGAGGGAGTAAGCGGTCTGGTCGACGATAACCTCTAGAGGACGACATGATGGAGGATGGGAGAAGGAGTTCGTCAGGCAGGAGGAGGCAGTCGCAGAGAAGAAATAACAGAAGAGGAGAGAGAAGGGGAAGAGGAGGAAATGGCAAGGTTCAAGGAGGATTTGGAGGTGAAAATAGAGATGGGGCAGGGCCCTCCGAGGCTGAGGAAGAGATGGTCATCTCGCGAATAGGCCAGAAAATGGGGAAATAAGGGAAAAAGAGGGATTAGGCAATAAGGGTTCAGTTCAGTTGGCTGCCAGCCTTCCACAGCCATGACGCTGCGCGTGTCATTTGCATGCGGGATTGCGTGCTCGCTAGCTGATGATGATCCCGGCTGCCTCGATGAGCACGAGCTCACGAAACCCAAAAATGGAGTAGTTGGACTGTCCGGGGGTAAATCATATATATGATCGTGTAGACCGATCGGTGGCAGATGGTGGTGGCAGATGGTCACAGGGTTCAAGTTGGAAGGTTGACGGTTAAGGGGAACGAACCGCTTCGCCCGTTTAAACCGTTGGACCAATGTTCCCTGACCCAGAGTCTGCCAGTCCGGGGAGAAAAGACCAGGCCAAGTAACCCAGTGGAATACGCAGAATGGAATTCAGAATAAGACATGACTTGCAGGACCAGGATTGAAAGTGCCGACCGAGAAGCGCGCCCAGTCTCGCCTGGCACGAACCATCAAGCCCTGCGATGGCGCAAGAGATGCAACCTCTGGCAACACAGACAATGCCAAAACAAGGGCAAAAGCAAAAGCAAAAAGTATAAAAAAGATCAATCACAAACATACCGTGATAGGGATATCCTCGAAGATCCAGAGAGGCACGGTCATCATCAATGCTGTCGTAGGAGCTGACGGATAAACCGCCCATGCCTTCAGTTTGATCATAATCTATGTTCACATTGGCGAACGGGACCAGCCCAGTATCTCCATCAAAGGAATATTGTCGTCCCTTGGCTGCTGGATCAGTGCGCGACAGTAGAAAATTGAAATTTTCAATTTTGTCGAATCCGGGGCCCGCAGGCCTTGGTTGTTCCTCCGGCATGATATATGGGAGGAAAACAGGCGAAGGGGAGAGTGGGGGAGGGAAAAGAGTTAAAAAGGGAAAAGGCAAAGGGAAGGGAAGGGGAAAGGAAGAGTAGAAGAGGAGAGGAATAGTCTTCCGATCAGCAGAGCCAGATCCAGAGAGAATAATGTCGTATGCCCTCGGTCTCACGATTGAAGTGGGCAGTGAATACGTAGTGACCAAAGGGAGAGGGGAGTTGAGGCGAGTGCAAAGGTACGGAGTCCTCTGTCCAGGTAATGCCGATGGGCTACTCCATTGCCAGTCGCATAACGCGCCACCCGAACCACGAATCAGAGTTGAGATGATCAGGAAAAGGCAAAAGGGGAAGGACGGACCAAACGTGACAGGGGGGAAAGCCACGAGAGGGGAGAAGGCGTGACGATGGCGGACGCAAGAGATCTGCTAGTCGATGATCTGATAGATGGGCGAAATCACGACATCGGGATGATGATTGACCGCCTGGACAGTACACAACGGTACACAACAGTACTACGTACTGTTGTATACTCGTGGTTATAATATAGTATATAGTATATCGTATATCGTATATACTAAATAACTATTATAAAAGTACTTTTATTCCGTATAAGAATAAGTATAAGCATACCTACGGGATGTCCTCATCCCCAGACTCCTGCCTTCCAGCCTCGGCCCCGTCTCCACCTCCTATACATATTCTCCGTAACGGGTACCAAAGCCTACTTCCCGGAGATGACGCGGTCGTGTTAGGTAAAGTGGCTTTCCACATGGTCCATACTTCCGGATATTTACTGTTGAGAATGTCTTCTCCATGGGCATTGGTATATCATTGGTATAACATTGGACCTTTGTCAGTCTCCATCCCCGACAAGCTTCTTCCCCCCCGAGCCGACACTTGCACCGATCGCGATCCACTCTACTAGTACGCACCACCACTATCCCCCTTCTAGTCTTTACGTCCGGCAAGAATCTGGGCCACGTCCTCAGCGCTGGTCCCTCTCTCCCGCCGTCCAACTCGTTCTTGGCCGAGGATCGTCTCCTCCGCCACCGTCCGATAGACCTCCGCGATTCCGCCGTACACCCTCCCACCCACTCCCTCCCATCCACCCTCACGCTCCAACATCTCGCCAATCCCACGCATCTCCTCCTCCCACCGATACGCCTTTGGACTCATCCCCACGACCCCAGCCCGCGCCAATCCCGCCATCGCAGGTGAATACTCCTCCAAATGCGCCAGTAATTCCGGAAGCACCGCCTCCCGCTCCGCCGTAGAAAAAGACAGTATCGCCAGCGCCGTCAGGCCCTTTGTCAGCGCTGCAAACGTTAATTTCAGCGTCGACGCCGCCCCGATTCGTCCCGATACGAGTTTCACATTCAGCGCGTCCGCTAGCTCGGTGAAGGTTGCTGGCGGTGGATTCTCCACTGGTCCCGAGATCACGACGCTTGGCTTTGTCCACGATCCATCTGGCCGCTGCGTCGGTGGAGCCCCGATTATTCCACCGTCGAGAAAGATTGGGACGCTGCTCCGTGCTTTGGTCTCGTTTGGATGGAATAGCGCTGCTGTCTCCTCGGCCGATTGTGCGGGCGTGGCGTTGAGCTCGAGAAAGTAAAGTGGGCTTCGGCTGGGATGCCCGTTGACATCTTCTAATAATTGTCTCTGGGATTGCGTCTCGGGCTGGAGGCTGGCTTCTGCGATGCGCTCGGCTGTCGCGAGCGCATTGCGAGGTGGTACGATGGAGAGGATGTAGTCGGCCTGAACGACCAGGTCGTAGTCGGATGGGAGTGCCTCGATGGCGGCTGCGCGGATTCGCGTAAGAGTGTCCTCACTAACAGTCAATGTAGATTAGTTTGTCACGTCCAGTGTAAAGATCCACGGATATATAGTCGACGCAGTATATCAGATGCTACGTTGCCAGGCATCGGGTAATAAGTAACAGTTCTTGTTGACATTACCTCCGGCCTTGAGTAACGGTGACCACGCGAAAACCGTGTGATTGGAGCAACTTGGCTATCCCCAGACCCATATCTCCAATGGAGACGATCCCCACAATCGTTGCGCGCATGATTATCACAGTGGAAGTGTCGGTAGTCTTACTGTGGTCCCCCAATGCCTTTTATCAATGGTTCTCATAAGCTGAGCTGCTGCGGGGAGCCATTTGTAAGCCGCAGGGTGCGTGCTTGCGGGGTTAGGTCTCGTCAAACTACGGAGTATTGATAACAAGCTTAGCTTAGCCTACCTAGGGTATGTAGATCCGCGCGATGGAGATTAGATTGGATTAGGGCATTCGAGTGGTCGGTGCAGGTCGTGTTTGCTTTTGATCCCATTTGTTTCTAACCCCACCATCTATCATCTATGGCGCTCCATAGCCGCAACCCACCCAGGATATCTACTGGAATTACCAGGGCGTTCCCAGTGTACTGACTATACTTGCCTTGGAGAGCCGGTTACCGCTAAGGAGCGCCACACTTATTGCTGGTAGTCTCTAAGACCTAACTCTGCAACACATCTTATTTTATTTCATTTATTTTAGACTTCTAAAGTAGCTTAGTTATCCCCAATCCCATATCCCCAATGAAGATAATCCCCAATGTGGTTGCACGCCTTGCAACGAACCTGGTTAGGTACTAATTATAACTAGCCGTACTAGCTGGTTTCAGAAGTGAAGTCGTGTAGTAGCTCTCCGAATGTAATAAGCGAGACCATGGACAGAGTCAATGACCGTCCAATCGACAAAGGAGAGAAAAGGATTCGCTAGGAGGATTTCATGAAAGTCATCACACGCAACACCAAATGAAGCGCGGGTCGAGAAGATAAGATATTGTCCCGCCGTCCAGGAAGAATCCATCTGCATACCCACTTGCAGGAAAGGAAGTCTATTAAAAAAGACCCAAAAACCCCTGCGGCCAATTATCAGGGTCCGGGTTAGAGCCCTGCGCCGCAGAGGAAGAATACATCTGCGCATAATCTATATTATCCGTGCCGAAGGGGAGTTCCGGATTGTTGGTCGCTGTGTGGAGGTCGTTCTGCGACGGGCCCTGGTTCAAGTATGATTCGGCGGATAGGATCGGCATTGGGATCTCTTGGCCTACGCCGGCTGCTGCGATTGCTTCTGTGGGGAAAAGTCCCGACCAGAGGTTATCGCCGTACTCCCAGTCCGCTGTCAAAGGGACCTGCCAGGATTCTGGGATCGATGCGCTTTGGGCGCTTGTTTGGGAGAAGGGGGATTCATTTGGGTCTAGTGGGGAGGAGGTGGTTGTGTTGCCTTGTTGGTCGGGTAGATGGGTCTGGGGCCAGGACATTGCATTTAAGTTGGAGGCGTTGGTGTTCATGTTACTCAGGCCGAGACCGGTGTAATTTGTCGTAAGCGGAGGGGGGGGTGGTTGGTTGGGGAAAGTTGCATTGGAGAAATCGGTTTCACCAGGGCTCATGGGTACGACGTAGCCCGAGGAGTTGACCGGGGGTAGGCCTTCGATGGATTCTGGAATTCCGAAGTCCGCCAAGTAAGAGCTGGCTGTCGCGGATGGGTTTGAGGCGCGTGGCGTGTCGGATGTGTGATACTGGAAAGAGCCTGTAGCATCGGTGTTCATTGACGTTCGAAGAGTTGTGGGACGCTGACGAGGTTTGAGCTTTGACGTCGAGGTCGAGGCCGTGCGCGAGAGATGCCTTTTTGAGGTCGGTGGGTGCTGGGCCTGGTCTTTATCTTCTGGGCTGCGAGCCCGTTTCTCATTCTTGGCTACTACGAGCCGCGCAGTACGCTCCAGATGGCCGCAGACTTTGGCCATGAAACCGGCGTAATTGGCAGGCCCGTCACCTGGGACAAGAGTTGCGAAGAAAGTTGAAGCCATGTTGAGAGCCTGGAGATCATCGCGTACTGACGAGGAGTGGGTGTCTCGGAGGATATTTGAAAAAATGGTTGCGGCGGCAAGAAACACGTAGTATAACAGGGACCTGTTGTACTTCACAGTTAGGGTTGGGGGCAAACATTTGCGGAAGAGGACAGCCGCTTACCAGATCCATGCAATATCTCCCCATGGCATGTTATTGACGAGTTTCAGAGTATCTCGCGCAGCCGTAACACAAATGACAGCTGCTTTCGATGCTCGCGCTTTGCTAAAAGACTTGAGATCCTCTGGCTCATTCTCTCGAGAAGATATTAAGAAGCTGAGAAGGAGGGGTATTCGATGAATCATGATCAAGGCATTATAATAAACGAGGTGGAGACCGATAGCTCCAAAGCCAAATAGAAAATCGGTCTGAGCAATTTTTCGCTCGGGTGCTTCGAGAGGATAGTCCTTTCTCCACTCTTCGAGCTCTGCATGTAGTTCCTTCACTACCTTGTAGGTTTCATGGGGTGGCTTCTGCATTGCTTTGGCAGCGTATAGTCGACAGAAAATGCGACTCTTGATTACTGACATGCGACAAAGTTGGCGGAAAAATGTGATGCTGGTGGCCATCTCGGGGTTCTTTTTCTCCTCTTCCAGTTCCTGTGGGAGAGGCACATCGAAGTCATCAGGGTGTTGCGATGGGGCATTTCCAGCCCTCAAGCAAGTACTGAGAGAAATTTGTTAGCCAAGAGAACTCGACATTCATTTAATCTTATATCCTCTCGTACCTTTGGTCCACAGTAAAGGCAACCCAGAATACACGTCGTCGCTGTTCCTGGTCTGTGAGGCTCAAATCTGGCCTATGGATGTTTCGGTGTAAACCCATCCGCTGACAGGACCGCATAGCTGCGGTGGTGAACGGCATTGCAGATTGAGTGCCGGAGTTTCCGCGTAGAAAAAATGCCTATCACCTGTTATTAACACCAAAAAAACCTGGTGAAACTTTCACAATGTGGAAACTCACCATGCTCATTAAAGCCTGGACGCTCAAAAGATCAGTCCGTCGCAAGGCCAGCTCTGTAAAAACGGACATGGCATTCTTGAAATACATCCGAGCCCTTTCACGGTCTTTCTCCGGTTTCAAGCTGTTCGAGTATCGAAATTCATATGCCAGGCAGATAACCATATTGATACTGGCCCATCGTGCCGCATCGTCACATGTTTGTTGAGTATATTGCCACTCGACCATCTTCATAAACGAACCCTCATGAAAGATCGGAAATAGTCTATTCGCTGACCGAAAGTAGTCATTAATCAGCGAGAACACCTCCAAACGTGATGGTAGAGGCCGGTAAACTTGGGAGGCGAAAAGATCGTGAAAGACATCTGGTCGCCACGTGCCCCATGGACTATCGTGAACGGAGTCAGTGGAAAGAAGACGCAAGAAACTGAGATCGCCAGTTTTGCTCTTGATCCACTCGATGCCTCCTCTGGAAAGAATTGACAATGAGCAGGATCTCCCAAGATAACGTGGATCGTCGCTCTCATGCGCTCGGAAGATGGGTGTACCCTCAAGGTCACCGCCAGCATCATGTTTATTCGATCGGTGGTCAGTATCCGGTGAAGTAGTTGACTCAAACGAAGGGCGGGAAGTGTTTTCTGAAGACCCTTTGTGCTGATCAGGTACTCCCCAGTCATCACCCGGGCAATCATCATCATCAGCGTCATGAAAATCACCAATTTCGTCTCCATAATCACCATCATCGCCATCACCATCTTCATCCTCATCCTCGTTCTCATCCAAATTATCATTAGTCATGTCATCCTCGGGCAGGACACCAGCCATTTTCAACAGTGCCTCGACTTTCTCAAGGCGGATCTTCAAAGAGTGCACATATTCGTCTCTGTGGATTATAAGCGGGATATCCCTTTGATACATGGTTGGAAATAGGGAGACCTACCGTTGCTCCTCCTGCTGCGGCTGTGGCTGCGGCTGCGGCTGGTTACCAGGAAAGACGCATTGCGAGCCACGCCGGGTACACTGTACACAGACTAGATGGGAGTCCTCGAGTTCACATTTCGTCTTCTTCCGATAGCACATATCACAGGCCTAGATAATATCATCCGGTTAGCACAGTCACCACCAAAAACCCAATCGTCATCACCACGAGTGCTTGGCCATCGGCATCTCCGGATTGGGGGCCAGTCACAAAGCCAAAGCCATCCCTCTCTTTGACACAGACCCAAGAACGCGACGTACTCTTTGACTTCGTCTCCGTCCAGATGAGCTGGAGACTGTGGGGGTGGAGAATGCATCCATGCCACCGGAGGTTATGCCATGAGATTGTAGCATTGCGTTGTGCAATTTCCCCCGGGAACTCCGCGATTTATGCCAAGACTTGCCTAGCGGGCACCAAAGGGAATTCGGGAAAGCGCTTTAGCGCGAATACATTAGACCCTGGAACATGGAGGTTTCCCCTGAAAAGATTCAGGAACTTAATAGAGCTCGGGTTGAAATTGCGGATGTGCTGGTGAAGACTCAACTCCGGTTGCCACAATGATCGGAGGTTAGCCCCCTCCTCCTCGGAGTCCGGCTGTGCCGATTCCCGACTTCCGTTTGGTGGGGGAACCCTAATGGTACGAGGGACAAGGTACTCCATACGGAATACATTGTGGGTGCCTAGGTACTTTAGTATGTACCGAAATTTCAAGTGAATGGAATAAATAAAATAATCATTGAAATGTTCGCTCAATCGCAAGTGGATATTCCAATATCAAACTCCGTGTCTCCATCCTGATCCCATCCCATTCCATATCCAGTTCGACATCCTTGTCCCCACCATATGATCCGATCCACCCTAAACGGAAAGCGAAGACTCAAAATACAAAAAGATCAAAGTCACCTAGGTATAAAACTCAAAAAGCAGATCCGGTAAGCATGCGTACAGCCTTGCACCAAACACCATTGCCAAGCTGTGCCCCATCACCAAGGGAAAGTCCTTTGCCAAGGATACCCTCCATTTCCCTTGCCCGATAATCCCGACTTATTGCCTGTACCGAAGCCGTAGACTTTCGTCGCGATGGCATCGATGCGGAAATCGAGAGTGCCAATTTCTTTGGCATCTTCACTCCAGGTGCTGATACGGGTACGGACGTTAAAGTCCACGTCAATTCGCTTAGTGCCGGTCTTCTTCGCTGCGGAAGCCTTGCGGCTAGGCGAAGAGGGAACGGCTGTATGGCCGAGGACGGTGCAACGGGCACGTAGGAAGAGAGAGGAATTAATTGGCTCCGATAGGGTGAGGCGAGTGACGCCGCAGAATTCAAGCATGCGGGCCTCGTTCTCTAGGCCCCCGGTGCGATCCCAGGCGGAGGAGATAAAACGGAGCAGTTCGTTCGGGGCAGTTTTGGATTGATTTATCGTGGAGAGGTGTTTCTGCATTGATTGGAGAGCGAAAGATGCGATCGGTGAGGTCGTTTTGCCTTTCACGGAGCTGAGTTCGAGAAGCCGGTTGGTCTTCTCTGTGCCGTTGGATGTCTTCGTCGCAAATGCGCCGGGGTGAAACTTGATCTGGAGTTGGCCCTGATAGGACATGACCAACATAGGATCGGCGGATTTCCCCGGCAAGAAAGAGGCAGAGAGGATCGACCAACCAGTCTGGCGCTCGATACGTTGAACGGAGTTCTTCAGCTCATTGATGTCGCGAGCACTCCACCCACGGCACTCCTCCTTGATACGCTCCGCTTCCTGGATTTCACCTAAGAACTCATTGCTCATCTCGGTTCCTGCATCAATGATCTCGGTCTTTTCTTGAACCTCTGCCTGGAGCTGCTCAAGTTCTCGTTGCTTGGCCTCGATTTCATCATCAACAGTCGACAGCTTCTCACGCGTGCCGCGCAGCTCATCCTGATCGCAAGTCTCCATTTCTTCTACCAGCTGCCTCAAATTTTCTGCTTCTTGTTCAAGGGATGTTTGCTTCTCGGCCAGTGGAGGGACAATGTTGTTGAGAATCTCCTCGCGTTTAGACAATAAAACATCGTCGGCTTTCATGTCATCCACGTGACGGATAAGCCCTTCTTTGAGACCCTCAAGTAACTTCATTCGCCATTCATACCATGTCGCCTTACTCAACAGTCGCGCGTGCGTCTTCACATTCCGGAACTGGTTGTCCATGATCACTCGAATGTCTGGTGGGGCTGTCACATATTCTCGGAAGAGGGGAGGGTTCTCTGTATAGGTTTCGGCCTCGATGGATCGGATGACTTGACGGCCTTCGGAGATATACGACTTCAACTCACGGCAGGACTAAATGTGTTTAAGATTAGTAGAATTCAGAATCGGGCAGGTGGGAAAGAGCTTACGTGTTGATACAACTCCAGCATAGGAACTGTGCACAGTGCAGCAGCCACGCAGTCATCAAAGGTGAACGTTCCTGCCTTGGCAACGTGCTCTCCAGACCGTCTGCTCAATCTCCTAGTGGCACTTCCAGGCGCGGTCGTGTGTCGTCTCTTCGTGGTTGTGAGTTCCATGAAATGAATATTGGTCATGTTCAGGAAGTCTTGCAATTGAATAGGCTCTACCTCAGGCTCAGGCTCTTGATCCGGGAGGCCCTCTTCTGGTTCTGACTGTTGGGGGTCTGAAGCAATATGGAGAGAATCCACACCTTCCTTGAGAGGAGTGATTCCCTTCTTCGAGGCACTCTGCGGCTGTTGGGTGGGAGTAGTACTACCCTTGAGTGGCGAGGAGCTCCGAGCCCTACGGACAGGAGAGAGAATCGACCGCCGGGTGGGATCCTTCTTGGCCGACGACGGGGCTGGGAGTCGTACTGCCTTGACAGGGCTCACGTCATGACCACGGAGGCGTTTAGGAGAGTTCTCGACTTCGTCTTCGTCGGAGTCAAGCTCAGCTGGTCGCTTGCCAAGGATGCCACGCGCAGCGCCAACATGGAGGCTTTTCCGACTTCCAATTCTGCCCTTCTTCGGGCTCATACTAGAAATCATATTCCTCAGATTTGAGCCAATATCGCTGTTCGTGGGGTTGGCAGGTTGGATATGCCCATCCTCTCTGAGCTCCTCTTCCTCGCGGTCTCTCTCCTCATCCGCCTGCATCTTCAGCGGATTTTCAAAGCGCACAGCACCTCGCGGCTGTTGCTGAGGGACAAACTGGGGTGTGTTTTCACCGAGTGACAGGCGCTTGTCAAGTAAAGCAACTACGCGGGGAGACCCAAGTCCTTCTTTGTCAATTCCCAGGCCGGATGAGCGTCGTGCCTCTCGGGGTTGCAATACAATTCGAGGGGTTGAGGATCCACCATTTGTGCCGTGTTCGAATATACTGAGGCGTGGTGATTTCTTCTTTTCCGCGGAACGTTGAAGTTGAAGTTCAGGTCGGAAAAGCTTTTTTGGAGAAGCACTCCGGAATGATACATTTGCAGATGGGGGTGTCTTGCTTGGCGTGGCCGGCTTCGTCTGGGGTGTAGACTGCTTAGGAGGGGTTAATGGTTTCTTTGTCGGTGATTTGCGTGGAGAACGACGTGGGTTGTTGGACTCTGGTGTTTTCGATTCCTCCAAAAGAGAACTACGTTGAGGAGTCCGGGATTTGACACTCGCCAAGCTGGGGCTTCCATGCTCTGAGGCCACCGCCGCCACGTGAAATGACAAAGGTGATTTTGCTGGGGACTTTTGAGTGATCTCTTGGAAAGGAGAGCTGTTCAATTGCCCGGACTCGGCTTCGAGTTCCATGAGCCTCTTTGCTTGAACTTTGTCTTGGGTTTCCAGCCCCGATGGAAGGATACCACCAACTGCACTAGTCATTTCCATGTCCATCCCATCATCTGAGCCTTTATCTTTATCGTCGGTCATGCGGTCTGACTTAGTTGTGTCAGTAGCAAACTGTTCAGCCTCAACGTCTGCACCTTGTCCATATGACGGCCCTTTGCTGAGGACTTTTCCAATGGCCGAAGTGAACTCCATGGTCATCTCTTCATCTTCGTCGGCGTTGTCGTTATCATCGAGCCGGGGGTATTCGACCCTTTCAATTCCTCCCCCGACGACGTTTGTCATCTCCATGGTTTGATCATCGTATTCGCTTTGCTGTGCAGTGGACTGACGACGCACGGCACTCTTCCGATGACCAGATGATTTACCTAGTATGCGTCCGATCGCATTCGTCACGTCCATACTCATCTCTTCATCTTCATCCATCTCATCTGACCCGGGGGCATCGTTTTCTGAAGCGACCTTTGATGGTTCCGTGTTTTCTTGGTCGTTTCGAGCACTAATGTCTGACCAGTCGAAGCTTTGTCTTTGGCCCTTCTTGATCCAGGGTTGGAAAGCGCCAGTGATTTCTTGGTCAGCAATTTCCATCGACATTTCCCCATCCTCTTCATCAACGGCTTGCGTCCCGGCTTCCTTTGCAGCCTGTCGCAATGCGTCATTCAGTCTGGCACTGGAGCTCGAGCTAGACGAAACGTCGGACTGTACACTGACGCCGGAACGGGCCGTCATGTCATCTATACTCATAGCAGTGCTTTCGGCGTCAAAGCCATCATCTGACTCGGAGGTATGACCATCATCTTCCTCCACTTCTCCCAAGCTTGGTGCGCCAGTATCTTCGCTGCCTGGTGAGCTTCCGCTGAATGGACTGGAGAACATTTCCGCCGGGCCTTCGTCTTCGCCTGAAGATCCGGAGCGACCTCGTATCAGCTCAAGATCTTGTTGGCGAACTGGTGAGAACCCGAAGTCCGAGCCAGCGTCTGTTTCGGGTGACGATGGAGCATCTTTGGCAGGGGATGGTGCCTGGGCCGTGGGTTCCGAATTTTTCGCAGTAGAGGCACGTCGAGTAGAGTTTGCTGCAGACGAAGATGTCGAGTCGTCGGGGATCTCCACAACGTTCCAGGTGTGCAGTGTAGCCTCCGGGGCAAATGATACACGACGGTTGGCTGTATAGATAGTGTTAACGAAATTGGGTTAATTCGTCCAATATGGAATATTGGGCCTACCCATAGACTTCCGTCGCGCCGCTCGTTTCTCTAATATAGCTTGGCGTTCGCGCTCCCGACGCTCCTTGTCATCGCGCTCCTTGGTAGCTGCCATCTCCTCGCGAATCGCAGATGTTGCATTGAAAGTATCGAATGGATTGGCAGTATCATCTCCTTCAGCGGCTGGTCGGGGAGGTGTTGCAAAGTCTATCAAAAGCCCCTCCTGATTCTGACTGCTGGATTCCCAGCTGGACTCCAGGCTTTGCGCTTTACGAGCCGGGGTGCGACGACGAGTTTCTTCGAACGATGGAATGTTTCGCACTGGAGATACGGGAACGGTAGGTTTAAGAATTGATTTGAGAGGAAACGAGGCCGTAGACTATGAGATGATTCGTCAATATCACCATACTTCTCCGCGCGCGCGTGGGAAGAAAGCTCTAAAGCAACAAAGAAAGAACTGCCTACCTGGCGTCGATTGCCATTGGAGTTTTGCAAAGCGTCCAGTCCACCAGGTCCTAAACTCTTACTTCGCGACTTCTTATCTTTCATGGCGGGTTTCGTGTTAGGTTCAAAAGGTGTCACTGCGCCGATGTCTGTTGTCGCATTCTCCTTATCCAGACCAGACGTCATCCTCGATCGGGGTACATGTGCAATAGAGCGGCGAGAGCGTACTCGCGCAGCACCTGTGTCGCGAGAAGACATGTTGTCGACAAAGATAGCAGGGGGTTAATCACCCAAGCATAGTGTGATATTAAAGGGAGGTAGAACTTGCGGCGCAGATGATCCCCGGGTAACTTCAATAGTCGCATTCCCCTCTCCTTCCTAATTGGAATCACCCGTCACGCTTTCCCCCGAGGCGCGTCTTCAGATCACGTGACTGTAAACAAACCCGATTTGGTTCAAAAGCCCTAACCCGCCACGCTAGCCCTAATCCGGACTAGTGGCCACACACAACCATCTGCGCACTTAGCGAAGTCTTCCTCAACTTCGACGAACGAGACCCGCCAATCTTTTCATCCGCAGTTCGACCATCGCTTCCCCGTCGACCAACACACCGCAGCCATGGCGACCGAGTTGACCGTCCAGTCCGAGCGCGCTTTCCAGAAGCAGCCTCACATCTTCCTTAACTCCAAGTCCAAGTCCAAGTCCAAGAAGGTTGGTTCCGGCCGCCGCTGGTACAAGGATGTCGGTCTGGGCTTCCGTACCCCCAAGACCGCTATCGAGGGCTCCTACATCGGTATGCACGACCTACGACAAAATCCTACGCCAGGAGAAAGGAGATCTATGCAGTTACGGTCATTTTTGGTGGTGGAAACGGGACAACGATCTAAAGACAAGGGACACGAATTGAGTGTGCGGTTGAGGATCGGGATACGCAGAAGAGTCTCGACCAGATTTACCTCCCTTCTGGCGGCCCATGTTCTTTGCCAGATGTCTTGAATTGTCTACCGCCGTCCAACGTCCCAAAAAAAAATGACCTGCGCCACATCGAAGATCTCCGACTCCCGGGCAACAATTTTGAACATGGTGGCTAACAATTCCAACAGACAAGAAGTGCCCCTTCGTCGGTCAGGTCTCTATCCGTGGCCGTATTCTGACCGGTCGCGTTGTTTCCACCAAGATGCACCGTACCCTGGTCATCCGCCGTGAATACCTCCACTACGTCCCCAAGTACAACCGGTCAGTACCATAACGCTTCAATCGACTCCTCCACCCGCCAATCGACCATTAAACTGACTTGATACAACAGTTACGAGAAGCGCCACAAGAACCTGTCCGCCCACGTTTCCCCCGCTTTCCGTGTCGCTGAGGGTGACTGGGTTACCGTCGGCCAGTGCCGTCCCCTTTCCAAGACCGTACGTTGAAATCCCTATCGAAAGTGCGAATTAGATGGCAATTCCATTTCTGAACCCATTCTGGAAATTCTGCCTTTTTATCCAAATCGCAATTTCACACAACCTATATTCCGAACTATGTCTAACTAATATGCCTTACAGGTCCGCTTCAACGTCCTGCGCGTTCTGCCCCGCACCGGCAAGGCTGTCAAGTCTTTCGCCAAGTTCTAAGTGTTGAATAGAGGTTGGGTGCTCGGATTCGGCGAAGGAAGCGGTTTGAATTGGATATCAGGGATTTTCTTGTACGGGTCGGGATAGTTTACGAGTTTCAATGTCCCAGATACCTTGCTGAAGAATGTGTATCCACACAAAAAGCAAAAATATTTCATCATCCTCGTGCCATGGAAACGTACAATCCCGTACAACTCGCCCTGGCTCACAGGTCACGCCAAAGGCCATTAGGGCGGCATGCGTTTTCGACGCTTGCACATCCAGTTTGAGCCACACTACGTGAGAGGAGAGATACGACCACAGTCTCGATTTTTTCATGTAGAGCTCTTGATTAACAACTTCGCCTCCGTTTATTGATACACTTTTAATAACTTGATCTCGGCGCTTCCGTAGATCTCCAGCTTTAAACTACTGTGTTAACATGCCTCTGAATTGACTAGCTCCCTCGATAGGACTGATCCACTCTAATCGGGTGTCAGTGTATATCTCCACCTGCGGCTTCTGTTCATTCAATTTTCCAGCATCATCCAATATCCCTGCCCGGACAACGGTAGTCTCATCAGGTTCTCCCGCGGAGTCAATCTTCCGTCCAAAAAGCGGCGTGCCTGTCACATTCATTAGACACCATCTCAAGTCCAATCAAACCCTTCATGACACATACCACAGTCAGGACAGAAATAATTCCTGATGTCGTTCCCGCTATCCGCTGTTTTTGCCACTTCCCTTGGGCTGCCGGATACATGCAATTCTGCGGTTCGGACGATGAAATTGTAGGAATAAGGAGACCCGGTGAGTTTGCGACAGTCAACACAGTGGCATAGTGCCTATTAGGATGAAAATAAGGTCATGTCATGTCGATAAGCAATTCACTGGATCATACTTACAGATGCTATAGGCTGGGCATTATATTCGACTCGGACCCTGCCACAGAAACAGCCACCAGCAATCATTTTCGCAGAGTAATAGTTTGAGTTTGTCTACAACTTGAAGCGGCGCACGAAGATAACTTTCACAATCGTAAACAAAAGCAGGTCCTCCGGTGTTCTTGTATAAGCGTTAGCAACGTTGAATACTTACTAAGCACCAGCTGGTCCCAACATTGCAGCGTTGAGCAAACCTACTCAAAGTAGCCTGCGGCAACGTGTCCACAGTAAGCATCGCTGTTTCAAAAGATGGAAGCGAATTCACTACTGAACCAGTTGCCTATCAGGTGGTCGGGGTTGAATAATTGGATAGGGACGCCAGTGAACATCCAATGATAGAAATACTTCTAAGGTTCGAGCAGGAGTGCAAGTAGCTCCACGATTCGGATACTATCTATGGTACTAGTATTACACTATGAAAGCAGTGACTAGAGGCTCCATCGCTGCGTCAATACATTGACGAGCGCATCGCTACATTAATATTCTATCAATTATACTAAGAGATGGTACTAAAGCTACTACCTATTGCTAGTACTAGTATACCTATATACTTACGTGAGATACATCTAAGCCATAGTATCTCCTATGGTACTAGGTACTATCTTAGGCGAGCAACTAGATGAAAGCTATGCAGTACAGTCTAGTGTATCTCCGTGATTTTTCCCCTGTTACAATTCTCAATTGCGTACATACATCTCCTGATTCCTCTTTGGGATAGTCTGACAATTACTTCTCACGAATTAAACTTGGTAGTGTTCTCCTTCCGATGGCCATTCATTGACTTGTTCTCCTTCCGACTGCCACTCATTGACCGTTTCCATATCCGACAGTTCGGGTGTTTCTTCGATCTCCTCCCGTCTCGCAAAATTAATTGGGATGGGTGGATGAGCTCTGAATTGCCTCGCATTGAATCTCCGGTAAGCATCGTCGTCGTCACTGTCACTTTCGTCCTGAACTGAAAACCCATCGCTTGGTGTGTCTTGTCGAGGGCATCGCGCCGTAGGAGACTGGGAGCCCTCCTCTTCTTCACTTGACTCCCCTTCCGTATCCTCGTCGTATCTCGGGGGTTTGTAGGACTTTTCCGAGTGAGAACTCCGGTATCTCGGTAGAGGGGTGAGTGGAAGGGGGTATGGGAGCACCGGTATATCCACCGGGTGAACGTAAACGTCGTTCCGTGGAGATGGACTTCGAGATAGTTCTCTCTCTGTCTGGTCCATCACGTCATTCTCGAGCCATGATTCCTTGAATGATTTGCACATTTCAGCCCGGTACTGTTTAGGAACCTCAAGTAGCTCCATGAGCTGTGACAATGCCATGTCGTGGTTGTGGTGAGACCTGAGAGTGCTTTTGAGCCGGGCATGTAGGGCATTGCTGCATCGACGATAACTGTGAATTATCTGGAGTTGCACGAATTCTTTGATGACCGGATTGTCTTGAACGATACGAGCCAGCGTGAGGATATTAAATGTACACACAATTGCAGGTCCCTCGATCTTCTCCCATACTTCGTACTCGCCGAATCCTTTCCATTTCCTGAGTGCGGTTCCTGTCATCTCAACCAGAGGGAAGGCTTTGAACAAACCTGTTTCTAGCTTTGACGGGTCAATCACAGAGATTACCGCGCCCTCTTGGTGTCGAATGGCTCTGTGTATTGGTGCTAACGGAGATTTGAATGTGGAAATAAATGGGGTGTCGACATGCACTCGTGTGACATGGTTCTTGAAGGCAAGCAGGAAATCCTCACGTCCAATGCTTTCTAGCATGACGCGCTCCGCTGGTGACTCTGCTTTGGCGAATGCTGCAGCCATCAACAATGACCGAGTGTTTAGGCCATGAGAGTTCCTGTTCCACCAACGGAATAGTAGAGGCGGAAGCTCTTGAGGCAAGCATTGGCCTGGACGATCCCATAAGCACATATCATAAGGAGAACTGTTTCGATGCTCTAGGAAATCTCCCATTTGTCTGCTTCGGGGGGGGGAAGACATATGTACTCTCTGTGGAGGCTAGGCATGCTGCTTCTTCGTGGCGGGGTAGACACGGAGGCTCAGTGTGTTCCTTGGCCTCATCCTTTTCCCAAGCACAATAGATGCATGTCTCATCGTGGTACAGAGCCAAATTATCGGTGAGAAGGTCCTCGTTGATCGAAATTGCTTCGTTATCGGACAACTGATTGTGATCAGAGTCCTCTATGCTCTCCTGTGTGGGGAGAGGATCTGCAAGAGAGCTGGGGCTGAGGAGGACAGCCTCAACGAGGTCACTACTTGCCTGGCTGGGATTCTGTGGGAATAGTCGGTAGATTAGATCAAAAGTCCTGGAATTAGGTATGCAATTATAGAAGCATAGCTCACCGTGCGGAGAATGGATTCAAGAATCTCCCCGAAACTCCTGTCGTAGCGCGACTCGATGGGTGTTCTGGCCTGGATTGTGCTCATATTGGCCATGAAAAAGGTAGAATTTCAGGATATGAATGAAATGGTACATAAATTGGATGTATTAGGTCGTGTGTTGGGTTAGTAGTAATGGGACAAAATAAAAAGACAAGGTGGAAGTGAGGGAAGTAAGGGAAGTGAATAGGCAGAAAGAGTAGGATAGGACCACTACTAGTAGACGGGACAAACAACCTTCGGAACTTGAACTTGAAGGTGGGAAGAACTGGGGTAACATTCACTCCAGGGCTGGTAGTGATTATGGCTCTGCTTGCTGGGGTGTAAGTTCCCATTAAATTTACTAGTATCCACTCAATACAACTACCTAGGTAGTAATACTACTAGTAGCCCTGGAGTAGTACATTAGTACTACTCGAAGGTTGTTACTAGGTTTTCTTCTTCAGGCTATGATTTTATACTAGTAGTAACTGAGTTTAAATGTTATGTTCAAATTCCAAGGTTTATATCTGCCAACTTGAAATAAGTCCAAACCTTGGAAGTTTCAAGGTTGGAAGTTATAATACCAGGTACCTAGGTAGGACTAGTTGTCATTCCTTCTTCCGTCATCCGATTCCTTCAACTTCATGCCCACTTGCACCTGGGCAAGTATAGCATCTGGGCATTTTTAGACCTAGCTGTTGTATGGAGTCACACGTGACGCCGAGACATATCTTCCGGGGATGAAAGGTGCACCTAAGTTATTATGCATTTATGCTCTATATATATCTAGGTATCCGGTAGTCTACTACATATTAGTACTCTCCAGGGCTGGTAGTAGTACACCCATGATGCCACCACCTTCGAAGAATGCCTGGTGCTATGGTACACACTAATTAGGTACTATATATTAAGATTAAAACATGAATTCAACACCATTTATCCCACTCTGATGTATACTCCGCGAATGACAGCGCCTCGTGCGGCAATGCGGCGCTAGACCCAATCGGTCGGACATCCGCGTTGCCCAGAAGCTCCGCCCACGCCCAACCTTGGCTTGTCCCTTGCCCCCCCTCGAACTCCCTATCCGCCCTCAAGGGCTCGACTTTCAATCACCAGGTCGACTCTCATAATCGTTTGGCTCCATTCACCTCTTAACCTGCGAATATACACCCTTTCCATCCAGGCATTCGCCATGCGCCAATGAACCACTGTATGAACAGTACCAGTGATGATTGAAACCCTACGCGGCCACTACGAAGGCATTGGCTCCTGAAGCAGGTCCTTCGGTTATTTCGTCTCTTTTTAAACCGGCCCTGTATATCACCACACGATCGAAAACAAATACTCGAGAACAAATACTCGAGATCCGCGCGCCGATCACCATCCCCCGAAACAAACCCCCCCAAAACACACGATGACCAACTTCGAGAAATCGGTCAAGGGGGCCACAAAGCTCAAGGTGAGTCGTGCTGAAATCAGTAAACATTGAGGTCCGAAAGATACTGACTTGCCTTGTGCGCAATAGCTCGCAGCCCCTAAATCCAAATACGTTGAAAACATCCTGCTAGCGACCCATACTGGCGAGGCGGGCGTTGCCGAGGTGTTCCGAACATTACAGCACAGACTTCGCGATTCAGCATGGACAATTGTCTTCAAAGCTCTTATAATTGTACATCTCTTGATCCGAGAGGGCCAGCAGGATGCGGCCTTGACTTATCTCTCCGAAAACCCAAAGCAGATCGCACCCAGCAACTTCTCCGAAGGTGAGTTTAGATCGTGGGCGCATTGTGCTTCACAATGGGAATTGGCTGATAGAAAGTCTAGCCCAGTCACAGGGACGCAATATTCGCCGATATGCTGAGTATCTCATCACGCGCGCAAGGGCGTTCGAAGCCACTCAGACAGATTACGTACGAAACGGACCGGGGCGCCTGAAGCGATTAAGTGTGGAAAAGGGTCTCTTGAGAGAAACGGAATATGTACAGAAGCAGATCCGTGCGCTGTTGAGAGCTGATGTAGGTGGTATTTGATGTGGATTGACTTTTCTGTGGCTAACCACCAAAATAGTTATTGACGGATGAGCCCGAGAACGAGATTAGCCTGACTGCGTTTCGCCTCTTAACCCTCGATCTCATGACACTATATTCGGTCATGAACGAGGGTACCATCAACGTCCTAGGTATGTCTCTCAAATTTTTATTCGAGCGCCCTTGTCACTAACGAGAAGGGATCTGATAGAGCATTACTTTGAGATGTCAAGACCAGATAGCGAACGCGCATTGGCCATCTATAAGACATTTACTAAACAGACGGAAGAAGTGGTTGAATTTCTAGGCGTCGCCAGGCATTTCCAGTCTGCCACCCGTCTAGAGATTCCGAATCTCAAGCATGCCAACACCAACCTGGCGCGCCTTTTGGAAGACGACTTGAATGACCCAGACTTTGAACTACGCCGCCGAGAATATCTTGCCCAAAAAGGAATCAAGAAAGACCTAGGTGGAAAGTCCTCGGCAGCAACCTCTTCGGCCGCACCTAAGCCAGCTGCCACATCTGCGTTTGACCCACCCGCGCAAGCCCCGGCCCAGCAACCCCAGCAGCAGAAGCCGCCACCAACGGATCTCATTGATTTCTTCGATTCAATTGAAGGGAATCAACAGCCGATGGCTCAGCAGAATCCGGTGCAATACCAGCAAACGGGCTTTCAACAACAGCCCCAGCAGGCATTTTACCCCCAACAGACTGGATTCCCGCAACAGCAGCAGCAACAGCAGCCTCAAATGACAGGGTACGGCCAGCAACAGCAAAACCCGTATGGAGGCTTCCCGCAGCAGAACACTGGAAATCCATTTGGACAACAGCAAGCACAACCCCTCCAGGCCACACCCACAGGAGCAGGATTCGGGGGATACACTCCCCAGCCCCAACAATATGGATATCAATCGCAGCTAGCACCTGTTCCTCAGAACGGCATCTCCTCATTCCCCCAGCAGCAGCAACAACAACAACAACAACAACAACAATTGCCTGTAGCAAATCAGTTGCAGCCGCAGACCACCGGAACGAATCCCTTCCGGCAGTCCATGATGCTCAATGCACAGGTCACTGGCAATGGTGCTGCACCCCCCCGCGAGTCCACTACAAAGGCAGAACACGAACCCGTTTGCGAAGCGTCTCTCTGTCGCTCACCAGCTCAATGCACCCCCGACTGAAGTGGTCCCACCAATTCCACATCAACCGCAAGCGCTTCAGCCACAGCGAACAGGAACTAATCCTTTTGCTCGGAGCTCGTCCGTCCCTCCACAGAACACGGGGCTACAGCCTCTTCAACCCACCCCCACCGGTACCAACCCCTTCCGCCAGAGTCAATTTATCAACCAACAAACTGGCCAGGGCTGGCAGAGCAGTGGGCAGGCCGGTACAATGGGTGGATTAGAACAGATGGAGACGGTTCCCGTCTTCCCACGACCGGGGATGATCTGAGGCGCGAGTCCCTATAATGGTCCACTATTTCTCTTATTTTTTCTTCTTCTTCTCTTCATTCATGTTGTATTTCAATTTCTCTTGCTATGCCCCCTGCTCATATTGTATCTGACGGCTCGCGGTGCGAGCTGTCAGTACGTGAAACATAAGTTGCGAGCCAGACCCGATAATCATTACCTTGGCTTTGTAGTGATGATAGAAGAACCGATAAATTCAGGCAAATGGAAATTATAATGTGGAGCAGGAGTTTATGAACTTGTGCATCGTTATATAATTTGAAGTAGAGGGGAGTACGGAGTAGGCAGGTCAGAATGACAGATGAAATAGCCGATCGGCATCAAGCCGGCACCTCCACTCTAGCCTCAAGATGAAACCACCAAGAGGAATAAGCTCTTGATCGGCTTTGCATGGCCATGGCCACCTAAGAACCTAGAAACCTGAGAATCCAAGAACCTAAGAGCCCAAGAACCCAAGACAGACCCGAACTCAAAAGAGTAGCTTGTCTGGATCTAGGTTCAAGTTGAGATCAGACCTTCCATCTTCTACATCCCACGGGCCTAGAAGTTGATTAACCTTTTGGTCCCGTACTTTCTTTCGGACTTTTGTATCAGTCATCCTCATCATCTCTCTCTACCTTTCCATTCCCGCCTCCTCGAGTACCAAGCGATTCCCACCGGGCGCAGCCTCACAGCCCACTAGCGACATTAGCGGGGGCTATGCTTCACCCATGCTATCATCAGCGTGAAGAATTTACCCAGCAGAATATCCTACTCCGTGCGCGAGGGACGAGCCGGCCGCATTTCTATTCCGGCCTTCTCACCCGCTCTCCGAGGCAGGCAAGCTGGTTTTCGCCTTCACAAGGGTTCTTACCCACCTTTGGATAAGCTCGTATCATGGACGCTAAGGATTCCTCCTCGGGGGCCGGGGGTAACAAACAAGCCCTGCCTCTGCTATCACGATCGTCCGCGACTGCATCTTGGCCCGCCCACGACAATCCTCAACCTGACCCTCTCACCGTTCCTCCGACGTCTGTCCCCCCCAGCTGAGCTCACGCCGATCAGTCCGGCCGTGCCGCCCGCGTCTCAACCGTCGGATCCACAATCATCGCAGACCGCACCGTCAGTAAAGACAGAGCGCAATGCGCCTGCCAAGGTCCGCAAGCCTCGCAGGGCTGCAAATGCATCCGCGGGGAAGTCGACACTGTTTTGGGTCCATACGGACCCGGAGTCAGCGTCGGGGGGCACGAAGGAGGAGACGTTGAAGCGGATTCGGTCTCACGTCATGTCAGAACACAATCGGAAAAAGCGTCTGGAGAGCACCAAGCGGTATAAGGGCAAGTCTTGGAAGCATCTTTCCTTTCAAACACCCGAGACTGTACCCGGTCCCATAGGGCCGTCGCCTCCTCCACCACCCTCATCCTCGTCCTCGTCCTCGTCCTCGCATGGCTCTCAACAATTTGTTGACGAGTCAGACGTGAAGCAGGAATTGACCCCGGAGACCACCCCTCCTGTCGACTACTACCCAGATACATCGCAGCAAGTGTGGTACAATGACGAAGTAGTGGGCTACCAAGATCAATCGTCATCGCTTGCAACGTGGTCGGTGGTGGGGTCAGGTGCCCATGATCCCTTCAATACCGGACATACACAGCTCACAGATCGAATGATGCGACATTTGCAAAATTGTGGGTTATCACGCTATATGTTGCGGTCTCTGGCATCTCTTGGCTCAATTGACTAATGATACTCGTGTGTAGTCCTTTGGGATCTAACGCAAGAAGCACACCCATTACAAACCCGATATAAGCCCAAACTGCAGGCGCACTGGGCATCACTGATCCAGCGCGACCCGGCTGTCCTGCACGCTACAATATGTGTGGCCACTTCCAATGCGGCCATGCAGCGAGGGGAATTACCGGTTCGAGATCCAAATCAGACACGCAGCGCGCTAGTGGTAGATACTTTTCATCACCGCGGTGAAACCATTCGATTGGTGAATGAAGGCTTGTCGGATCCCGTCAAAGCCTCGAGTGACGAACTGATTGCTGCTGTTTCTGCTCTTCTGACGATCGAGGTGAGTCAGTCAACACTTCAAGATAAGCACGTGCTTACAGCCTTAGATCGCATCGGGAAATCCGGATTATCTCAAGATTCACTTGGCGGGCTTACGGCAAATGATCGGACTACGTAAGAACTTTGCGGATGTCCCACCAGATGTTCGCTTTCAGATATCATGGTCAGTATCTTTATCGTGCAGGGACCATATCACTAGCTAATCAAACCACACAGGACGGATATCCGAGTCGCCTGCATGGCAATGACAAGACCCATTTTCCCTTTTGTCCGATCAATTCGACCCATGGGGCTCACTCTCGCGCCGCCTAATGATGATATCGCTCTTCTTGCCACCCGCCTTCTCCCCTTGATCAAAATCCCAGGAATTTTCAGTGATTTGTTTGCCAAAATCATCTATGACCTCCTCGAACTCACTTGGTATGCGGAATGGATCAAGGGGACTACTGGATACAAAGATTTCAATGAAGAGACCGAGGACTACTTCAATTTCGAAGTGGTGTATGTGGAGTACGCACTCCATTCGGACCGGTACACACCCACTGGCCAAGCCAAGGGCGATAATTCCATCGAGGGCTGTGTTCGCCTAGCCTGTCTATGTTTCCACAACAGTGCAATCTGGAACTTCTATCCAATGATCGCACCGCTGCTGCCGAAACCCATCACCGCCCTCCGTGCCGCGTTGGAAGCCACTATCCCATCTGGCGTCTTCGCCCTCTGTCGCGATCTTTTGATATGGCTACTATTCGTTGGTGCAGCATGCAGCCAAGTGATGCCATTGGAACGCACATTTTTTGTCTCGGAGCTCGCAACAGCTTGCCGCCTACATGGTGTGACGTCTTGGCAGGAAGCCCGGTCCATCCTCCTGGGCTTCTTCTACGTCGATCGTGTCCACCTTCCTATGCTACGTCAGATATGGCAGGAGGTCCAACTACAGTCGGATTTCTCGGCTGCGCGATGATGCATCATCATTTTTTCCCCCGCCGAAACCGAAATGGGGGCTTCAAATCAATTGAAACTCCCGGAAGCGTTGGAAACTCTCACCACACTCTACCACCACCCCTCTTATGACATGTGAATGAAACCAGATACAATAATTGGCACATACTGCATGCTAAATACTACACGAGTAATGACTAAATGAAACAGTCTATTGAAATGAAAAGGAAAACTACTCCGTACTAGTATCTGCCCCCAACGTAGCTCAGCTGACGTATCAAGAGCACAGAACTAACAAAAGCCCGCTGACACGGTTCAGTCGGCACCTGCCCGCCGTGCGATCCACCGGGCTTTAGACTACGAATGGGGGGCCGATTGCATATTTAGCCAGACAGTCTAACTAGAATTAAGGGTGTTCAAGAACAGATGCCACCGAGCAATTGCCGAAGACGCAGAACCCCCCCCAACAAAGTCTCCCCCTTTTAACTTGCAATAATACTCTACAACAACCTACTAGTAGTGTTGTCATCGCAATAAATGCCATTACATACAACTCACGCACCAAGTCCCAATAACAGCCCATGATAAATCAAAGAATTGCTCGGCAGGGAACTCCACAAATGCCGACCGAACTATCGCCGACCCCTGAACACCGAGTATAGACCGAGAAAGGATCGGGTGGAGGTCGGCAAGCTCGGGACGGGATAGATAGGGAGCTGTGGTGCGTTTCAGCTAGCAGTCTGACAGTCGAACCAAGTCAAAAGAGAGCCTTCATCCAGGGCCAAATATTTTTCTTCTTTCCTCTTCACTTCGGCCCTTTCCCCCGCCTCAAAACTAGGAAATATAAAGCCTTGCTTACTTTACCCCTTACTATGTTTGAGTAACCGGCCCAACCCAAATTAGGTATCTACATTCCACTCCCCATCCACTATTTGCGTCTGAAAATTAGGGTTGACTTAACCTTCGCGCAACAGACTTGCCCTGTCTCGCCTCGGGACTGTGATTTACGGTGCTCTAGGCCTCCTTTTCAGACCAAATTCCCCGTGTCTCAGGGATAATTTTAGTTATTACCCACCTTCTATTGGATGACTAGGGCAGGGTGTACCTAAAACCGAGTCGAAACGGAGGTTTACCTTCTCTGTCTTTGAGAAGTAGATCGGGGCTGCGTACCTGATCTACACACTTACTTAAAGCCGCCCATGCCCAACCCACCTGGGATTGACCGGCAATGTTTACTTTTTCGACTGACAGAATCTTTCTTTCCATGGTTCTTGAATGATCATGACCCAATGCCTGGTTTGCAGCTCATTTCTCCCGATTGTACGGATTGTATGATTCTACGGACTGCATACACATTTTCATGTGTTTATCGCCTCTATCATGGGATCCGGGTCCTCCCTGCGGGCCTCGCACTGATGCTCGCCTGGGCACTGCTTTGATATAAAGCAGCTACACAATGAGCAAATGATTGTCAAGACTAACTCTTTGCTTACTGTGGCTCCAGGTCTTCCTTTTAGCCAAGGTATGGGTGGCATGTCTCCGTCATCCGACCTCGACGAACCAGTTCACATAAAAACAACCATTGTCCGACAATTGGGCGATACAAGGCAGGGACAGGGGCAAGTGACGAATTACGGGTTCACAAGGTACGTGTATTCGGAGAGAATTAATCATTTAGGATGAATTATTACAAGCCACGCAATAACAGGCAAGGAGACTAAATACAACAAGGAAATATGAGGGGAACGCAACGCGAACCGCCCCTGATTATGTACTCGAGCCCGAAAGAAAGAACTATCTTATGTTCTTTCCCGAGTCACGAGCCGATTTGTGCAAATGCTCCATCATCCCGAACGACAATTCAACAATCATCGAACGGAAGAAAAAAGGATGAAGCAAAGCTACGAGGATAACGGCCAAGCATGAAAAGGCTTAAAACGGTACTGCGATTCCATTGGCGAACGACTAATGAAAGCGTTCGAAAAAGGGAGATCCGCGCCCATGTTCAAGATTCCTGCCAAACGACAAGGAATAAATCCCATCACTTTTCAACCATATCCCTGAATGGCACGAGGGGTATCAGAAAACATTACAAACGCGCAACGCAACGGGGGGGCATTATCAACCATCCTTTCATTCCGTCATGATCGAGACGACGCAGGGAGTGGAGGAATAATTTATGCCAGCTCCCGGTCGGTCTTCTGGCGGCGCTCACGGCCGGTGGCAGACCAGGGGAAGTGAGCAACAGGGATGACGAAGAAGCTGTTGCTGTTGTCGGCCAGACCAGCCAGGGCGTTGTACCAGGCGGCGAAAGCAGCCAGGAATCCGAAGAAACCACCAGCCTTCTGGATGTTGGCGTTGGGGGTGCCGGCGTCATCGTGCAGCAGGTAGGCAATGCCCAGCAGGAGGAAGGTCAGATCCAGGGTGAAGAACAGGATGAAGAAGGCAACGGTGGAACGGAGGGTGCAGAAGACCAGGATGGTGGTGAAGATGAACCAGCCCATCAGGAAGAGACCCATTGAGTTCGCGAAGGGAACGACACTGGTCGTGCCGTCGGAAGCAGTGACCGTCAGACTCTTCTCGATTTCGAAGCCACCAGGTGTCAAGACGATGGCAAACGCGAGCCAGAAACCGCCGTACGAGGAGAGAGCAGTGGCACCGAAGGTGTTACCGACGGCCATTTCCCTGGGATATTGTTAGTGGATACTTCGTTTCACGACTCGGAGGATTTCAATGATAACATACCACATGCCGGCAAGCAGCTGGACCAGACCGCCGTAACCGAAAGCCAGAGCGCAAACGATGTTGGGCGCGGTGAGGTCGCGAGCACCCATGTTGATGGCGCTCAGCACGAAAGTGGTCAAGGCGAAAGCGCAGAGGCCCAGAGGAGCCGGGTTGGCGAACTTGCGACCCTCGACAGGCTTGTACAGACCGGGCTGGAACTCACCACCAAAGGCAGGGAGACGAGCCTCAGCAGTGTTGACGTGAGAGAGAGGACCGTAGCCGAAGCGCGCAGCTTGGCGAGCGACCTCGTGCTCCTCGGCCGACATTTGCGGCTGAAGGTTGGGCCCGGCAGCCGCGGGGGCGACACCGACATCCTTCTCGAGGGAGCCGTTGTTGGTAGTGTCAGTTACAGACATGATGATACGTGAAGTTCTAGAAAGAAATCACAAAGGTATTAATTGAGAGGGTTGGTAAAAAAGGCGAGTTTGAGGTGGTTAAAAAAAAAAGTGAATTGGGGAAAAAAAGAGTTCAGCTCGCTGAACAATGGAAGAAAGTCTCAATTGGAGATAACACAGTTAAATCGAAAAGAGGTGGAAGGGGAAGAAAAGCGATCAAGTCCAAAAGCCAATCAGCGCTGCTGGAAAGGATGGAAATAGAGATGAGAAGGGGAGAAGGATGTCGAAAGGTCAGGGGACAGAGCTAATATAAGTTCTTGGCCCGAGAAACAACAACCAAACCGCCCATTGGGAAGCTCGGCTGAAAGACTCGGGATCGTGGCCGAAAAATCACAGCAAAAAAAAAAGGGAAAAAAGAAACACCGGGGAAGAGCAGGGGCGAAAGGAGCATGGACGAAAGGGAAAAAGTGGAGACAAAAGTTACCTGTTGACCCGCTGAGACAAAAGGATGGTCTCAATAAATTGCAATGATGTGCAGTTGAGAGGAGCAGTCCCACCGACACTAACAGAGGTTAATTGGAGATGGGTTCGAGAGTGGGAAACAAGAGAGAAACAAAAAGTGAGAAAATCAGAGGAGGAGAAAAAAGGTAACCTGATGGGCTTTTATTTTTATATACACGCAGCCACTCGCAACTAACACACCCATGGACATCTGCAAGGCAAAAAAAAGGAAATTAATTAAAAATGACTAACAGCGTGCTTTTGTTTGCGACAGGCCTAGGTCTGGTACGGAGAGTACGGGGGACAAGGGTTTTTGGTTTTAGCTTACACAGGGTTTACCATTTGCAGGATGGACCTCATACATCCGGGGAGACGGCACAGCGGATGGACCGGGGTTGGCACTGGGACATGGGGAGGTCAATCCGCGGGTACCAAACTAAACATTAACTGGTCACGGAGTTAGGGATGGCAACAAGAACCCGGAGAGTACGGACTACGGAGTACAGTATGTACAGTATTGGAGTGAGTGTGGGGGCAACCCCTTCCAGAGCAGAACAAGACTGGTTCAGAAGGCATGGAGCAGTGTGGCTCACTGGTTCAGCTGCTCTGGTGATCACAGATCTTCGGGGCAGGTGGGCCCCAGGGTCATGACCATGCCTATTTAGCTGTCAATGGCAACCTTTAGGAAGTCTTGCTAGCCTCGGGGAGAACCTGTGGCGTTGTATTGCGATACGACAAATACCAGACTAATGTACGTAGGAGGTATTATTGATTACTCATAAATTATGGTTAAATTCGAAGCTGTCCAACACCCTCCCAACACCCTTTCCCGGCTAAAAATCCATCACTGACTCCACACTAAACTCGCTTTGGGCGACCTAAGCAAATCTGTCTAGTCCGAATTAATTGCATGTTGTGCTTGGCAGTGGAATTACGTGTGGAATCCCTTGGTTTATGCACCAATCCCCTCTCACCACACTTTCATCGTCTACTACCTGGCCCTTGCTCTTCATCATTCGAACCACTTCCCAAAAAAAGGGGCAAAACGAAAGTGAGTGAGTGAGTGTGTGAGAGAGAGGGGCAGATGGAACACGGCTTATCGCACGGTGCACCTGATCCTTACGAAAAAGAGATGTAGCCCCAGCACTAAATCGTCTCGTCCCATCCACGCGTGGAGTAGCAACGTCGCGGCCCCTCGCGGCCCTTCCGAGCGACAGCGACAGCGGAAATCCTCATTAAACTGCTCGTTGTCTCGCGCTTGCTTTGACTGAGATGGGTCCCTGATAGACTTTATGCGACGCGGCCGGGATGTCGCACCATTCATTCCGTGCCTGCCACTAGGCCCTGACAGGCCATCGGTCCGGTAATCAAGGCTGTGTTTTTCTTCTCTTTCTCAAAAGAGATCCTCTCGCAAACTGGCGGAGAGCCACAGATGGAGATCGACGTGGACCTTGATGCACACTAATTGACCTAGCCAGAGTCTTGTCTTGTTTTTCCTTTTTTTTCTTTTTTTTCTCTCACAACATCCACTTTTTGTGTGCGTCCTCTGTCTCCATCGTGATTGTCCCGGAGACGCGACTCTGGTGGGACAATTCAATCCCAAAAAGATCTTGTGCAGGAACTAGACCTTGTTGTAGACAGCCTGTGGACTAGACTTTGAACCACTTGTGGATTCCCATGGTGGTGGGTGTTGCACACATGCTTCGGATTCGGCCCGCCCTAGGCTCCCCAGAAGAGGAGCTTACTCCATTGTAGTGACACCGACCGTGTATCAGATTGGCTCACTCCATAACAAAGAGAGCTTGATTTCAAATGGGTCCCTCGTAAGCTCCTAGTTCCACACGAACACGAGGACAAGGCTCGCGGGAGAAAAAAAAAAGTCTTTGGGGGTTAATACCATGCTAACGCGGCCAGCTGTCCCTTTCTCAACGTGGCGACGGTGAAAATGTCGTGTCAGGAGCTGTACTTACTCCGTCCACCCTACTCCGTACTCTGTAACTTGACCATGTCAGACGCGGGCCATCCCCAAATCGCTAGTCTACCCGCAAACACACCTCAACCTCAAACCACGCGTTGGCGAGATGAACTAAATCGAGTTCGGTCGAAAATAGAAATCTCTTCATCGAGCGGCCATTGGCACGCCGGGGATGCAATTCCAAAACTCCCATCCTTGGCTAGTGGTTCCCCGTATATGATTGATGGAGTTTCACTACTATTGATGCATGCATTGGATGGCGCATCAGACTACTGCAATAGTAAGCCCGCCAAAGTAGTCAGCAGGTGGCGGCCGCCCAGTGGCTTGCCATGAAATTAACAAGCATTGTTCCGTAATTATTGTGGAAATGTGGAGCTAAGATTCAGATAAATGAATTCCTGCTCCCTGCATTAGTATCCTAGATGATATTATCACTAATTATCACCATTGACCTCCCTTAAAACAACTCAATATTGTTTTCGTATTTATCCGGTTCAATAGCTAGGGTCTATACATAGCACGGGGTACTCTGTACGAGTTAAACGTGATTTAGGGCGATTATGTAGGTACTTGTGCACAGGGCTGAAGGATCAGTATCAGGATCAGGATTGCAGGTCGTCTTCGCGGCCCCAGTCGATCATTGTTCCTACATAATCTCTCCGCATCCTCCCCGCATACACTCCGCCATGAGACATACGTACTACTAGTATTTTAAGATTAACCCCAGATTGCTTGTCTTTGATGGAGGTTGGGGTAAATCTACCTCATATCGCTTAGGAGTGCGGGGTATAGAGTACCCAGATTCACCGATCTATACTTCATACTCCATACAGCTCTTCACGATGACGCAAATCCGTATTTGCTTGCGGAGCTTCCCACGTGGAAAACCCACGATTTTCCTGTTCGTAACTACCAAACTCTTTATTCCAGCCTTACCAAAGTTCGAGAAGACACTCAAGTCATGTGAGACAATACGGTATCTGGCTTTCAATAACTTGAGGGGCCTGATGGCCCTTAAGGTTTCTATTAAAATCGCCACCCCCGGATCTAGCAATAGTAGAACAAGAACAAGAACAAGAACAGGAATACTCTTCATTCCAAGCCTCCAAGCATCCAAGCATCCCCAATCCAAGCCTTCCGTTCTCCCGCTTACCAACCAGATTTGAGAAATCCTCACGATCTTCAGCCTTCCTTCTCCCCGCAACCATTGCGATCAGGCCATGTGCGGGGAGAGCTCTCCCGGCTCTGCGCCGAGCAAGATCAACATGCATGGCATTGGCGACACCTCCAGAATTATCGAAAAGAGCGACTGTTTTCCCCACATTTCTCTCATCTGACCGATCCTCTGTGCGGGGGGTAATGAGCCCATTGAGTTCTTCTCTGCATTCTCACCAACGAACCACAGTCTCCGGCCACACAAGCTGGCCCGACTTGACGTCAGCGACGGCACCGCAGTGGCCGCAGCGTGCCGTGCCATGTACGTGTTTGTACAGTGCCGCGCCTGTCTGTCCGGCTATGCCGGCGTTGAGCATGCGACGCTGCGTATCACAGCGAACCAGTAGAACCAATGGAACGGAACAGTTTACCAGCGCCATGTATACACAGTCTGGGGAACATGTGGCAGGAATTTCAGGACCCGGGGCCTGGTTTTTCCTCCGCCACCTTTAACCAGACCCTGGGGATGACGGAGACTCATCCCCGCGAACCGTGGAACTGTGGATAGAGACCCTTGTGGAGTAAGTTTTCGCCTTTACCGATGCCGAGAATATTGCTAGAAGGTTGGCCGTTTTCGGCTCGGCGGAGCGGAACTATGGGCTGATTACCCACGGTTATGGGTAATACCATGGAGAGGTTTCCAATGTCTGCTGATGAGCCACAAATGGTGGATCCCCCCCGGCTGCGTCGGATATCCCCCAGAGGAAAACAAAGAATGATTTATTTGGTATGACCGGCCGAAAGATGGAGAATTTCTTACCGACGAAAAGAAAGTGTTGGGGTCGATGGTGTCATGCGGGGGGATTGCTGGAGCTAATGGATTGGGATAGGTCAGATGTAGACTCAACCTAGACTACCGAGTAGTCTGTGCATAAGGTCTGCCGTCCAATGCTCGAAAAGTTGCTGTACTTCGTGTACTCGGTGGCAATCATGCCCAATGCCTGGACAGCTCAGCTCTCCAAAAACAGAGAGTCGTGGAGCTCTGGATCCCGCGATGATCATCGCTCTTTGCAGTGCACCAAGGAAATCGCTCATCCTGCGGTGAGCTCTCGTCTCAAAAATAGGTCTTGGATGAGGTCACAACAGCCATGACAATCGATGACAATCCATCAAATTAACCCTAGAGTCCCATTCCTCCCGGATAGACTTGTGTCCGCCAATTTGTTCATTCTATGGAGCCAGCCATCTCCTCTTTGAGACCGCTCAACTTGATCAGCCCATCCTACTCAATGCTGCTCCACTCTTATCATTGATTTCGAAAATACTCACTGCTTACTGCTCACTACTCACTGCTCACTTCATTATAGTTGACAGCACAATCTCCTCCTTGATTCATCACCGACTCAACCCCCTCGCAACTCGTGCGGGGTTTGCAGCAATCGTCGCTTCGTCTGCCGCACCTTCCTCATCAGGCCTAATAACCACGACGCATCGACCATTGAGAAAGACCTCTGATATCTGGCATATCTGGCATATCTACCACTAGTATATTTAGCAATGGTCAAACTATCTGCCGCTCTGCCCTCTCAGGTCCGGCCTCGAGGGGATAATCGCAGCCAACCATGACTTGGGATACTCCTCCCCCCGTCTGTGCACATCTCTCATCGGCGGAATAGCCCGTCTTCCCCGCGTTCTCGCTCTATCTCGTCTGGATCAAGCTTCTACTTGAGGAATCGCCGCGGCTGTTATCAGTCGTTGGATGGATCAAGGTTGTAGCTGAAATGAGCCGAGGACACTGATAATGCTACTCTAAAGATACACTGAGGATGAAGCGGGGAAGGAAGGGGAGATCAAAATGGGTTGCCCTCGCACTGGCAGAGGAGAGCTTCTTCTTTGAGCGTTCGAATAGTTTCTCTAGCTCAAATACAGCAATTGAATGAGTCTACATTTTTGAAACATGGGAGTCCCGTCCGAGAAACACGACCACCCGGTCCGCAGGGATGATCTGGATATTGATGTGAAGAACGGGACCATCCAAGATGGAAAGGCAGATGCAGCACTGGACTTTCTCCGCACTGGGGATAATCTCGATGCGACGGAGGTTGATGAGAAAACCCTCGTTCGCAAGATTGACTGGATGATTATGCCGCTCATGTGGGCGGCATATAATCTGCAGTACCTGGACAAAGTGCTCAGTAGGTGCTCAATAGGATCAACAAAGATGCCGTCTTCCAAGTTTCACAGTCTAATACTTCGTTTCCAAAGTCAACTACGCATCAGTTATGGGATTATTGAGCGATACTAATATGCGCACTAATGAGTTCTCTGACTTGACCTTGGCCTTCTACGTGACATACCTCGTCTTCGAACTACCCACTGGTTTTCTCATGCAGCGATTGCCAACAGCAAAATACTTGGGATTGAACGGTACGACGATCCCAGACATTGTTGGAATTGAAATGGAAATGAAAATTGACCAATCTATCTAGTCACCCTGTGGGGTCTGATGACCACGTTGAACTGCACCGCGAAGAATTTTGGAGGACTTATGACCCTTCGGGTGCTTCTGGGATGCTTTGAAAGTGCAATTGCACCAGCGTGAGAAAAATCCTGTATACGCCATCACTGGGTCCGATCATTTTCTTACTTACACCTTCTCAGACTCATCCTCATCACTTCCATGTGGTACAAACGAACAGGTATAACTACCTCTCCCGTACTACCCTTCATCCATACATCCTCTAACCCACTGCCCTGAACAGAACAACCCAAACGAATGGGAACATGGTATCTAGGCACAGGAACCGCCTCAATAATGGGCGCACTGGTCGCCTACGGCCTCCTCTTCTACACAGACGACCAATTCAACTCCTGGCAAATAATGTTCCTAATCTTCGGCATCATAACCATTGCCGTAGGAATCTGCATCATAATCTTTCTCCCAGACAACCCAATGACATCAAAACTCACCCACGCCGAAAAAGTCCTCGCCATCGAACGCCTCCGCGAGAACCGCACCGGTATCGAAAGCAAGCATTTCAAATGGCACCAATTCGCCGAGGTATTCCGCGATCCGCAAACATACCTGATCGTCATCATCGTGGCTTCGATGAATATCTCCAACGCAGCCGTGAGCAGCTTCACCTCCCTCATAATCAAGAATATCGGCTTCACGACGAAAGAAACCGAGCTCCTGAATATCCCCAATGGAGCCGTGAGCATCGTCAGTATCGTGACGGCCTCGTATTGCGCCTCGCGGTATGACCAGCGCTGTCTCTGCGTCATTGCTTCGCTGACTATCGGTCTACTCGGCGGCTGTCTCCTCGCCTTCTCGCCAAAGGACATGAAGGCAGCACAGCTAGCAGGTAACTACCTAACCCAAGTCATCGGGTCTGCTTTGCCAATACTTTACTCCCTCGCCGGCGCCAATGCCGCCGGCCACACGAAGAAAGTCACCATGAACGCCATTCTCTTGATGGCCTTTTGCCTGGGTAATATTCTCGGCCCGCTCACGTTCCGCACCAAGGACGAGCCGGATTATATCCCTGCGAAGATTGCGCTTGTTGTGACCGTGACGCTAGCTATTATCTTTGCGTTTATGCTGCGCTTCTTTTATGGGTGGGAGAATCGGCGTCGAGATGCGCGCCATGAGGGTGAGGTACATCAGGAGAATTCGGAGTTTTGGGATTTGACGGATCGGGAGAATCGGGAATTTCGGGTAAATTCATTCCATTCTTTTCTCTCTTTATCCTCTTTTATTGTTGTTTGGTTGCGGTTGAGAGTGCGATTGCTGACTTGCTTCTAGTATAAGCTTTGATCGGAGGTCCTTTGGATGGTCTATACTTTCTTTTGTCTTAGACGGTGATGACAATTCTCTTGGATCGACGTAGATATCGTATATCATGCTTAGTAGAAAGATGAACTCAAGAAGCAGTCTGTCATACATTCATTTAATGTATACTAGGTATATAACAAGAACAACAGATCTAGCCCTAGCCAAACAATGATCCACACGCTATGCAATAAGCACTCTAAAATCTAACCCACGAGAGCCGCTCTAAGCCCCCACTTGAGTAGCCTTAAACTCAGGACTAAAGTCCCAGTCAATATAGCCAGTAGCAGACCCAGCATTATAGAAGGTATCCCGGTTATAAGGAACAAGCGGGACATTAGCCTTAAGTCGGAAAGGCAGATCCGGGTTCGACGTCCACGGCCGCCCAAATCCAATAACAGCATCATACGATCGGTACTTGCCATCGATAGCCTCAAGAGCCGTCTCTGCCTTATACCCACCAGCAATAATAACCGGCGTGGCATTGCCATACGCCTCCAAGAAGAACTCCAGCCCATCAGAAGTCTCCGCAGTATCAGCATTACCCGCAATCCGGGGCTCGACGATATGCGCATAGGCAAGCTTCAGCTTCGCAATCTCGGAGGCCAGATACGTGAATTGCGGAATTGGGTCCGCCATCCGCATGCCCTGGAACGTGCTGTAGGGCGAGAATCGAATTCCAGTCCGGTCAGCGCCAATGGCATCGGCCACGGCCCGCGTAATCTCCAGCGCGAAGCGAGCGCGGTTCTCGACGCTGCCGCCCCAGCTATCCGTGCGTTGGTTCGACACATCCTGGATGAACTGGTCGATCAGGTACCCATTCGCAGCGTGGATTTCGACGCCATCGAAGCCCGCAGCGACGGCATTGCGCGCGGCTTGCGCGTAGTCTTGGATGTAGGTTTGGATCTCCGATTCGGAGAGGGGGCGCGGCTTGGCGGCGCCTGAGGCGGCGGGGATGTCGCTTGCGGAGACGACGTCGTAGTCGCCCAGTTTGGGGAGGTAGGTTGGGTCTGTGACGCGGCCGAGTGCCCAGAGTTGCATGTAGATGTAGGAGCCCTTGGCGTGCACGGCGTCGGTGATTTCCTTCCAGGCGGCGATCTGGGAGTCGGTGTAGATGCCTGGGACGGCTTTGTAGCCGCCGGCTTGTGGGGAGATGATGGTGGCTTCAGTGATGAGGAGGGTTCCTGGTGTTGAGCCGCGTTGCTCGTAGTATTCCTTCACCATTGGGAGAGGATTGTGGTTCTCGTCGACGCGGAAGCGAGTCATTGGGGCCATGGCCAGGCGGGCGGAGAGCTCCATACGGCCGACCTGGATGGGACTGAAGAGCTTGCTCATTTTTGAGGTGTTTTGTTTTGTGATCTGGAAATATGTAGGTATTCTGGCAAGAGGTATAGGGTTGAATCGGAGTATGCAAGGTTTAGTATGTCAATTAGCACCAATAGAGGATGAACTGATATAGTAGATGGGATAGTAGATGAAGTAGTAGATATTGAGGTACAGACAGAATTCTTATATCTCAATAAATGTTATGAGAATTTAAATTGCTACCTTGGCCCACAAGATGATTTCCAAGCAAAGCCGACCCGCGAGGCTTGGAAAGCAACTGCGGATTAAGTGAAGATTTCATCCACAAAAAGTCTCCGAAGTGGAGCATCGGCAGATTCAATCCCGACTGTCCAAACATGGTTTCCATCTATGTACGGAGTAGTACCACTCCGTAATTCGATAGGCTTCTAAAATACCTTAAAGTAAAAACTTGGAAATACTAATATCATTTCTATCTCCCGTACTTGCGGGAAGAAGCAAATTGAATTTGTTTATTGTTTCGGAGATACGGGAATAGCGACGCTGACAAACCGTCGTCACACTGTACAAATGCACCTCCTCACCTCACGCCAAGGTTATACTCATACTCCCCATCCAACTTGCAAAGCAAATCACAAAGTAACACAATAACACAACAAGTAAACACTAATTCCTGCAACTCCGATTTCCCTGGCCCGGCCAGGTAGGTGGTATCACGAAAATGACAAATATGGCTAAAAGTACTCCGATTACGAATTCATCACATCACGATCTCTCCAGCTGTCGTGCCGTCGATTCTAATTGCGCATTGAAAGACCGGATCTGATGGAGGAGACCACCTTGTGATCCAGGGGCGCGGCAGCTCACTTCCTCAGCCACACTCCGAAGTAAGAACTCGAGCTCAGTTGAAGATGGCTCGGTCGATGGTGACCCGCGATATTGGTTGCGGTCGAGTGCAAGCTCGAGGCTGTGAATGGAATTGTTGATAGTAGAACGTGTCTATAGTTAATCGTCAGTCTGCTCCTGGCTAGAGTCAGGGGTAAACAACAAAAGCTTACCGTCTTCTCATTCTCCTTCTGCATGTGCCTGCTCCGCACCTGATCCATCTGTAGAGCTATACTTTCTCGCTCCCGCCGCACCTGATGGAGGTGGCTCCGCAATTCCATCATGTCGCGCTTCGCCTTCTTGAGTTGCACACCAAGCACAAAATTGCTGTCCAGCATTTCACTCAAGTCTAACAGGCGGCCGTCTAGCTCCATGCCAAAATTCTCAACGGCTTTGCGCTTGCGTGACCATTCAGCACGCCGCGCAGCGTTTGTTTCATTCTCAATTCCAGTCTTCAGCGTCGTCAGCGTCTTTTCTAAGGTCTCACGACAGATCTGACTCAAGACATCGGCGGGATTGACACCTCCGCGGTTTGGAAGTTTGGTCTTCTGTTGGGTCGAGGATTCATCGGTAGGCCTGTCTCCTTCCTCTCCAGGGTCATTGGCAGAAATATCAAAGGTGCCCAGGGCAGAGGTATTAACAAGTCGATGGATTGTAACAGGTACAGTCTCTCCACGAGGTTCTCTTGACTTTCGCTGTGTCGGACGTGATTCTTCTGCCTCTGCCTCTGCCTCTGCCTCCGATGGCTCTTCTGTCGGAGACGCTTCTGTTCTTGTTCTTTGATTGGCATTCTTTCCCTGACGACGACGCTGCTTTGGTGGTTCTGGTTCCATTGCCTGCTCTGGCTCCTGGGATGCCTCTTCGTCTTGTGCCTCTGGCTCTGCCTGTTGCTCATGAGCACGTTTAGATTTCCCTCCTGATCTAGTCTTGCGGGACTTCGACTTTGCAGATTCCGCCTCTGGTTCTTCATCAACCTCCGGATTGGTCTCAGGTTCAGATTGGGTCTTCTTCCTCTTTGCTGGCTTCCGCGTTTGGCGTGCACCTGTTGTAGATGGTTCACCGGCAGTGGACGCAGAAGCCACTGGACTCTGAGGTTGTGGTTCCGTCTCGGTGTTATTCGAATCCTTCGCAGGTGAAAAGTTTCTACGGGGGCGCTTGCCTTTGGCGATATTGCTGGGCTGGGCTTGCTGATCCTGATTCTCAGACGCAGTATCCGGTGCTGTCCCCTCTGTGCTTGGTGATTTCGAGCGATTGCCGTTGATCTGAGCTGCCGCTTCTTTCGCGGTCTTCTTCCCTGTCGCCTTTATGCGTGTTTGCTTGCCATTTGCGGCAACATCAGACGCGTCGAGGCCGGCTGTAGAATTTGCCGTAGGAGTGTGGCTAGTCTCGGGAGCCTCTGCAGAATCACTGGGCGTTTCTTGCACATTTGACTTGGGTTGTTTCCCCCTCTTCGTCCGAGGCGATATAGATTTCCGCGGAACTTGCTCTGGCTGGTTGTCTGCGGTTTCTTGGTCGGTTTGGATTGGCGATTTTATTTGCCGCGATTTCCTCGACGATGGCTCATTGGGTTGAACTTCTGCTTCGATCTGCGGGGATTTGGACTTTGATGGGCGGGACCGATTGAGTGCTAGATCGGGGGTGGAAGCCTCTATCTCTTTGCCATTGACAGTCGAGGTTCCAGCCTCTTCGGCTCTCTCTGGCTCTTGAATCTCTGGAGCGGGAGGAGATGGTAGGACAGGCACATTGTCCGCGGTTTCCTGCTGAGATGCCTCCGTCGGGGCCTTCGCATGCCCAGGTTGTATTTTTGAAGAGTTCGCTATAGATGAAGAATTGACATGCGAGGAATTATCGGCATCTCGTGAGAAGGGTGTGTTTTTTTCCGCGCTAGGGGGGGTCTTCAATATGGTCAATTCGGCCGTCAGCTAGCGGAGGAGCATGGCGTAACCTACTAATCTTTCGTCGCTTGTTACTGCGAATTTGCTCGGGGGCTCCGTCAGGTGGTATGTCATACGCAGAAATACGAGGCGGGCGACTGTTACGCGCACTACCTGGTGTGCGCTGGATATTATCTGTCTGCGACTGGGGTTGCGACGAAGCTTCCTGGGGCGGCAGAGTTGAAGCTATGGAGGCAGGTTCGGTTTGCGGGTGTATTGTGGTCTCAGGTATGATAGCAGGCTGTGTAGGTTCTGGAAATCCAAGGCTTGGTCCTCCAAATGAAAATCCAAAGTTGATCTCCTTGGTTTTGCGCGTCCTATGTCTGGGGTTAGCCAAAGCCTCAGTGTTATGGTCTCGCGGGGGAGGGGCGCGTACGCAGCTCCGCGCTGGCGCATTTGTTGCCGCTCCTCGCGCGCTATAAACCATTAGCAATATTTCACACAGCATTTCAGATGTCGCGCACGTACTGGAGGCCATTGTTGAGGAACGGCGCCGAGAAAGACGCGTCGTGGTTGGTAAAGAGTAAAGAGTAGAAGCGCCAACGGCGGTCGGGGCCCAAAGTCGATCGGGGCCGATCCATTTTTGTGCCGACTTCTCCGCAACGCTTTGCTTTGCGCCTTTCCTCAACTCTACAATTCCGATACCAACTGCTACAGTCTTTCAGCAATGGGCTGGTTCTGGGGTGACAATAAAGACGACCCTGTCAACAAGCTTGACCCGGGTCTTCGTGAGTACCTGGAGCAAGAGACGCCCAGCAAATACGAACCTGCGCCCAATCTGAAGCAGCCAACACCTCCCTCCACGCAACCCCAGACGCAGACGCAGACGCAAACATCTAAACAGAGCGAACCGACGGAGGACCAATTGCCGGCCGCTTCATTATACCAAGATGGTCGCTACGCGCATCTGTGGAAGACCTATACGCCGCTGACTGCCGCGGATGACGACGCTGTCTATGGCGGGGCGAGTCGAGTCATCGAGAAATTCAAGGAGCGTGGAGATACAGTGCAGCGAGCGGCGATGGAGAACTGTGCGCTTGAGCACGAAGCCTTGACACTATGCTTCCAAACGGGCAATTGGCGCAAGCAGATTGAGTCCCGGTTAACGAACTGCGCCGCGGAGAACGGAACATTTTCGCGATGCTTCGTCACCCAGAGTGTGAGTGGATCTCCGACCCATATACCATGCTCTATTGTCTTGATATAATACTAACTATGCGAAGAAATTCCTCCAGGCTCTCGGCTACGCCTCGTCCTTCCAGCAGGATGCCGAAAAGGAGGAGCGAATCCAGATGCACGCGGACAAACTTTACCACCAGATGCTCGACTACGAGAAACGTGTAGAGGAGGCCAAGGCTGCTGGTCAGGAACCACCCCCTCTCATGTCTCTCTTCGATCCCAAGCAGGCGTCCAAGGCCAGTGGCAAGCGATCCGATATTGATATCCCAAGCGGTGTCGCCATTCCGGAAGGGTTCAAACCCTCGAAACCAATCCACCAGTTAACGCCACACGAGCGAGAGCTAGAGATTCGAGCTCACAACGCACAATTAGAACAGCACAAGCTCTATGCGGAGGAGGCCGCGCCTTTCATGAAGTCTCACGAGGAAAGCCGGGCGAAGCGGAAGGAAAAGATGACCAGTTGGTTCGGCGAGAGCATTGGAAAGTGGCTGGGATGATCACCCGAGGGGATTTTATTTGAACTGTATTTTTATCTTAAAGCTCCAAATATTATTTTGTAACTTATCACATTGGATGATTCACAACGGTAACCGGGGGCGTTGTGGCTAATTTGCCGCATTACACAATATCTGGTAAAATTGGCCAGGGATGTTTTCAGAACCCAGTTCTAGTAGCATTAGATTCCAACTCAGACATTTCTATGGACCATTACTAATTGGTGTTCATGTGGATGCTCTTCCACGGTTCCAGTCTGAGGTGACTATTGTACCTACTATAGTTGGCTATTGTACTAGAAGTTTCAAGTACTAACTAGGTAGTAATATACCTATTTTACAATTATAAAGGTTGGAGTACTAGCATCTGAAGGATTCAGAATGGAGATATACCTAGGTAGGTTGATAAAAAGAGAATTACTTTTGGTTTCAATAGTAGACTAGGTAGTAGATATTAATATATACCTGTACTGCATCCAGTCACAACACCTCATCCATCACGTTCCGGTTGACTTTTAGTAGACTCCACTCCATAAACCTTCAAGGAAAATGGAATTCATGCCGATGAATAGGGTCTGGTGCTTTATAGCTACCTAGGTAGACTCGTACTAGTTAAAATAATAGTAAATTTCACCTCGTGGAGGCGTTGTCGATCGCCATCAAATCGGGGGCTCGTCAGTGGTGGCTATCTAATCGTGTTCCGGTCGCGTTAAGGTCCTAAAGGTTCCCAGTCCGCGCAAACCAACTCGAGGCATCATCACTGCACTCACTCCGCCCTTCTTTCTCCTTCTTTTCTCCCCCTTCTTCTCCCAAAATTCCTTCTCAATCTGTTTTTCTTCCTCTACAAACACTCTTACCGATTCCCCTCGCCTATCCAGGTCGTGGCTCTGCCAAACAACACCCCCCCCCCATCAACCGACTAGCACGAGTGAAACCCCATTGAATCCGCCGAATCCGCGGTGGAAATCGTCCCTAAACGCCTCTCGATCATAGGTTTCTTGGATAGAACGGCTTTCGAAAACAGCCCACGGAGCTACGGTGCCCATCATGAAGGCCTCCCCGTTGCTTATCTCGTGGCACAATGACAATGCTCCCATTTACTCCGTGCATTTTGATCCCAATGGCAAGGGCCGCCTCGCGACAGCTGGAAAGTAGGTGCACAAAGAAGAAACTGCTGGAAATCATTCACTGACTTCCATCTACTAGTGACAACAACGTTCGAGTACGCTCCCATAGTCCCCCGATACCTTACCTATACCCTCCCTGTCTGACACTTTACAGCTATGGCGAGTCGAATCGACCGGGGAAGAACGAAATGTTACATACCTTAGCACGCTCTTGAAGCATACACAGGCTGTTAATGTGGTCCGTTTTTGTCCCAAAGGTACGCCACCCCCAAATCCGACACCATCAAAGCCACACCAGATCTGACACCACATACCCAGGCGAGATGTTAGCATCTGCTGGAGACGACGGCAATGTACTGCTTTGGGTCCCGTCTGAGCTACAAACACAGCCCGGACTTGGAGAAGACCGATCGGATGATAAGGAAACCTGGCGGGTGAAACACATGTGCCGTTCATCCGGCGCGGAGATCTACGACTTGGCCTGGTCGCCCGATGGTGTTTTTATCATGACAGGGAGTATGGACAATATTGCTCGGATCTACAATGCTCAAAATGGTTGGTATTCCCGACCATACTGAAAAATATCTATCAAACTTGGCAGCTAACGTGAGCTTTACAGGGCAAATGGTACGGCAGATTGCCGAGCACTCTCATTATGTCCAAGGCGTCGCGTGGGATCCTCTGAATGAATTCGTCGCAACTCAGTCATCAGATCGATCGGTTCACATCTACAATCTCAAGACTAAAGATGGTCAATTTACATTGACCCCGCATGGCAAGGTTCTTAAGATGGACCTGCCAGCGAAACGTCTAGCATCTAGCAGCCCTGCTCCCCCGGACCCGACAAGCAGGCCACAACAAAGCAACACAAGTTCATTTGCTATTGCTTCGCCTGCCCCGTCTACCCCAGGAACTCCAATGGCATCAAATCTGCCAATGGATCCTCCCCCAGTCTCCCACAGCCGCCGTTCATCATTTGGATCTTCTCCCTCCATTCGACGCTCCGCCTCTCCTGCGCCATCCCTACCATTACCCGCAGTGAAGCCTCTTGAGGTTTCGTCTCCCAGTCTTTTGGGTGGACTAGGGGTGAAGAATGCCAGCATTTACGCCAGCGAAACGTTTACATCCTTCTTCCGGCGACTGACTTTTGCCCCCGATGGAAGTTTGTTGTTCACGCCGGCTGGTCAATACAAGACCAGCCATGTCTCAGCGACGGATCCTTCAAAGACGACAGATGAAATCATAAACACGGTGTATGTGTACACACGAGCCGGTTTCAACAAACCTCCAATCTCCCACCTTCCAGGCCACAAGAAGCCGTCAGTCGCTGTAAAGTGCTCTCCGATCTTCTACACTCTTAAGCAGAGTACTCTACCTGCCAAGCAAATCACCTTGGATACATCATCCGAGGGAGATATGTTTCCCCCGTTGCCCGACTCGGTTGTGCCCGCTGTTGCGTCCACCAGCCAACCATCCATGGATCCACCGGCCGCCGCACCGGCAAGTGGTGAGAAGGCCCAAACTTCCAAGGCAGCTGAAACGCAGGGCAATGAAAGCACAGCGGGTCCTGTATTCGCGCTTCCATACCGTATGATTTACGCCGTGGCTACACAAGATGCTATTCTAGTATACGATACTCAACAGCATACTCCCCTATGCGTTGTCAGTAACTTGCATTTTGCTACCTTCACAGACTTGTCATGGTAAGTTCTTCCTTCGATGTGCCTAGAAATTCTCTTGTCTAACAAAACATAGGTCAAATGATGGCTTGACATTGATCATGAGCTCATCCGATGGCTTCTGTTCTACTCTATCGTTCGCACCCGGGGAGCTGGGACAGATCTACACAGGACCCACGGGCCCAGCTTCAAGAGACCCTACCCAAATAGGCTCTGCAACTCCGACGAATGTCACTCCTCTCCCCACACCTACACATCTTCCGTCTCCCATCAAGGCCACCCATGTACCAGTACGCAGTGGAACGCCTTCAGCGCCTGCAGCTCAAGCACCGCCAGCTAGCCCTGCTCGATCCAACTCAGCTTGTTCCCAGTCATCTCAACAGCAAGCGAATGTGGTCAACAACCCGACACCGACCCTCGGGTCTGTTCCTTCTGTGACGGCTACTCACTCCGCGCAACCACTTCCGCTTACCACACCGCCTCAAACACCCATGCCGACCGCAATCCCAAGCGGAACGGCGACCAGCACAAGCAGTGTCCTGGGTAAGCGCGAGACCCGAACCGCCAGCGAATCCGAGAAAGATGAGAGCAAGGGCGCCGAATCCGAAGCTCCAGCCCAGCAACCGAAGAAACGCCGCATTGCACCAACCCTCATTTCTGCAGGAACTGCAGGAATCGACTCGGCCCCAGCTTCGAAAGATTCTAATACAAACACTTAAAATTCCCATTGACTCCACTCGGATTGTCCTTGTTTGTCTTGCATACTGTCTCATTATCGTCAAAACCCCTGGATTGAGGTCAAATGCATTGCGCCGACAACGAAGAATAGTCCATTCAGCCGATCACGGCTACTTTCATGAATCATGTTCACACCTTTCCTCCCTCCTCTCTCTCCCCCTCTCCTACTACGCAAGCCTGGAACCCCATCGTCCGAGGCCCTCATCCCGCTCTTCATCTTTGTATCGGACAATGATTTGATTTGCGAGAATTCCGAACCCAACCGCGCATGATGTGTTATATTCCCAACCATTTGCCCCTGTTTCCCCCAGGGAAATTCACCCTGCGATTGTATCTCATTCTCATATTCCAAGGACTCATTCGCTGCAAAGAGTTCTGGTCTTCTTTTTCAAATCTCCCTTCATCTCCCAGCTCATTTCACATCTGTTTCTCTCTTTTTTTTTTACCCATCCCATGAAGTTCTGGCGCGGCGCGATTATCATTGCTCTTACTTGTTCTCTCTTCCCGATGAGTGTTCTATAGTTGTGTTTTTGTGTGGTCATTTTTATGTTCATTCTCATTTTCATTTTTATGTTAGAAGGCTATGTCGTTTCGATTCCTCGGTACTATTTCAAGTTGTTTCAACGAATATTATGTACTTTGCTCTCTCCACCCCTCTCATCGCGTCGTGTTCAGATTCCATCTTCCGGTTCGGATCCAATTGTGTGACTGATATTGAGACTGATTCCTAAGTAAAAACGAGGATAAAAACACATGAAATCATTTTCTCCATTGTTGGATGTAATTACCATAGGCTAACTTAATGCTACCAAAAAACTATTACCTAGTACTAACTACTAGTAATGCCCTGAAGATGCCGAGCAGGCTGAACAAATGATCCAGCTAAGAAAGGCATGGCTTACCACTCCCGCCACTATGATCTTTACTCCCAGCTCTGACTATGTCGAGACAAGGGAACGGAGTACATCCAATAAAGAAAACTCATCCGGCAACCTGACTTCCGCCTCAGTAGCATGCGCCCCCGCAGTCAAAGTTGTAACCGCCACCGGCGCAGCATCCCGTTCCAACACCAAGCGATTAGCCCAACGGAACAGCGCCTCATCGCCTCTAGCACTACCAGCCACAAAGACAAAGTCGGGAAACTCTGTTTTCCTATCATGCGCAGAGTGATTTAAGATCCACGAAGCGGCCGCGGCTTTGGATGCAAAAAGTGGTTCGACACTGACGGCTCCGACATCGCGTACGACACGGATCGCTTCACGGCCTCGCGCGCCGCTGATTTGGTCTGCGAGTTCGGAGGCCTTTCTTGCAGCGGTGTCTTTGTCGTCTGCATCGGCGAAATGGAATGTCAGTGTGCAGCGGCGTGCTTCGATGGTGCTCCCTTCGGTGCGCTCGGCGAAGTATGCGATGACTTTTCGGATCCCCGCGTGCCAGTGTTGGGTGTGTGTCGTGTCTACTAGGGAGGACCAGGAGGTTGATCCTGGTAATTTGACGAAGCAACCGTTCTCTGCGACGATTCCGAGGGCTTTTGGTAGGCGATTGGATGTGGAGTCTAGTTGTTCTGGGCTGCGGTTACTAGTCAAGTAGACCGTGTTCTTAGGGTCACTGACTAGAGACTCGAGGACAGTGATCACTTCTTCTGAGGTGTAAGTTTGATCTGTATGCGTCGAGGTGACGAAAGTTGCGCCATCTTCTATGAAGAGGAGACGGGATTGGGAAGTATTGTAGGAGGTTTGGAGGTCTGTGATGTCGAGCGGGCGGATGGCATGAGCAAAGCGTGACTGTTGCATGCCGTGGGCTTCGGCAAGTGCAGTCTGAAGGGACAGGTACCAGGCAAGGGCGGTATATGGCGTTTTCCGCTCTTCAAGATATTTCCAGTTTAGCTTCTTCTGCTCCGGAGTCATCTCCAGGGCTTTGTTGATGGCATCGGCGCATTGCTTGTAATCCCATGGATTGACGATGAGATCGTGGCCTTGGAATATAGCTGCACTGCCGGTGAACTCGCTGAGGATAAGGGAACCGTATTTCTGCGGGGAAAGTTCGCCGTCCTGGCAATGAATGAAGTCATGGCTTGTCAAGTTCATGCCTTCACGGAGGTTTGTAGCCATAAAGATTTCGGCAACACTCAGTAAGGCCAGAAATTGGGCGTAGCTGATATCTTGCTGCAACAGGACGAGAGGTTGGTGGGTGAGACTGGAATACGCCGAATTAATCCTCATCGCAATCTTCGAGACTTGCGCTTCGAGCTCTGGTATGTCGGAGACTGAAGCCGTGACCTGCACTAGTACGACCTAATTTGCTGTCAGCTCATAAATCGCTCGGATGGGTTGGTAAGCTCACATTGTCTCTCCACCGAGGGTATTTATTCAAAAACAGCTCGTAAGCCATGAGTTTCTGCTTGATCCCCCCCAGGAGCATCCAGACGATCGCGCGCCACAATCAAATGTTTTCCGTGGTACCTCTGAGCGATGCTGGAAATCCAAGCCTTGACCTCAATGGATTGCCGCAGCAGATTGAGAGACTCATAGTCGATGCCTAGCGGATGACTCTTGACATGGACGAATCGATTATTGACTTGGACTCCATTGGCCGAGATCTCGAGTCTCCGAAGTCGACTGCAAGAATGAAGAAAATGGTGACAGTATTCCTCTGTTTGAAAGCCAATTAGGTCTGCCCCTAAAAGGCCATCTAACAAGGCCTCTCGAGAATTCAAGCAGCGAAAGACTTCCGAGGATGGAAATGCCGCGTGCAAGAAGAACCCAATCTCCGCAGTGGGCAATCTCTTTCTCAGCAAACCAGGCAAAGTCAGCAGGTGGTAGTCCTGTATCCAGATGCAGTCCCCAGGCCGCCAATTACATGCTATCGTATCAGCGAACGCCTCGTTGACTCGAAGGTACTGTCTCCAAGAGTAATCATCATACTCCGTGTGTCGAGGACTCTCTTGCATCTGATAATGCAGAGCAGGCCAAAGCACGGCTCGACAGAAATGGGCATAGTGGCCTTCAAACTCACTGTCGCTGACGAAGACGCTCAGAGATTCAAACTCTTCTCTCAAGGTTTCCTCGATTATCTTCCGAGTCCTCGGCTTGAGGGAGTCGGTTGGCATGCCCAATGTCCCTACCCACATTTTATCCCGAAGAACACCTGCCTCCTCTGCAGCATTAATGGCATTCTGAAGACCGCCGTGACCTTGTTCAGCAGCCTTGACTGCCCAATCATCATCCGCCAGCAGGGCCCGGGGGCTTCCAAACGGATCTTTGCACACAACACCGGGTGCGCCATCCAGAAACGAGCCCCGATATTCCTGATGTGAGCCTGGACGGCTTAGGATAGATGGATGAGGTGAAAATGTAGCCTTTGATCGGGGCTGATTGAATTTGCGGCTTTGGCCCCAGGGCACAGCCCGAGGCTCATTGGGTCCAGGTCCAATCGGGTCGTCGGCTGTGAGAATTTCACCTGCAGACCGTGAACTATATCCTTTGAAGATCTTCTCATCATCGGTCGTCGCTCCTGGGGTCAGTGATAAGCTGCTGGATCTGAGGCGAAGCTTGCGCCGAGCATCGGGCTGTCGCCCATCTATAGGGCCGAGGCCCGAGTTGTCCACAGCAGAGTAGCTGGGCGAAGGTTTTCTCTGACGCCTGCCAATACGATCTGAAGGTTCAAAGTCGATGGTATAAGGGAGGAAACTGGACGGCGGGATGTTAGTTCAAGTTGAGCGTGAGGTGAGAAATAAAACATACAGCGATGCAATGAAAACCGTCATCGTTGGGTGACGTGAGTTTGATATTAACTGCAAAGATCAAATTATCACAGGTGGTGTCGTGTAGACATGATAGGAAGAACTGTTGATGAAGTGGTGAGAGGTGGAAGTTGGATCATTGCTACCCGACGGCGAGGCAAGTATAGATCACAAACTTGTAGCTTGCCGTCATGGAGGGTTGAGCTACTACACCATAGTAATTCAACAATCAAGTATTTCAGATTTGTCTAGGTTCTTCATGTTCGGCTTGTCGTCTTATACAAACCTCTTCTTTGAACACAGCATCAAGTCACCAGGTTTCCTTAAGGCTCCGGCGAGCTCCTTTGATATTTACTGGTCACGGTTCCTCGACAGGGATGGATGCTGTCCCAGTACGGAGTAGTTGGTTACACAATATTGTCATGTGAAACATTGACGATTCCAAGTTGTTTCGGATAAACTTGACATATAAGATCCCAAGCGCAGACCATTCAATATCATCTGACAATATACTACTGCGCAAGGCGCTACTATGAACCTTGGAAGCCACGCATAATAATCCCTCATTTCCCTGTATATTTCCAAGGTTAATATTTAGCCATTCTGTAGCTAGCCCTCTCTTCTTTTGTACCAAACATTTCGATACAACGTTCGAGGAAGGCATCGAATCTTTAACCAGAGTCTTGTCTTGTTCACAGTAGCCCTAGTTACGGCTAATGAAGGTTTTCACACTAGCAAGCAAGTTTTTCAGTCGGATTTCAATCGGATTTCAGTCATGCGAATATGGCAGCAAATAGTAGTAGGCAACTAGTGTCACCCATGCGTCAATTACCGAAAAACATGCGTGGAGTCAGTTCCAAGGGCGAAATGAGGCATTGTCCATTACTAGAACGAATCTAGCCTCGGGCCATCTTTGCAATGCCATCGAAGCAGAGCTGTGTAGTAGGAAGACATCTCCGAGTAAATGGGACAAATAACATACAATACAGATATTGGAAACAAAAAGAATACCGCTCTCACTTATCCTAAGCTCTCAGAGGAACGGAGTTTTATAAGACGCTTTCTTGGGAGGTTATCTCGACTTTTGAAATCTGCGTTTTGCTTACCTAGGTATAACCTTAATTTTTTGAATAGATATAACTTTGCTGACTCGAATTAATTGGTACTCTGGTACGGGCTTGAATGGTTATGAAGCGCCTTTAACTAATAAGTGCTGTCAGTCATGTAACAGGATCCTACATGCTATTCCAATAGTCTAAAAAGACTACAAGATCGAAGCTGTTGCTTCCCTACCCCTAGGCGGCATTATGTATGGCAAGGCACTATCGAGAAATAGGCACATAATAACCACACGGTCATCACCTGTTATATCACGGTCGGCCGCCGATGGCAGGCTTCGGACATAAAGAACGAAACGTCTTAAACCGGCAAACCCCCGGCACTAAAAAATCGCGCATATAGATTAGTATCGAAAAATGCTGACGATGTCACCGCCATCGAAGCAGAAAAAGATTCGTCAGCTGAGATAAGAGGGGGGGAAATCTTTCGCAATGATCAACCCGATCAGCATCGGCATTGTCGTCTCACAGCGTCGATCCTAAAAGTCGCATCAGTGCCGGCATCACGCTGCATCCGGTGACGAGGCGCGCCACGCCCTTTCGTCCGGGCCCTCTTGGGGAAGAAAATGTTTTATGCGAGGCCACTAGACCTTCCGGTTAGATAGCCCCGCTAGATAGTGTCATAGACCCGGTATATTTGCGTAACGAAGCGAAGGAGCGTGACAAGTGGAGTTTGGCCAAATGAGCTTGCAGTCATGAGGCTCTGAGAGAAAAGCGATGATTGTAGTTCTTCACGAAAGAGGTAATAAAAACGTCGGTTAGATCCTGTAATGAAAGGGTAATCGGGCGAAACGTAAGTCGCTGAGCGGACTCGAAGGGTGACGCGGAAGGTGAAGCTAACGCGCGGTAGTGCGCGCTATGGGTGGACCAGGTTAGAAAAAATTTCCGACGAGCTTGGGCACTGTTATTTTGATCTTATTTTGATCTGTGATTTCCCTTTCTACGTCATGCATGCGTTGCCAGTGAAAATCGAGCGGAACAAAGCGAATATGGTGTGTGCTTCGACGCTTGATGGATCTTGGGAGGAGCTCGATGAACATCTTTGCCGAGATCTGGCGGTAGGCATGCGAATGCGGATGGATCACCGTTAGAAGACTCTGCTCATCACCGCCAGGTTGCGTATATCTTTCTCTTGGCTGACGGCGGCGGTCGTAGCAGATTGGTAGAACGGCCCGACGGAGGGGGGAAAGCCGCGTGCGCGGCATCCTCATGCTCGAGTCCCTGTCATGTTTCTCGTGATACAAGGTAAAGATTATTGATGCCAAGACAGCAGGTACATTCGCCATCAGAGATTGATTGCTGCTCGTTTCCTCTGGGGTTGGACATGAGCTGAGCTTTTCATCGGTCCTAGGGACGCGAGGACGTGGGTAGTGATACGTCAGAGCACGGGGATAAGCAGCGCCCTAGCTCCCTTTGCCTTTTGGCCCATGCGCGGCGATGACGGCTCTGGGCTCTTGGCATGGCAAGCATTGGTGGAATTGGCTTGTTTGCTCGGCTCAATGAGCCTGCCCAGAGTGACCAAGTCACCAAGAGACGGGTTCCTTGCATTGTCGCAGACCAGTCAATTTTATTGACGGGGAGGGGCGGGGAGTCGTCGCCAAGGACGGGGTACTATAGATAGAGAGTGAAATAAGGATAGGATGATCGTAGCATCCATACCGTTCAATGGTTGTACGGAGCACATAGGGAGGTGAATGTGGTACATACGTAATTAGGTACAGGATGTAGTATTGTGTTGTTGACCACAATCAGCCACTGGGCCGGTGGTATCGAGGCAAATGGATCGTGCTTCATGACCAGTCTTTCAGCCCAGCACTGACAGAGTTCCCCCGATTCCGGGGCCTCAGCACTGGATATGTAGTATTTGGATACTCAGCATGAACGAGTCAATGTGACTAGAAGGGTTTGCATAGCCACAAGTGTTCGACTTGATCGGATCGCGAATGAGGCTGTGAACCCAAGCGCCGCCGTTTCAGGTTGGACAGAATGCGAAGAAGCCTATTGAAAAAAGGGTAAATGGGGAGTTGTTTTCCCAGAAGATTACCGTTAGCCTTCGTACCGAATCCAGGATGGGATATGATTGGAGTAACGGTTCCCGGCTGCCTCGGGAGTGGAGAAGAGCTTGGTAAATCCTCGGGAGAGCCTCCAGCGTGAGACGTGTCGGTGGGAGAGAGAACATCGGGTTGAAGCGCAAGCTTGCGAATCTTGAGATCACGGGATGGACTGGGATCCGCTTTTCTGGTCTGTGGCTCTTTTGATTGATCCATTTGCTGTTTTGGAATTTAAAATATTTAAAATCGTATTTTTATTTTTATTTTTATCTTAATCCTTATTTTATTTTGAATTTTCTTGTCAGGGTCTCTTGACCGTTCGGAGGATTTCCACGGGCGATGATTGGCGATCGCAGGGCTGCGTCACCAGGGTACACAATACTGTGGCTACACTTTAGTAGTATGTAATACTGATAGTCCATACAGACATAGGTACTATGCATATTCTGGAAAGGAGAGGTTCCCCCCTGATTGAGATCTTGGAAGATGGGAGAAATAATGAGGATTACGATCGACAGGAACATCGAGCCATACCAAGAGCGACAAGAATCTGTTCTAGAGTGTGACTGGAGCATACGCCAAGAAACCCCCCTGTGGTCGAAGAGCCACGACAGCTTAGCGTGTCAGCAGGGGTACTTGCAAGTGGTATGTGGAGGACATATAAAATGAAGTACCTTCTGTGCCCTTCCCTCGTTCTACACACGGAGGGACAGGTAAGACCTCTCAGTAATCGACAGAGATGGACACCGAAAGTAGTTAGAGCGAGTGGGTCATCAACGAGGCTCTAGCCCGATCGCGGTGACCGCCAAGACGGACGCTTGCGCGTCTCCGCCACCAGTGTTGGCTGTGGTCCCCATCGAGGCCCTCTAGGAAATTGGAGAGGCTTCGAAACGCGTACGCGGGATCGTGGTTGCATGCTCTGATGATGAGTGAGTACAGAGTATGAAGTAAGAAATACTCTGTAAATGTACTGTAGTATGTACTCTATTCATAATTACCTAGGTCACGGTTTATATATATATATATATATATATAGTTTCCGTAATAAATAATACAGAGTACTTCGTGCTCTGTATAACTCTGTAACTCTATGGACTAGACCCTTCTCATGCCAAGCGTACGTGTGCAAGGGAAAAATACGGAAAAAGGGTCTTGTCTTGGCCTTTTTCGTTTCGCACACGCGGCCGGGAGGGGGGGGCGCGGGGCCCGTGATTGGGCGGTGGACTGCTGACGACGCTCGTAATACGCAGTCGTAGTATCCCCCAGTATTCACACTCCCAGTACTCCCAGTACACTGCCTTCTCACTTCCTCTTTACTGACTCCTCTCCCTTCCCCATCTCCCTCCTCCATCATATCTCACTAGGGTCGTCGCCCTCGTCTCTCTCCCCCATCCTGGAGCATCGATCTCGCCTTGCCGCCGGCGTTTCCTCCTCTCTATCGACCATGGCGGACGGCAAACCCCAGCACCGGTCGCCCCAGCCGGCCTCGACCACCTACGATGCCAACTCACTCACACACCAGTTCGAACAGTTGATGCGCACCAAGCGTTTCAACCAGCTTCAGGAAAATACTCGATCACGATCCGCTTCACAGTCACCCGCTCCTTCTGCCAACCATTCCATCCCGCCACCCTCGCGAGCACCACCACCACCGCCTCCTTCCATGGGCGCCGCCATGCCCGCAGCCACACAACCATCATCCCCATCACCCTCTGCTGCGATGCGCACTCTTCCAATCATCCCATCTCCACCTCAGGATCCCGCCTCTTTGAAATTCTTCAACCTGCTCAAAGGACTTTCGGTCACTCCGACGAAATACGAGAACCCCGGTCTCCTCGACGAGGCCTTGTGTGTCATCCCACTTGATCGCCTTTACTCCGAAGCCGAGGATGAGTTCCAAATCATCCAGGCCCAAGCTGCCAGCGTGGGCGGCAAGCCCGAATGGGGATACCAAGATTGTGTTATCAAGGCATTGCTAAGGTGCGCCACATATCAATCCAGGCCCTCATCGACCGCACCTATACTGACTTTCATCCCTTGTTTTACAGATGGTTTAAGCGATCTTTCTTCAAATTCGTCAACAACCCCCCCGTGCACGCAATGCTGCATGCCCACCATCGCCCAGGGCATGACTCCCCCTTCCCCCGATGAGACCGCCCGTGGCGCCACCCGCGTAGAACTCTACCGTTGTTCCGAGCCCCGATGCGGCGCCTACGAGCGATTCCCCCGTTATTCCGACGTCTGGCAACTTCTTCAGACTCGCCGTGGCCGAGCAGGCGAGTGGGCCAACTGCTTCAGCATGTTCTGCCGCGCTGTCGGTGCCCGTGTTCGTTGGGTCTGGAATGCAGAGGACCACGTCTGGACTGAGGTTTACTCTGAGCACCAACGACGATGGGTGCATGTGGATGCATGCGAGGAGGCCTTCGATAACCCCCGTCTTTATGCCGAAGGATGGCGCCGAAAGATCTCTTACTGTGTCGCCTTCGGGATTGATGGCGCCACCGACGTGACCCGTCGCTACGTTCGCAACTTCAACAAGCACGGTGAGCCCCGTCAACGTGCTTCAGAGGAGGTGGTTCTGTGGTCCATTCACGAAATCCGACGCAAACGCCGTGAAAATATGTCCAAGACCGACCAGGCCCGCCTAGTTAAGGAGGATGAGCGTGAAGAACGAGAGCTGCGAGGCTACACTGCCTCCGCCCTCGCGGCTGAGATTAACAACATCTTGCCGCGCAGCCTTGTTGGCCGCCCCGATGCCCAGAAGCACGCCGATGCTATTCAGGAGGCCCAGAGCGAGTGGCTCAGCGCTCGAGGACATGGTCACTCCGGACCCGACCGGTCGCGCGATGGACGTTAATCGCTAAGCCGCCGGTCTCTTTCCATTCTCTTACAGGAGGCTCTCCAGTAGAGCCTTGAATTCTTTTATTGTCGAAAAATTTGAGCGACCCTATGGCCATACTCTCAGTTAAACTGACAAGAGTTCTGGTCGGGCGCCTCGACCCTCCCACCTCCAGCAATGTGGACTCGCTTGTACCCGATCGGAGCCAACACGGTCGCACGTAACCTGTGCGCCCGGCATCCGACAGCAGCCACAACAGCTTGAAACCAGCATTACTGTTGAAACTCGACCGCGGCCGCGACTGCCAGGGCTCGGGACGCCCGAGCCTTCGGATCAAATCGCTCACCTGAAGTTTCGATGATGCTGAGCACCAAGCAGTCCGCGCTGGTTCATCACAACCACTCAAACCATCACCCCGACTATTCACTACAATGAACGATCAATGCCATCGACATAAACACATCTCTCATTATATTTAATCATCATTTTGAATAGCACGGACCAGAGTAACTTCTGCGTCTTGGCCAGGTTTCACCCAGGGCCTTACCCCCCCTCTCACATTATGGCAATGACTTGTGGCATTTATTTGTTTCATATTGCACGGCGCCAGAGGTGACGCTTTCTTTACCTTCACTCTTCCTCTAATACGGGATTCTGCATTACCATTTTCTATCTGCCAGACGGCACATGCTGTACGAGGACACGACAGCAATTTTTCTTTTACGTTTCTTCTGATATCTGGTCGCAAGATACCTCCCCTTCTCCGGGAGCGACCATTCTCTCATTTTTTGTCTTGGGGAATAGTCATCCCCCTTTCTCTCTTCACTTTCACTTCTTCTACCCTTCTTGCTTCCAATGGTTGCTTTACTTTTTATAACACTATTATATTGATACCACCATCTTATTTAATTTACTTTTTTGACTGATCACTTCCACTCCGAGTCCAATCTGTGTATCTCTCGCCAACTCCGCTTTTAATATCTGCTTGGCAACTTCGCCTGGACCCTGTTTCTACTTGGTAATACATAAATTACCTGTTTGATTATGATGTGCGATCATCCCCCCCGCGATGACTTTGCTAGCGCCTGCCACAACCCTGTGAGTGGATCCACCGTGGACTCGGTCGTGGAGCCCCTGGCGACATCCCGCACCAGGCTGCGTGTTCTCGAGAATCACAGCCACGTCGTAGCCCCGCTTGCATTGCGTCTACACGAGAAGTGGCACTCTAATCAATTGGCAGTTACAAGTTTGTCGAATGTCTGTATATCTATCCATCCCATACCAATCTCAAATCCATTCCACTTTAGGGCTGGATAAGGCCGAGTTAAACTCGGACAGCACGGGCCTGATGGGGCAGGGTCCAGAAAAGGGGGATATTTTTAGATGGGACCCATGGAACTGGACTGAGGGTGGGTCCAGGGTCTTTGGAGTGGTTAGGGCTAACAAGATAGGGGCAGCAGAGTATAGTATGGTACCCTATACCCTATACCTCTGCATAAGTAGTATGTATGCACTCTGTACGGTTACTCCGTAGTCTACGTCGTATTGCTCCCAACATCTCGAAAATTAAGTTTGCGACCGCAACGCGACGCGTGTGCTGGGATCGTGTCGGCCTTGTGCCGAATAAAGTATCTGTCCCCATGTCCATTCTGGCGGGACCCTGATTTGCTGGTTTCTGCGACCGGCATTAGGAGCTGGAACAGGATCAGAGCTACTTTAGTAGTCCATAGTACGGGGCGGGGGGGGGGGAGGTACGTACAGTAGTTGTGTTGGTCTGGGGCTGAGAATTGGGCGGAGGGCGCCCCTTGATCTACAAAACATACGTACATACTCTTAACATCGACACATGGCCAGGAATATGTCTCCCTGTATCCGTGATGCGAGGGTGTGCTTCGATAATGAAGCCGGAATTTTACACTGTAACTATTCTGCCAGATTACAACGTTTCTACATAATTTGCTTGTTATCTCCGCGCCAGCTGGAATCGTTCTACTCTATAGAAATGGTGAGCTAACGGCGTGGAGATATCATTCCGAGCCCACGCAAAATGAAACAGCGACGGATGGGGATCAGCACCAACCCCAATGGACCCCAAAAAAGAAGACCAGATAGAACAGAAACAAAAAGGAAAGCGAAAGCGAAGCCGGGCTGCATTGCATGATTCACTCCGAAAAATGCGAGCTAGATGCAACGCTCCCCAGATCATCCTCCGATCGCGCAAGGCATTTGCTGGCTGTGAATCCCGAACTCGTCAAAACAGGGCAGACTGGAATCCTTCGTACATATCAATGAGGAACACGCGAATCCCTCCTTCTCGTCTCCGCAATCGCGACGTTACTCATTTGCCTCGGCCGCTGCACGGAAATTGAATCTTTCATTTGTCCTTCCTACTCCGTCTGCGTACTCCGTACATTATCCAGTCTCGACTCTCTCTTCCCTTCCCCCTCACACCACGGAGATAACACAGTCGATCCCCCTCCGCCGAAGATCATCACCAACTCGCCCCATCTCATGCACATAATACGATTGGCCCTGCAATCGCAGTTCCCACGCTGGCCGTCCCAACGGCGCGGATATATCCGACACAGCCTCGGCTGAAACCAACGGACGAAGACAGGCGGAGCACGATGCTGGCGACAAGCGCAGACTGGGTTCGTATCCGTGTGTGATACGTATCAAATCCAACCCCTCGCTAGAGCTGGAGTCTTTCCGCCCAGCCTTTGATGAGATGGAGTCATCGCTCCACCCACCACTGGCATGCCGTGGACGCTGAATTGTCAGACCACGCAGTGGCTCGAGAAAGATAGGTAGTTTCTCCACGGGCTCGCTGAACCAGTTATTCCCCAGCACGAGCACAAATGATCTCAAGGTTGGTAATCCGTTCAAAGCCCGACACGTCTCGAGCCACTGCGCCCGGCCTGCGGCGACATAGACCGCGCGAACAGGGTCTTTCGTCGGTAACCAGTGACCCGGAAAAGCCCAGCGCAGCTCGACGGAGCGGATGTCTTCCCAGGACTCGGGGAGGAGTGTGGGGCGGAAATAAGGTAGCGTCCACGGGTTGCTAAACTCGAAGGTATTGAGTTTGTAGAGCAGGTGGGTGGATTCGAGAGATCTAATCCGCAGAGGGCATCAATTAGAAAAAAAAACGATCCGCACCGGAGACATGGACAGGTACCCGTGGGGAAACTTCAGGTTCAGGTCCAGTGGGTATGTGCTTTTTTTTTTTTGCTTGTGTCAACTGTACATTTGTCTGGATGTCAATGCTAGCGCGAGAAGCTTGGTTCTATTCGCGCCTCTCGCTCGAACTAGGTCGGCTTCTTTTGCGGGTTGGGGGATTCCCCCGCCTTGACAGATCTCGCAGAAGGGGTTCTCCGCATGCGCTGCTTTATCGGGCATTCCTGTCGCGTCTAGTGGGCAGATGATATAGCCGAGGCGTTGGGGGCTTCGCTGGATGATGTGAAGACGGTGGTGGCCTAGGACATGTTCCCAGACCATCATTCGCAGTTCCGCGGAGAGGGAGAGAAGTCGGCATTGGGGTTGCTGTGCGGGGGTTGGGATCGTATGGTGACGATGTTGGAGGGAAGCGGGTTTGTTGCCTGTCGCGTGCGCAGAGGTTAGAATGGATAGGCCCTAGGTACACATACTGGAAGCCATTGGGTAGGAGATCACACTGACTCTGATATCGCTGAGCGAGCACGTCCTCCCACGAGAATACACCTTTTCTCATGCGCGCCATATTGTGCTGGTGTTGGTGTTGGTGTTGACTATGGTTGTTGGGCTGAAAGGTACTCCGTATACTAATTAGTACCTTTTGTATAAACCCGGGGTAAATGCCTTCGTATCCGGCCTGTCCTGCTGATCAAAGCTCTGAGCTCAGCCGAGCCTCTAGGAAGAAATCCATTTGATCCGGGAAACCGGGGGCCTTTTGGCATATGTTTACGCCAAGTTCGATACTCCTTTTTGTCGAGAGTCGGTGAGCCCTGAGTGCTAGGGACTAGTACTTGTACGGTGTGTACCTGTGGCCAGGAGAAGGCGATAAAGGATCCCTGCAAGATAACGAAGATAATAACTCGGATCCACTCAGTTCAGCCTAACCCTTATTACTCCGTAAATGCACTCTGATTCATGCAGACTTGCAGATTGTTATGAGGGAAATTTGATTGATTCTATGTACAGATATGACTCCCTAACTGTGAATGCTTAGATAACTCCGCAGATACCGCAACACCGGGCCGACGGTACTAAATGCATTCGATTTGATCCATTCACTGCACCTAGGTGCAAGTCGAAGTGGCAAGAGCTACGTTGAGGGTGTTCATCGGACACGCGACCTTTAGCCCCTTTGACAACATCGCCAACGCGTCGGGCTGCAGTCGGTCAATCGTAGCCGGCGCCGGCAGAGTCCCGACATATGCATTGAAGTTGTAGATTCCACAAATGCAGGTGTCTGAGACGTCCTTCAGGCTGGTTCCCGACAAGACAGTGTTTCCATCCCGAGTGACGGCAAACTTCTGCTTCCCAACTCCCATCGGGACGGAGTGGGCGCTGATGCCGGCTGGGGCCTGGAAGGTCTGTGACTGGTCACCAGACTGCACATGGACCTGCGCCGCGGACTTGAACAGTGACACCACAAAGACTTCATCTTTCATTGATTCCCAGCCGTTTGGGCGTCCCATAAAGAAGTTTCCGCTAGCATTGTTTGCACCGCCCATCGTAGTATCGGTGGCATCACAGTTGACGTCCCGTTTCGTCGGCCGGTACCAGTAGACGAGTTGATCTTCCTGGACGAAGTCATTTGGCGAGGTGCATCCTGCCTTGAAAGCAGCGATGAACGGTTTTGCCATGTCCAACCATCCATTGTGGGGCCTGTTCTCTGTCAGTAAATATTGATATGAAAGGTGATGATGATATCCAGAGTGAAAACTCACATATCCATGGCCCACTTGGAATTCCCATCGTCCCCATGGGGCGACGAAAGGGGACCAACGTAGTGCGACTCGCCGTAGTCGTTCCATGTGACGATCTCCACGAAGCGAGGACTCAAATTCAGAATCTCCTGCCAACGCTCGTACCACAGAAGGTCCGAGGGAAAGACCCAGTTCTTGCTGTAAGACACCTCACTGCCATAGTGAGTGGAGAACCAGGGTGAGACGGCTAGAAGGGTAGATTAGTCTTGCACCATGTCAAAGATGTGTCTTTTCAATATCTGTTCAAACTCACGTGCGATGTAAGGCTTTCCGCCTAGAGCATTGATGTATGCCTCATCACCGGCGGCAACAGTAACATTATGCCCAGGAGTCGGCGCTTTGTTATTGCCATTGCTTGGCCAAGCCATCCAGTTGAGAGCACCTTGGATAGAACCAAAGTTTCCCTGACCGGGATGGAAGTTCGGGGCAAAGAAGATGTCTCGACCCGCTGCAGCGACAACCGCTTGGACATCGATACCGTCACCCGCAAAGGAGGAGACAAAGACCTTATTGTCGACTTTGAGTTGCGCCTCAAGGCCGGCATATTCCCCAACCTTAGCTCCAACGCCAGCACCGTTGGAAGGAGCCCACCAGTTGAAGTCGAAGGAGAGGAATACTTTCATACCATTGCGCGCAGCAGATAAGTAGGCAAAACGCAGCTGCTCATCGGTGTAGGGATCAGTGCCAATGTTCAGGGCAAAGGCGTCGATACCCGACTCTTTGGCTCTTTTCATGTCAGCATCATAATCGTCCGCACTCTTGCGGTTACCACAGATGCCGACCTGGGGTGAGAGATAAGTTAGGTTGGAGACAGTGAGATTCCATGAGTTGTTTCGAGACTCACCATGAAGTGACAGAAGACGAGCTTTTCACCACCGGAAGCACTCAACGAAGCGATAGCAGAGGACGATGAGGTACTACCCGTACCCACGGGGCTGGTCATGGCAAGTGATGCCATGAGGGCCAGCAGGAGAAGAGATACGAGTCTCTGAAGCATGTTGATTTTGATCAGTAACGAGCTTGAATGATAGATCAAATGCAGAGATACGAGATAAAGAGGGGTGACGCGAGGAGAGATAAGAAGAAGCAATGATGGGATGGGGGAAGAAGAGGATAGAGGAGAGAGGAAAGAAGGATGAGGGTTGAGGTGAAGGACGGGGGAAGGAGCAAGTGAGAGATGAAGCAGACGACTAAGCAGCCAACTGAGTAAACGATGGAACCGACAAACGGACAGGGCAGTAGGCGCGGATCTCACTTTGACATCAACAAGATACTTACCGAGTTGGAAGGCTATATAAGAATGTCCTTTGTCCTCGCCAGGATCACTCTCGCGACCCTTCTTGTTCCTTAATTACTTCCTTTTGATCCTTCAATTAATTTCAAAATGATAGACAATGCGGATAGAGTTTGGATCTATAACGGGGGCGAGAATATATGGGACAATGTCACGGCGCGAGGTAACGGTCGTAGGGTGTTGAGGAGATCTGGTGGCGCATCATGAAGCATGCGCAAGCGCTTAGGTTCTCGTCGAGTCAGGGAGACTCCACCGATACGAGATCTCAAGCGTTTATTGGCTCGGGACGCACCGAAGGCTGTCCCCTGGAAATTTTGACATCGAAAAGGAATAAAGGATACTGAAAGACTCTTGATATATGAAACAGCCATCTTCTATCCTTAGTGACAGGAAGCTCAAATGAAAGGGTTTCATTTGTTTCATGCTTCTTCCATGGTTATGACTTCTTGCGAATCCTTGGGGCCATAGATATCTGATGGGCGGGCTCATTTAGGGATTGCAGTAATTAATTATTTAAAGGCTAAAGCAACCCTGGTTAGACAAAAATATGGAATTCGGGCGCAGTTTAAAGTTGATGGAATAAGTTTATGATTAAAATGAAGATGATGCTCTCAACACTTCGCGGGGGTTCGCGGGATGCTCCCCGGGATGAGAGGTTCTAAAAGTAGTCTACTTTATTTTGATGAGCCCCTTTTGAGAATTGTGGTACTTATAGGCCAAAAAAACAAAAAAAAAACAAAGCCATGGATAGAAATGGACAGAGCCATTGAAAGCAAAAAGCAGACAAGACAATGTGGTATTTCCATTTGGCCCCGCGTGACATCGTAGATTAAACCCCACTAAACTGGGTTGGGTGCCTTTCACCGCGCTCCAGTAGGTGATGTGTTTAATCACATTGGAGGCCCTTATCCCCCCCCCAAAACAATTTGAATCAGATACGGTCGAATTCTGTGCTCGTCCAAGAGTAGCGACCATGGGACTACTAGATCTTCCCTTGGAGATTAACCATATTATTCTCACCTTCCTGACACTAGACAGTGACATCACTGCATTCTCACGAACATCACGCTCACTGCACAGCTCGCTCGATGATTATTTGTACCTGCACAATATCAAATATTTTGGTAGCTATGCCCTTGAGTGAGCAGCCATCCAAGGCAATGCAATTGTTGCTCAAAAGATTTTGAAGGCGGGGCTTCGCCTTACACCGTATGCAATGAGCGCAAGCAGCCAATTTGCTTAGCATCCCGTCATGGACACGATGCGGTAGTCAAGGCGCTTCTGGATTGGGGTCTTCGACCGAATGAAAAGAAGAATGGTGGGCTCGCCCACAGCCCAATTTGTCCTCTAGCGACCATGTTGCTGCTAAACGGGAAGACTTGTCGGACTCAGAATCATCGAGCTCCCATCTGATGCTTCTACTCGAACTGGAAAGATTGTTCTGAAATACGTCGTGTTAGAGGGGAAAATGGATATAATCAGGGTTTTAGCGGAAGCAGGAGCAATTCCTACGGGTTCGTACGGAGTGAAACTATTAAGAATAGCTGAACAATTTTGACAAACGCAGACAGTGGGCCGTTATCTTTTGACACATGTCGATTTAGAGAGAAGCATCAGCATTGGTGGCGGCGACGAGGCTTTAGTTTTAGGCGTGGCTGCTGCCTGTGGCATCGAAGATATTGTCAAAAAGGTCTTGCAGGCAGGCTTCGATCCGGATTTTACAAACGACCCATTCATCCCTGGCGGTCGTCTAATTCCCAACAGCACGGCACTTTTGGGAGCGGTTCAATATGAGCAGATTGGAGTCGCTAAGTTTCTTCTGGACCACGGTGCTAATCCGGATACGCTCATCACCGTTGATGACCGCGTAGGTGGAAAATCCTTCATCTGTGACAACTCCCTGATGTTCGCCTGCGTGGCTGGAAAGTTTGAGCTAGCCAAGCTACTACTTGACTATGGCGTTAAATTGGCGGCGGAACCTTCAGAAAAGCGAGAGAGGCGAAGCTTGATAACCGAGGCGATTCGAGGAGGGGTAGCCATGCTCGAGTTCCTACGTCCGCACGGCATTGCCCCAGGTCCCGGTAATGCCGAGTCTCAAAGTGAATTGAGAAGAGCTATTGCCCAGGGTAATTTGGAACTTACGGAATATCTTCTCAATCAAGGATTAGAAGCAAATCCCCGGGAATTGGAGGGCAAGGGATCGGAGCTCCCTTTATGGAGGGGGCTTTGTTGGAGAAGGAGACATCCTGTACCAGAACGACGAAAAAGTAACTCAAGAGTTCATCCAGCGGCTATGCTTTTAGCTGAGTCTATTTAATGGAAGTTGATCAAGTCACAAAATTCAAAAGAAAAGATAATTACGATGAAAATTTCTTTTCAATGGCTTGCACTTGACCGGAGTTGGCCTCGGATCTCCCAACAAAGCTACATTTAGTCTGAGCCGAAGATAATAGAAATTGATCAAAATAAGACTTCCAATATAATTGAAATAACTGATCCTTAGGCTGGTAATGTCTACCAATTTGGAAAAAAGTACTATCTTCATTTCTGAATGTTTCATTCATATCTCATTCTGCTTCATGCTCGAAGCAAGCATCCTAAGTGGTACGCAGGGTCCAAATACATATACCATTTCGGTAACCAGCCTATCCAAATTCAATGTTCAAAAGGATATATGAAAGATTTGCCGTTTATCCATGTAGATTATGTGCGTGTTGATCAAAATACTGCCCATACAGTATTCAAGACTTGACCTCTTCCTTGACATACTCACTAGTCTCACCGCCACTCTCAGAGTCACGTAGACCAACTGGCTGATCCGCTCGGATGGTGTTCTGCATACGGCGTGCCACGCGAGGAGGGTCAAAGATGTTCTTCGACTGGGCGAAAATGGCATCGATTTCCTCAAGCGATCGCCCTTGGTCTCGGGGAAGAAGAAGTATACCGACGGGACGATGATAGCATTTATCACAGCAAAAACAATATAATACTGATTTCCAATCGTAGCAAATCCGATAGGTGTCACCTCTGCAAGCAGGAAATTGAATACCCAGACAGTGGCGGTCGAGACGGCACTGACAGCGGCACGGACTTGCAGGGGAGCCAGTTCGGCAGCGTAGAGGAAGGTCAGGCCCGAATATCCGACTGTGAAGATAAACTGGAAGCAGAAAAGTGCGATGACAGCGACGACCAAGGCGCCGGTGTTGTCTTGGGCTGAGGGCGATGTTGTGCCAGCAAGGACGGCCATACAAACGGACATAGCTGCTGCACTCCAGAGCATGAGTGGCCGACGACCAAGCCTGTCGATAGTGAAGAAGGCAAACAGACCGCCAAATGGCTGCATCATACCCATTGCTGCTGCCAAGATACGGGACTTAACATCGTCCATACCGAGATATTGCTAGAGGTGAGTCAGTAAGAAACCAATAAGTTGACACCCCGGCAGCATCAAGCCTAACGAGACTAAGGCTAGTCTTTGAATAGAGTTGAATTACCTGGAAGATACTGGTTGCGTAGTAGGTAATCAAGTTAACACCACACATTTGCTGGAAGAATTGGCCGGTGGCTGCGAGGTATGCACGATGGAAGAGACGTTGCTCTCCATTAGTAAACATGGCAGTCCAATTAGTGTTTCCACAGACGGCGAGAGTCGTTTGGACTTCATTGATAGTATCGGAGATTTCATCACAGTCAGGCTCAAGATCTTGGAGAGCTGCCATCACATGGCGAGCCTTATCAAGTTGACCAGTCATGATCAACCAACGCGGCGATTCTGGCATAAATGGAATAGCAGCCATTGCCAAGATACAGAACAGCGAGGGCAAAGCGAAAGGAACACGCCAGGATGCAGAGTTGTCTTTGACAAAGTAAAAGCCAAGATCAATCCAAAGACCTAGCGTTACACCTGCGCCGACAAAAACGCCATCCGTCACAACATTCGAGCCTCGCTTGCTGGGTGGTGAGATCTCTGACTGCCAAACTGGCACGGTTGCTGTATATCCACCAATTCCCACGCCAAGGACCAATCTTGCGATAATAAATTGAACAAATTGAAAGGAAGTTGCCATGAGAATGCAGCCAACCATACAGATCAAGTTCGTCGCAAACATGATCTTTTTCCGTCCCAGTTTATCGCCTAGATGGGCGCATGACAAGGCCCCGAAGATACCACCGACCGTATAGAGAGCAATAACTGTGCCTATTTTTGAATGACTTGTTAGAGAGCTCAGGGTTATCGGTTCAAAATCATGACCGACCTTGGATCGTCGAGTTCTCCTTATTCAAGGCACCCGTAGTGTTGATAGTGTCCATTCGGGGGAACTGCTCATTGAAGGCGGGCAGGGTCAAAAGCCCACCGGCCACACTCATATTGTATCCATAGCAGGTAAAGGTTGGGAAGACGACCAATGCGACAGCCGCTCTGAGAAGTGAATTGCCGCGAAGGCCAAGATATGGACTCAAACCCATACTAGAATTTTAGAGGAAACACAACAAATTGAAGAGAGTGGATTGAAAGAAGTGAATGTGAAATTGACTCCGTATAATACGTATCTACCTGCTGTTATATCAATAATTCCCTGCTTGGCGTCGCGATGCAAGGTGGTGAGCATTGATGTTCGCTTGGGAATCCGGGGTCAAAATCCTGGGGTTAGATTGTCGGTCATCGGCGGTTACCGTGGGGTTACGGGCTTAGAAATTAGCCACTGGAGGATCCCTGTGTGCGCATGGCGAGTCCATCGTAGGCCACTGACTGGCTGTTCCATGTCGAGGTACAAGCGGCAGTCGGGGCATCCCCCGGGGGGCAGGCATTGATTCTTTTGAACCCGACGAAAATGAACAGGGTCATATTTCTCGAAGACAGGAAATCGAAATTTGAGGCTTGACCTGAAATTAAATCCAACCGAGCGAGTTGAGTTCGATGTTTGTTTGCGCCGTTCGTATCATAGGCGACGATCTCGGAAGGCCTCAAAGCGATAGTTTCCACCCACGGGTGGCTTCCGTCCACCATCTCAGAACGGAAGCCACCATCTCGCACATTCTTGATTTCAAAGCGCCTTTACCGCGGGTATGTTCGCCCCAAAAAGTGAATGGAGACGACATCGGGCCAGAATAATCGATCTAGGCGAAATATCCCGCGGCGACCCGCCTAGACAAAGATCTCGGTGTCTGCGCCTTGGCCTTGATAAGAAGTTATACCGGCCACATTGCTTTTTTTTGGGGCCGAACTTTTTGACTCCAAAGCAGTGTTCAATTCACATACCATTCCATCCCATCAAGCCATGAGGCAGGGATCGACCTATCATGCATGTGGCGGTGACAAGCCCGAGCAATCCCGAAGAGAAGTAAAAAAAGTCGCGATCTCGGGAGGACTGCCCTCATTCTTGTACTTGCCCTTCTTATATCTCGTCAATGCGCAACAATCGGAATCAGCCGAACACCGAACCCAGAACATTCGCAAATGGGTGTGATCGTCAGCCCCTGTTGATCCTGCTATCTAGTTCTTCTACAGGACTTCCACATTCGTCAGAGGATGCCAACGCGGCGGAGACCGTCTAGTAGTGGCGTCCCCACAGTCTTCACAAAGTGTAATGCATCTAGAAGCCGGCTTCTGATACCGGTATCACCGGTCTCACGACCCTTCATTTCCTGGATTTAATGAAGGTATATGAATGCGCGTTGTCCTCGAGATGGTGAGATGATCCAGAGCATCAATCTACGTTCGTTTTTACCATGTTTCAAAAATTCTTCAGCTCCTCGCTAGGAGTATCTGCACTATGGCTGTCTTCAGCAGTGTTGAATGCCTGCGGCACTATGGCTGCAGCAACTCCGTACACGGTCTATCGTGGAACATTTATTCAGCTTCCCGAGCTTGATTCGGCCAACTCGACACCGCAGCTCGCTAGAACCCAAGGAGTCCTGTGGGTCTCTTCCAGCGATGGCCGCATCAAGGGCTATGATTGGAAGGTCAATGATGATGCCAGCTTCCAATCGTGGCTGTCTAGCCAGGGCTGGACCGAATCCGATGTCACCGTTGTGAAATCCGACGATGAGCGGAACCAGTTCTTTTTCCCTGGGTTCATCGATACCCACATTCATGCGCCGCAGTATCCCAATGAGGGTCTCTTTGGCTCCAGTGGTCTTCTGGACTGGCTGAATGAATATACTTTCCCAATGGAAGCTAGTTTCGGCTCCAAGTCCGACCCAGAGAACAAGGATACCGACCCCAAGGACACACCCCCGAGGGCCTACGTGTCTACAACGAAGTTGTGCTTAAGACTCTTGCCCACGGCACAACAACCGCATCCTACTTTGCTACTATCCACGTCCCAGCTACCAATGCCCTCGCTGCTCTCTGCCACAAGCACGGCCAGCGTGCCTTCATTGGCCGTGTCTGCATGGACAACAAGGAGCAATGCCCATCTTACTACGTTGATTCATCTGCCGATGAAGGATTCAACGCGACTAAGAGGACCATCGATTACATCCAGACCCTTGACCCCAACGGAACTTTGATCAACCCCATTGTCACCCCCCGATTTGCTCCTAGCTGCTCCAACCACTCTCTTACGGGTCTTGGTGAGCTTGCCGCGTCCTATAGCCCGCCTCTACGTATCCAAACGCATATCTCCGAGAACAACGACGAGGTTGCTCTTGTCCAGCAGTTGTTCCCGGATTCCACCAGCTATGCTAATGTCTATGATACTCATGGCCTGCTTACCAACCGTACCATCCTGGCCCACGCTGTCCACCTCACAAAGGATGAGATGACCCTTATCAGCGAGCGTGGCTCTAAGGTTGCTCACTGCCCTGCATCAAACTCTGCCCTGGGCTCTGGTCTTGCCCCTGTTCGCTTCATGCTCGACCAGGGTGTCACCGTTGGCCTGGGCACGGATGTTGCCGGTGGATACAGCCCCAGTATCCTCGAAGTCGCCCGACAGGCCAGTCTGGTGTCTCGCGTTGTTCAGTATAGCGCCGAGTACCAGGCACTGACAGGAAACAAGACCTCCGATGGAAGTGAGAAGCTTCTCGTGGATGAGGTTCTCTACCTGGCTACCCGCGGTGGCGCAGCGGTCGTCGACATGCCAACTGACATTGGCGGCTTCGACAAGGGAATGATCTGGGATGCGCAGCTGATTGAGCTGGGTGCTGTCACAAACAGTACAACCAGTCCCCTTGATGTCGCTACTCTCGCTGGCCGAGCTGTTGAGACTGGCCCTGTGGGCAATGTTGATATTTTTGGAAACGAGACCTGGCAGGAGCAGGTCCAGAAGTGGATGTGGGATGGCGACGACCGGAACGTCAAGAACGTGTGGGTTCAGGGGAAGCTGGTCCATACCAGAGCCTAGACCACGATTTGGAATTGCGGGGTTGAATATATGGTTAGTTTTATCGATCTATTATAGTACATAGGGGAATTGGTCAGTGAAGGGATGTTGTCGCCGTCAGGCATGCCAGTCGTTACCTGAATGTATTTATCTATTTATATAAATCCTCAATTTTTGGAATTCGAGTTAACTGAGGCATCCCGAGTCTAAACTGCGACAGAAAATAAAAGGTAAGAGTTAGATGAGCAGATATAAGATGGAGAAGAAATGACGTCTGACTTTGAGGCTCAACTCTACCGAAAGAATTTGAGACGGAGACGGAAGCGGATATATCCATTTCCGCTTCCGGGTGATCCTGAGATTGTCCAGGATCGGCTCAGGCACTCCGTAGATCTCCTAGCTTAAAGTTCCCCTGCCGCACTCTTCCAGTTCCAGTTTCTTTGGTAAATTGTAATAATCAATCAACCTTGATCTTGAGATTCCAGTTCGTTCTTATGGTATATGAAGACCCTGGGCTTAACTAGTATGCTGGATCAGTCTAGGCTTCGTGTTATGATGGCTTGACCTTCCGTACCGTTGTCGCGGAAGAGAATAGAAACTTCAAACAACCCATTGAAAATTTATTTTATGAATCAAAGACCCCAATACACCGTGACCTCTTCGAAGTAATTTCCACCTCAGATATAATTAATTGAGGATATTCCCACTAAAATCCAGGGAAAGCTCTTTTCCAGCCTAGAACACGGAGTGGGCCCGGAACAGCAGTTCCTGTTCCGTGCGCCTTCTTAGACGCCGTCAGAACTTTCGACAAGGGGCATTGACAGATTACTCGTTCCAGATGCACTCCACTCAATGCGGGGAAAGAATCATCCTAGAATCCGGGGTGTGTTCGTGATGTAAAGGCCAACGAACTCAAGGGCCAGGCATCTATGCCGGAACTGTCTACCATTGTTCCTCTCCCTCCCCCTCCCACATAGAAATACGCGATGGAGGCAGAAATCGTCTAGCCTAACAAGGAGTTGGGGCATTTCTGCCTACCAAGAGTACTAAACCAAATGCATCTCAATTTTTTCCTCGAGCATTTCTTTGCCTCTCGTTTCCCGCGCCGAATAAGTCGTCGGAGACGAAACCAGAGTGGGGCGACCCCAGAAGAGATTTTTCCTCGGCGGAGGCGATTCTCAACATTAACATTGCAACCACCCTTTTGACCTCAAATCGCCAACATGGAGAAAGCCATGGATCCGGAGAAATCGCTAGATCCCTTCGCTGGGGAAGAGGCTGGTGGAGTGCAGTATAGGAGTATGAAGTGGTGGTAAGTTCTCATTTGCAGAAATCACTGTCCAATGCAGAAAAGCTAATGATATTCGTGTATAAGGCAATGCGCAATTCGTACATACTACCCAATCCTTTTCGTTTTCAATCCAGGTGGAAAACTAACCAAATAACAGTGATGATTGCCCAGTCTGTCTCCTTGGGTGTCCTTTCGCTGCCCTCTTCAATGGCAGTCTTGGGCTTGGTCCCGTACGTCCAATGAGTCACTTCTCGAATTAGCATATGATGGCCCCGTACTAATTTAAGCAGTGGCTGTATTATCATTGTTGGAATTGGAGCCATGACGACTTACACCGGATATGTCGTCGGTCAATTCAAACTGCGATACCCTCAAGTCCATAACATGTCTGATGCGTCAGAGATTTTGTTCGGCGCTTGGGGACGCGAGATCTTCGGAGTCGCCCAGATTCTCTGCTTCATTTTCCTTATGGGTGCTCACATCTTGACTTTCTCCATCATGATGAACACTCTTTCCAACCACGGTGCCTGCACTATCATTTTCTGTCTGGTGGGAGCCATCCTCTGCTTCGTCTTGACGCTCTCACGGCGCCTGGAGGAAGTCTCTTGGCTTGGAATTATCTGTATGAAAATCACATCTTGTTTTTGTGCCTGTCTACTGAGCCCAGCTGACATATCCTAGCTTCGGCCTCGATCTTCACGGCCGTCATGATCACAATGATCGCCATTGGCATTGAAGCCCCGGATCCTCGAACATATGCCATTACCCATCCAAGTCTCATGAACGGATTCCAGGCAACTCTGAACATCGTTCTGGCCTATTCTGGTCATATGTCTTTCTTCAGTTTCCAGTCGGAGCTGGCTAACCCGGCCGATTACCCGAAAGCCCTGATTGTTTTCCAGGCCACTGATACTTCTCTGTATCTCGTCACTGCCCTCGTCATCTACCGATACGGCGGACCGAACGTAGCGAGCCCCGCCTTGCTGAGCACTAGCGCACTCGTTTCCAAGATTGCTTTCGGTATATCTATTGGAACAATTGTTATTGCTGGAGTCGTCATTTGCCATGTCGGTGCGAAGTGTATCTACGTGAGACTGTTCCGTGGCACCCACACCATGAGTGAGAGGTCCTTCCGTTCCTATGGAACATGGGTTCTGATCACTTTCCTCATGTGGGTCATTGCGTGGTTGATCGCCGAGGCAATCCCTGTCTTCAACGACCTTCTCAACATGATCGCGGCTGCATTCTGCAGTTGGTTCTCGTTTGGCCTGGAGGGCCTTTTCTGGTTGAAGATGAATCGCGGACAGTATACTGCGAATTGGCGAAAGATGGCCTTGACCGCGTTGAACATCTTCCTCGTTCTCGTGTGTTGCCTCATTGTAAGTTTCTTTCCGGCTCCCCTTCAAATTGCATTACTGATCGTACAACAGTGTGGAATGGGTCTTTGGGCCACAGGAACAAGCATTCGAATCAATGCGAAGTCCGCGGGTCGTCCGTTCTCCTGCGCCTCTAACGCCTAAATTATTATCATGTTTAGGCCCCTATAGACGCGCATCATGAGGAGCAGGGCTATCGTAGCCCTTACTTGTATAGTCACTAGCCGAGAGGCATTGTTCATAGAAATGGAACCGAATGCGATTGAACGATTCAACCCGAATAGCTAACTAAACCCTGCTTCATGAAATACCACGAGGGAAGCAAGGGGACTTGCGTCTCGAAAACCCCCCCAAGTTCTAAAGCACTGCAAAAGCAGAGACATAGCTCACAGAGCTATCTGATACATCTTCTACATCGGAACTCCGCTCATATCTCAAAAAGTGGAACCGACCTTCCTTGCCTGCGGATCGATTGGCGGTGACCACTTCAAGGGCTGCCATGATCACACCAATGGGGTGGCGGCCACAGACAGTATTACCTGTGCGGTCAATTGTGTCAAGGAAAGTTTGAGAAGATCCAGTGGTGATGGCAGCCATTGTAGCAATATCGAATGCTGAGATGCTTTCATGGATGGTGGGTTCTTTGCTCGAGATACGGTCTCGACGCTGTAAAGAGTGTCCGGCGGAAACCGAGTCAATATTCTCCAATACATCATCGGCATCCATGCCCGGTTGTGGCAGACCGTCACTGGAGAGAGGCAATTGGGGCCCAGGTGTCGGGGCTTGGGGAACGTAATATGTGTATCGGAAGCGGAGGCCCCAGTGGCAGAAATCCGAGCTTACGACGAAAATATTAGAGGGGTCAGCCAAGTATGGAGCTAGTAGTGCGCCAAATGCTTTCTCGGTCTCAGCAGAGGTATTTCCGACCATGATAGGGACCAGCGGAGGGTACTGCGCAGTTGGGGTAGTAGGGAGTTGCTGTTGAAGAAGACGGTGGATGTAAGGCAGATGCATCTCAATGCTGTGCTCTTCTTCGTCGACGGACTGGGTCATGGTCGTGAATTGAATACTGGATCCATTTGACTTCTTTGCTGGGGTAGCCAGGAGATTCGCGATGAGCTCCGTATCTAGCGGGAGAGGATCATCGGAGAGCGGGGTATAGTACGAGGTGACCTGCGGAAGGGCCAGCGTTGAGAGCGGATAGTGATGCGATGGACCTAGAACGAAGATCCTCTTCCTGTGAAATGATGATGTGAGATGCAGCGTCCCATCCAGACAATTAAGATAAACTCACGCTTTAGATAGATCGAGTGCCTTGTATGCGTAGGCTGCGCAGGGCCCCGAGTACGCAAACCCCGCATGTCTATTTGGTCAGTATATTTATTGCAAGCAATAATGGTTTGACTTCGCAAGGAATAAGACATACGGGGCTATGACTATTCGCGCTCCTGATACAGGAAGGGGACCTGCGTGGTCCATTGTATCAGGCACCTGGCCCAACCAGCCGTCCAACTGTTTGGTCAAAGTATTGGCGTCGTTTGAGTACCATGACCCAGCGTGGGAAGCTTCTCTGGATGGCATAATGATTTCTCAAGTGATGTTGATGTATGGATGAAGAAAGTCGCCGTAGCTGTAGTTGGGGAAAACAACTGGGGAGCTCCGGGAGGAGAAGCGGGGGGAGAGCAGCGTCACTGGTGGAGCAGATGCAGTGCGGGATACCAAACATCACTACTAGTAGCTACTAGTACGGCATGCCGAGTGCCTGAGGTGGTTTGAAACATGGGAGCTTTCAATTTTTGATTGGGAATGAAAAGTCATTACTATACGAGTTTGAAGAGCCTGAGAGAGCAAAGTGTGGTCATAGATTGATGATCTACCACTGTTGGCTGATGATGTCGCAGAGTTGTGGTAGGTTGCACGACCATAGTCATACGATGTTCTGTTGCTTGAGTCATATCCAAAGTATTACAGACTATGAATATCTACCTAACAATGTACAAACCTGAAATCATTGCCTCCAAGGTGTCGCGCGTACTTGTGCAATGTTACCTCTTCCGGTCTAGCGTGTCCCAAGCAACGCGACGCGGCCAATCGCATTCCCAGCATCCCAGCCTTCTTCAGTGCAACCTGCGAACTCGGACTTCCTCCAAACCAGACCTGCAAGAGAGATTGCAAGACTTTGATCACGTCCACATCATCTTTATACATACATCGTCATAATGTCACTCAAGCGAAAAGCCTCCTTCTCGGCAATGCCGTCCAGCCCATTCGTCCCCGCGTCCAGTGACTGGGAGATGACCGACAGCTCCAAACACCTCCACAGCCGGACCAGAAAGCGTTTTCGGGATGGCCGTCCCAACGAGGAAGCGGTTTATGGTTAGTACATTACATTTCATCCTTCCTAATCGCACCCCAAGACTGTCAGATGAGCAACCAACCAAGCTCGGCTAGTCGCTAGCGACAACACGAACGCGAGAGCTAACGAGCAGCAGCGAAAACACTCCGCTGGATCTTTTCTGCTCAGAAACAGCAAAATGAACCTTCAATGGATACATGCGATGAAGTCATGGACTCTGAACCTACCGAAACGATCGATCCGCGACAGCAATCGCTACTTCGATTCTTCCAGCCGCGCACTCAATCGGGCCCCTCCTTCAAACCGTCCCGTGAAGCATTAGCTCCCCGAGCTAACGAGACTGCTGTCGGAAATGATGATGCTTTACGACGCGAGGCATTCGAACGGATAAATTCGGTGGACAGTGCCTGTGGGAGCGAGACTACAAGTCCTGGGTTCAACCAGATGGATGTCGACATGGATATGGATACCGACGAAAGCTGCGAGAGCTCAACCCCTGGTGTCAATATTGGCGTGACAAGCTGGATGTAATTTCCAGATATACGGTTGGCCAGGGCTTCCTCAGCTGAGCGCGGGTCGCTCTCTGATTTGCTACTGCTCTATGGTCGTCTCATTCCCGGCGTCGTTCCTTTTAAGGTGTTAGGTGTTCTATTCGATTTCTCTTCAAATGAGGTGGTATTATTTTTGCAGCAATATGGGACCGTGGGTGATATGGACCCGGAGTTTTCTTTTTCGCGACATGGCCTGGCACGGCATAATTAAGTGGACATACTATTTATTATCAACTATATCTGAATCACACATTACTCTAAACTGGAGACAGGTTCACCATGGGGGGGAAATGTGTTTTGTGAAAGGAGACGGCCAAGATCCATCAAAAACACCAGCCAGTAGGCACTCAACCTCGCCATATGTACGGAGTACGATTCAAGTGAAATCTAGTATGATTATATCTGAGACAATCACCATTCATTGACAATGTTGGACATTCATCCATGGATCTAAGCACTGACAAACAACTCTGCAAATTTATCGTCACGAGCTGCTTCACACTTCTCGAAATACATCGGCATTCCGGCAAGATAATACAACTGCTCAACGGGTTTTCCAGGAATGTTGGCACCCTGGTACCAGGACTTGGCCTTGGGAAACAGAGTCATGTTGGCAATTGCCTGTACTTCTGCCCGCCATTCCTGCGCAGCCTTCATTTGAGGATCAATATAGCGGATACCAGATTTCTCCATCTTCTCAATCATGCTTCGGATCCAATCGGCCTGGAATTGGATGAAGATAGGCCCGTTGGTGAATGGGGTCGGAGACTGGATGGAGTAAGGCAGGAACATGTTTGGGAACCCTGGGACAGTCATTCCGTGGAGGCTTATAACTCCGTCTTTCCATCGAGTTCCCAGGTCAACACCATCTAGATCCCGAATACCTGTCCTGGATAGGCTACCTGTACTTGCGTCAAAGCCCGTAGCCACAGCGATAGCATCCACTTCGTAGATCTTGCCATCGTCGGTCATGATCCCATTGGGGGTAAACTCGACAATTGGATGCTCCTTGGTGTTCACGATGTGGACATTCGGCCTGTTGAACTGTTCGTAGTAATCCTGCTCCAATGATGGGCGTTTCGTACCCCATGGGTGTGGGGCCTGTAATGGTGCCAATAGTTCAGCCTTCACCGGATCATCGATTCTTTCGCGAACTCTTTTCGCCCAGATATCATAAGCGAACTTGTTAGCGTCTTCATTGACGGTGATATCGGCAAGACTGGCAGCCCAGAACCTGAAACCACCTTCATCATACATCTGATTCACGTGTTTTGCGGCGTCCTCTAAGTTCTCCCAGTCCGCCAGTGCCTTTGTCGTGCTGTGGAAGTGCAGACCACCCCCTGTGCTCCCGGCGTAGGCGAGCAGGTCGCCCGTATCTTTCTGCATCTGTTTTTGACTGGCCGAATCCAGGGTTTTATTCTTCATGGGCACTGCATAGTTTGGTGTACGCTGGAAGACGAATGTTTCGCTAGCTTCTTTGGCCCACTCCTGTGTGACTTGTACACCAGTTGCGCCAGTGCCGATGATAGCGACTCGCTTTCCTCGTACATCGACCCCGTCACGGGGCCAGTGAGCAGTGTGATTGATGCTCCCCTGATAGCAGTCGTATCCCTTCCAGGTCGGTAGATAATTCTGCGAGGCAAAGCCCACGGCAGGAAGGAAGTATTTTGCGACGATAGTTTTGCCGTCCTCCGTCTTGACAGTCCAACGGGCAGTGGTGGTATCAAATTGAGCCGAATTGACACGTGAGTTGAAGAAAGTGTCCTGTCTCACGGATAAAGCTTTGTCAACATGTTGGAAGTAGGCCTGTAGCTCCTTTTGCCCAGGGTATAATTCCGACCAATTCCAATCCTTCCACGCCTCCTCGATATTGAAGGAGTATATAGGCGAAGGAATGTCCACCCTGGCGCCAGGATAAAGGTTGGCATTCCAGGTCCCGCCCACATCCGACCCCGCTTCGACAATTTTCACATTGAGGTGTAGTTGGTCTCGGAGTCGATGTAGAAGGTAGATACCCGAGAACCCCGCCCCGACGATCAGCGCATCTATCTCCAAGACTGCCATAATGGTGAATATGTAAATCTGCTAGTACAGAATATCCAGGGGATGGTAGTTTCAATTTATGTCAGGGAAGTGGGTGGCCTGAAATTTTAGCATTATAAGTTAGTGCTGATACACTGTATTTCCTGGTGGATACTGCTAGTAGTATGTTGGTGGCGAAGCCATCCCCGCACCGGTAGACCTACGCCATTGATTAAACCTCGGTCTATCCGACTCATCTCAAAATTCCTGCCTCGTAGCTCCCTTGGATCTCAATCTGGTACTTAAATCAAGGTAGCGGGTGATGACAATATACAATGCGTAGAAGTCTTGAGCCGAAAGATAATTCTACTTGTTGCAACTTGAATCCGGCAGATCAATGGAGCCCATTTTGATACGCCGATGCCCCATGAGTAGGTGGAGTAGGAGGGGCTGAGGGCTACCCCTCGTAGGATATCTACTTAGACTACCTACCATTACCTAGTACCTAGGCAGGTACTGCGAATCTCGATACTTCCATAGTAACCTTGAAAAACGGCTAGAATATAGCATGTTTTGAAATTGGGATGAATTACCGCTTTCCTCACTAGGTATAAAGCCAAAACCGTGACATTGCAAATTGTGCAATCATGTAGCGACCTTAAGATGTAATTCTTCTCTTTAGCTGCAAGGGAAAGCCCGACGAATACCAACCATCTACCTTAGAGACCGACTATTAAGAGAGTGAAATATAGGGGATTTCAAGATCCACGCTGTACCAACGCCTTCGTTCTTTATGGCATGCGGATCAGCATTTTGCACATTGCCGCCTACACGAGCATTATATAATTCAAACATTTAAATAACTGATCCATCTTTTGTAGATGTAAAATTAGTTCTTTGAAGTGAGGATAGGATGCCCTTGTGCAGGTGTTCCTGCATTATGGCTGCTTTGCCCCAGATCCACCTTCTTTGAGGCCTGAGGCCACAACACTGCCTGACGCTCTGTTACCGCCGCGTACCTTCTTTCCAAGCTCCCACTGTCAATTTGCGGGAACCTCGAAGACAAGAGCCTCTGGCACAAAAGGTTTACGCTGTACCTCGATCTAAACCCCCGCACGATCAATTTAACATCTCTCCAAGCGCCCCCGAAGTTCTCATCGGGAAAGCGGACACAGCTCTGACCTTGACTACCCCTCCAAAGGAGACAATACCTTGTCGATTACCCCCAACAACATCGAGGCTACATCATGGAGACCGGACACGCCGTGCAATATCTGGAAGGACTGCTTGGTCGCTCTTTACGTGTACACACCACAGACAGTCGTATGTTTGTTGGCATTTTCAAGTGCACTGACGCGGTAAGCAGCTTTTGCCAACCATACCTACCCTTCTCTCTGTGTGGTTGGCGCCTCATATACGTTTTCATCACTTGCATTCCATGCTGACAGAAGGAATGCATCAGGAACGAAACCTCATCCTGGCCAACTCACTTGAGTACCGTTTCCCCACCCCCTCTGCCGTTGAAACGGCTGCGAAGGAGCTCGAATCCTGGGACAACGCATCCGAAGCCGCAAAGGCCACCGTTAAAGTGAATATGACCAGTCGTCTTATCGGCCTGATTGTGATCCCGGGCAGACACATTACAAAGATTGAGCTGGAGTAAAGGCCCGACCCGATACATGTGCACCCTCTGCATGTTTACAAGGTGGCGTCTTACTGTTTACTCACAGTGAGAATTTACCTCTGGCCGATAATGGAAACGACTACCTCGATCAGATCACGCCTTGGAATATTGCCCTCCAAAGAAAGATCCCGGTTTCTCGGTAAACCTGGGTTCTGCCCTGTAATGCCCAGAGATACTATCCTTGCTTTTCCGCCATACGTGGGGCTGCCAAGAATGACTTCCTGGCGGGCCTATGCTCGTCCCGTCACAATCAACGTGGCAAGGAGAACACTGCATCTGCATCGCGGCATCAGGCGGGCTTGGCCAGCAGGTCCGCTGCGAACGATGGACCAGTTGGGGAATCCTTTGCGTCAGCCCTAGATGGCCTCGTGAGGGTCCTATGCACTGTGGGAGGAGGGGATGCAAAGGGCGGTGTCTCCGCCACATGGAGATAGATGCCTTGGCGGTATAGCGTGTAGCGGCTTTCGTGCAGAACCAAGACTATCTGCGGCTCCTATCCACCCAGGCCGCAGCTCGGCCAAGGACGGAACTGGATCTGTACCGTTAAATGTGGGCTGGCTTGAACAGGGGACAAGAAATAAAGAAGCAACAAGAAAACAAAAGGAAAACCAACGGACCACTGGGGATGACTATCGGGGCCTGTCACCAATCTTTTTGACCTTGTTTTTAGAGTGGTGAGGCGGGGTTGACGAGATGGTGGCGTCAGGATGGTGAACGAGATGCTCCCAGAGGTCAGCCTTTCCCCCGCGGCTTGTGATAGGAGCGCAGGTGGGGTCTAAGCTCCAACCCACAGGCTTTCTTACTGGCTGGGCCATCAAAGGAAAAGTTTACGATAGGCATTAGTGTGTAGCAATTATTCGCACCGACTGTTCCAGCTCGTCGGACCAAATTTAAATCTGGAATAAAATGAGTTGCTTTTGTTCGCTTTCGCTCGCTTATCGGTGGAGGGTGCATCCTCCAGATTGGAGAGTTCACAATGCTAGACTGCGTCTATGGTAGCCCCGGTTTAAGTGGCAGCCTTGAGGAAGAGCGGAGTGGCGCATACATACTGATACTTCTCCTCATTCCTCTCCGCCACCCACCACCTGCAGCTACTCTAGATAGACAGTGAACACAATTATGGAAAGTAGGATAAAAAATACTAATAAAAATGTCAGCTATACCGATCGTAAATGTCATCGACTATATAAAGACTAAATTCATCAATGAAAACTATAAATATCAATATCAACCGGGGCCCAGACCTCCAGACTCTAGACTTCCCCCCTCCAGACAGCACCTCGGCCCGCAGATGATCCGGCTGACCTAATCTGGCCAGAAGCGGGCGACGCAGCTTCCGCCGCCGAAAAGCACCCCAAGTACCTTCCCACGTACTAGCGGTGGCGGAGTACTTTCCTCGTTTACATCCCCCCTCTATCTCTGCTGCTCTTCCTCATCTCTCTTCCTGTTAACCACAATATACCTCTCGGTGAGTTTGTCTATATTTCCTTTGTTGTTAGGCTTCTCGCGGCCTCAAAAATACATCAGACAGCCTAGTCTTATCATGACGCATTCCTCTACCCGCCCCGTCCACACCCCAAATTAACTCATACCCAAACTTCCAATTCCTCCCTTGCCTTGCCCACCTCCACATACCACCTGAATTTCGTGGAGTTCAGCCCTGTCGTCGCCTTTTCTCCCTGCCCTCGTGCTGTGTATGGGCAAGACTAATCCCTCGTGCAGAAAGAGCTTTTGTCCGTGCTGAAGCTTCAGCCCTCCCACCTCCTTCCGGCCGTCCAACTTCCTTCGCCAGCTCTTTTTTTTTTTTGCGACCATCCCTTTCCCGCGTAGTCGCTTTCGCCATTTACCCCCTTTCTCTCGCTGCTGGTCTGACCTCCGTCAATCCGAACATTGTCCGGTTGTTCTCCTGTCGTTCCCTTCGTTGCCCGACTCTGTCTGAGAATCGACCCGAAGATATCACTAGTTTCTCGAAACGGCTGCAAGGACCACCTTCGACTCTGTGCGCAGGGGTTCTGCAAGCCTAATATACTGTGTTTGGGTCGCAACCTCTCAGGAGCTAAGAGCCAAGACATTCCGACATCCAGGGGGCATTTTCTCGGCGTAGTGATTTGAACGTCCGCTTCGTGCGCTTTCCCCCCCAGCTCGAGCTTGGCAGATATCCCAGCCTTGCAGTGATGGGTCAGTCGCATTCCAAGGGCAACGCCGCGGGCGACCCGTTGCAGTCGTACCCGTCCTTTTCGAAATCCGACACGAAAGAATCAATCCGTTCCTTCCGTGGCTCCATTCGCTCCAAAATCCGGAGCTCCGACAGCCCTCGGGGATCAACCACCGCCCTCTCTCAGACCGACAGTCAAGGCGACCGTTCCGATGCCGGTTCAATCAGGTCCGCTAAATCGTTCGGTAGTCGCCCCGGCTCCAACGCCGGCCTTTCCTCACCAGGCTCCGAAGGCCCTTCGCGAACAAGCTCTCCCGAACCCCCACCATCGCCAGCACTCTCAACCAGCCTACAGCGTGGTCATAAAGATGTGAATGCGATGCAACAGAGTGGCGAGGTCGACCATGTTTCGGAGGGTCCTCCTCAGGGTGGTCCGCCCTCAGGCCCTGGAGGTGTGGCTGGCGAATCCATCTTGATCAAGAAGCCGAACCAAGTAAATCCGATCTTGGATTTCATTCTCAATGCGCCACTTGAGACATCCGGATCTCCCGGCATGGGCATGGGCGCTCTGAAGTCCATTGATCTCGACGATATGATTTCGCGGCTCCTAGACGCAGGCTACTCCACCAAGGTCACAAAGACTGTTTGCTTGAAGAACGCTGAGATCACTGCTATTTGTTCGGCGGCCCGGGAGACATTTCTTTCTCAACCTGCACTGTTAGAATTGGCTGCTCCTGTCAAGATCGTTGGTGATGTCCATGGCCAATATACCGATCTCATCCGTCTTTTTGAGATGTGTGGATTTCCACCCCAGTCGAACTACCTCTTCTTGGGCGATTATGTCGACCGTGGAAAACAGAGTCTAGAGACAATTCTGCTCTTGCTGTGCTATAAGCTGAAGTACCCCGAGAATTTCTTTTTGCTTCGCGGCAACCACGAGTGCGCTAATGTCACCCGAGTTTATGGTTTCTACGACGAATGTAAGCGACGCTGCAATATCAAGGTTTGGAAGGGTTTCATTGATACTTTCAACTGCCTCCCCATTGCATCAATAGTTGCAGGAAAGATTTTCTGTGTTCATGGCGGTCTTTCACCAAGTCTTTCGCACATGGATGATATTCGAGGAATCGCACGGCCCACCGATGTACCCGATTATGGGTTGCTAAACGACCTTCTTTGGAGTGATCCTGCGGACATGGAAGAGGACTGGGAGCCCAACGAGCGTGGTGTGAGCTATTGCTTTGGAAAGAAAGTCATCATGAACTTTTTGCAACGCCATGACTTCGATCTTGTGTGCCGTGCACACATGGTGGTAGAGGACGGATATGAATTCTATCAGGACCGGGTCCTCGTGACTGTGTTCTCAGCACCCAATGTAAGTGTCCTACCTACCCCGCTTGGGCATCAGTTTGCTTTTTTCATGACGTGGGGGTGATACTGATTTGTTCTTCCCTCTGTAGTATTGCGGCGAGTTCGACAACTGGGGTGCGATTATGTCCGTTTCGAGTGAACTCCTCTGTAGTTTCGAGCTTCTGAAGCCCTTGGATTCGACCGCATTGAAGAATCACATCAAGAAGGGTCGTAACAAGCGAAACAGCTTGTTGAGCAGTCCGGTGAGTCTCTTCGCCCCCTTGCGTGTGTTTCTCTTATCTCGTGCCAAGCGATCGCCTCCATCCGCTGTGCAACGATGCCGAGACACACCTTACCATGCAATCTGTTCCTCAAGTACTCATCAGATTTACACAGCCTGCAATCCCATCCGCCCAAAGTTTCTAAGGTTACTTGCTGCCCTTAGTTCAAGTTGCCCTATTGCCATTACCTGCGTGGCACTTCATCTTCCAGTACAATGACCACAGATACCAACAGAAACTTACCGCAATTTACCCTCTACCAGCCACCACGTGCAGGCCATTCCTCTCTTCATTAGAGCATGGCTGAAGGTTGAGCCACCTCTCAAGGCGCGTCTGTGTTTCCTCCACAGCCCTGATTTGTCTTCGAATACTTCATTGGAGCCAGTGGTACAGAAACTCCGTTCGATCCGTTCCGTGCTTGGGAGCCTTCGGTTTCCAATTTGCATGTGGATTCCATGCGAACCAGAGAGACAGCGCAGGAAGCTGCCCAAATGGAATTTATAAAGGACCCGGTGAAATTTCTGCTACCCGAAACTACTCCTTCCGGGGTACGTACAACATGTTCCTCCAGCCCCGGCTGGTTGGGCACGCCCTGGGCTGCGCCACTGGGCACTTACTCCACTCTGGTTGATTCTTTCTCCTGTATCCATGTATCTACTCTTTTCTCATTAGTCGGTGTTTGGAAGGCTCTTTTGCCGATTCCGTTACAACAGCCATGATTCTAATCTGCAATCTCTCTTCCTCTAACGTCTAACGCTATTCCATTTTCAAATTACTCGTTGTCCTCATTGTAAATGCACTCATATTTTGGAATATTGACGACCAAAATATTCTATATACAATATAAACAATATACAAACCACTCACCTCTGCCCAAGCAATCCATGATTCGCCTCCCAGAATAACCGACACCCCGTATGCCCCCAATGGTCCGTCCACCACTCCCCAAAACTATCCTGCACATCCTCCTCATCAACCCTAAGAACCCTCTCGTCCCTCTTTAGTGCGCAAAGCGCACAGGCATGCGCAGCCTTCAACGCTCCTTGTCTAGGCTTCGCAGTAACAACCTTCAAAGCCGCCGGTCCAGCCACAGTCGGAATGGGCCGCAGCCCAGCGCTCTGAACCACGGCGTTGAAGAGCGCCGCACGCTCGCGCCAGAGCGCCAGGACGTCAACGGCGTCTTGCTCTTCCTTGACGTCTTCGTGTTTGTTTACGGCGTTGAGTTTCATGCCGCTTGATTTGCCGGCGCGGGCGGGCCCGATGCGCATGCTTTGGCTTAGGATCGTGTCGCGTTTCCAGCGGAGGTGGCGGCCCGCTATGATGCGGGCTGCTGTTGAGGTTGTTGTGTGGATTTTGGATGCGGTTGTGCTTTGCTGTGGGGTCCGGGGTGGCTGCGTTGTTTTGTTGTTTGTTGTTGCGGCTTCTTTTTGGAGGTTGTTCATTAAGTCGACGAGGAGTTCTAGGAGGACGGATGGTGGGGGGATGTTGGTTGGTCGGACGGTTGGGGATGGGACTCTGGTTCCTAATGTGAAGCTTTCTGGGGGTGGGCTTGTAGGTGTTGATTCTTTTCTTGTGGGTGCTGGTGCTGGGGCTGGTGCTAGTGCTGGTGCTGGGGCTGGGGCTGGTGCTAGTGCTGGTGCTGGGGCTGGGGCTGGAGTCGATAATGGCCCATCGTTGAAGTCATCCCAGTCATCGAAGGCCTCGTCGTCCCAGGTTGGTTGTTGAGGCACGGACTTTGTAGTCATTGGTTTCTTTTCCAGGGGGAATTTTGACTTTGGCTTTGCTTTTGGGACCGATGCAGCTGTCGTTTTAGGAGCCGGAGATGGAGCACTTAATTTCGTGGAAGTTGCATCCGTGAATTCCCCCCCAGTCCCCGAATGAGTCGTCTTCCCATGTTGGATTGGAGTCTGGCAAAGTATTGAAGGTTTGTAGAGGCGGGTTGCTTTCAGAAGACTTGTTTATAGTTGAAGTCACGTCTTCAATCGACAATGAATCTAGCAAGTCGAACGTGTCCGTTGCTTGTTGGACTTTTGGTTGCTTTGGCGGTGGGTTGGAGACTTTGCTTTCTTGAGCAGCGGGCATTGAATACTGTGATTGATATGATCGAGCAGCGCTGGCCTCTGGTCCCTCAAAGTCTCCCCAGTCATCTTCTGTGTCACTGACAGGAGTTTCCTCTGTAGCATCAAACAACACATCGCTGTTAATTTGCCGTGGCAGATCGAATGCTGGCAAGCTTGGCACTTGATGATGGGCGGCTGGTGCCTGAGTGACGTATTGGGCAGAGGCTGAACTGGAACCAAATTGTTGATTCACACGCGCCTGAGTGTTCGTGGACCCGGCAAAAAAAAAATCATCTGATTGATCAAAATCTTCAATCAATGCGTTTGTTTGTGACTGTGGTTGCTTGGTCGTCTGTGGTGTGCCCAAAGTGCTTTGCGTCGGGGCGGGACCCTGCCCAAATTCTGCAAATAAGTCTGCGGACATTATATCCGAACGCTGCGTAACATCAAGGAAGGTGTGGAGACTATCGTATAATCATGGCTCGCCGGGTTATAGGGAAGGTCGACCAAATACCAAGTTGGAGTCGTCGGCTTCGGCGGGTTTCAAGGGGAGTTGGAGGTGCGCACGATAAGGTGTGTGGATTACATTATCGCTCTTCCCCTCACCCGCATCTTCCCTCCGCCATTTCCCAGCCACAAACCACATGAAATGAGAACCATTGAGGAGACCAGGTACCTATACCCAATAGACAGGGATGGCTTGTATAACTGACCCCATGTAGAAAGAGATGGGCGATATTGTTCAATAGCGACGCTCCCTCCGATTTTCGAGCTGCGCTCCGAGCGGAGCAGGGTGGGAAGCTGTGCAACGATGGGCTGAGATCGATCTGCTGGAAGGTCCGTGGCAAAAGAACGACTGCAGCTCTAATTTCAAGTACTCACTCCATCTGCAGGTGTTTCTGCTCTTCGAGGGTCTCGATCGCGAACAATGGTCCAAGAAACTAGACGAGTCGCGTGACGCATACAGCGCACTCCGCGCCCACTTTTTGAAATATATTGAACACCCCGACGATTTAGAGTCATCTGCTGATCCGCTGGCGGACGATGAGGAGGTATGTTAGACTTGGCCTATGGCGAATGAAGAGGCCCTCCAGCACCACCCGAGGTACTCTTGATTTACGAAGCCTTCTAACTATTGCCTATCTATAGTCTCCTTGGCAAACACTTCGCCAGGATGAGAAACTTCGAGCGGAGATTTTACAGGACGTTGACCGATGCCTGCAAGAAAATTACTTCTTTCAAGAGCCAGCAACCAAGTCAAAACTGACTGATGTCCTGTTTATTTACTCAAAACTCAATCCAGATGTGGGCTACCGGCAAGGCATGCATGAGCTCCTGGCTCCGATTCTTTGGGTCATTGATCGGGATGCAATTACCCCACCACTGGAAAGTCCTGTAAGCTCTGCGGGGTCTGAAGATGACAGTTTAATGTTGGAACTTCTTGATGAGCAGTTCATTGAGCATGACTCGTTCACACTCTTCTCTCTGTGTAATGCAGACGGCTCGTACATACTATGAGCATGGCGAGACGCGATCCTCCGACGGTCAAATGGACGTCATTCCAATTGTGAGTAGGTGTGAATATCTTCACAAAGAGGCTCTGGGAACTATAGACCATGAGTTGGCAGATCACCTACAAGCCATAGAAGTGCTACCTCAAATTTTCTTGACGTGAGTTAACGATACAATTGACCTGAAAGAAGATTTAGCTGATTAAATCCAAAGGCGTTGGATGCGTTTACTTTTTGGACGTGAATTCCCATTCGACGATGTGCTGATCATGTGGGATGTTTTGTTCGCCAATGGCCTGAGATCTGATCTTGTGGACTTTACCTGCATCGCAATGCTACTTAGAATTCGCTGGGAACGTGAGTATCTGGAATAAAATTATCTGGTGAAAATGGAATATTAATATTATACAGTGCTCAGCGCAGATTACACAGGTGCATTGTCATTGTTACTGCGCTACCCCTCTCCGGAACCACATAAACCTCGGACTTTCATTTATGATGCACTGTACCTCGAGCAGAATCCTACTGCGGAACGAGGCAGTTTCATCATTTCGAAATATTCAGGCAAAGAACCAGAGTCGTCGAAACGCCATAGCCAATCCCGTTTACGACCTGCCCGACGAGCACATTTGTGGGATGATTTCACAACCAGCAGCGGCAGTAACTCTTCTACACAATCACCAACCAGAAATAGCCCCAAGAGCCTCGAGTCACTTTTTCAGGACGTGTCTCAGGGAATACAGCGACGCACTGAGTCTTGGGGTGTGGCCAAGGCTGTCCGGGGGGCTGTCACTGAAGCCAGAAAAAACATGCAGACAATGAATTATGAGCCAGGACTACGAGCACACAATGCAGACCGACAACCGACTGGTACGATACCGCCAGGAATCCCAAAAACTCCAACGGCCACTGAGCTAGGTCTGAAAGCACGAATCGACCGCTTGGAAGAGAGAAACCAAGAATTAGCGAATGCTCTGGGCGACGCATTAAAAGATCTTTATTTACAGCTAGCCACCGTGAAGGATCTTGACCCAACCGCGCATGATGCAGTGAAACAGACCTTGAATAGGGCAGTGTCAGTACAAAGCTGTCTTCAAGACCCTTCGCTGCCACTGCCAACCTTGGCTCCAAATTTGACACCAGTCGGCAAAACCGATGAGACGAATGAAACAGAACGGTCGCTAATTCCCCCGCCCAAAGACCCCATCCTCACAGAGACTGAAACAGATACGACCGCCAGCGATCAGCAAAATACAGTTGACCCCCATGTGGATAGTCTCCAGTCCAACGCCAAGGAGAATCCTCCAGAGCCAGTGAGCGGCGCAGGAGAAACGAAAGCTGGCGGCCCGGTTGAAGCAAGGCGGGAGGCACTGCGGCCGAATCTGCGGTCATCCCTGTCCGATGCAGGGTTCTCGTGGATGCTAGAAGGCAGCCGAAACCTCTCCAGTTTCGTGAGCTCGGCATCGGTGCCCCCGGAGCAGACTCGACACCAGGAGTCACCCCGAACGAAAGGCAGTCCCTTGTTCGGAAACAGCGGGGAGGAGAAGTCAGGCTCCGATGCCGAGCACGACGAATTGGCCTTGCGTAGTCTCCGAGGTCCGCTTTAAACGGCAGGGGTAAGGAGGATGTATCCTGGTCGAAGTCGCATATGCGGGCGGAGCGGGATGAAGATTCTCATGGCTGTGATACGCTAGAGGGTATCTTGGCCAGCCCTTGAGCAGTCTTGCGGATTTGCCGTCGGTGTACTCTGTATAGAGTCGGGTGTTGGCTAGTTTTTGGTACTATTCTACTTTTTGGATTTTATTATCCAGTTTGCGCAAGTGGAGGCTTCTTTTCTTCTCTTATAGCCATGCACAATATTTCCTCTATCTCATGAGATTTTTGATATGCCAGTTATGGAGATGGTTGACTAATTATAGCGAGGTTCATGAATCTGTAGACTGAGATTGGATCACATGTCTCTAGTACTCCCACGGGCCAAGCTACCCCAGATTACCCGATCTGATAAACATGGCGTGTTTCAACAAAGAACTAGACTGTCTTCGCCAAGGGTGTTGTGCATCAGGAACACCTCCGTTTGTCTCAGCACGGTCAAGTTCGTAAATTGGATTTCGCTGGGCTGTCATTGGGCCCTAGTGTGAGATAGCGGTGGGGCCTCGGATCTGTCGGGCAAGAAAAGAACCACTTTTGGAGTTGGAACGGTAGGAGGAAACGGAAGTAACATGGAGGATGTATAGCTGCCGAGTGGAGAATGGAAAGGGCTGTGCGTTGAGTGCTATAGACCAGTATACGTGTAGTCCATCGAGATAGTTACTAGTACTTGGCAATACGAATACGTGGTAACTTGGGTATTACATCTCAAGCTATTCCTATATGCCCAAGGGGGAAAAAAAAAAAAAAAAGGCTTCATAGTCAAGGTGAGTCCCGTGCCGATCGGTAGATCGATCTCTGTCAGAGGTCAAAATCTCGACCCTCTTCTCTCCTTGTTCAATCACTTCAACCAATTCTTTGATTTTTCCATACACGGTGGAGAGGCCATCTCGCTCATTACATCACCCCGCCCCTTTCCCTTTTCTCTTTCTCCCCACCGAACAACCCCCCCCGCTGTATTCCTCGCATCCTTTTTTCCCCTCTCCTCCTTTGAGAGAAGAGAGAAGAAAAAAGAAGAAAGAGCCAACCCAGCTCATCGCGTTCTCCTATCGTCCACGACGCCACATATGCTGGGCGCGTTTCGAGGCAGCTGCCCTCCCATCGACCCGCCCCGCTGACTCGAGCGAATGACCGTTCCCTTCCCTTCCATGTCGCATTCGACCCGTCGCTCCTCTTGAGCCTCGTCTACCCTTGCCCCCCCTGGGTTGGGATCTTTCCGAGTCTAAGAGAATGGGGGCGGCATACAACCCCGATGGTAAGTCATGCGCTGCCTCTTTCTGACGGTTTCACATGTCATGCGAAGGGGAGAGGGGGGGAGTCTGAGTATTGTCGCGAGGAACAGTTGCTTTGTACCCCACAAGGAAGCAAACAAGCAACTCAAAGCTCGGAGCAAATAAGACACTTTGGTGAAGGATGTCCTCCCGGTTTTTCTGAACCATCAGAAAAGATATCAAATGTCAGAGAAGAGCGCGATACAGAGTTTGCATGCTTCGGGACGCATCTGACCCGCGGAGATCGACTTCCCCCTTCCCGCATCACTTGAGGATATCACATTTACTGGAAATCTCTCGTGGCATGAAATTTGTGGCCTGCATCGTGATAGAGTAATAACCCGATGCATCATGCTGATCTTCTTTATTTAGGCGAACCGAGTCCTCTGTCGTCGCCGCTGGGTCCGCTCTCCGAATCTCCCGAGTCGGAGTCGGGTATTCACAAACTTTCTCTGCAAACAGACCAACTGCTGAGAAGCTCAGTGGATAGTCTCTCGTCGGGATATGACCCTCTCTCAAGGTCTGTTGTCGCTTTCTCCCCTCCTTCTGCCCCTCCATGCGGGATGTTAAGAGACTGACGTATTCACCGCATCTTCAGTAGATCTCCGCTGTTCGAGAACGAGCATGGACTCGGCCCAACCGGTCTGGATCGTATACGGCATCAGCCCTCACGGGTACTGACGCTTCCAAATCTGTCAACCTCATCATTGGCTCCGATGACTACTTCGCGTACCTCCCCGTCTCCCCGCTCGAGTTCTTCATCCCGTGCGCATACCGGCCGTATGTCCATGAGCCAGGCCTTTGGAGATCTCGAAGATCTCCACCGGTTCCCCTTGGAATCGTTACACTCCTTTTCTTTTGCACAGCAATCTGAAGAGCTTCTGCACAGCCGACAAAACATCCTTAAGAGGTCGATTGATTTCATGCGCGACCGCATGGGATGGGCCGCCAACAACCCAGGACTCGCCAACGCCCAGGCAAACGCCAGCGGGGATTCGGACTTGCAGAGTATGATGGATCTTTTGACCCGGGCCAATGTTTTGGAGGAAGAGCGAGCCAATGCGCGAGCTGCCCTTACCGGACCTGCGGATGTCAATGGCGACAACATTTTCGAGAAAGCCTTTTCAGACCATGGCTCTCCCCCGACAACTAGAGATGCGATCCAGGATATGCCACTTCCCCCCCGGGTCACAGGCCACATCTATGAATTCGCAAATTCTCAGCCCCATCCCAAGCGACCGCATCCCACAATCCAGGAAGGACTTGATATCGGCTCCGACATCCCGGCGCGTAAGCTTAAAACGTACATACACGGACCTCAACTCTGCCTCGCTCAAAAGCAAGCTGATGGAAACTCTAGCGCAACCATACTCGTCCGCGGATCCTTTCGCTTCTCTTGGTTCATCAACCGCTGGATTGGGATTCCCCATGCCGGCCTTGCATACCCATAGCAGCAAATGGACCCCCGTTTCTCAGGCCGTTTTCCGGACGGAAGCCCAGGCGCCATGGACTATCATTGCAGCTAATGATCTCTCATGCCTTGTATTTGGAGTTACACAGTCCGAGGTCCGTCGACTGAGTATCCTAGAGGTTGTACAGACAGAGCACAGGCAGTGGCTCGAAGCCAAGCTTAAAGATCCCAGTACTGATGCTGCAGCCCGCACGCCGCTCCAACCGGAAAGACCCAACATCCGAGCAGTCAACCCGAAGTACCGGGGTCTGGGGAACGGAGTGACGGCGCAATTACTTAGTAAACCCTCCTCGCGCGAAAAATCTCGGAGAGCACAGACCGACGATGGATATGGCTCAAGCAAGAGAAATCCTCGCAATCCCAACCACCCAGCGAATAAATCACGCGGTGTTTTGCTATGTGGCGACGTTGTTCCAATCCAGAAGCGCAACGGCACTAAGGGCTCCGCTAGCGTTTGGGTCATGGAGAAGCGTGGTGGCCTGATCTGGGTGCTTGAGGAGATCACAGAGAACATTGCATCTGTCCGCTGTGATGATTCTTGGAATGTTGTTGAAGCCAAAGGAGACGTTGAAAAGATCTGGGGCTCGCATGTAGTCCGATCGGGCCAGCCGATAGCCGAACTTCTTCCTCGCCTGCCATCGGAGTCCCTCAAGACTTCACCCGAGAAGGGGCTTGCCAAAATCGCGGAGTTGAAGCACTTCGCCGCGCTCACATCGGCCGGCGTCTGTATTCCCGTGACAGTGGCCAGAGCAGAAGAGAGCTGTACTTTGCAAGTATCGAGTTTCCCGCATGTCGCAGGAATGATGGTCTTATCCTCCTCCACATTGAATGTGATCAGCTCAAACTCGGTATTTTCGTCGGCTCTTTTCGGTCAGGAACGCCCTGAGGGACACCACATCACAGAGTTGGTGCCGGGATTCGACGAGATCTTGGATGTTTTAACCGAAGAAGACAATGTTCCATTGGTCGACGGCATCGTGATCCCTGAACATAGCTTCCGTCGGGCGCGAACCCTGTCCATTTTGCGCGACGGAAAGGCAAACGCCGCATCTGTCTTCACAGAGCCCAGTGGCTTGCTGGCAAAGCACCGGGACGGCTCTACGATTGTGGTTGACATTCAATTGCGAGTGGTCAATAGCGGTACTTTCTTCTCCAAGGAACAAGTAGAGAGGATTGAAGAGCGCTCAAGCGACTCGGAAGATAGCGATGATACGGTGGCAGTCACAGAACTGGTATATGCCCTGTGGATCACATATTCGCGACAATTACATGCCGCGGGCGCCGCAACCAACCTCTCATCATCTTCGCTGCCGAGTTCAAAGCCAACGTCTCCAACGAACAAACCTTCCACGGATGATTCGACAAATGCTTCCACCGAGAAGACAAACTCCGCCACTGCAAATACCGCCGTGGAGGTTCAGGCCCCGAGTTCAACTCTCAGTCAACAGCTCAGCGAAGCAGCGTCACAGCCTCTCACGGATCGCCCAGTTCAACCAATACCCGAAGTCAACCCAAATGCCAAGAAGGAAACTCCGCAGAAACGTACCATCGATGACTATGTGATCCTTGAGGAAATGGGTCAGGGTGCCTATGGACAGGTGAAATCAGCCCGTCTGAAAAAGCAACCCAACAAGAAGATGGTATTGAAATATGTCACGAAAAAGCGGATCTTGGTGGACACTTGGACAAGGGATCGCCGACTCGGAACCGTGCCTCTTGAGATCCACGTTCTGGACTTTCTTCGTCGGGATGGCTATAAGCATCCAAACATTGTCGAGATGGACGGCTTCTTTGAGGATGATGTCAACTATTATATTGAAATGGTTCCCCATGGACTTCCGGGGATGGACCTTTTTGACTATATCGAACTCAAGGCCAACATGGACGAATCGGAGTGTCGGAACATATTCAAGCAGGTGGTAGACGCCATCCACCATTTACATACCAAGGCATTGGTCGTCCATCGCGACATTAAGGATGAGAATGTTGTTCTTGATGGCGAGGGGCGGATCAAGTTGATCGATTTCGGCAGCGCGGCTTATATTAAGAATGGTCCCTTTGACGTCTTTGTGGGCACGATCGACTATGCAGCCCCGGAGGTTTTGCAGGGAAAGTCATACCGAGGCAAGGAACAAGACATCTGGGCCCTGGGTATCCTGCTGTACACGATTGTGTATAAGGAGAACCCATTCTATAATGTTGACGAAATCCTTGACCACCCACTTCGCATCCCCTTCCTCCCATTTTCGGAAGAGTGCATCGATTTGATCCGCAAGATGCTCGACCGCGATGTCGACAACCGACTGACCATCACGGAAATTGTCGATCACCCTTGGATGGCCGCGACCTGAACTTGCCTCAAGGTGCTCTGGCTCTTGCTCTTACTCTTGTTCCTGCATGCTCTCACGCCAATGTCATGGCCAGGAAATAAATTAAAAAACACACACGATACCCCACGACGTTTTGCTTGACCCATTGAATATCATGAATATCATGGACGAAGGAGAGAGAGGGGGAGGAGTGATTATTAACTTTCTTTTTCTTTCTTTTTCCCTCTTATCTTTCTTCTTTTTTTGGGGGGGTGTTTATCTCTGTATCTCAGATGGGGTTGGAAATGGGGGCATTGCACAAAAACAATCTATCTGTCTTCAATGCATTTTGTCATGGCAGTGTTGTGTTGTGTCGCATTTTATTTTTCTTTTTCTTTTTTTATTATTTTGCTTTGGACACCCTACTTGCATCACACTACATTTTATTATACATTTTTTTGGCTTTCCCACAATCATGTCTGTACTTAGATCACACATCAACAATCTAGATGCATTCTCAGCAGTGGATTCAACGGATTCAGTCTTGGTATAGCGTGTGGGGGATAAGCGATGGGACTCCTTGGCAAAACCGGTCTAGTCTTTGTAGTTTAAGCCCGCAAACGACTAAGACTGACAGTAGTTTAGCGCGGTCAACTGTAAGTCAATAAGCATGTCCAGTCGCTAAGTCTTACTCGCTGATAACCGTGTATGTCTCGGCTAGTTTGGGCCGTCTTGAGACCATTCCAATTCACCTGAAATCGCCTCCATCTCCACCTCGACGAGTGGAATGAATCTCTTGTCCCACGGATCGCGCCATGTCCCCCGCACCAGAAAAACGCCCTCCCCTTTCCCCGCTCGGGCAATGGCGACATGGGCTCAGGAACGGGAACGTACACTAATCTACTCCGTCCTTAGTACACTCGTACTCCGTTTGTTGATGGGAAAAGCAAAAAAAGGGAGGCTGACCAGATTGATACTCCCAATGTTTCTCTTCGGAGTCAAGGCGTCGTCAGCCGATGGGGTCGTGTGCCACCCTGTGTGTAGGTAAGTGCGTTATTTTCTTCTAGAAGAGAGTGGATGGCCTAGGCGGGGCAAATGCGATAAGCCCAATGGTCTTACCTTTCAGGTCCCATTCGTTCTATCTGGTACATCCAATGTGGTGTATTGTTCTATCTATTTGGAGGTACCTGCGTACTCTACAGTAGTAACCAAGTACTTTATCGTGTAGAGAGAGTATGCTGTACCGGACAACTGGAATGTCACGGGTACTTTCCCTTCCATTTTCCCTTCTCTTTCTCTCTTGACTCAATCTTCCTTTCTCTTTCTCCTTCTACTCCCACTTCTTCCACTTCTTCCACTTCTTCCACTTCTCCTCTTTCTTCATATTTTCAATTTCCCCTTCTCGGATCCCTTCGGCACGTTTCACTTCGAGCCAATTCAAGTGCCGGCGGTCGAAGTCGGTGAGTGCCACGGTTGAAACGCCCGAGAGTTCCAGTCTGCTTCCGAGTCCTCGACTTCTTTCAAGGCCGTCCTCCTTTGCTTTGGGAACTCTGAGAGGGAGAAAGAGAGACTCCCCTTCCCGCGACCGACTGGACTGACCACGAACCAGCACCACTATGACCATCTAGCTACGAGTCAATTCCCTGGTGCTTTCTCAACTTCCCTTCCCGCAGTAGCGGCCTTCTTTTCTCTCTCCGTGATTATCTACTTCCACCTCCTCCGATTCCCTGCACCATGGCCACCCAAATAGCCGACGAGATCATGCCCTCCGAAACCACACCAGGGTCTCCAAACTCCTCCACCGGTCAGATCCCACTCGAACAACCACCAAAATTAAAGGGTCGCAAGAAATTCTTGCAGAATCTCCAGCGCATGTCGTCTAGCCCGACGTTGACCCGCCGCGGCCGATCTGCATCCACCGGTTATCGGCGGGACCACAAGGCCTCCTTATCGTGTGTCTCGTTATCGTCCACTGCATACTCCCCATGCCTGGGCAATGAGAGCAGTTCGCAATTGTATGGAGGCCTCAACCCCCGCCGGCGACCCCGGGCCACGCCGGCCCATCGGGTGATGCCCAAAGCATCAACAATCGAATCCGCCTAGTCGGCGGCACAGACTCCCCCAACGTTCCGCAACCACGCACGATTCCCTTGCCATTCGACGTACGACCTGCTTCGCGCGGTTCACCCCGCAGTCTGACTCCTGATCCTGAAGGGGTGAAGGAGGAGACGGTAGAAGCGGCGCCAGAGCCGCGGCTGGTCAGAGAGCTGGACTTCTGGGGCGAACTGCCCCAGGAGCTCAAGGTTGAGATATTTCGCTATCTCGAACCTCGCGAGATCGTCTGCTGCTCTGCTGTTTCGAAGTCATGGAATGCCATGTGTTTTGACGGGCAGCTGTGGTCTAAGGTTGACACAACCAACTTTTACCAGCGAATCCCTGGCGATATCCTGGTAAAACTCATCACATCCGGTGGTCCCTTCGTACGGGATCTCAACCTGAGAGGCTGTGCTCAGATGCGGGATAAGTGGTCTTCGGAGGGCGAGCGCATCTCTGACCTATGCCGAAATGTGGTCAACTTTTCGCTCGAGGGCTGTCGCATTGATAGAACTTCGATGCATCATTTCCTGACTCGTAACCCGCGCCTGAGATACGTCAACATCTCGGGGCTGAGCAGCGTTACAAATCACGCAATGAAGGTCATCGCGCAGTCATGTCCGGAGCTCGAGTCTTTCAACATCTCGTTTTGCAAACACGTCAAGACAACGGCGCTTCTCCAAGTGGTCCAGGCCTGTCAACGGCTCAAGGATCTTCGTGCGAGCGAGATCCAAGGTTTCGATGATGAAGACTTCATGCTGGCTCTGTATGAACGAAACACGTTGGATCGGTTGGTCATGAGTCGTACAGATCTAAACGATGAAAGTCTGAAGGTCCTGATGCATGGTGTGAATCCAACAATCGACCTTCTCACTGATCGACCAATCGTTCCTCCACGTCGTTTTCGTCATCTCGATATTCATCACTGTCACGAGCTGACTGACAGTGGGCTCAAGAGCTTAGCACACAACGTCCCTGACTTGGAGGGCTTGCAAGTTTCGCAGTGCCCGGAACTGACCGATGATTCTGTGATCGAGGTGATTCGCACAACACCCAAGCTCTCGCATCTTGAATTGGAGGACCTTGAAAATCTGACGAACTTGACCTTGACTGAGCTTGCAAAGTCAGCCCCCAAGCTTGAGCACTTGAACATCAGCTACTGTGAAAGCCTTGGTGACACTGGCATGTTACAAGTCATGAAGACCTGCTCCAACCTTCGCTCTGTCGAGATGGACAATACTCGAGTGTCAGATCTAACCCTGATGGAAGCTAGTTACCGGGTTCGCAAGCGCGGCTACGGCGAAGAAATTCCCAAAGTCGGATTACGCCTTGTTGTGTTCGACTGTGCCAACGTCACCTGGGCTGGCGTGAGAGAAGTACTCTCCAGCAACGCCTACCTTCCCCGAGTTCGCAAACCAGTATCAGCGGTAGTTACGGTCACTCCGACCTCGGAAGATGACTCGTCCTCCACAACCACTGCCTTCGTTACTCCTAGCTCGACTCCTCCTCCGGTAGCCACCTACCCTAGCGAGATCATTCAACTCAAGTGCTTCTACGGCTGGCAGATGACAGTTGACGAACATACAAAGCGCGTCAAGCGTGGCGATCTCGCTGCGGCGAGTCGGTTGGACCGCAAATGGACCGATTACATGATGGCCACAGAAGAAGCTGGTGCAGCGGGCGCGGGTGCTCGACGGAGAAGACGCCGGGCCCGTGAAGCCGAGCGATTGTACAATGCTGATGACTCCGAGGAGGAGAGTTACGGCATTGGTTTGTCTGCTCTGGGTGGTGGCCGTCGTCGCCGCGCTCAAAGCGGCAGTAGCTGCACAGTGATGTAGCACGAATCTTGGACTGCTATGACCGCGGGCTTAGAGTCATCCCTCAAGCTCCAACCGACCCTCTTTTCTGCGAATAACGATGCCAGCGCTGGATCGCTGGCCGCAACGACAGAACTCAAATTCTACGAGACATGCATGAGACGATTTCACTTTCACGATGGGTACCCGTTTCTTGATGAAACTCAACTACTACACTCATCTTTCTATCCTTCTTTCAAGCGGATTTCTTATCACCCCTTTTTGTGGCCCTTTGCAACCATCTTGCTCATGATTTTGATTCATTTTAGCATACTAGATTGGCGAGGATATCGGAGTTTCTCTATTATTTCTTTACCTCCGCTCTAGTTTGCCAGATATCTTTCGAATTGAATCCAAATTCAACTCTCATAGTCATACTAAATTTCCACTATCGTACTCTTTCGATTGAAAATCCTTTTGATATTGGGCTGCGTTTCATGCAATGCTACATGGGATATCAGGTAGAAGATAAAAGAACAAATAATAACCATACAAACGCATTTACTCGAAGAAACCACCATCACTCTCGTTGCCATCAGCAGCAGGCGCAGGCGCATGGTAAGTCTTGCCTTGTCCCCGCTGGTGTTCGCGTTGACCCAGCTGGTCACGCTTGTAGGCCCGTCGTTCCCTCCTCGAAGCGAACTCCGGCTCGGGCTCTTCTTTCTTCGGCTCTTGCTTCGTCTCCTTCTTCTTCGTTTTCTTGTTATCTGCGCCCGAAGTAGATTTCTTGGCCGGGGCGGGGGCCGGCTTAGCGATGAGCTTAGCGACCGGCTTGCCATCGGCTCCAATGTTCAGTTTGCCTTCGCGGAGAGAGTCGAGCGTCTTCTCCTTCATGCATTTCTCAACAACAGACCAGAGCGCCGGCTTCTCTCCTTCCGGCAGATCCTTCTGCTTCTTGCTATCGGTCTCGGAGCCCGACTCGGCAGCTGCGTCATCCGAGGTCTTGCCCTTTGACTTGGGGTAGAGTGAGATGTATTTTTCCGTGAGTGGGTAGTAGATCGTGTAGTTGAGGTTGACCTGTGCGGCATGAATCTTGCGCTCGAGGGATTTCTTCTTCTTGGCATCGAGTTTGTCGTCCTTTTCGTGGCGGAGGAGGCGGTTTAATTGCTTATTCGCCGTCTTGCGGTCTGTCCGAGTAGAGAGAGCGATTAGTTACGTATACAATTACAGACCACAAGTTCCCGCCCGGGAAAAGCTTTTCACAAAACATACCAAGGAATCGAACAAAGTGGTATTTGCTGATCATCGACGACCGTTCCCGCCGCGCCGTCTCCTCGGCGAGATCCTCCTCATAACCCGCCAACGCACGCTCCTGCACAATGCGAGCGTCGGCCGGCAGGTTCTGCTTGTTGAGCAGACGCTTCACGTCGCGGATACGCTTCTTCAAGTCATTAATAGAGGGGTATTCCTTCTCCTCGCGCGGTGCCACAGATTTGCCCTTGGGCTTGTGGGTGAAGTTGGACGGCCTCTCATCACCACTGCCAACGTCCTCCATTTGGATGTCTTCGTCGTCGCTGTTGGCGGCCGTTCGGCTTTGCTTTTTCCGGGGTGCGGAGGAGTCTTCAGGGGCATCACGCCCTTTACGCTTTGAGGAGCTTCGTTCGCGGCGAATATCTGACATTGTGGCGGGGGTTGTGTTGAGGATGGAGCAGATATCACTCTAGCTTCCCAAAAGTTGCGAGCAAAAAAAAGTAGATAGCGCGGAGGTCGGACTTACCGCCTGATCTTCCGCCGTGGGGACCGCTTTCTGCTGAGTCATCTGAATTGAACTGGGAAAATACAGATATAATATGGAAGCTTGTGAAGCATGTATGGGAGTAAATACAAACTGAGAGCTACGGTCTGCGATTGCTTATTAGACATAATCAGATTCTATAAACAATGATAGTGTAAATACTTCCTAGCCATACTGAAATTGAGAGAGTATACCTCGGTATCGGATAATCTATTCGCCGGATTACCACCTGAATCCCGAGGCGTCAATATCGAAACCCCCCCAGATTGGGCAGCCAATGAGCAGCAGGCCGGTTCGCATGACGATATTACCGCGTCTCGTCCCCTCACGACAGCGACATTCCGCCCTGACAGCTCCTCCCATTGCGTTCCAAGTCACTAACTTGAGGCTACGGCCTCTCTAAAAGCTTGATCGCCCATTTCTGAATGAGACTTTGGCACAATGGAGTCCGCAATTCGATGGTCCCCAAGCTCGACCGCAGCCGAACAGCGGTTCCTCTCTGTCGACGTAACAGGCAAATCATTTCGTCTCTGCAGAGTTACAGGGTTCGACAGCAAAAACGTCCGCCATGACGTCGTCTCGACCTTGACAAATACCCCTTCTTTCCGCGCCTTCGATTGGTCCACCTCCAACGAGAATCTCATTGCTGTTGGTCAGTCGTCTGGCGAAGCTACGATTCTACGATTAGACGCCGACCCCAAAGAATCGCTCTCATTTCCTGTTCGAAACCAGCGCTACTGTAACGCCGTGGCTTTCAGTACACATGGACTGGTGGCTTCTGGGCTTGATCGCGTGCGCAATGATTTCTGCTTGAACATTTGGGATGTGAATCAGCGGCTGGGCCCTTCGGGGGGCAGTAGAGGTTTCCCTGAACCGCTGAGAAAGTTGGCCAGCTCGGAGCCCATTACGAGTATCAAGTTCTTTAGAGATCAGCCCGATACGTTGGTGACGGGAGTAAAAGGCCAATTCGTCCGGATCTATGATCTCAGAGGTTAGTGTCACCTGTCCATAAGAGGATGCGGGCATTTAGATGGATGGATGAACTAATTCATTTCGATCATTTAGAGGGGCCGGGAAATCCTTCTATACAGTTCCCAACCCGTTGTGTTCACAATTTGGCAATCGACTGGCTGGATGAGAATTATATCGCCTCGTGCACAACTTCAAATGAAAGTACCATCAGCGTGTGGGACCGACGTGTAGGTACCAGGCTGGCTTCCCCGACAGTGGGATCATCGACAAGTAGCCCCGACTCGAACCAGACGGTATCGTCGCTCCAGTTCAAGAACGTGTTCAACCCTAAGGCATCCATCTGGAGCTTGCGATTCTCCAAGACGAATCGCGGCTGTCTGGGCGCATTATCCAACAGTGGCCACTTCAAAACATTCGATATCGCAAAGGATCATTTATCGGAGGAATTCCGCTCTTCAATCGACGAAACTCTAGGACAGGGTTCTTTCAAGAACTACCCCGAGCCAGTCTACACAAAGTACGTGCGGGACGTCTGCATGCCATTCGACCATCCGACTAGAGGCACAGAGGAGAAAGACCGAATTGTTTCTTTTGATTTCTTGAATTTCAGTTTCTCCTCGCAAGCCAGTGCAATTGCATTGGACGGCAAGGGAAACCCTCAAATTGTCACCAGTCGTCCACCTTGCCCACCTATCGCGGTGTCGTCTCAGAGTGTCTTGGCTTGTGGAGCTCCGACTGGCGATGGTGCGGATTTCAGAACTATCCATCCTCTTTCCGAACACGTGTCACCTGTATCTGGACTTGTCAACAGCATTCGGGCTCGTGTTTCATCCAGCTCAAGAGGTTCTTCGAATTCTAAGGCTCTGGGCACCGAACCAGTTCCAAGTCGAGAAAAACGGGAGTGGGAATTGTCACTTGGTACACAAGGTACTCTCCTCACTGCGAATGAGGCTTTGACTCTGTCCTCGCTCAACCAGTATCGAGCTAAAGAGGGCTACCTGTTTGACGAGGCACGGAACCAGAAGATTTGGGCCGATGACTCTGCTCTGCAGGACCTGTGGGCCTGGGTGAAACGTAAGTGATACAGTCCATGCTATTATGGGAAGATTCTAATTCCTTCGCAGGGGCTCGGATCGATTCTTCGGGAACGGCTATGGTGATCGATGGAGTCGACATGAATTATATAGGCGTCAACAGTATCTGGGCCAATGAGCTGGGTTTGTCTGCACACCCTTTTCTGAGAAATACCGAATTTACTGACAACATGATAGGTGATGGCTTTGAGCGCCGTCGAATTTCAGCCTCTAATGATCCAAAGGAGATTATCAAACAGCTAGTCGATCAACTCAATCTTCCAGAGGTCAAGGGCTTTGAAACGGCATTCCCAGAGCACCGCCGTCTCTCACTCCGTCTCTGTGGAGCGCCGCAGTCTTACAAAGAGCTTGAGGAAACAGTCAAAACCCTCTCCGCAGAGAGTCAGCATACCAAAGCAGCCGCGCTGGCTATTTTCCAAGATGAGCCGAAGTTGGCCTATATTGGGCTGCGTAGTAATCAACCTACACAAGCTCATAAGCTATTGGCTATGGCTATTGCCGGTGCTGCCGGTGCAACGAAAGGCGACAGCAGCACGGACTGGGAAGAGACATGCGCAGAGATATCCAAGGAGCTCACCGATCCATATTCACGCGCGATCCTCGCGCTTGTGAGCAAGGGCGACTGGCACGCAGTAATTAAAGAAACCACACTGCCCTTGAAGTATCGGATCGAAGTCGCACTTCGCTGGCTACCCGATGATGAGCTGACTGTCTATTTGAAAGACGCGACCGCAGAAGCCGTCAAAGAGGGTGATGTTGAAGGAATCGTGCTCACTGGTTTGGGCCATATGGCTATTGATCTGTTCCAGTCATACATTGACAAGTTCAACGATGTCCAAACACCAGTTCTAGCCATGAGCTATACCGTCCCCAGAATCCTCAGCAACGAAACATACATTGCCAGATTTGAAGCCTGGCGCGAGACCTATCGCCGATCACTCAATTCCTGGAAGCTCCAACTCGAACGCGCTCGCTTCGACGTGAATTCCCGCCGCTTCGCGGTCACCGTCGATGGACGCAAACTCGTTCCTCCACCGCCGCAGCAGGTCAGCTTGACCTGTAACTACTGCACGCGGCCGCTCACCCAACACGACGCATCTTCTCAAATTTCCCCATCTGCTACAACGGAAACTGTGCATTCGACCATCGGCAACCCTCTTGGACCTAGCGCTCTGTCTGGGACAGTCTGTCCTCGTTGCGGTCGGCATATGCCCCGTTGCGGCGTTTGCAATCTCTGGCTTGGATCGCCAGATCCCATGTCCCGCTCTGGTATCGCCGCTGATGCCGAGACTGCCGCTCGCAAACCCACCCAGACCGATATAATGAGGCGGTTCGTTGTGTTTTGCATCAATTGTAATCATGGATTCCACGCACACCACGCGCACGACTGGTTTGTGCGACATCGAGTATGCCCTGTTGCGGAGTGTAATTGCATTTGTGACCGTTGAGATTGTTTATTGTTGGTCTTTTTTCACTTGCTTTGGCTGTTTGGTTGTGGTCGGTCCAGCTGGTTGGAGTATGTTTGCAGATTTTTTTGAAGGGCCGAGGAGTTCAATGCTTGTCTTCGATACCCGATACCCATTTATTAGCATGTTCAAGCAACATATTTTGAGAATATCAGGTTGCATATTTGATGAACTCTTAATATCCATACTTTTCGTAGGCTACCTTGCTCATAGACTAGGCTGGGTCCACCTTACTTATCGTTATCGTCATCAGCCAAAATCGATCAAATCTTCTTGAATCACATGTCAAAGGCATGAAAACAACCTTTAAAACAGGGCTGAGATGCGAGAACACCATTCTTTCAAGAGGATTCCTATTAGAGACCCCGACTCTAGCTCATAATGAACCTTAGAAATGTGGTGAATCATCCCATGAGTCACTCTGACTGGACGGGCTTTGTTCGGTCTGACGCCGCGCTTGGCCACTGCCCCGCCAAACCAATTTAAAGCTCCGCAAGGTTCTCCAACAGCTCCAATCCGCACGCGCACCGCACTCCAGACCACACGCCTACAACTCAGCATTTTACGTGAGAGTCTTACCATGCCTGATCACCATAGGGACAAGGGTAAGCGAGGCCGCGGTGGCCCTATGTCCCGCGATGTGCAGATTTCCAAGGCAATGAGCTTGCTCTTGCGACACGCCGCCGAGAAGGAGGGACTGAAGATGAATGACCAGGGATATGCAAATGTAGCTGATGTGGTATGTTGACTCTCTTGACTCTCACCCGCAAGCTATATCTCCGACTCTCTTTCACTCCGATGCCCCCCCTGCTTACCTATTACCTATTATATAGCTACAATGGCGAAAGCTCAAGTCTATCAAAGTCACCTTCGACGAGGTCCGGCACGCCGTAGGCTCTTCGGACAAGAAAAGATTTGCGCTCCTGCATATTCCCTCAGCCCAGCCAACCGAAACAACTACAGCAGCCACGACCGTCCCCACCACGACGCCGGGGTCAGAACACGAGGACGCGCAGCCCGCAGCTGAGAATGATGGTCAGACGTCTTCCCCGCGATACTCCAGGCCCCCGTCTCAACCGAAGAACAACAAAACGCAACAGAGCAGGCTCTGTCCGTAACAGACACCGATCCCTCCAATTACCTCATCCGCGCAACTCAAGGACATAGCATCAAAAGCGTGGACGCGGCATCCTTCCTCGAGCCATTATCGCTGGATGATGCCTCTAAACTTCCGGAAACTGTCGTCCACGGTACATTCCACGGCGCATGGTCCGCTATCCTGCAGTCGGGTGGCCTTCAATGCATGGGCCGTAATCATGTTCACTTTGCGACGGGGCCATCCTTGGACTCTGTTCTCGGGGCGCAGCCAGATTCAGCTGTACAAGGGAAAGGCGAAAAGAAGGTCATTTCGGGAATGCGGTGGGACGCTCAGGTACTCATCTATATTGATCTTCGCAAGGCTCTCGCCGCTGGATGTCCTTTCTGGCGCAGTGAGAATGATGTCATTTTGAGTGAGGGTCTTCCCTTACCGGGCGGCGGTGAGGGTATTCATGGGCAATCGAAGAAGGTTGTTTCGGTTGATTTCTTTGATGTGGTGGTTGAGCGCAAGGCTGGGCTTGGGAAGATCTGGGAGCGAGGCGAAATCCTGCAGGAATTACCGGCGCACTTGGCTAAAAAGGGGAACCCCAAGGGCAAGCGGTGATATAATCACAGCTTCGGATGACATGGCATTGAATGACACTACGATACAACTTCAACCAATCGGAAAAAAAGCAAAATTACTCTTTTAGTACAAAATCGCGCTATACTGCGGAGGTTACTGCATTATTCCAGATCATTAATTTATTATGATTGGCTCATTTGACTGTATCTAACTATAGATCTGGGTCCGGTACAGCCCGGCTATATGTACATTAGATCCAGCACGCCGGGTATGCCACCTCTGAGCCTCATGCGGGTGGTCATGGTCGCCTGATATAGTTAATGATAGGTCGATCGTCATGTATGGGGAAGAGCAGAGCGAATTGCGGGGAAGACGCAATGCACTGCACTGCCAGCACTTCTTGGGCCAACTAGGGTCGCCTGATGCTAAGGGTGGGGATGGCAAGTTCCGAGAAACTCTCGTAAAAGTTTACAATTACTTTGTACTGGCGAGTGAATTGCAGATGTCACGCCTGAGACAACTTGTCGGTACCATGGGAGTCGACCGCTTCCTCCCGAATTCTGTATATGGCCTCCCCTCGTGACTGGACGATTCTATGGTTGACTATTATTAGTGACCTTCAACTATGGAACAGCCATGGAACAAGCTAAGGCCCGCCACCATCTCAAACTAGTGCATCTACGTGTATTAGATCTCACTACGCTTGCCCAAGACTCAGCCTCCCGAGTAGAGAATGGTCGTTGTTGTCATAGGCTGACATTTCTAAGACAGCCCCATGGTATTCTACATCTCAGCGTCATCATATTCGTATTCTACGAGGCTGTCGTATGTTACCAAAATTATCACGTAGGGCTGTAGTAAACGGCTGCATCGTGGACGATGTCGAAAGGTATAAAAAGGTCCATAAATCTCTAGAAAGGATATCATTCAGAAATAACAAGAAACAATAACATCACCAAACACTACAACAATCTATCAATCTTCTCAAGAATCTCCTTGATTATCCATCTTTGAAAATGAAGTTCTCCGAGATCATCACCCTCTCCGCTGCCCTTGCTACCTCCGCCAGTGCCGGCTTCACGAAGCGTGCGGCTGCCCCCGATAACGTCGACATCACCTTCGAGGGTGCTGCCGATGCCTCATTTACTCAATCCTTCCCTACTGATGGCTCCGATGTTACTATCAGTAAGTTACTAATTACTCGCACTTTTTGCTATGATATAGCTATAACGAATACTAATCAATCTCCCAGCCAATGTGCTGAGCATCTCGCACATCACCTCCAACACCAACGGTGTCACTTGCACTTTTGAAGGCATTGACAACAGTGTGACTTCGCTGAGTGGTGCTGGATCCGTTGATGTCGGCCCTCCCCAGACCCAGGTCTCTGGACACTGCAGCAAGCTATGGCGCCGTAACGCCCAGCCTCAGCGCCGCAACGCCGTCCTTGTTACATTTGAGGGTGCTGCTGATGCTGAATTCAACCAATACTTCCCTACTGACGGTACCCCCACCAAGATCTGTATGTCTATCCCATAATCTTGGAGACTAGAGAAGTGATCAGAGCTAACTGTCATAGGGACCCCCCTGAGCATCTCCCACATCAACATTAACGAAGCCGGTGTTTCTTGCACCTTCAATGGCATTGATAACTCCGTTACCTCCCTCACCGGACCTGCAACTGTTGATGTCGGCCCTCCCCAGACCCAGATTGAGGGTACCTGCCACGCTTAGATTTCCTTGTGATGGAATCTTCTTTCATGAAATACGATCCTTCGATGTTACTTTTCTTTTTATATTTGGGGGATGTTTATAAATTATGAAATAGATCTGAATGATCGGGAGAACAGGGGCAAGATGAGCGAGAGCCTTGCTCAATGGCAGACATGAATTATTTGATTAAGTTAGAAGGGAACATAGCTGGAAGCATTATAGAGCTCCGACCACTCCTTAATACTGTTGATATGAATTGATCTCGATTGTTTACTATATCTTCTGTCTTTTATGCCTTAGGAACTGCCGGTTCATAAATTGAATTCATAACTGGGGTCTGTCCTAGATCTTTTCGGAAGCATGATAACCAATCGTATGGGGAAATTGTCTCAGTATTCAACAGAGATGACTCTCAAGGGTATACAATTTCGGGAAATACAATTAGAAGACAAGGGTAATGTGGGAAGACTAGTATTAATTGCCAAATTTTTAGTACTAGATCTTACGGAAGAAGATCCGTCACCCGGATTTACCTTGTACTGCAGGGAACTGACATCCGACTGCGGGGAATCGGAAGCGTACTTCAGCCCCGCCTTCCAATGACCTCCCCCTCCCCGATCCGACCTTCCAGACCCGATATCAGCATCCGACGCCTCTCGCCCAGCCCAATCATGCCACCGCGCCATGGTTATGCGGGGTCGTCCTCGAATAAGCATCGATTAGTTGGTCAACGGCCTTTGGAGCATTACGGAAACCGCTGCTGAAGATCCGTTGATTGCCGCTCAAGCAGCAAAAAATAGTCCCGTCGGAACAAGGCGATCCATATATAATCGTTCGCGGGGGACTGTTCTTCTCGTCGCGAATCTCACACAGCATATTCTTTAACCCCCATATAATTATTCAATATGGCGACACATCGATTTGATCCCAACTTCACCGACAATGTCATCAACGCAATGGGACCCAAGACGTCGCCGCGTCTGCGCCAACTCATGACCGGCCTTATTCAACATGTTCACGACTATGCGCGCGAAAACGAGCTTACCGTGGATGAGTGGATGGCTGGTGTGAAGATGCTAAACTGGGCCGGCCAAATGAGTGACGACAAGCGCAACGAGGGGCAACTTGTTTGCGACGTGATCGGACTCGAGTCGTAAGCTATTTCCGAGATTAATATACAACAGGTTTGAAAACCGGAGTTCTTTGACTAACTGTATTTGCAGTCTTGTTGATGAAATTACATTCAAGCTTGCCGATGAAGCCAAAGACGCGCCCACTGCGACCGCTATTCTGGGCCCATTCTTCCGCGCCGATACCCCATACCGTGAAAATGGCAGCGACATTGTGGTCACCAAGCCCAAGGACGCCGAGATGACATTCATGCAAGGCCGCGTTATGGACTTTGAGACTAAGCAGCCCCTCGTCGATGCGACGGTCGAGGTGTGGCAGGCTTCCACAAACGGTCTCTACGAGCAACAAGACGACGATCAGGTCGAGTTTAATCTGCGTGGCAAGTTCAAGACTGATGCCGATGGTCGTTATTACTTCTACTGCCTGCGACCAACACCTTATCCTGTCCCCAACGATGGTGAGATAACTCCGAAGATGCGAGGTTTATCGCATAGACCCTGGACTAACTAGTTTTACAGGACCCGCTGGCAAGATGCTCGAGCTGATGGACCGCCACCCCTTCCGCCCTGCCCACATTCACATTCTCGTAAGTTTACTTTCATTCGCTGTCAGCATCGCGATTTACAGGACTAATTATTGAGTAGGCTACCCGCGACGGATACCGCCCTCTAACAACTCAGATCTTTGACCGCAAGGACAAGTACCTAGACAACGATTCCGTATTCGCCGTTAAGGACTCCCTGGTCGTGGACTTCATCGAGCGCAAGGATGACCCTCAAGCTGGCCTTGAGCTCAACTACGATGTCAAGCTCGTCAAAGACGCATGAACCTAGCGCGCATTGCGTTTGTTGTGGACTTTTGTAATGTCTATATGAAAGCGTTCTCCGTATCTGTTTGGATTAAGATTCTTGGAAATATTATGCATTAAACTTCATCTTTCGATCCTTGCTCATCTACATACTTCAAATAGTACCTATTGCCCGTCACAACCGTAGTATTTCTTCTTATTATACTTAGATACCACTCGCAAACTTCGCGATCAATCCCCCGACCTCATCACCAGCCTCAATGCAATGCCAATGACCAACTCCCTTCAGTAACTCAAGAGATTTGTTCTGGCTCGAGACATGATTAAAAATGTGCTGGCATCCCTCCATGGAAGCAGACTTGTCTTCTTCGCCGGCAATAAGTAGGAAAGGCGCCTGAATAGCAGCGTAATCCGATGCCTTCGCAGAGGCAATAGCCCGGCAGAGCGCTGCATATCCCTTAGGGTCCTGGCCTGACAGCAACTCCCGAATAAACGCCTTCTGCAGCGCGGTACTGCGGGAGCCAACAGCAGCGAAAGGAATGGTATTAGCCATTGGTTCCATGCCAGCTGTGATAAACGAGAATCATCAGTACCATCCGCAATATTAAAATTAGCATAAGATGTGATAATAGACCCACCTTCCAAGACCGTCTCGGACCTCTTGCTCATTACCGTAACGAGGACCTCTGATGGGTGCGTCGGTCCAATGGCAACAACACCTTGCACACGATCTGGGTAACGAGACCCAAGCTCTGTAACGACCAATCCGCCCATTGAGTGGCCGACGACAATCGCTTTTGGGACCCGGAGCGTGTCAAGCATGCCGATGACATCGTCTGCGATCCCTGGAATCGAAATCGAGTCATTTGTGTAAGGTGACCGGGCGGCGCCATAAGTATCAACGGTGATGCAGCGGTGCTTCTCTGTAAGGTGAGGAATGACGGGATAATAATAGTTCTGCGATGATCCCAGACCATGAATGAAGATGATGGTGTGGCCGTTTGCCGGGAGCCGTCCGGGTGGGAATCGGCGTAGTTGAGACGGTGCCTGTTGGCTTGTACGAAAGGCATTTTCGTCTATATCTCAATAAGAACTAGGAGCTAGGAAAATGCACGAAATGTTGATTTGGGTAGGTATCCACGACTCGGAGAAGGCTGGAGGAAGAGTAAAGTGCCCGGCGTGGATTTCGGAAGCTGATCTATAAGTTGAAAAGGAGTGTCGTCATTGCCGATAAGACCGACCCCGGTTTTCTCTTCGATTTCTTAGCGGTTTCTATTTTTTGTCCGCCCCTGATTTGTGCCAGAGATCATTACTATCCGTCGAAATTGACTGATTCTGATAAGCTACAGCTACCCTGACCCCATCCAAGTGCAAACCCGAATGAGGGGCACTTCATTGCGGCATCCGAGGGCGGGTCCGCCTCTCCCGACCGTCGGCTGGCGCCCGATCTCCAATGCGCCGGGGCATCGGGAACCGCTTTGCGCGGTAATTTATAGGATCTGACTATTTCGGATCTCTCGAAAACGAACATGCCATTGGGACATTTACTTGAATTCGGATTTACGGGTATATTTATATTTGTCCACGAAAAAAAGAGAGAGAAAAGGGCATATCAATTTCATATTCAACGCTCCCGCCCACAACGCTAAATGCAGTCAAAAAAGTATGGACAGCTAAGGAATGATCAGGCGCATATGATGCATCTTGGGAAACGAGAACCGGCAAGCAAGTTTGTAGCCGAGGGAGAGGCATGCAAAAAACCAACTCTAGAGTTCTTCTATCCGAATCAATGGCACAATTGAATGATAATTGTGCTTTCGAGACTAACTACTCGTAGATATCGCAAAATGATTCCCCGCAACCACGTTCAAAGACTTCTTCCATCCAGTCAGCAGTGTCATCTCGGAATGAATCACTAGCCGAAGACATGGCGTTCATGACTGGCTTGATACATTCGTCTGAGGAGGCATGCACGATAACGGCAGGTTTGGATGAAATATGGTCGCTTGGGCCAGGTTGGATAGAGGGCGATTTTATTACAGCTTCGGCTGCTTTAAGAATGTCTTCGTCATCAAATGCAGAGCAATCTGAGAATTCATCATCGTCTCGGTCATCAAAACATAATGCCAACGTTTCATTGCTCTTGTCGTTTGTATTTTGGTCGAGTGTTTCCTGCTCTAGAATGCCTGCATCCTGGAGACAATAAAGCTCTCGCTCCAATTCTTCATCCAAGTCATCAAAAGGATCCGTATCTTCGTCAGCTTGGTCCATTCCAAAGTTCACACCAAGCCCATCAGCTTCATCGGGGACTACTGTCTTTTCTAGACAGAGTCCACCACTTCCTGACCTTTCGTCTCTTGCGGCATGGTTGTCGAGTTCTTCCGGGACCGCCGTCTCTTGGAGATATGGCGGATCCTTCTCTAATTCTGCATCGTGGTCGCCTTCTCCAAGGACTGCGTCATGCCCGTCGAAGTTCTCAGAGACGAGTGCCTCTTGTAGACAGGATAATTCATTTTCCAACTCCTCATCCAAGTCGTCCGGTCCATCTGAGTCTTCCTCCGTATCCCCCGCCCCACTTTCCAAGCCGGAGCCGGTTATATCCTGCGCTGGCTGTGGCTCTGGAACGGGCGCTGGGTTTCGAGCAAGGCCAAGGAAGTTCGAAAGCAGCGGTTGACTTGAAGAAACCTTGCGGACATTGGGATCGGGCAGGCCAAGTCGCTTCCTCTCCCGCTCCTGCTCGTCCTTCTTTTTCTTGTTGGCAACACGTTTCTTTTCCTTCTCCCGTATGCTCTTGGCGCGGCGGTCGAGCTCTTCTTCGCGTTCGATTCGTTTGAGTTCGGCGGCCGTGAACCGGAATTGTTTGTTGCTGCGTTGATACCGGCGACGCACGGTGCTGGATTTCTCAATAACGATACGTCGCGGCTCGTCCGGCATGTTGGAGGCAACCGTTCCGGCGACTGCCTACCGATTTCCAAGTCATGAGGGCTGGGCGTGGGTTTATTGAAGATTGTTGGGTTGGGTGTTGGTTGGCGGGTTCCGTTTGTTGCGCGGCGGGGATACGTTGTGCCGAGATCAACAGACTGCCCGTTTGGGCTGCACTTGCCTTGCTTTCACACCGTGCCTCCGCACTTAAACTCACATCTACCAGTAGAAAAGGATTTCCATTTTGCAGGAAGAAAAATGTCTATTTCATGGCTTGTACTAATATTCGAGGCTAATCTAGATCTTGCAGTCACGAACCGGGTCCCAGCACACAGGCGCATACTCATCCAGCTTCAGACTCGCCATGTCCTCCTCCGACAGGGCGAAATCGAAGACCTGCGAGTTCTCGGCAATGCGCGAGTCGGTGACAGATTTGGGGAGGGGAACACATCCCTATTAAAGCGTCATTAGTACCCCTGCCATTGACACGATGAAGAAGCATCACATACCTTTTGCAAGCTCCAGCGAATCAGAATCTGGGCAGGGCTCTTTCCGTGCTTCTCGGACAGCTTCTGGAGAACCGGCTCCTTCATGCGAGTACCCTGGACAAGAGGCGAGTACGCCTCGACGATAACATTACGCTTGTGCAGCCACTCGGTGACATCATCACGCGGGCACCAAGGGTGAATCTCATACTGGCCGACGGAAATCTCACCACCACCTCCGCTCTTGATGTACTCCTCCAATTCCTCCAGCTGCTTGATGCCGAAGTTGGAGACACCGATAGAACGGATGTGTCCTGCCTTTTGGGCCTCAACCAGGGCGCGCCATGTTCCCAGGCGAGCCTCCTTGCCGCCGTAGGGCGCGTGAATCAAGACGCTAAGATAGATATTAGCAGATGCGCGGATCGAAAGAGAAATGCAAAGCGGGATGTGGCTCACAGGTCGATATATCCAAGGCTGGCATCAGCAATGCTCTCTGTGATAGCTTTCTTCGCATTCTCGTAGCCCATCATAGTGCGGGGGACCTTGGTCGTGTAGAAAATCTGCGACCGGTCAAGTCCGGACTGGCGGATGGCGGCGGCGCTTTCGACTTCATTCTGGTAGACCTTGGCGCTGTCGACCTAGAGGAATGGGTTTAGCTTGGGATATAATCGACAAGTTTGGGTTATGCATGTCCACCTACATGGCGGTAACCCAGCTCCAGAGCCTTGAGGGTCACTCGCTCCGTAACATCGGCAGGTCTAATCGCATGAGTGTCAGTTTCTGCCGAGGAAGAATTCGAAATGGGATATTAGAGACATACGTCTGGTAGACCTAAAGGAGCAAAAGTCCGTCAGAATTGAAGCATGGATATGGAGCTCTGGTGTCAAACGCGGGGGTAGTAGCTTACACCGAAACCAACGACGGGGATCTCGTAGCCCGAGACAAGCTTGTAAGTAGACCGAAGAGAGAGGCCGGCCATTATGAAGTAGGTACTGCGCAGGGTATTGAACAGAGGGGAGGATGGAAATGCAAAAGTTGGAAAGTGTAAAGCGCCACTTTGACAGCTACGTTGATTGATAAGGATACCTAAACCCTTCGCACTCTTCACGGACCACCTCGGTTGCGTAATTCCCGCCGGGTCTCGCCTCAATCTGGACCGATCACTGGCTGGTCCATGCCGATGTGGGTTCTTCAGGTCTGTTGGGCCTGGATTAAGTTATGTCAGGAGTGAATCGTGGACAACCTAGGGATATGTATGATCATGATAATCTTGTCTCTTGCGCTAAACCGATTGTAACTTGTAGATGAGCTTGCAGTTGCCAATCCTCTGCACACATCTCAATTGTCATTCAACCATTGGATTCGATTGAGGAAAGTGGCACGCGATGAATCCCTGCCTCAAGACCTCGTTATCGATAAGCCGCGGGGACCGTGACCTCAATTGCACGCATTTTCCCAAAAGAGTCCCCGATGCAAATTTGGTATCCATCAATCGTGCAAGTGTGGGGTCACTGATATATGGTAGTACTTGTACAGTTACATAGCTGAAACTTTAGATTGAAATTGTCAGTCATCAATGTGGAATGGCCAGTCAAATTTCTCGTTCGAGTCATCCTACTATTTCATGGTAAAACACTCTGTGAATATGGCTTAGCCGCTAAAGTTCTAGCTCTGCTGAACCTATATTTTCGTTTTAGTCCTCAGTTAGTTGAGGTTTTTAAAAACTACCATGCCTTCAAGTTGACACGTGACACGTCCTATTCTTAGTTATCTTATGTCACTTGCCATTTAATCAATTATCTATTTTCATATTTAGATAATGATGCTTTTCCCATTGCATCTGCTCGTCTTTGGGGTGAGTAGATTTAAATAACCGTTAATTTAAAGTATTCTTCTTATAGCCTTCTCTCAATCGGTCTATTGGTTGCTATAGCAGAGGATGGGGACCTTGCTCATAGCTTCTTCGAGGCGGGGCATTGCGATTTGAGCCCAGCAGTTGAACGATGAAGCTGGATCATGTGATGCCACGTACTAAGCCTAATCTGGCCGTCCAATGTGCCCACACTGGGTGACTGGGTAGGCGGTCCCGAGTGGCAGTATCAGACGCGGGGCAGGGACGCGGTCATCCAAGGCAGAGTATTTATCGGGTTTAATTCATACTTGTCCACAGCAAGCCACCGCGAGCAATTGGCCGAGATCAACTCAGTACGGGATTGAACTGACTGTGTGACAATCATCATTACATCGTCCTTCCTGGAGATCCATCACAAATTCCACATCCCTCGATCCGCGCGCGACATTACACATCTTCAACATAAGTGAAAACCGCAAAGCCACTTCTTCAATGCGTCTCATCAAGAATAAGATCGAGCATAATGGCTCGGGCACAGTCACCCTGTGCCCCGATGAGCCCGAAGATATGGTACTTGCAACCAATCCTCGATTAATTACTCCGCCGACAATGGTCTAATCAAATTTGATTATAATAGTGGCATGCCTACAACTTGATCCGACCAAGCGATGTCCTTCGTGCCAGCGCAATTCGCCGTATCACATCAACACAAGAAACTGGCTCTACATCCTCTGCGCGTGTACACCTTACCCTCGAGATTCGCGTCAAAAGCCTAGATTTCGACCCACAAAGCTCGCAGCTCCATGTATCTGGACAAATCATGAACGAAACCTCTCACACTAAGATTGGCCAATTTCATACCCTCGACCTGGAGCTGAACCGTAACTTCACCCTCGAAAAGGAGATCGGCGCAAATGGCGAGGGTGTCGGTTGGGATAGTATCGCCGTGGAAATGTTGAAGGATGCCGTGGATGAAGGCGGCAAGCGACGTGCCGAGGCTATTGCTGTCGTTATGCAGGAAGGACTGGCACATATCTGCTTTATTGGACAGTTTCAGACAATAATGAAGCAGAAGGTAGAGATGTCTGTGCCACGAAAACGGCAGGGCGGAAGTGATCATGATAAGGTGAGTACTGTTGCTGCAGTAAAATCGTACCCGGAAGAAGTACGGCTAATTTCATGGGCAGGGGATGAACAAGTTCTATCGTGTGACACTAGAGACTCTGCTTCGGCAGATGGACTTTAATACCAGTATAACGTCTGCTTCTAACAACGAATCTGTACGACCGGTCCTACTCGCCTCACCTGGGTTTGTCGCTGCCGGTTTCCAGAAATACATTCAATCTGAGGCTTCTACCACAATGCCTGGTCTCAAGCGACTACTGCCCAGCATCGTGGTCGTTCACTCCGCCTCTGGCTACCTGAACTCCTTATCAGAGGTTCTTCAATCGCCCGCGGTCAAGAATATGTTATCAGACACCAAGTATGCCCGTGAGACAAGATTGATGGATGATTTCCTGGACCAGCTCCGGAAAGAGACCAACAAAGCGACCTATGGCCCGCGCGAGGTAGAGTCTGCAGTGGAGCAAGGCGCTGTTGGGCGCGGTGGCGGCATCCTTATTATGTCCAATCGCTTATTCCGATCCCAAGATGTTGCCGAGCGAAAGCGTTGGGTATCCCTCGTGGATCGAGTACGAGATGTCGAGGGCGGAGAAGTACGAATCCTCAGTTCAGATCATGAGAGTGGGCGACGTCTCGATGGACTTGGTGGCATTGCAGCACTCTTGACATTCCCTATCATCGAAGATGATTTGGATTCCGAGGAGGAAACTTGATAGAGTCAGAATAACGAAATATGAATCATGAATAGAGCTTACATTTCGCCAAAGATTACGATGTGAGCCGTTCGATTTCATATTAGTAATATAATATAGATGTTGATCTAATCTCGTGGAATAGAACCAATCTTGATGATCTCCGACAGTCTATCCTTCGACAGTGGGGTTTTTAGTGCGATCCTTCCGACTCGGGGGTCATCGTACTAGTATGCCCGTGGAAACGACCTGATCCTTTTTTTAGGCATCCCAACACACTACATGGCCCAATATCCCGATCTTTAGACCTAGCACGCCTAGGCAATTTGACCCGAGGTCATCTACATCAAGATACTAGTAGCTGCATTTTAAGAATTGGGGGATGGGGCTGTTTGATGGGGCCAAAACAATTCCCAAGAACCGGAATGTCGGTGCTTGCGAGGACCGTTGCAACTATTTATAAAGGAGATTGCTGGGCGGGGGATTTCCGAACCTTGAATACCTAGGTAGGTATCAACAGGGGCAACTGTGGAGTGAAAGCACTAGCAAATTAGCGTCGCCTCATTTCTTCCTAGCGGCTTCAACTTTACTGCAAAGGGGATAGATAGGCTGTGCGCTGGGGTCGGCTCCGAGCTCACCATCGTTGGGGCCAAATAGTAGAATCGGGAAATTGTTCACCACCCCCAAGGGCTAATGCTCGGATTTAGTGCTTACTGTCTTGACCCGTACCTATATATCCGATATTATGTGGCTTCTCTCCATATTGGTTCATGTTCATCTTGGCCGACTGGACGGAGTACTCTCTCCAAGGTTAACACTGCGTAAGCACTTAATCAGGGTAAGGGTTACACTACTTATAGGTGGGGCCCCAAATAAGGGACCCCAACGTTTCAAGTTCTAAGTATATCTTCAATTTCAACTAGGTAGTAAGTATTTGCTTCTATGACTCTGTTTGGTTGAAATTGCGCTATTTTTCGAAATACAGGTTTTGAGAAAGTGTGTATGTAATATGCAGAAGAACGATAGTAAAAAAAGTCCACAGGATGCCTCGGCTGCTAATGTGCTTCGTGAGATGGGGAATATAGCTGTGATGATGTGAAAAATGCCGCCAATGATAATGATGATGTAGGGTGTTCATTACTCCAGTGAATTGCGCCGACGCTTTCGAGACGTAGATGGCGCAGGAGGTGAGTTCGGGGGCTCAGATGTCATGGAAGGCGACCCTTGTTCCTCCTCTGCTGTGTCTTGTTTTGTCTCTAGAAGAGCTAGTTGTAATTTACATTGCTCGGGTGTGTAGATCTTTGTAGAGCCCAGTTCTTTCATCTAGCGAGTTATGAGACCCAGAAAAACAAATCGAAGCAGAGGCATGCTCACCTTATTTGCAATAAATCTATACTTCTCTTGCCGCCATGATTCATGAGCGCTAGTCAAAAGTTGTATCTAAATAGCAATTGATATTTAGCATATATTCCTGGATATCCAAGTATACTTTCAATCTCGACAAAACTCGTATGAGATGAGGCTCACGTACTCACATCGGCATCTTCCCAGCGCGATGACCGTTCCTTTTTCCGACGTCCCAGCCGCATCTGAAGTCGGGCCTCGGTGACGTCCTTCTCGAAGTGCTCGCAAAACAGGTCACGAGTGACTTTCCACGAGTAGCCCTGTTCACGCAGGCTCTCTACAAAAAGATCCTCTTCCTCTGCTTGTGGATCACGACGACCGCGACCTGGTGCACGAGGTTTGGGTGGCATGATCGGCGGAGACGGTTGATTACTCCTACGCTCGCGATCACGCTCCATCCGCTCCATCCCCTCTGGGTGTGGAAGTATATTGATTGGAGTATCTCTTGATGGAGTTTTGGAGGGTGTTCGCTTCATACGTTTTGGAGGTGGAGCTCGCGGCGACGGGGCGGGAGTTTGGCCCAGGCCATAGTGCAGGTGGTCCGGAGCATATGCATAGCTGGCGGAACTTGGCGCGGACGATCGAGGATATTCGCTTGGAAAAGGCGCGCAAATCCCAAGACCTTGTGTTTGAACAATTGGGTCGTTGACGTAGCGGTATTCCTGAGGGTGGTATTCTGGCGCTCGGTGGCCGGCTACCGGACTTGGGTGGAATGAACTGTCTGGGAGACTAATTGGTGTGAGGATATTCGGATGTACTATAGGCTCGGAGCAATATGGTTGATTTACATCCATATATGGGGTCTGAAACGCAGGCTAAAAATATCAATGATCAGCGAATGCGTTTCAATGTGGGTAACCCGTATGGCCCCAACCACAGGTTGGGGCCGGGGGGGCCGGAGTCGGTGTCAGCTACTTGACATACTGTATCAACTCCAGGCCATTCGGGACCAAGAGTCTGATAGTATCCTTGTATCTCTTCCCCGGAGTCGGGGAGCCCATGGCCTTGACGTAGAGACATGTTATTTGTTAGGCGTGCAGAAAATAACTACCATGTATGTAGTAGTAAGTTTATGATTCTGCGGCCTAGGACGCAGTTGATTGGAACAAAAAGTTCAGGTGGCAGAAGATGAAACACGAAACAACTCCGTGCAGGAGTAGGCGTACAAAGACGGCGGTTGGAAATGTATAGTGGGTGGTGAGTTGCGGAGATGGCGTGTACACAAACACGGGCGTTTAAAGCGATCAAAATATGACTATTGTCCACCACAATACGTTTAGTAACTTGTAAATTCGATCCAAGACACCATAAGATGAGAATCCCGAAGAGACGCAGAAGGGGCAGAAACGAACAAAGATATAGAGTCAATTCCCCTCTTCTCTAGACGCAATATCGAGATATCACAGCCCACGCCGGAATGCCTCGCAAGGCAGGATGAACAAGCAGTTTGGCTTGAAGAACCATAGGCTCAGAGTGCACCAGAAACTGAAATCAGTACCGCTGGCGGGCGTGCTGCATCGAAGCGCTCGGGGGAAGGAAAGTGTAGACTCGTCGGTAGCCTATATTTAAGCGCCTTCGAAACCAATAGTGCCAGCAGCTCCATATCGATTCTGGCCCCCAAAGCTCCATTCAAGCCCCCAAAGACGGGGTGGGCACAGACTCCGAGTCTGCAGCTTGGAAATGAGGAATGATTCCAGGCCCACACCGTCCTTGTTCAGCAGTGTCCGAAGTCATCATGACACCCTGACGAGAAGTAGGGGCCGACGACCAAGAAGGGTGGAGCAGACCAACAGATCCACGTTGCCGGGCCCCAGAAGGAAGCACCCGGGAGAGTGGAGTGGGAACTTTAGGGCCAAATTGACAGCGTCTGATTAGCGCCGCTGGAGCCCATCCGAAGGATTAATAATGATAATAATCGATTCTGGGGGGTTGGCGGTGCACAGGCATGCGTTCGAGGGATTCCGGATCTTCGCCGGGGCAGCAGAACAGGATCATCAAACCCATTGGCCCCCTGTTTATTTTGCTTTTGCTTTTTCCTTTTTCGTCTTCTTGCCTCTTTCCTGTTTCCTCTTGATCTTCTCCGCTTTTAATCCTCGGGTTCTTATTTGTGCTCGCTTGATTCCAACGCTGCTCTCTGCACAATCCCGGCCAAAACCGATGCAGCCTCGCGATAAAGTTGTTTCAAAGGATTCTTTCCTTTGACCCCATCATGCAGTAGAGGATCAAACAACCACTGTAAGTCTATTGAATTCCTACCAAGAAGGCCATAGGAGACTCGTCAGATACGGGAGTCAATGTCCGAGAGCGGCTAGAGTGGTCAAAGTCAAAAGATCAAGGGAAATGAACCTCCGGGGGTGCTTGAAGTGATTCATCCATTCATCCTCATTTTCTAGCCCAGAATTTCTCAGCGGCTCCTGACTGGATCGGAGACACATCCTGGTCTGGTGAGGCTGAAAGCAACACCTGCTCTACCCGCGCGCAGTGCCTTGGTGGCTTGTGTCGGAGGATTCAGGACCGCTGGTTAAGCGCTGGCAGGGATTCTCCCCCCACCACTTCTTTCACCATGCATTCTCCCTGCCACGAGAAATCTTCTTCTGGTGTCTCACCAATCAGCACGACGGGCACAGTCATTTCAATCACAAGGCGAAGTCCGATTTCCCGTTTAGTGACGGGTCCTCACCTTAAAAATGTAGCCTGTAGGATGTGCCCGTCATTTCATCGGCCATCGTGTCCCCCACATCGCGTCGATGAACGGACCATGTTGACCTACGTGGACATGTCAAATTCCATAATCTAAGCGCCCCAAAATCTCTTGGTTTAAGCATGTCTACTATGTGTTCATCCCGTCGCCTCTGAGCTAGATTGATCAAAGAATGATAGAACAAAAAGATATTTCACAGGCGATCGGAAATGAGCTACCACTCTCCCTGGGCAATATCGGTATATCTCCGGAGATTTCGAAAACTGCCTCGCCCGTGAAACAAACGGGGCGTCATAATACTGGGGCGAGCCCATTAATTGGCACTGATTATGAGGGAAAAGATTATATGAATGGAACCACCGATGCACAGTCAAGTTTTCCCATAAATGACCTAGCTTGGCTGTGCAATTGGGGCCAAAAGGAAACGTACGAGTTGAATCATATTGCAGTCCAACGGCGCAGTCCAACAGGGCAGATTTTGAATATTCAGAGTGATATGGAGACCCGATAAAAAGAAACACCGAGATACTGAGGCTAATATGACATACACAACGCGTTCCAAGGTTCAGAGTGGGTCGCGGCCCCTTCCGTAGGGTTCTAGATACGATCGCTCCATAAATGTTTCCGGAAATAAGGAAGCCAACAAGCAGAAGATAGAAACGTAACACATGAATGAAAATGCGTCGATCTCATTTGCCACGCAGTTCCGTATCCGAACACTGCAATAATGAGCATGACAATCAACGACCTTGGCGAGCATCTGGAACGAGATCATCTTCATCCGAGAATCCTTCTAGGCCATCTTCATGGCCGTGCCCGTGATTATCCAAGGTATCATCGGCCGCCACAGAGATACCCCGTGCGCCCCATCTGTTGGTGTTGGGCTGGCTGTCTCCTTCCGTCTCCTCTTCCCGCAGATATTGCTCCTCATCGGCCGATGTGCGCCGAGCACGAAAATTGACCACGCGGTTGACTATCCAGCTCTTGTTATAGTCATCTGAATCCACCACACCACCGTTACGGAGCTTCACGCGCTGGCGCGAATAGTATACCCAGGCAAAATCGACATAGAAAGCAGTTTGGATGATACCAAAGATCAAGGCAATGGGATCCCAGTGCTTCTCAGAACCAAATCCACGTACCATCCAGTTGAGAATATAGAGTGCTCGATAGGATCCCAGGCATGCAAGGTAGTAGGAGTCGATCACGGTGGGAACCGTAGTTTGGCGCAGAAGAAGGAGCTGCGGCAGAACACACACCGATTCGAGGACAATCGAGAATGCCCAGAATAACTATACATCGGTCAATAATTCGCTCGATACGAGACATTTGAGGTTGCGGGGATGTCTCCACTTACCTCGCTCAACCAGAAAGAAGGAAACCCTCGGTATGTTATGACAATAGCAATTGGAGCAATAACTACTGAACCAAGCACCGACCATATACCGAGCTTCCAAGCACGTTCTCTTTCTCGTGTCCGAGGATAGACCCGCATCATCAAGAAAATAAGGTAGGAGGAGGAGGCAAGAAACAAAAGCTTGAAAGGGGTGTTCCAAAGTACTCCAGCTCCATAGTAGCTGAAGGACCATGAGTAGCTCGAAAACAAGTCCAAATATCGAGTGAAAAAGACTAGGGCATAAAGCAGCTGTGTGAGGAGCGAAACGCCTAGAAATAACAAGGTCTGGGTCAGTGGACCATGTTATCGGACGGAATCGTGAAAGGGCCATATCGCCTACCTTCAGCGCTCTTATTCCTGTGAATCGCCCATACCAGTACACAAACAGATGCAAGGTGGGCAATGTCGGCGATGACACGGAATACGTTGAATACCGCCATTGCGTGGAAGGGATGGCTGGGTGCGGGGAGAGAGGTGTTCGAGTTCGAGTTCGATCAAAGGAGATCGCTTCTGGAATAAGCCCAGATTGACTTTATTCAGGGTATTCTGCGGTAGCTGTTAGGTCGAGTTCACAGTCCTGCTGGTCCCAATCCTTCCAATTTGCAAACCACAGCAGTTGACGTGGAGGAAGCTCCAAGTCATCACGGGAGCTCCACGCTATCGTCTCCGCAGAGCTCGGGCCGCGTGTCCTCACGTGAGACGTGACGTCAGCATCGGCACCTGGTCCTTGAGGTGTCAAATATCATGTAAACCTTGGAATGTAGTATTTAAAGTCAAGAGGTTATACTACTAGTATTCTAGTAGATAAGCTCTCTAGATTAAGATAGACAAAATAACCTTCATGGCATTTTCATTTGGAGTTACAGAGCTAGTCCTCATTGAAAGACTATTAATTCGGGAAGTAAAGCTATTAGAGTATAAATTAACTAAGATAGTCACTTGATAAAAGTCCGTTCAAAATCTGTTTTAAGAAGACTGGATTTTAAAGGCTATTGAGTAAATAAATATTAGATAGATATTGAAGGGCTTTATAGAACGAAACCATTAAAGTATTGAATCCTAAAATCGAATTTAGAATTTGTAAATACACACCGAAGTAAATTCCGGTGGTGAAGCTCACAGACAGGGGTTTGGGATTATTGGTAGCCCGTTCGAAGACGGAACTTTGATATCGTTAAAGGAATCAACGAAGACTTTTGTAACGTATTTCTTTTTAAGTGAAGTCGCTGAAGGAGTAATTACTAAATTAAGGACGAATTAAAAATTGAAAATCCTGCTAAATAAGTCAGCGAAATGACTCACTAGGAGAATTGTCAGCGAAGGTGATTTCGATAAGTTGGTGAAGCCAACCGTAGAAGCGGTCGTTGAAGCAGGTCATTAAAGGAAGTCGTTGAAGCCGACCGTGGAAGCGGTTGTTGAAGCTGGTTGTTGAAGCTGGTTGTTGAAGCTGGTTGTTGAAGCTGGTTGTTGAAGCTGGTCGTTGCAGCTGGTCGTTGAAGGAAGTTGTTGAAGGAAGTTGTTGAAGCCGACCGCTTCCACGGTCGTTGAAGCTGGTTGTTGAAGCGTGTCAATAAAGGAAGTCGTCGAAGCCGTTAGAAAAAAGTCGTTGAAAATTGGACAAAGAAACGGTGAAAGATATAGCTTAAGCGAATCATTAAAGAATATCAGTCAAATAATCATTTAACGAAACGCCTGTCGTTGAACGAGATAAAAGTCTCGTTAAAGACATTAAAGTCGTCACAGACTTAGTAAAATATTATCCAAGTAAAATTTCGCTCCAGAAAATCGTTAAAGCATCTAGAGTACACACTAAAGCAATCGTTGAAGGGTTAAAATCGTTGAAACGATCTTTTCAGAATTTCGACATTCAATATTGAAAAAATAAACATAAAATAGTTATCCAAGTATTTTCCAGGGAGATATCGAGAAGAGTACAAAGGTAAATATCTGAGGGTTTTCATTATGAAACTTGTTGAAGCCAATAGTTAAGACTTTATCTTTATTAGGGACTGGTATATCTATACGTCCCCTTTCCACCAAACCCAAAGATTTCGTTTGATCCTTACAAAGTACGAAACAAATCTAAAGATCTTTACATTTTCACTGGTATCATTTATTATTTCCTTATATAGCACAGTTTATTTTCTTTGTTTTCTCAGGTCTTAAAAAAGCCTACTTGAAGATTTTCCTAGTTCGGCCTATCAAGTAGTACCAGATCAAATTTAATCCGTATTACTAATTTATTAGCCAGCTAGAGGTAATAGACATAGAGTACTGTTTGAGGAAATTAGATCAAATAATAGAGGGAACTGAAATTAATATTCTGCTGTATAGAGTGGACCAAAGAGCGGATAGCTACCCTTTACTTCCTACAAAACAAAAGGAATTATACAGTAGAGAATATAGAAAGCGGGCGTTTCTGTCATAACAAAGCCCTCAATATTAGACGTATGCATTGCAAGAGAATCAATAATATATAACTATTAACCTTATTCCATCGAGTTATCTACAAATAAGCACTATTACCTGAGAAGACCACAATCTCGCTAGTTATATTGCATTTTCGAAAATAGGCTACTACTCCCGCCGGCGTATACGCCACAGTATGCTAAATTGAGTGGATACTATTCCTTTACTCAGTCAGGCCAGCAGAATCCAGGCACTACGAGAAATCAGGGCTACAACCTGTTACAGAAGCCATCACGAAAATTCGAAGCCAGAATTCTGGCCAACTCAACTACCCAGTGCTGATAGAATCAATTATCCACGAAATCACTTGGGATATTCTACAAAAACGTCTTTGTGGCAGTATTTGTATAAAAGAGATTCCTCCGATCAGTACAAGTATAAAAGTTTAGCAGCTCAGCACGAGCAAGTGCGATTAGGCTAGATACAACGACTGCGCTGTATACCCCATCTTTAGCAGAGTGAGGGACAAGGGCGGTCATTTGTGTGATACAGTAGTATATTAAATATTCCTTGTGGCTCTCGTGAGCCATATACAAGGGTTAATTCGACTAGTGTAAGTGAAACTGTGTCGGGTGCATAAATCCAGTCCCTTTTCCGCGGTAGACTTTCTACTAGTATAGCACACCCACGGCCAGGCATCTTGCGTAGCGCAGAAGAGCTTATGGCGCGAAGCGGGATAGGTACAGTGTATGTGTCATTGTAGATTGGACAGCTGTTGAGCCGCCTCGTTCTGATACATGTTCAACGTTTTTCTCAAATTTTCTACTCTCATCTCCACATGAACGTATTGTAACGATCACGCGAGCCCTGCTTCCACCAAAAATGGGAAGAAGCGACATCTCTCAAGCTCGGGGAGTAAGGCTAACAAACCTTGCTGGTAAGTGTACGTACGTAGATGAGAAATTGACCACAGCTCGTGCATGGGAAACCTTTCATCGAGACCAAACTCTCTATCACGAAAGCTGATGCAAAGAGCAGAACAGCAGCTCGGACCAGTGAATAGGCAGCCCATTTTCCAGGCTCCGCTACTGCTGCCATTTTTTCTTGTGCTCATCCAGCCCATCCATTGCATCACCAACCCTCTCTTTTCTGATTCCGCCTGATTTTCGTGGCACAATATCTTGCTGACTATGTCTCGCAAAAAATGAGGTCTTCTACCGAGTCCATTGAACAACGAGCGCACCGCCAGATCTCACTTAGATAGCCCCTGAACACGACTATAAAAAGACAGCAAAGACGATGCTTGGGTGGTCGATTTTGGCGGCGGTTTTACAGAAGGCTGGGTCGAGAAATCTCACATAAACACGATCGAAGGTGATTTGGCAGGCCTTGTCAAAATTGAAGAGCTTCTGCGGCCATAAAGCAGTTGTTTCGTCGCTGAATTCAGGCCACTAAATGGAATCTAAAAAAGAGTGTTGATGTGCTAGATTGAGAGTGATTTCTCTGGATTCCAAGGCTGTTAAACGAAAATGTAAGACTTGCCTAGGATATATCATTTACTGCCAGCAAGGAAGCAAGTACTAGTACTTCAATACTAGTGAACTACTTATATACCAAGCAACTTTCCAAGGCTTTGTCAATTTTCCCGCCTCCATCATCAGGAATGATACCTTTCGAATTACTTTCCATATGACTCGCACGGTTGCATTTATTTTATCGATAGACGAAACTTTATAAAATGCGGCAGGTCTTAAAACTCAACCTAGTAAATGGACCAGGATGTTTGAAATGCCGTTGTAGGGGAGATAACCGCCGGATATTACTAGCATTACTGAAGGATAAATAGAGAAATAATTTGGACCTATACAAATCACAAGCGCCCTCGATGATTTCCATCCTCACCAACCCATCCGCAAGGATCTAGCTGATCCAAAGCTTCTTCCACAAAAAAAGTCAGCCAGCCACCATTTCCAGACGCAAACTTGAATCATTTCGGCTGGGGATCCACATTCCCCGTGGCCTGTCTAGCACGACGCTTCCTGCGTCTCCGGATACAAAGCCACCCCCCACAAGCCAGAATAGCCACCCCAATAATTGGGACCCCGATCATCGCGAAGTACAGCAATGAGTTCCATCCCCTGACACCGCTATTATCGCCATTGTGGTGGTCAAACGCCCCGTCAGGGACCCCCCTGTCCGGGCTTCCAGACGGCGAGGTACTTGCCCGACGTCAATGGAGGCAACGAGGGGGACATGGTCGCCGTGTCCGACCCAGCCCATGTGACGTGCCATGCGCGATGAACAATCATTCCCTGTGTGAAAGTGCCTGTGGCATCTGTGCGCGATGCCAGTGGGGCGGTGATCGTCGTTTCCCCGGAGTTGATCGTCCGCCCACACGCCGGCATAAGAGCAGATGTCGGTAGGACGTACCCTTCAGCTCGGAAGGTGAAACCGCTGTGATGGTCAGTAACGGGATACGGGAGAGTGTAGATAGGTGAGGGAGACAGGGATGGAAGTGGAACGGGATTATCATACCTGGCGCAGCAGTATGCCGCGGAGTAGTCCTTTGTCGACGACATTTCGTAATACGTCCAGTCCTGCGGACAAACGGCAGGGCTGAAGGTAAACAGATCGTCATCGCTGGCGCCTGTATCCCATCCGGAGGGCTGGCAAGAGGAGAACCCTGGGGCTGCGGCATCGGATGCCAGTACTTTGACGCTCCTAGGTGTGCCCAGCGGGCTGGCCGTGATGGTTGTGAGCTCAAAGGCCGAGGTACATCCACTTGGCTGGACAAAGGGGGTGGTGAGGCCCGTCGCCATCACAGTCGTAGCCATCGACGCCATCACGGAGAGCAGGGACGTGAGGGTCATTTTCACTGCGAGCTCCTTTTGTAGGGCCTCTCAGGTCAGTCCTTCTGCTCACACGTGGCGTCGTGGGGGATTTCTGCGTGGATTCTTGGTTGTGGTAGTAGTTGTGTTGGTTAATATTATTATTATTATTATTGACTGACTGCTGTGAAATCGAGAGTGGCCGTAGTGAAATGCTTTTCGGCGTAGCTATTTACCTAATTTCACATTTCCTCGTGTTCCAGCCACTGTTTGTTCTCATTATTTGCCCCTAATTCTTAGTCGCTCCCCGCATTGGCCCCCCGACCCTGTCCCGTTCGCACTACGGACAAAGCACGGAGGCAAAGCCAAGCACTTAGTGTCCTTCTTGTTTCACTACCCACGAGAAACGAGCTCTAAGCGATAGTTAGTCGACTTGTCCTGAGCTAGTTGTCTAGTCTTTGCGAAGTTACATTGGTTTGGGGGTTAGATCCAGTAAGGGCAAACAGATCAGAACCGACCGGCCGCCAAGAAATATCGACTCAATCAAGCATATATGAGGCACTTGATTTACCATGTGAGAACAGAGGCGATGTCAAAAATTCTCTAGCCACAACGAGAACTTTGTCGTTGGATCCAAGATAGGATATCCTGCCGTTGACTAGCGAAGAGTTTGAATATCATTGTAAGTTCAAGAACATTTGTTCATTTCTAAATTCTACTGCTGATACATGTATTAATTATAGATAGTGTGTCTTGCGGTTCTAAGCACCTCACATCCTGTCAGTGATGCAACCTTGTAATTTCCGGTACTGCGCTACTCAGAATGTGGGTTGCCATATCTTAGCTGGTCCTGTGCTTCTGGGTTTGTTGGTCGCCTATAGGATGGAATTCATGTGGATACGGAATAGGTGAAGGCTTCGAGATCTTGTATATGTTTGCCAAGGGATCAAGCCTTGCCATGGATTATAGGAACTGGTTTGGCAATCATAGCCGACGAGGAATCTATGGATGCTGATTCGACTAGCAGAATACAAGAATAGTTCTTCCTGAAATATGGATAATTGTCATTTCCCATTATCTATCTGAGTTGACAATTCATTAAGTGCTAAGGAAATGGGTACAAAGTGTTTGAAGTAATAGGTTTCTAGTAGATTCAATGACGCGAATAAAATCTCGTACTATGTATCTAAAACCTTTCAAAAACTGGAGGAATTAACACCAGCTATCATATACCATGATTAGGTTTAACAATCGAATCCTGGGCATTGAAGTGGCGTGGTTGCTTATTCATCGACGTTAACAGAACGACTCCCCGCATTCTTGCAACCGCACCCGACTTTTCCCCCAGTCTCCATCCCCCACAATTGCCTTGTCTTTCTTGTCTCTAAGTCCCACGAGACAAAATTGAATTATATAATAAATGATTTTGTTTTGAAATTCTGTCTTGTCATCATTGATTGTATTCCAGGAGCAAGAAAAGCCAGAGCCAGTTCAGCCTAGACTCTGAAATAACGCGACTAGGATGGTATGAAGTCTGGCCAGTCACTTTTACGATGTAATTCCAAACCTCATAACTAAACGAAATCCTGCTAAGCAAGTGAATAAGTGACCGCTGCAGAAGGCGACATGTTCGTTGTGAGTATGCCGATCGCCCACAACTTTTCAAATCCTCACACTTTGCAGGTCAGCGCAAGCAAGGAAATCCATGTAACAATTGCAAAAAAGCCAAGGCAAAATGTGCCGGTGGGAAAGTGGATGTTTGTCGCGCAGTACACTATTCATCCGAACCTGGGGAAGTTGTGATAAGGAGTTCACGGCGATTGTCTACGACCACCATCAGCCAGCCTGGCTTGGCAGACGAGAATGATCCGCCTTGTCAAGATAAAACGTGCACAAATACTCCTGAGAAGTCTGCATCTCCCATGAGTTCTAATTTGCCCGAAGTTTTGACGCAAGATACTTGGCCATAGGAAGGCAGCTCTTTACAAGGCGACCATCTACCTGCAGATTCGACTTTTGACACGGCTGACAGCGAAGTTTCAATCTTTCCAACGGATCATATGACTAGTACAGCACATCATTTATTGCATCAGTCGATTGTTCAAGTAATTATTCATATCAAGAGGCTCTTATGGATACTCGAATGTGATTGACGGTCCGTGAAGCTATGGCGATCTAATGTCATAAGTAGGCATCTCTATTCTCTGGAGTCCTTTCTTCAACTAGTCAGAACTCCATCTTCTGGCCACTTCAAACCGAGTTTGAACTATTACTCTTCCAACATTTTCTTGTCGAGCTTTCTCCTTGGGTATGTGCCTTTCCACCAACTAAAGACACTCGACTGACTGGTTGACTGATCAAAGAAAATTCAGTTCGACTATGGTGATCCCCAAAAGCACTTTCGAAATCATGTTTCAAATGCCGCCGCTACTGACAGGACGCTCTTATACGCAATATTTGCTTTATCTTCGCGACACTGAGTGATTTATCCAACGGGTACTTTGTCTTCGCAGAAGAGTGCCAGCAAAAATGTCTCAGCTCTCTCATACGCGCTCTGAATGACTATGATACAACGGTTGAAGAAAACATTTTCGCATCGGCCTTAATTCTCCGGCTCATAGAAGAAATGAAAGGTGAGCATATTGATTTTGTTGCTTTTCCATCAGCTGGTACCATATCATATTCAGAACCGCAGCCGGGATCAAACCGGGTCGATTCACATACTTTGTCTGCTCGGCTTTTACTAAGAATCAAAGCGGGTAATATCACAGAATCAAAGTTCACCGATGCAGCCTTTCTAGTCGCTCTTCGCCAAGAAATTATTATCTCCAATCTTGCACAAAGACCCGTGGGATCGATTGCGGAGCATTGCAATATAGACACATCGTTCGGCCCTACGTCTGACCTAATGTGGACATGTAGAGCTATTGCCCTATCGTCAAAATTTACCGATCTCGCCTACGGAGATAGCGAGTTTCGAACGAAAGAAAAGTGGGAGTCTTTGATGTAGTATCTGCAGGATTGGGAGAGCTTGCAACCACCTTCTTTCCAGCCGATATTCCGTGGGAAAGAAAGTGGTGTGTCTCCTCATTTTCCAAGACTGCTGTTTTGTAGTGATTATCACGTCGCTGCCTGTCAGTATATCGAGCTTTCTCGTATTCTCCTGATGGCATCGGATCCGACTGCCCACCAAATATGCATTGGAAGATTGCGCCAAGGCCGAAACCACGATGAGGCTATCCGGGAATCGGTCCGACTCATATGTGGTGTGGCGTTATCTAATAGACAGTATATGCCGACCCGTTCTACGGCAGGGTTGGTTATTTCGATGCGCGGAGGATTATTTTATGACATGAGTGAAACTAAAGTACTCTTGGAACTGCTTACGGACGCAGAGTCTCATCTTGGATGGCCATGTTTAAAGTTGAAGGATGAGCTGCAACGGTTGTGGAGAATACCTGATTCTTGATCACTTCCAAGATTGTCTGTTGCTGGAATAAAAATGTAAATTATCTCAAAATAAACTTGCAGATCTGGACTGATATAAGGATACCATGGATGGGGTTTTTTATACTGCCCTTCATTTACCTATCGTTCTCCACTTGTCATCAACCTGTAGTACAATAAGTACGGGTAAGGTACCTAAGAATTTTTGTTTCTCTCTGTCAGCCTTAGAGCTACCAATCAAAGCCGAGGTCTAGACCGAGCATGGACCGGACAATAGCCCCGGCCATTTAGAGCTAGCTAGCTGTGCCCTACTTTCCGCAATGAGCAGCAAGTGGAGATAATTCAAGTTGAGTAGTATTACCACAACGGTACTAAGAGAAAGCTGGGTAAGTGCAGAAGTAGGACATACAGTAGGTGCCGGTATTCTTGGCCAAGCCAATGACTAGTACTTTGAACCGACTCGGAACCTACCTAGGTAATATATCTACAATGGATATTAATAGCCAATACTATCTTGATTCATGCTAGGTAGTATATGACCCATGACTGATTGATACAAATCATCTATATCTGCATAGGGACAACATGGAAATGAGCGTGGCCAATATTTAGGCCATTATACACGTCAACTTTCTGTAAAGTGATAGAATGATGGGTTTGGTAACCACCCGAGGCATCTCCAGGATGACGCGTTAAGAATCAAATTCTCATCGGGAAACACGAGATGCTATAACGGCCGGCCGGGGTTCTACCCTGGTTAACGAGCACATGATCCGACGGTATCTGAATAGATTGATAAGATGACCTCTGATTCGGTCGTGGCATCAACAACGGGAGAAGAAGTTGGAATTACTCTTTGCTGTCCTCCAGAGGGGTTTATAATAAAGGGGCCCCATCCATCCCCATCATAATGCAAACAAAAGCCACTTAATGTCGAGAAAATGCACGATCCCGGGTCGGCAGTTCATGACTGCAGTGCGGCGCCTCGGATCCGGAGCGTTCATTGGCACAATTATCGAAGAATATTAGTTTGACAGGCTCGAATTGCCCCTTCTCTCAATCACACTGGTCTCCTTGAGCACCACGTATGCTGCCATTTTTAGCGATCTGCAATTGACGGGGAGAATTCCGTTTAAGCATCCATGTTTCAAGCTGCCACCCATTACCACGGAACCCGTTCTCCTCGGTAGAGAGGGGCGGCATGAAACACGGGATAGGGTCAGCATCTCCCCCAAACAAGCGATCGAGTCGAAACAGTGAGAAGCAGAATAGAGGGGAAAGAGAGAGGAGAGCAGAGCGTGGCTGCACACGAAACCGACCTGTGGCTTGAACTAGCCCGCCAAGACTCGGGTTGGACGGGGACAGACTTCAAGAGGTCGAAATCCGGAGCAGACATGGTTGCGGCTCACGCTTCCAGATCATTGGATGCCTTTGCAATAGAGCGTCCGGGGCGTTATTGGATCTTTGTTGCCATCCTGGCACGGATTGTGAGAGTTCGCCGGGTCACCGGATTCTGGAACAGACCACTTGTGTGTCTTCGGCCCAAATGTCTCATGGAAGCTGCCGGACGTGGGCCATCATGCTTCTGCAGAGGGCTCATCGGCCGAATTAGAGGGCAGCACAAGCAAGTCAGTGGGAGGGCCCCTGCCCGGGACATCAGTTCCTAGGCCAAGTGACGAACGATGGGTGGAATGCACCGGAGGACTAGCAGGCAAGCAGCAGATTTGCATGTCCTTGTTTTTTAGGGAGGAGACCATAGGTTCCTCAAGAGATTGAAGTTAGACCATTTCCCGATCAGGAGGTGGATGAAGGGGAATTGTGTATAGCATCGAGGGGGGCAAGTTTCGAAGAGGAGTTGTGTGTGTGTGCAGGGTCTAGGCCCAAGGTCTTCTTTCTCCCCTCCCTCCACTTTTTGACCCATTCTTGAGTGCCATAACAAACCCCCAATTAACTGAGGGTAACTAAAAAGGATGGATTAAATAGCTACTCGTATTAGTAAACAAAGGGTTATGTTTCCCTAGGACTAAAGTGTAGTACTGAATACCCGTGGAATGGATTATAAAACCTAAGCGAGTGTAAAGTAAATCTAAGTAAATTAATTCTATTCAAAATATCATAGAAAATTTAAATAAATAAAATCCAAACAAAGATCAAAATCATAAAGGAAGAGAGGGGGACGCTAGTCTTGGAACACTGAAAAGGTTGGACTTTGGGCTTGTTGTGATATGAGGTGACTCCATCCCCGCTCACCTTTCCACCTTCCTCTCTCTTCTCCTCCTTCCCTTTTCTCCTTCTTTCTTGTAACCTTCCCTTCACTTCTACCCTTTCCCCCCCTCCCCTCACGCTACATCCACTTGTTCCCTTTGTTCTCCCTTCCCTCCAGCCTCATGTTCTCCCCGTACACGGAGGAATTCGAGGTTCCCGATTCGACGCTTCGACCATGCGATTTTGATCTGTGAGCTACCCCCCTCCCCTACCACCCAACCCCCAGTCCAGCCCATCACACCTATACAATCATCATACCTCTCTCCCCCCCCCCCTCCCCCCTCCCCCAAAACAATAAAACACAACCCAGTTGTCTTCTTTTACCTCCCTTGAATACAGTGTCAAGCACTCCGGTCGGCGCTACCGAAACTCTTTGTTCTCTCTTTCCCTTATCTGGTTCTGTCTGGGATGCGCCTGTGTCATTTCTAGTGTAACGAGGCCTGTCTTCCCAGAAGTCAACCCCCTCTCCAAGGCGCGCCTATAGCAGATCTGCTAACCCCCCGACGTGGCCTTTGTGTATGTACAGATGAATCGACACCGCATGATTGAGAACTGCGTGTGTCTTTCACCATGTCGTAAGTCCCTCGTCTCTATGATCTCTGCTCCGCAGGAGAGAGACCTGGACTGGACTGCCACTGGGTCGCGTTCTGCTTTCTACATTTATGTTTATATTTATTTATTGATTCTATTTTCATTTCTTGTTGTTCTCATCGTCTCTGCCTTGCTACTCGACTCGTTGCTGACATCTGATCGCGTCGATCTCACAGCTCCCCTCCGACATCCAAACGGATTAAGACCTCGGCTACAACCAGCGCGCCACCACATCTCCTCGCCCAACAACAAATTCACCCCTTCCACCACCGCGTACAGGGATTTGAAGGTATCCCAATCCCTACCGCCCCGATTCCCCAGCAACAGCAACCACAACAACAAACATCATCGCGCAAACGCCCCCCTTCCCCCATTCCCGGATCATCCACCATGATGGCCGCCTCGATGAACCCGGCGGGGGGCACGATGGAGGGTGATCCTGGCGCTATGCCTCCTCCAGTGGAATCAACACCCAAGAAGAAAGGCCGCACGAATACTCCATGGACCGCGGAGGAGGAGCAACGATTGAAAACGATGCGCGACGCGGGTCGCAGTTGGAGCGAGATCGCTAAGGTGCGCGCGTTTTGCCCGAACGCTTTTGCGCGAATACACTGGCTAACTTATGTCGGATGACGCGTCACAGACTTTCCCTACACGAACTGAGGGCAGTGTAAAGAAGCACTGGTACAAGGTATGTACCGACGGTCCTTGGCTGTTGATTTGACATTTACTAACGTCATGTGCCACAGGATATGCATTACGCCGAATTCGCTGAGGATGAGGTATCATTTTCTCCTTCCCGCCTTTAGGCCATATTTCACCTTTTTTTTTTGGCAGTTCTATGAATTACTAACTAAATTACCGCAGTCTATAAAACTTCGCGAAGCAATTAAGGATTACGAAGCAAACAAATGGAAGGTTATCGGGCAGAAAGTTGGCAAGCCTGCCAAGGTACGTCACAATCGAGAAGAATATCTTACGCTCGCTCTGATCTAAACTAACCATCTTCGGTGATTAGGCATGCGAACAATATGCCAAGGAGCACTTCAAGAACCTCTGATATCAGAGGGTCCGATGACCATTGATGAAGTGACGATCTGTTTCTAAGCATCTTTTACGAATTTGGCATTCTCCCGGATTCTGCAATTCCACAGCGATGCAAGGTTCATCAATGGCCACTGGAAGCCATTGATTTTACAAGGCAGATGGAGTTGGTGATCTGGTTTCTGTTTCCGATTGGGGTTTTCTTTCTTGTTTCTTTCTTCTGGTGAGCGTCTGATACGCCTATTTTGACATGACTTTTACTTTCTTACCCATTTTCTTTTGGCTATTTTTGGCGTTATCTTCTGCGTTGGGTGCCAGTGACACGGATTCTTTTTGATATCTTCATTCTCCATCTTCATTTCTTTATCTCCTTGATCAATACTATGTGTTTCTCCGTCCCAAGTAGCTCATGACGAGACAAAAACTTGAAATCGATTGACATGCCGATCCTTGCATATCCTGAGCTAAGGTTTTTACACACAGGAAACACTAGTAATCAATTTTACGAGCTATCCCCCACGACTCGGCACTTAAAAATAAGGCATCCGCCCGTTGTCGTTTCGTATCGTTGGACCCGAGCGGGACCCTCCCAGGCGGGAAACCGGCCGAGATCGCGGCCGATCTTTTTTTTCCCCGCGGCGATTTCTTTCTCACCTCCGCACACACTTTTCCACTTTGCAATCCCCCACATTTGCAATTCTCCGCCTAGTGCGCGCAAGGTTGCACTCGTGTTTCGCCTTATAAGTCCATCTTCAGGTGAACCCATTGCCTATCCTGTTTCCTTATGCGCCTCGCCCTTCGCGCCACCCTGCTAACATCGCCTCTTTGCTTTATAGTGACTCATTTGGAAGGTGATACATACCTCTCGTGAATGTTCGAGTACAGAACCCACCTCACCTCCCCAGGAAGGCTACCATGAAGACGAGTAGCCAGGTTTTATTCAGTGATCAAGGTACATCCAGTGGTAACCTGCCCGCATGGAAAACCGGTGTTCGGCAGTGCAACACTTGCTCCACGGGTGTTGCGCTGCCGTTCTGAGATCATACGGTCGAACTTGATCTGGATAATTCCAGCGAAAGAAACTCATGCGCGCTTCTGATTATCTGTTTCTTCCCTTTTTGGGATTGTCCATACGCATACTGACGGTTGGCAGCATGGCCTCGGAAAATGAAATCGCCACCCTAGCGGCGCGGAACGAGAAAGCAGACTCGATTAAACAAACCGAAGAACCTGTTCCGTATGAACATGATACCAAAAATGACAGCACCTACCCTCCCGAAGATACCTCCCGTAACAACCCCATCGGTACGCGCCTAGGCTCGTTGATTCGCATGTTTGAGCAGCAGCTCGTCGAATATAATTTTGAGGCGCGAGGCATTGAGCGCGTTGCGCCAGATGAGCGCATGAAGAAGCTTTCGTGGGTTTCATACGCCCAGGCACTCTTGCTCTGGGTGTCCATCAACCTTGCTGCCAACAATGTGACTCTGGGCATGTTGGGGCCTGCCGTATATGGGCTTAGTTTCAAGGACTCTGCACTATGTGCCTTCTTTGGGTGCCTTGTCGGTGCACTGGTTGCTTCTTGGATGGCTACGTGGGGCCCAATCTCTGGTATCCGGACCATGGTATGTCCAGTCATTTTATCTATTGTGGCCAGTTAACTTACAATTGAGTAGGCATTTGGCAGATACTCGATGGGCTGGTGGCCTAGCAAGATTATCGTCTTGCTGAACCTTATACAAATGATCGGGTACTGTTTGATTGACTGTGTCGTTGGTGGCCAAATTCTTTCAGCGGTTTCTCCAGGTGGCATGTCCGTTGCTGTCGGTATGTAGAAAGTGAGAAGGGGATGTTCGTGTGATCCATCGTCCTAACATTACTGCCATAGGTATTGTCATCATTGCTATCATCAGCTGGGTTGTTGCTACATTTGGTATCCAAGTGTTCCACTACTACGAAAGATTTGCATTCTTGCCTCAGTTGATTGTCATCTGCATTCTATTTGGTGTCTCATCCACCAAATTCGACTTATCAACTGTCTCCGTTGGTGACGAACGCACGGTGGCTGGGAACAGGTAACTAACCACAATCTCTCCGTTTCATGCAAAATACAACTGGCTTACCATCTTACCAAGACTATCCTTCTTCTCCATCTGTGTTAGCGCAGCAATAACCTACGCTCCCCTGGCAGCAGACTTCTTTGTCTATTACCCAGAACATACTTCTCGTACCTCAATCTTCTCCCTTACCCTCATTGGTCTGCTATGCTCCTTCACCATGGCAATCGTCTGCGGTATCGGTCTTGCCTCCGGCATCAATGCCTACCCCGAGTACGCAGCCGCCTACAACAAAGGCCAAGGCGCCCTCATTGTCGAAGGTTTCGGCCCCCTTCATGGCTTCGGCAAGTTCTGTTCTGTCATCATCGCCCTCGGCCTTATCGCCAATACTGTCGCGCCAACCTACTCTGCCGGTGTCGACTTCCAGATTCTCGGCCGCTACGCTGAGAAGGTCCCCCGCGTGATCTGGAATACCGTCGGTGTGATTATCTATACTGTGTGCGCGCTGGTCGGCCGCAGCTATCTCTCAGAGATCTTTACAAACTTCTTGGCATTGATGGGCTACTGGGTTGCGATCTGGACCGCCATCATTCTCGAAGAGTTCCTGATCTTCCGGTTCCGAACAGGCTACAATTGGGCCGCGTGGCGAGACCCGTCCAAGCTCCCTATCGGAATCGCGAGCTTTATCGCCTTCGTCGTTGGATGGGTCGGTGCTATCCTGTGCATGGCTCAGGTGTGGTATATTGGCCCCATTGCGAAGCTGGTGGGAGAATATGGAGCTGATGTAAGCTTTCAACCTGGCCTAATATTCTTTCCTCTTCCAAAACGCGATACTAACCTGGCTAATTCATAGATGGGCAACTATATTGGCTTCTCCTGGGCGGCGCTCATTTACCCACCTCTCAGGTACTTGGAGCTGCATTTTGTGGGCCGGTAGAAAAACGGACCACACCTCCCACTGTGGTCGGACCCACTGTTTCAACCGTTTCGGGCCTATTTTCAACATGCCCGTCTTCTTTTTACTACATTCTGTATACTAATATACCGACTTTCACACATTTGCATCTTGAGGTCACATCCTCCGTGCACATGACGAGGATACGCTTCAAGGTCTGTCATGTTCCCAAAAGTTATCACTGTGCATTGCATTGCATTGCATTGCATCAATACCTATTGTTTGTTTTATTCTAAACATGAAGTGCATATTTCCAATATCCTTCTCGATAACACTGGAGGTTTGAACTCCAAGATTTTCCATTGTATGCTATGGCGTGAGGCAACTTATCTTGCCAACCTTGGAATCAGCCAGAAAGTAAATCATTGCCAAAATCAAGCATGAGCGTAACCTTCATGTCGTAAATTACTAAACAATGGCCCACAACTACTAGAGTGAGAAGCGGAACGCATGCCCTGGTAGAACCCAGATGGTGGAGACTACCTACGATCTTGGGAACATCATCACCAAACGACAATCTTGCAGATCCGCGAAGAAATAATGAGAAATTATTAACTCAAAAATACACCCCAATAGGCACTCTCATTTTCATCCACTTGAGAACTATTCTACAAAAGAGACGGGAAACAGGCCAAGTATAGAACTGATACAGGGACAGACAGACAGACAAGTTCGCACGATTACTCTGTATCAAGAGATTTTGCGCGACGCGGGTTTACCGGTACCAGTACTCGGGCTTGACGTAGTCGGCGAAGGTCTTGGGCTCCTCGTGGGGAGGGTGGTGGTGACCGTGGTCGTGCTCGTCTATAAGGGGGTCAGTATGCTGTGCTCACGGTGTCTAGGGGAAACAAGAGGGGGCGGTGGGGTGGCTTCAAAAGAGACGTACGAGCGTGGGGGTCCTCCTCAGGTCCAATGTAGTTCAGCTTAACGACGTTGCCGCACTCGTTGCAGCGCTCGATGGGGCGCTCACGGGAGACCTAGAAGCAGACGGGGTTAGTGTTGCTGTGGGTGACTTGCAGATTCTCGGGGTCGTCATACGGTCAGCCAGTTAACCTGGTGGGAGTCGACGGGATAACCAGTGCAACCGGCGTATTGCTCATCACCGGCACCGTTGACCATGATGGGGTTGTCGATCGTTCCTGTGGTCGAAAAAGTTCATCGGTTAGCCGTTGACTCACGCCAAAATGTGAACGATGTCACGAGGCAAGTTGTGGTCTATCGAGCAGAACGATCGCGTAGTGGAGCTTGACATACCCTTGCGGGAGGCGTCCAGGGGACGCATGTCGAAGATATCGATGCCCTGCATCTTTCCGATGAGCTCCAGACGCTCGAGACCGGTGGCCTGGCTGAAGTCGGTAGGGATGGTACCGGCCTTGGCACCGGGGGGGATAAGGTCATCCTCAGACTTGATCTCTGTAGGTAGAAAGGAGATACATTAGCTACTTTGAACCACGATATGATATCTACCGCGGGCAACCCGTGTATCCTTCTGTGGAGGTGAAGTGCACAATCAACGGTCCCAGCATTTAACGCCACATATTGGCATCGAACAAGGGAAGAAGAGACGTTGTAGTGTTCCACCTCCAAAATAAAGAGCATAGTCCAGCAATTGACCGCGGTAGGGCGTGATAGGTACTGACCATCGAACTGGCGGATGGGGGCCTCCTCCTTGGGGGTCCACTTGTTCGCGTTGCCTGTTCAAACAACATTCGCATTAGCTGGCGATTGTACACATAGAGCCTAAGCAGCGTCCAAAAAAGAGTGTCCTCAGAGTCAATTGAGCTCTGGGGGAGGGTGTGCAGGGCCGAGGTCGGGAGGATGTCGGATCATGCCACTTGGGGGGAGATCACGTACTGCGCACGACGGACGAGGAGAATGGGCGAGCGACAGCAAAGGCGCGGGCGGGAGTGCGCCGCGCGAGGGCGGATGCGGTGCGTTGAAGGAACATTGCTCCGGGGAGAATGGTGGAATGGGGGGGGAGTAGAGAGGAGGTTGGGTAGAGTCTGGTTCGAGGATTGAAGTTGGAAGATGCCGCTTCCGCCCGAGTACTGTCTGATTGGCTGAAGCTGCTACCAATAAACGACGCTGATTGCGGATGACTCAGCGATGATTGGCCGTCACGGGAAGTTCCAAATTAGGGAACTAGGGCTAGGGCCGGTAGAAAAACAACTTGGGTATAACTAAACTAACTATGGTTCGTACAAACTTGAACTATTAACATGGGAAACCTTCACAGTGCCATTGCTCATAATCTTAATCCTGCTCCGATAGAACCTAAGAAATCCGAATACTCCGATGTCCCACAGTCATACATCATTTACAATCCACGAGAAGGGCTTCGTCCTAAAAGAGTGGCCCGTTCTCGACACGCCTCAGGGCCAAATCCTTTGCCAACTTTGCTAGAGATGATCCTCCATCGGTCCTGTTCGTACTGCGCTATTGCACGCCGCAGTCGTTGTACCTGGCTGCTGTTCAGTATATCTCATTCGATTGATTGACAAGTGTTACGGTAGTTGGATGGAGTGAACACTGACCTTCTCATCCGTCCAGCTTACATCCTTCGTTTTCAATCTTTGGCAGTAGCGGACCTGCAAAGTATTGTGTGTTCGACCCGGGAAGAAGTCTTGAATTTGTAGCCAGGTCAAGTTCTTATCCTCTTTAAGATGCACGAGTAGCGCATCCTCTGCTGCGGTAAATCTTGTCTTGGGTGCCTTGGGGCGAGGGGCAGGTGCGGGCATTCCCATATGTCCCACCACATTTGGCGGCCTTGTTTGCCTAGCGATATCATCATCCATATTTTCGGAATCCCTTGACTGTGGAAGTGTGTGATGGTGCTTCTCTGGCAAAGAGGTTTTCAGAAGGGCGTTGTGGGACATCGCTGGGTCATATATCGAGCTATGAGGCTGATGCAACGAAGGGTCAAGAAGGATGCCAGATTCTGTAACCGAGGAGTTGGTATTTATGAGAAGAGATGCCAAAGCCGGAAAATGCGGTGATATGTGGCCATCATTTCGGGTGCTTCTTGAACGAAATTGGCCCCTGGGGCTGTTGAGCGGACCTGATATATCGTAGCCGTATGTCGGGGGGTGAGGTAACTGTTGCGACGATGAAGGCGAGTATATAGAATGAGATAAAGGATCATCTCTGGTTTGGGGTATGGGATGTGGTAGTATCGAATCTGTCGTTGGCGGCTGTCCATTAAACAGGGAGGGAATATTGTCGGTTCCGTACACAGCTCCGCTCAGTTTGTCACGAAGCTCCGACTCGGACGAATCATACGCAATCAAGCCATGATCATCATGCTTAGCCGATGAGGGAAAGTTGATGGCATGGCCGCGGTAAGAGTCCGCCAGTGACACGGACATACATCAAGACCGCCAGGAACTCCCGGCTGGTGAATAGTAAGCTTCCAAAGATTTGTCAAGAAGATTGTCCGAGCCCAAGACGTTCCCTCTATAGAGGAACAGGCACTCTTTAAGGCCCTAGTATGTGTCACATAAAGAAGCACGAAACAGAAAGATCCTTGCGATGACAAAACTAATCGCTGCCAGTCGCTGCAACCTGTCTCAAAATGCTTCACGTGCCGAGCGACGATGGCAATTTGGAAAGCCTTCCAATATCAGAGAGGAGCAAGCAGTCGGAGCCCAGTGAGTAGCACTCGCATAATGTGTGTGGTATAAGGGGCAGTTTGAGTGTCATCCGGGAAAGAAAAATATGAATGCGACGGCGGACATGGCTGTCTCTATAAGTCTCTTCACCGGATACGCATATAGGTCAGGTTGGATTGCAGGCCGCCCGGGCAAGGAACCTATGCCGAACCTCCCCATCAGTTTAATCATGCGTCCACCAGGGATTGGCTTCTCTGACTTTATTGGGGAGAGAATTAAAAGAATTGTCCCCGGAGCGAAGCCCCCTTGGGGGACTTTGACCCAAAGCGCGCAGCTTTCGTTTCGTTCCAAAGGTTTCACGTCTTCTACCAATGGCTTTTATATTCTACTCAACCGAGCTTTAAAGGTCCTTAAAGCTACTATGCTATATGGCAGGATTCATTATCCAACAACTATTATGGTCTCTCTCTAAACCGACGGGGCAGATTATGGTCGAGGGACTTTCCAGGATCAGGACGAAGGGCGCATCAGAAGCGAGAAAGCGAAAATCGGAATAAAGCGCCCGACAAGAGCCCGTCAACGCCCGTAAGATTTGGCATCGGGGACGAGTGGAGTGTCCCCGACAGGGATTCGACAGGGATTCCATTCGCCGGGTGCAGACTCCTGCAAGCTTTCAATGAGCTGGAGATGTAGATGAAACTACACCATACTGCTTGGCCAATCAACATCCGTCATGGTAAGCCGAAGAGGCAACTATACCAACGATTCGTTGAGGAGCTGAGGGGTGATTTAGGCACCTCGGCGCCAAGGCTATGCAAAGGGTCAATCACAGAGATCCCAGATGTCCCGAAAATGGCCAGCAGGGTTATTGAAAACAATCGATCCTATACGGTTTAGACTGTCACATACTTACAACATGCATAGTCTTGACCGGCTTTTTGGGACCAAATGGGTCGGGGAGACAAAACATACCAATGCTTTTTTTGCATTGCATCATTTTGGATTGCGCAATGCATGTATGTTGTTTGTGCCTCTTTTTCTTCTCCATCCTTTCCCATATGGCATCTTGGAAACCTGATTGCCATGAATGTCGGATACGGGAAACACCAACTTGCCATACCATCCTACCGTTAGTTTGGGACTGGGCAAGTGGGGAAAAGGATAAGACGATCATTGAAAGTGCCGGAAAACATTAGCTGCAGAAGGGGCTGTCTTCTGGCAGACCGGGGACCATTGCAACCCCACCGGGACAAACAAGTCCTCAAAATTTGCCATAATCGCTTGGGAACAAGTGGCAAGGACACTGTGTCATTTCTCTTGCATCTTGCCCCCCCTCCCCCCTGGTATGCGGGATGAGGTCTTCTTGTCTGTTCGAACAGCACTGGCCCTCGAAGGAATGGGTCTTTCCTAGAGAGGTATAAGATGCTGGGTTCGGGCCTCTGACCGAAATGGTGGCGCAAGGCCGGTGACCTACAACCGTCCCCTGAAGCCACAAGCGCACAATCACCGTCATGCGATTCTCGGAGGCGATGGAACTTTCTTTCTTTGTCGCTTTTGAAGCGATGGAAAGGGCAAGAACCGCGTGGCTTCGTGGCTGGGGTTAGCTGAGGATCGATCTGTGCATTACAAAGCTGGCTGCATACTCGTATAGTGCGGTCAATCAGGCGATCAGATCAGGGCCTAGAAATCCTTTCACAGCGAGCAGGTTACTCCTGCTTTATAACTTTATGATATTGCGACTCGAAGTGTCCAACCTTGGATGACCGAAGCAGCTTGAACGAGCTCAATAAGAGACTAGCATTATGAAGTATACGTAACTAGTGGTGGGCATCAGATGTTCCAATCGGTGACGGCCACATTCCAAGGCTCTACGGAAAGGAAATACTACTAATAGTACTACTGAACAGAAGGTTGAGATGGCAAAATCAATAAGTAGTGCGTATTGCTTTTTCCTCGCTTTCAATACATGAGATTATGATTGTCATGATACACGAACACCAAAAAAAATAAAGAGAAGGAAAGGTACATAATAAGAATACATTCGCCCAAAAAATCCAACAAATGGATGTAAAAACGCCCATCAAATATACTCTACTCAAAGTTATCCGAGCGATCGACCCAGATGTCTTCCAGTTCGGCGAAGTTCTGGAAATGCAGAGGACGATGCTGGTCATCGTAGAAGCGAAGGGGGGGTATCGATCTTCACGTAGATGGGTCTCTTCTCAACGCTGCCAAAGGAGCTACCCATGAAACTATAGTTCCAGAGATTATCCTCGGGGACAAGGAAATAACCGCGAACGCGATCACTGAGAAGCAGCTGGCACTTTTGACCCATGCTAGTGGAGAAGCCTTGGGGCTGATCTGAGCTCATATCCTTGTTCTCAGCGCCCCACTTGTATCCGTCGGGAGTCAGGCCCCAGGCAGAAAGTGACACGGAACCAGGGGTAAAGGAGACAGTCATAGTCACCGTCTTCTTGTCCCACGAGGAGTGCGAGTTCATCAGACGGGCATGTTGTGTGACATCTGCTGCAGACATGTAGGGTGGCTCATTGCCCGAAACGGTGTGGATGACACCCAGCGGCTCAAGGCCGTTGAGGTAGTCATGCTGAGGAAGTTGGTGAGGGAGCTGGACATCCCGAGTGTTTCCAACTTGAGGAACCATGACAATTGTGCGAACCTCCTTAACCTGATCATTATCAGGGGGCGAGTTACCGTAAATGAAACCAGTGACTTGAACGCGGAGATCAGCGATCGTGATGAAACGCTTGAGGATATTCTTTGGCATGATGTAAGTGAATCCATCATCGCGGATGTCGTCAGACGACACGTAAATGTTATTCGATCTGGTCCGCAGGTTCGAGGTAGCGATAGCGCGAGTGCGCCACTCGGTCTTTGACGCGAATGACTGTTGCTCGTACTGCGAAGTCGTCGTGACAATCATGTCCTCTCCTCGCACATTTTGAGTCTTGGTGGTAACAGCAGTAAGTTGCTTCGCTTCCTCCTGTTGCTTTTCAATCTCGGCGGCCTGTTGTCGTTGCAGCGAGGGCGCACTGATTTCCATACCCAGAATGATATCTCGGACTTCACTACCGGTCAAACTTTGCACGTTGACATTGTTCTTCTTGCCGTAGTCGTTGAGGATCAAATCACGTAATTGCACTTCAACCTTAATCCAATCCTCATCGGACAATGAAGGCCAGATGTGATGCTCCTGGGTGATCACACTCTTGTCGGGGCGAAGAATGATCTTAGCCTTGTCGATGTTTACGTGAAGGGCACGGAGAATGAGAATCAGACGAGAGAAGGCAGTGTATGGCGAGATGGACTTTAGCCACTCATCATACAGGTTGAAGAGAACCATTTGAGGCTCAGTAGCACGGAGGATCATATCCGCCAGCTTCTCAACCTTCATGGCAGCTTGGAACGGCAGTTGAAGCTCGGAGGCGCGGATGGAGATATTGGGGAAGTCGAGCAAATGGACTTCGAGAGGATCCAAAAGACCCTTTCGAGTAACAATCAGCTGCTTCGGCTGTTCTTCAACAGGCAGTGACCGAATGAGGGCAGCAACTTCTTCAGCTGTCTTCCACTTAGCCAATTGACCAAGACGCTTCTGTCCCGCCCAGACACTGGTGTGGATGATCTTCAAGAACAGCTGGCCGGTTCGAGGATTGAAGATGAAGATGGCACCATTGATGGGCTTCGTGGTCAAGTTACCCTCGAAGGTCTTGTGGATTGTCACACGGTAAACGTTGGTGTCATCAATGAACAGTTGAATCTGAGGACTGAAAAGCTCAGAGTAATTCTGAGAGTTCAAGAACTCCTGGTTGCTCTCTGAGGCGTACAGCTGCAGACCCTTGCGAATACGTTCACGCAAAACGTACAAGGCAGGGTTGGCCTTCATGATCTTCGCCATGGCTTGCTGGGCAAGAGTCTTCAGGCCAGGGAAGTACTGGCCATAAGCCGAGTACAAGTTGTAGGAAAGATCAATACCGATCATCAATCCGGTCGCTGAGGGATAGATACTCATGCTATCGGTAGTGTAGTCAAGATACTTGGCACGAACATATCGCTCAATGTCATGAGAGTCGTAGTCACCATATCTCAGCTGCACATCAATCCAGAATTTGTTCGTGGTCGTGGGCTCGTATACATCCTTGGTATCGAAGAGCAGGGAAGGTCGAGTAACATTCCACTTGTTAGTGGCGAAAAGAAGGATATCCGCACAAGAACTGTTCATCTTATACGATTTACGGGGGTGAATCGTTTCCTTCTGAACAGCCTCGATGCCAAGTTGCTCAAGTTCCTGATCAAACACTTGGCACAAATCCATAACCACAGATTCGTGGATCTTCTGCCACAAATGGGCACGGAAGATCTGAATCAGGGAAATCTTCAAAGTGGGAATCTTGCCGTGCAAGAAAATACCAGTCAGATCCAGTTGCACTTGGAAACCAACATAGACGTTAGCTCGGTTAATCGTGGGTGACCACCAGAGAGTGAATCGACGATTGGGAATTTGGTTAAGACCAGAACGCTGGGCGTTCGTGAGCTTCTTGAACTTCATGCTTTCCTATAATTTTCTCAAGTTAGTCATCGTTCGCGAGGTGAGGGGCTAAAGGGGTGGTAACGAACCTCGAAACCGCTAGCTTTCTCCCAGAACAGACCCTCCCAAGAGGGGAAGGCAGTGGCCTTGAACAAGGTGTGCTCCAGGATGGTTTCCACACCACCCAATGCTTGGATTACATCTGTTCGGTAGGCATTGAGATTCCACAATTTACCATCATGGCGCTGGCTAGTCCACCAGAACGGATTGCTCTTCATTAACTGGTACTGTTTGAACTCGGCACGAAGACGGAAACCCTTGTCAAAGCTAAGAGTGCTTCGGTCCTTCTGGAAGAGAGTGTTGATACGTGGGAGACCACGGTCCCAGCTGTCCTCAAGATCCTCAAGGGTCAAACGACGGTTCTGTTGTTGCGCTTCCATGCGCTTCTGGGAGTATTCCATCCAGACTCTTTGAGAATCAATGAACTCAGACTCCCAGGGGACAATGTATCGGAAGATGTTCGGGATCAGAGTTTCCTCGTCATGAGACATACCAGCCCGGAAGTGGGTAATTCCAGTATCGGTCTGTTTAGACCAACGCTTGTCACTGGTAGGGATGAGGATATGGGATCCCGAAATCATACCAAGACCTCCAAGCTCCTTAGGGGTGTAGAACACAGCAGGAGGGAAACGAGAAGGCATTTTGGAATTCAATCCGATCTTGACGCGAGTCTGAATCTTCGTCTCGCACTTGACGATGGTGTCAAGCAAGTTCACAGTAGACACTGCCGCCTCACGGTAGTATGTGAAGAGGGCAATGAGCGCCGTGTTCCACTTATTGGCAATCTTGGTGAATGTAGTAGATCCCGAGGACATCAGAATTTGGCGAATACGGTTGTTGAACTTCTGGATGTCTTCCTCTGTGACCTGAAGGAAGGCATGGGCTGTGCGCTCCTTGGTGGAGTTGTCGACCAAAGACCACACGCTGTCCTTGACATTGAACTCTTCATTCTGGTTTCGGCACTTGGGGAGAATGCGGACCTCGAAGCCGTTCATGGAGAACAAGAGGTTGGGATTGTCCTTGCTGTACACGCTGGCAAATGTGTCGTCCCAGTCAATAGTCGTGATGGAACGGGGAAGACGATTCTTCAGATCCCAGAAGACAGCACGACCTAAATTGACATCGTGACGCATCAAACGCATGCGGCAATCGCGAGGCCAGCACTTCTTATTCTTGTAACCAATAACATTCTCGAAGTTGGGATCCGGGTTCTCGGTCAAGAATCGCTGAATCAGATCGCGAGACTCGTCGGCATCGAATCGGAAGAAAACCCAAATCTTGTCGACATAACGGGTATAAAGTCGGATAGGATGTCGGGTCTCAGTAGCCCGATCACGGAACTGCAAGAAGTCATTGGGGCTCTGGGGCGGGCCAGCCATCTCGCTAGCGCGCTGCAGACCGAGAAGTAGAAGATCGATCATCAATCCGTAGTACTGGAACACGAAGCCAGAGAATTGAAGACCACGAATCATACCATAGCTGTTGGTGTGGTTCATGTCCTTGTAGCTAAGCTGAACGTTGTTCTTAGAGGTAATGTAGTCAGCCAAATTGTGGTCCATGATCAAACGAAGCATTCGATTCAACAGGGTCAGATCAATCTTCTCGTAGACCTTAGACAATTCAGTTTCAATCATGACATTGGTTTCACCCTCTGCGGTCTCCCAAACATTGGAAAGATTGTTAATTCCTTGAGTCCACTTGTAGGTCAACAGCGGCGGTACTTCTGAGTCGGAGGGTTTGATCCAGGCGGGGAACAGATGACGCTGTTCAGCCTGGTACCAGAGATACTGGTCCAGGTAGGCATCCGTAATCTTCTCGATGGGCTCGATGTCGTAGACAGGGTTGATGTTGTTATAGTTATCATTCATGTCAATTCCAACCTCCTTGAAAGCTCGTTGGGTCAAGAGGAATCGCTTGATACGGGCCAGAGTGGTTCCAGGAGAATCATATGCCTGCTCGATAAGAGCAAGCTCTTCACGCTGGCTCTGGTTCAGTCTGCCTTTGACGGAATAAGATTCACGAAGTCGCTCCAGAGCAAGAATCAGGATCTTTGTGTCGTGCTTATATGAGACACTGGGGAATGGGATGGGCGAGAACTTGCGTGACTCCAACCAATGAACCATGGTGGTATAGATAGCCACGGCCTCCTCCGAGGAGACATAGGGACCATCCTTGAGGTAGTTGTGCTGGCGCTCTTGTTCCGACTTGAGCCAAAGACGAGTAAGTCGGCCCAAATTCTTCTTAGCGACCGTTTTATCAACGGTGGCACCACGACGAATTCTCTCTCGGTTGTAGTGAGCGACGGAAATCCACCAGTCAGCCTTGCTCTTCACATAACGAAGAATAATGTTCTCGATAGGTGCAGGCAGGCCAGGAACCTTCCAGGGAATGTTACTCTTCCAGCATCTCCAAGCTTCTGACAAGTGTTGCAGGACAACATTGACCTTGTTCTGCTTGATACCCTCAGGCATCATGTCCATCAGATCCGCCATGACGGAGGCTCGAAGTTCCAGGTCGAAGTGAGACTCCACACGCTGCTTAGTGACAGTCTTCGCAACACCCTTGCTGTGACGGCCCTCAAACTGACGAGATAGCAAGTTTCCAAGCCATCTCTCGAGCAGAGGAATGATACCACGCATGAAAAACAGCCAGACACGCCACGCGGGAGCCCAGAAACCACAGCCAGGTCCTTTACCGACAGGACCGGAGTTGAAACGGTAATAAATCAGATGCTTGAGATCCTTGCAGGAGCGAATCTGGTGCATCAACTTGTACTTGTATCGGTACATGCCGGTCAGCTGGCCAACATGGTTGAAAGCGTACAAGATACCGTCGGCCAACTGGAAGGCGTCAATATTGCCGAGACGGTACTGCACCTGAGCATCGACAATCAACTTCGTGAGGCGGAGAATTTCTCTCATAAGGTGGAAAGCATTTCCGAAACGAGACTTCTTTCGCTCTTTGGTGGTTAAAGTCTTGACGGGCTTCAGGTTGAAGTTGTAATCGAGATGCAGGTAAGTCAAGTTCTTGCGGTGGATGAGCAGGTTCAACATGTTGAAACCTTGGCGGCAAACTTGCAAGCCAGCCTCCACCCAGTCAATTGTTGTTTGCTGGAAGAATTTGGTCGTCTTCAAGGTCTTCAAGAGACTCTGCTTGTTCTGGGCCTTCGGCTTGTTCTTATGCAACTCGTTGAGAACAAAGGTCTTGAGCAGCTTTTGGTATGACACGCGGACCTTGACAGGCTGGCCCTGGGGGCAGTGCTCCAGGTACCACTGCTTCACCAGCGGCACATCCTGAGCACGAACCATCTTACCGGACCGCTTGTTGAAGGGGTGGGGGGCCCACCAAAGGGCGATCGCAGAAGCAGTCTCTGTGGTGTAAAGTTCCTCATCCTCGAAGAATGGCTCAACCTCTCCAGGAAGTTCAAAGTCATCTTCATTGTCGGATCCAAATATCTCATCTTCGTGGCTGACGGTGATGTTCTTCGGCGCAACAGAACGAGAGGAGATCGGGTTAATGACAGGATCGAAGTAGAAGGCGGGGAGGTTCGGATCTTCAGTGCGAACGTAGACTACCTGGGGGTGAGAGTACCAGGCAAGCTTCACGCTTCGGGGAAGGGTATTATACAGGAAGGGGAAGGTAACGCGGTATTCGGTTCGGATGGGAGCGCGGAAGATGATGCGGTCGATAGCGTTGAATTCGCTGAAATCCTCGTCGTTCGGGTCGATATCTTTGTACAAGGGCTCGAAGCGAGGGCCACCTGGGATAGCAACGTTGAGGGCCTTAGCGGTAAAGAAACTGTTAAGGTCGAACATGTGGAAGTAATTTTCATCGACAACATCGCTCAAGAGTTGGTGACTCAGTCGGTGAAGAGTCGCCATTTGCGGGAGTGACAGATTCCAGGTCTTATAGCTTGGTCCGTTAACGTGGGGCGTATCTAGGAGAGGTCGGTGATCGTAAAACCATTCGTAGACTGCCGCGTCTTCTTCTTCATCGAGCTCCATCTGGATCGGCTCCAGCGGTTCGACATCCTCAATGTTTTCAGACCATGAAAGTGGAGGTTCTTCGTCATCGAAGGGAGGGAATCGCATGCGCTTAAAGTGTCTGCGGTCACTCTTCTCTCGGCGCATGGACATCCACATTGTGGCCCATTGGGCATGGAAGACTGGCTCGATAACGCGGGGAGTCTCATTGACCATGGTCAAGCATCCATTAACGTGATATAGAACCTTGACCTCTCTAGCTGATTCCCAAGGCATTGGCATGTTTTCAAGGAGCTTGAGAACTGCATGGGGCATGAACTTCAGCGCGCCGAGATAGCTTCGTTTTTCATTGGTGAATTTTCGCTGCGAAACATCGCCAATATCCTTCACTATTTTTCGTAAATGCTCAGGTGGCATGTCTGCTTTCTGTGTCTCAACGAACCCTCCCTTCCGCTTCTCGCCAAAGCGATTGCGCTGGGTGCGCAACCATTCATTCTTCTTCTGCGCAAATTTTGCGACGTTCGGGTCGGCAGGCGGCTGGTAGCCCGGGGGCGGCGGCGCCATCGGCATAGGTGGGGGAGCAGCACCCCATCCTGGAGGAGGAGGGGAGGAGGCAGAGATGCCATGATGGTGGTAGTTGATGGGGGAGAAAGCCCACCCTAGGCGTAGGTTGGTCTCAAAGTCGCGTCAAATCACGTGGAAAATCATCGACATAGGACACGAAAGTAGGTGATGTGATAGCAGCCGGCCGGCTCGAGTGTATTGAGATAGCGATTAAGGCCGAATGACGATGGAAATGAGCGCCAACAGCCGGTGCTCTTCTGCTGGACGCAAAGCTGCTCCTTTCGCCAGGTCTGGCGAAGTTTGAGGTGGGTCCTGGTCATGTGACCTGGACCCGTTAAATTTTACCAATTGGGATTAGCGCGGTCTCGCCAAATCTGCGCTAGAAACCCACAAACCTGAGCCGTCCATCTCGACATTAGACATTTTACCAACCGACGACGACCGCCGCTCTTGACCATCGCAGAGGCTCAAGCACGACAAAATGCCTAACAACAGATTGACCTTCGTGAGTTTTATCCAATTTGTCCTTATGATATTCGAAAAATTACTGACCCGAACCCTCTACTACAGCGCCGCCGGAACCCGTACGTTTAAAAAAAAATTCCCTGCCACCCACAATGCCTTTTTACGCCCCAGTCGATATTGCGAACAATTAGGAACGACTGCCAGTGATCTTCGAACGATATATTGACGGTTATTTTTCTCCTCCGACAGGTACAACACGCGGTCCAACAAGGTTCGCATCATCAAGACCCCTGGTGGTGAGCTCCGTTACCTTCACCTGAAGAAGAAGGGCACTGCTCCCAAGTGCGGTGACTGTGGCATCAAGCTCCCCGGTGTGAGTAGCCCTCTATTGAATTTTCCTCGGCAATGTGTGGTGTCGTGTGCGTGCGGGACGGCAACCGTGGGGAAACCGAGTGAAGGCCATTGAAAAATTCTCATCTCGATTACATCGGCTCAAACTCGTGAACCACCGGCAATCGAAACCAACACCCACACGACACTCGCATTCCCTGCATTTCTGCTCCCAAAAAATCTGGTAACTTACAATTTTTCGTCGCATAGGTCCCCGCCCTCCGCCCCCGCGAGTATGCTCAGATCTCCCGCCCCAAGAAGAACGTCAGCCGTGCCTACGGTGGCTCGCGCTGCGCTGGCTGCGTCAAGGACCGCATTGTCCGTGCTTTCCTGATCGAGGAGCAGAAGATCGTCAAGAAGGTTCTCAAGGAGTCCCAGGAGAAGGCTGCCAAGCGCTAAACAAAGCCTTGGCCTTCGTCGGTGCTGGTCTTTTGGAGAGCGAACGTTACGGAAAAGTGATGGGAACGGCTTCCTTTTAGAATCTAAAAATGATGAACAGGAACCGCTAGCATGAACTCATGATCTGGGTCATGACTAGACAAATGAAACCCAATTTATTCTATCTTCACGAGATTTTTCTACGAATTGCGTTCGGATTGTTCTCAATTCTTGCTGGCTTCGCCCTTATCGAGGTACATCGTGTCTCCCTGCGCAGATTGCAGTTCATCTCGCTCTGTCCTCGTGGTTTCCATAGCCTTCGAAGTGTCTTGAGGCCAGTTTCGAGCAACCCGAGATCTCATAATACTCGTAGCCACCCACGTTGCTCAAGGTACCAGGCGATTTCACCAGTGGTATTTCGACCTCGAATACCTAGGCTCTGCAGACAGCCCGGCCATACACCGCCACATCTGTCTAGCGAATCTATGTCTACATACCCCTTGGGCTCCGTAGAAACGGAATTGGGATAAACCAGCAGCTCGCTCACCGTAATTCAAGATAGAATGTTCACGCATGAGTGTCTGGACCCAGGCCTCGTCTCTAGTGACTTCAGCAGATCAATCGCCAAGAACTTCAACATGTGCAATGAGGAGACCTTGCGACACGGGCTAGACCTCATCCTTGTCTCGAGAGTTGGCCGAGAACCAGCCAACACAGCGACAGGAGTAATTTCGTCGCCATGCTGCCCTGCAGCTTGACTCGCAAAACCCGGGTGACGCAGTTGGATAACGCTATCACGCAGCTCCGGAGAGTATGAACCACAGCAATTGATCGTATATTGTACTGAGTACTATTATCCAGGGAGAGAATAATATTCGATTCAACCCCGGTGGCTGGAGAGGGCTTGTCAGACCCTCCCACTGGCACCTGGGCAGTACTAAGTACTACTAGTATATTCAAATCTCAGCTACTCATGCAGGCACTGGGGGCGATATATGTAGTCCGTGTGAATAGGGGGGGGTACGGGAGCTGAAGGCTCATTGTTGCCCCTGACACCGCTGTTTCCCCAAATTTCTGGATCTTGATCTTCGAGATGGCTATCGTAGACCCGGAAAATATTTGTCACAGGCTACAGGCACATGGTAGCTTGAGATGCTGTCATAGGCACATTCAGATCGCATTGGACTTCCCACGGCCCAGTTCCAAGGTTGCAGCCCAGGTGCCCTGGTGGTCGAGCCAGAGTTCAAGGCTCTATGTAGCTATGTGGTGGTAGAACATGAAAGAATACTTCCCTGACGGTACGAAAGTACTACTACTAGTTCCAAGGTTGGCTCGAGCCTTTCGCCGGTCTGGCGATGAATATTCGGAGTCGCTTTGCGGGTCCCCTGGGAGTGGTCGCGTCTGCCAGGGGGTGGGGAATCGACAGAAACCAGGAATTAGACCGACAGGATCTATATATCTCAGACGATGCCTGTCAACGCCAGCCTCGTATCTATTTTCATTGAAGGTACTTTGGTCAGATGGTGGATACTACCAGTACTAGTAGTAGTAAATAGTAGTAATCGGGCGTGCCCAATACAGACTAAGGAGTACTCCGCACTGGGCAACCAGATATATTTTGCGGAAATCTTCTTTGCTGCCCAGGTGGTTGAATTATCTCCGATGCAAACCCTAGATCTGCCTTGGAACTATGGACTAGAGATCAATATCTTCTCAGCTTCAAAACCAAGCATCAATAATACTAGTAGTACTGTTTTAAGTTTTGTTCAAGTTTTATCAACGGTTGACATAACTAGAACCATAACCCCGTTGGGAACACGAGTCTCCCCCGTTCCCGGTAGGAGTACTTTCTTTCTAATGAAGGCCACGCCTGACACCTGTCAGAGCCGAGTATGGAGCCAGCCGAAAATCTGCATACTATGTACTAGGGGCGAAAAAGAAAAGAAAGGAAAAACGGCATAGAGAATCAGACAACTCTCATAGACCAAGTTAATTAAAGTACCCGTGCGTATATTGAAGGGGGTGCCCAAGCCCACGTTCCAACACACCACTATGCAGTATGCAACCTTGACAGGAGAGTTCGCCTCGAGGCCACTTATTTGAGGCCAAAATTTACCAAATCACTGGGTTGGAAGAGAGTGCATTGTCCATGTACGTACGGATTATGCACGACAAACAAAAAAACAAAAGCGTTCTAGCCATTGTCCTTTCGGTCCCTCATTTCCGCCCTATTCCAACCAGTCAGATCGAGGGCCTAAGGGGATACTTGGACACGGGAACCGTAAGATGGTCATTAGTCTAACTGCAAGTATGCCCTGGCAGATTTCTCTCCGCATGTTTCTACATCATAGGCAGTACGTGGCAGTCGATGAACCCTGGCATTAAGCCGCTACCCTGCATCGATCGGCATGTAAAAACTCCAAATTTGTCGATCTCTTCCAGCGGACTGTCGGTCTAGTCAACCGGAGGTCTTTTTTCGCTCCGAAGTTTCCTGCTGGATTTCTATTTGCCCGTTTTTGCTTTTTTTTATTCGCAGCTCCAATACCCACCCACCCCAGCCTTCATGTCAGCAGCGGGATGGCACGGACCTGAATTTAGGTAATCTATAACTGAACTAGACCGCTGGTCAGAGCGGTCAGAGCTTTTGCCCTGTATCCCAGCATGGACTACTCCACCATGGATTGGCCTTGGTGCCTATTTAGTATCTAATTTAAACGTCTCAAAATTATGCGTCTGCCAGCTGTTGAAACGGCTTGTTTCAACCTACAGGCGCCCGGCAGATAGGGTTTGCAATGTCAGCTTTACCGAGCCCTTGAGCATAGATATGATGCACTTGTACAATGATGCACAAAAGGTGGAGGTGGCATATTGATGACGCTTCGGACTTCAAGACCAAGATTGCTGTTCGCCTCCATATTCCTGATAAGGAATTGATTAACAGCGAATTCGCCCAGAATAAGGAGTATTTAGACAGAATCAGCTGAAGTACATCGGCACATCATCAGGATAGATGATTTCCTTGATAGTTTCTACCTTGATGGATCGAAAATCGAGAAACCCAAAACAAGGAATGGTTCGTTGTTTTCTTTTTTCCCCCTGGGACCCGTAGTTGATATATCAGAAAACGGCCAGTGATCCGATTACAGAACGTGCATTTTTGTAGGCGCCTGGCGGGGGGGGGGGCCCGCAAAACTATCGATGATGGGCTGTCATGGCTTCTGCAGATCCACAGGCTGCCGATCTAAAACACCGATGGAATGGCACACAAGAAAACGGAGAAAATTTCCATCCCAAAGGATATATGAGTGGCGAAAGAAGTACTTGGGGAAAAAAGTCAATCACAGGGAACATGATAGAAAAATTAGAGACAATACCTTTGGCCAATTCGAGCAGGGAGCAGAACGATCATGGGATGTCAGTCTAACTGCCAGCCGATCCTTCTTGGTGCAGCAATCCCAAAAACAGGGTATCTACCTGGAGGCGATCTGTCAAAATCTCGGCCAGTGATTTAACTGGGCCCCACATGACATCGGCTTAACTGCCCCGGGGCTTGTACATAATGTACGACACAGATTCACAATAGAGATCTAGAGAACATGCCAATACCGTTACTAGCTGTATCATCTAGGCTCCACCAGGAAAGAGACATGCATCGGAACGTTTTTCCGACCCCTAGGATCCTATAGCATGATCCCGTCCATACCAGTCTTGTCATAGCCCTTGACAGGATGGACCCTACTAGCCGAGGGCATCGAGACTGAAGATCCCTCGACGTGGGAAGCCTGCTTCATGAGGTCATTTAATAACAAATGGCTGCAAACTCGACATCATGCTTCGTCTTGGATAGGTTGTACATGTGCAGTAGGAGGGGGAAAGGTACCTTTGATGCCAACGTGGGCACACATACCAGGATACTATGCGGTTTGGGGTAAATTAATTGGAGGCTACAAATGGCTTTATCAACCACCCCGATAGGTTCCCCAAGGGGCCTTGGATCGCACGGCCCGCGCTACCTTAGTGCGAATCGCCGCCTCCAGGTGTTTTGTGAACGGTACTACAGCTGTCAACTATAATTTCAATGGCGTACGGAGTACAGAAACGCCAGCTCCACGACTCCACGAAGGTAGCACAGATGAAAATTGGCACCGAAGAACATAGAGTACATATGTAGACCCATATCCCAAATGTGAGAAGAAAGAGGAGACGACTAGATGAGAGTGGGAGGAGCTCGAGCGAAACTAACACGGTTCGGGCCGAGCTGCTAGTACTGTAGTCCCATGAACGTCTAAACAAACCCTTCAGCTTCTCTCCCTGTAAGCTTTGTTGAGTAAGTTTTGATTGATCGCAACTCGCCCAGGGGTATATCGTATCCAAAATAGGCAGTATTTGAGTAGTACCGGGATCCCCTGTCATTGTCGATTCCGATCACGCGAGCCCACCATAACCACTAGTCACTTTCACCGATGATTCTGGCCTGCATCATTTCAGACAGGAGACCCATAGAAGCCGGCTTCCCAGCATGATCTGGGCCAGATGACAGGGGTATCTCCCCTATTCCCCGAGCTCTGAAGAAGATAGTGTGCATCGAGAGTGGGATCAAGTTTCGGTTGCTGGGTACATGACTCAAGCACATCTTAGTTTAGGTACCAGATTTTGCAACGCCAAGGTTTGTTCGCGTCACGCTGGAAAGATTGTATGTAATAAAAAGTACGGAGTACTGCAGCCCCGTCAATAGACTGACACGAGGGGATTAAAACCCTGGCCCAGCCCATCCCAGCGGAGGCGAAGTTGAGGCGGCTAAGTTAGGTGATATAGCCGGGCCTAACGCACAATGTGAAAGAGGACAGAGTAGGGAAGTCACTGGGTCTTCTTGGATGAAGTCGCGAGGGCGAGGTGGCCACTTCGGAATCCTCTTTCCCGCACTCTGCGACACCACTTGGCCTTGCATATACCGCGCATCCGTGCATCCGTGCGATCGTATAGCGTGTGAAATGCGGTGGCAATGGAAGCCGGCACTCACTTCTAATTTAGATTTTGCCTCGGCAATCTTCCCGACCCAATAGAATGGGTGATCTACATGTACATGTATCTGATGAAAGATGTTGACAATATGAACAATGCTGCCCAATCGTGAGGAATCCGAGGAATATGGAAATTTCAGCCGGGGGTAATGTACCACCCATAGATCTAAAGCTTAGCGGGTAAATTAAATACGGAGAGGTAGATCTACGTTGTATGGATGTTATGTGGTACTTTTGACATGATAATCAATACACTTGACTAGTCCAAGCATGGAAATAGCAAAATTGTTAACAACCACTAATGCAAGCAAAGGAGAATTCGGAACACCAAGTCACAGAATGAAAACAAAATAAACCAATCAAAGTCCAGACCCTGAAAGCGAATGGCTCGCAAGATGATGACCCGCCTTTTTTGACACCAGAAATCTGCCCGCTCAGATAGGAGAAAAAATTTGATGCACCGTGACTCTCTAATTTATTCAATAACCAGATAGACCCTGATCAGAGAAATCCATAACTCGTAGACAATGTATGTAGATAAAAAAGACATGGAAGAAAAAATTGAATGAAACCCAACAAGAAGGGAAAAAAAATCACAAAAAAAAGAAATGAGATAGATGCATAGTAAGCTGTGCATCTGCCCTTTTGCCCTCACCCCCTCTCCTTTCGATGCGCCCCACCCCCTCTCATCCTCACACATATTGGAGATCAGTTGCAGTATCGGGGCTAACACCAAGTTCATGGTGGGAATAGACTGGTCCATAATAGCCCAGTTGGCCTTGGCCCATGCTCAAGGCCGAAGGTTCCAATCCTCCTCCAGTGCCATAGAAGACAGGATAGTTTCCAGGAGGAGGGGTTGTGCAGCTGATCACCTCATCAGGAGCGTGGTTTTGAGATGAGCTGGTGATGGGAAGTCCGGATGGGGTCGGCCCTAGAGTCATCTGGTAGGGAGATATGCTAGCACTGCTTTGTGGAGCGCCAATGGGGGGACATCGCAGTTGTCGATGAGGCTGACCAAGCGAGCGGGGTTTATGTGACATCGAATTCTCGTATTTTTGGTCTCTGGACTGCTCGTAATGCGGGCTATTACGCATCCTGGCCGCCGTATTTTTCGCTGCTTTCCCACCTTTGGACCCAGAGCGTCGACGCTCGCGCGTTGTGGGATCCGAGCTGTGCCCCTTGCGCTGGTTCGCCTTGCGATATCGGGTCGTCGATTGAATGCCTTCTTCATACGCTTTGTCTGTCAAGCGCCAAAAATTGACTGGTTTATTGTCTTTGCCTTCGCCCTTGATGGCCTCGAACCCCTAAAAAAAGTCATGTTAGTATTAATATTCCCGTCTTCCCAGAATTGAATGTTGATTTCCCCGAGGAAACACCGCAAGAGGGAGTTACCAAGGATTCAAGAAGCAGGGAAACATACCTGGTTCATTGACAGATTATGACGGATGCTATTCTGCCAACCTCTCGAAGTTGGATCTCTGTCCTTGTTGGTATTGCGTTGAAACCATCCATAAATATCTTGGAGGGTCAGCTTTCTTTGCGGAGCATCTTTTAAGGCGTCATAGATCAGGGCGGAATAAGGCGGTTCGGTCATGGGGTCTTCCTCGCTATTTTCCCCGAAGCTAGTTCTCGGCGAGCTATCATCACCAACGGCATTGTTGGTAGCGGGACTGGTGCTATCGAGAGACCCCGATGGCGACTGACGAGGAGACGTTGAAACAGATTGTGACGGTGTTGGACGAATTTTCATAGGTTGGGCCATGTTCTTAGAAACATTTGGATGTCTAGGATAAGGATTATCCTGAGCACAGAATGAGGCTGGAGTAAAGAAAGATTCGTCGTTCCAGTCTGTGAAGGTTTCCCGATCAAAGCTTCTCTGTGTGTGAGAGGGATTAGCTTGAGAACTAGTCGAAGTAATAAGATAGTTATCAGTACTCACCTTTGGAGAGACTGAGCTAAGGGAGGAAGTATAGTATGATTGATCTGCTATCGAAGGCCGAGACACCGGCGATGCAGTCGCCTCCTCAGAAACCAGTACCGAGCCACCCCACTGAGGGCTATAATAAGAGTACGAACAAGGCATCCCAGATCCTGGCGGTTGTGAGCAAACCGCCCAGCTCTCGTTCTCGCCCTGGGACCAGGGGTGAGACTGGGGGTAGTTCATTTGGATAAGGGCCCTAGTATCGGAAGATTGAGACCTCGTTTGTACCAAAGGGTGGTATTGCTCGTGCTCCTGCTGGTCAGTTCCCATCTGACCCAGCTCACTGGAGTATGGAAAATAATTTTCCATCCTGGATGAATTTCTCTCAAAATATCTCGCTTGCGTGGAGAAATTTGGATCAAGCGGGAGGACAATCTTAGACATGTACCTAGTTCAAAAGAGAAACAAAATGTAGAAGAGGGAGGTCTCAGGTGGGAGATAAACTTTGAAGGCAAGGCCAACGTAGAAGTAGCCAAGGTGACTGTCATGGCTCGGACGTCGCCATTCAAGACTCCAGACAGAATTTGAGCTGTACACTTTTTTTTTCTTCCTGTTCTGTGAAAATAAAATACATTAAAAATAAAAATAAATTAAATGATAATTTTCTCCACCAGCTCATTTAGCACATGCTTCAGCAGCTGCAAATAGCCATAGGATCCTGCATCCCATCGCCTAAAGCAAACATAGATATGTGGGTCAGGGCTGTACTATTAGGTAGAGAAGAGGCGAACGGCGGGGGTGGGAGTGAGAGTGGACGGCACTCACAGCCATACAGCGGCATGTTAGGGGGTTCTCATCCTGTTAAAAGTGCCCAAGTATCTACCTAGTGCAACAACACTCCATAGCACAGGTGTTAGCCAATGATCTCACAGGTGACCCAAGGCGGCTCGATCTAGTGTTACAAAGAGTTTTGTAGACCAAAATGACCCTAAGGGGATGATTGTTTTTGGTAGCGGACACCTGCAGACCTCTCACCAACCCATCATGCATTGGCCTGAAAGCAAGCGTGTGAGCTTTCTGGAAAACTCTGAGTCTAGATTCCTGTCCTGTCTGAGGGTGCCGGGCGTTTCTTTATGGCTGACCGCTTCCAGCCAGCCGGAAGTCTTGAATCGATGCACGCCGTACGGAGTACTTACTGCAGGCCCGGCATGGTGTCACCATAACACTAGCCTTCAACGTCTCCGCGATTCCGGAAGAAGCCAAAAGTTTCTGCAGGCTATAGGTAGGTCAAAGTACCGTGACTCCTGAAGGAAGTAGCAACTAGACCCCCCTCCCATGCAGGATGCTGGTTCGCCTCCCATGTGGTCGAAATGGGGCCAAAAATGAAAGATGGCTATCGACAAACTTTTTTTTTAAAAGAGGTTGAGGGAGAAAACGACTTTTCAGTAGTCAGATTAAGCATCAAATGTAGACCCCACACGTGGAAAGATGCTCAGAGTTTAGGCTTATTGAATGCGGGAAAGTAAGAAAAAAACGGAGGGGGAAATATTTCCAGTCCAATCAGTCCAGAGTAGTTTGATTCAATAGGGCATCCGCTCTCTGGAAGATACAACCTGTTTTACCCTACTGCATGTACTCTATACACCACACATATCCACAAATATCCACCTCCATCCCGATAAAACGCCCATGTGGTAGTGACGTGTGTTACTTTCGGTAATAGATCTGAGACAAAATTAATTAGTATTGTTCTTGTCACATCTTGAGGTCATTGAAGGCACTTACTCTTTTGAACTGGAAATGAAGCTGGAGAATACCCTGTCACACAGAGGACGTTAGTGCTTCCTGTTGAAAGAGCGGTCAGATAGGTATGTATGATTTTTCTTACCTTGTCAAATGTGCTCTTGAATCCCCGTTCGCGCTTCGCGCTATAATCCCATTCCTTATCAACAATGCGGAAGGCAATATCTTCATATGGAGCTCCTGCCATAAACCGAATAAGACAGGTGTCTTCCTCTCCAGCTTCGGCAGAAGACTCTCCACGCTTGCGACCATTCTCTCGCTCAATGCGATATGTTGGAGCTTTAACCTTGTCGATAAGATCGGGATAGAAGATGTTGAACTTGTACCCCTGCACAACCTTTGGGGGCGGATTATCATGATCGTAATGTGTCTGGTTGTATTTATTCCACTCATAACCCATTTGTACTCGGTTAAAGTATCGTGGTTTGCGGGGCCGGTGCTTGCTAGCCCATTGGGGCTGCGTACCAGTTCCAACTGACTCTTCTCCAGTGAAAATCTCTTCGTTCTCGCTGACACCCTTGGCTAATTCTTTTTCATACAAAGCCTTGGTCGCTTGCGAGAAATCATCATTGGGGAGAGATGAAAACCTACTTCCAGTAGCAGGAGCAAGGGTCACACTAGAAGCAGGATTGGAAAAGGCTGTAGCAGGCTTGTCAGCCTGTCGCTGTCGCAGAGGAACAAATCCCATGCGCAGAATCTTTTGGCGTTCTTTGGCCTATCAAAGAAGAAAATAGTTTAGTATAGGGGCTTTCGAGAGCATATTCCGAGGACTTACCACTTGACGAAGAAGGCTAGATTCATCCATGATCTCCAATCCTTTATCCTCCGCGCGCACCTGCAGCAATGGGTCTGGATCCAAGCCTTCGAACTCGGCTGATCGAGTAGAGTCTTGGTGGCACTCACTCTGGATGATAGCCGGTGCAAGGGGAGCTAGCTTTTCCCGCACAGACTCCGCCTCTTCTCGCTGCTGCTTTCTTAAATCACGAACGCGTTCATCGATCACAGCTTGAAAGACGTTTCTTAGTCTGGCCCGGGCTTTCCAGATTGTTAAGCTGCGTAACAACTCTTCCCAGTAGTCCGTGTCGATAGGTTCATTTGAGTTCAATTTTCTCCTTACTTGGACCTCCAGATTTTGGAGCTGCTCGTATGTCTTCGGGCTCAGTAGCCGGTTGATGTCAGCAGCCACGGAGCTGAGTGCCCGCCCTTCAGGTGCTGAAGTCTTCTGGCGATCTCGACAGATAACTTTCATAGTCTGTATAAGGAAATGTTAGCATAAATCCATACATTGAGCATGGCGATGAAGCCTTCAGTACCTGCCAGAAATCGCGATTCTGCGCATTTGACTCCAATTTAAGGAATGTCTCGATCTCGTGCTCCAGATCCTGAAGCTCGGTTTGTGACAACCCTTCAAACACCCCATCTGGGTCCACAACATCAATCTCCGAGTCGGCAATCTCGTCATCCATAGGGTCGCGTGTGGGATCGATCACTCGAAGTGTAACCGTGAGCCAGTCGATGGGCTTCGCACGCCCTTCCTTCACTCGGATCTCTGCCTTTTTCTTGGCTTGCTTCAAGACAAAGATGTCCTCCTGCGCCACCCATTCCCGCGCCTGCTCGTCTTCTTGGATCTGGTTGAGCCGCAGTTGATCACGCATGTCTCGGGGCTGGTTTGATTGGCGCGATCGGCCTTGATCCCATCCTCGGTTTGAGTCTTGTCGGTCATCGGGTCCGCGGGGGTGCTTATGGGGTTGACGCCAGGATGATGGGGATCGCGATCGGCTGCGCTTCGCGCCCCGGTCGGGTAGTCGCGCGGACATTCGGCGCGGGTGTGTAAAAATGGGCTCTAGGGTGGGTGTCTCAGTTGTGGCAGGGAGTGTAGGCGGTGGTGGTGATACAACGCCCGGTCGCGAGGTTGAGAAAAGTGATGCGGCTGATCGGCGGGTGCGGCGAAGTTAGCTCTCCGGCCCCAGGCAACCCCGGGCCAAAGCTCAACCTTCGTATGACGCAGGGTGCGCGATCTTTTTCATCCACCACAGATGATTCTCAGAGATGTCTTCATCATGGCGCAAGTTATCTTTACAGGCGGAATCACTGCCGTCGCTAATTTTTCAGTACACCTGGACCCGTGAAGGCTATGAGCTCTATCTCACTGACCTCACTTCTATCTGGTCAGAGCAACTGTGTCGCAAGGATATCTTCAAACGCGCCGAACAGGGACTCACCACTATTGACCCCAGTGAAGGAGATGATCAGCTGGAACTTTTGCTCACAAAGATCGGGGAGGCACTTAGTGGTGCTGGTGGCAAGCCAGCACTAAACAGTGGATCCAAAGTTGATTCCATCGACATCAATATCAGTGCCAAACTCCCTGCCCCGCTGAGGCCCTTGAGATGGACATTACAATTATCGAAGGAGCCCACGTCATCTTTGACAAATCGCATCCTTCTCCCATTATTGGAAGATGAAGCGGCTTGGGAATTACGCCAGCAAGCGCTTTCGGATCAGCTTAAACAAAAAGACTGGGTTTTGGACAAGCTATTTGACCGGATAGAGGCTCTCGGCGTGGACATGAGAACCATTTTCCCAAGTGCCACTGGACTACGCTCCACTCGCAAAGGTGACACGCGGTCTGAGCTGGGAAAGCTGGTCAAAGGTGTGGCACAGTTTGACGAGAAGGCCTGGCTCGCCCGACAAGGCGGTTCTTCCGATACCTTCAATTTGGCTTCAAATCTAGTCCATGAAATGTTCGGTTCGAATTTTAAGAAGCGTCTCATGAGCTTCAACCCAGTGCGAGAACACTGGTGGGATGAGCTTGGCACATTCTCAACTACTACCTCCCAAGAGGAAACTGACCTAGCCTCCAAAGAACCAGCCTCCCTCTCCAGCTCAACAGAACAGCCAGTCAAATCTTCAGAGCTAGATTTAGATGATCTGGCAGATACAGCGGGAACCACCGACTCTGAATTTGAGGTTTGTGAACCCTTCATTCTCGCCCAATCTTAATGCTTACGCAATCTAGCAACATGAAGAACCTCCTCGGAGAAAGGCCTCAGTCATAAAGACCAAAGCCTCTTTGCCACAGCCAAAGCCAATTTCAAAGAAGGGTCCCATTCAAGCTCAGGCCGATAAAGGCAATGGATCAGCAGCGTCCGAATCAGAACCAGATCTCGATTCGATAGCCCCCGCTCCACGAAAAACCAAAGCACCAAGCATCCCCCCGGAACCAAAGCCTACAACAAACCCACCCAAGAAGGCTATTGGTAAGCTCGGTGTCATCGGGGGCAAGAAAAAGCAACAAGAGGAGCCACGACCACCCCCTTCTCCATCACAGGATCCAATCCCAGCGCCTCCGAGCCCGGTCAGAGATGGCGAACCCGCTCACGAGACCGCACCTCTGCCCTCACCAGCCAAGGCTAAGAAGCCTTCGAGACTAGGCGTTATAGGCGGCAAAAGCAAGGCAAAGCGTCAGCAAACACCGCCGCCTGAGTTTCCCACTCCGCTGCCAGCTCATCGATCGCCGACCAAATCACCTAAACGTGAGCATGCATCCCCAGAACGAACAGTTCAGAGTCCTCCGAAGAGAGAAAATCCTGCCGAACCTGCTGTCAAAGCACTCCCCGCAGTCATCGAGACGGAAGAGGAGAAGGCGAGTCGGAGACGTGAGGAACTGAAACGTCAGATGGAAGCTCAGAGTAAAGCACCGGCGAAGAAGAAACGGAGGTTTTGATCTATTCGGATTGCTACGAGACATACGGAAAGTAGAGGGAATTAACATATTGGAAATATCGGATTACTTGTAGAGTGAGTGATTGAATTGAAATGAATTGAAATGAATTGCCTTTCGACAGGGGGAATCAAAAATAAGTTCCACGAAGGAAACCGAACAAGAAAAGACTCGCTGTAAAAAAAAAACCAAAAAAGGAGGTCAAAAACCGAGCTCCCATACTCCGGGCTTCTTCGAAGCAATGCGGTTGGAAAATCTTGGTAAAAATACAAACCATGCAACAAATAACCAGATAAGTTGCAGGTTGCAAAAGCGAGATTGCCGAAGAACAGACAATCTAGGCAAAGCCCCCGTACCACTACACTACTCTTGCGGCGCAGCATTAGTTCGACCTGAAGGCGCTCTTCGCCTTCCATGCTCGACGGGCGTGACGAGCCTCACTCTTTTGGGCGAAACGGCACCAGAGGAAAGGGCGCTCTGGCTAGTAGCAGCAGAGTTCCCCGAGGCGTTCGACACAGCAGTGTTTTGGCCCGTCGCAGCAGCAATACCTGCCGCCCCAAGCATACCCCGAACCTTCTCAACGGCCTTGCTCTCGCCCTTCGACCAAGGATCTCGCTTCACGAGACCCACGCCGGAAGAACGGCTGACGGAGTCGCGACGCTTTGACTCGGTAAGGAGGATCTGCCGGTTCGATTCGCGACGTGGGCCGGGCCCGCAGTCATGCATGCAGCCGGGCGTGGCGCAGCCGCCCTCACTCATAGAAAGATCGCTGAGCCAAGTTGTGATGCAGGTGACATGGCCGCCATGGCCACAGCCTTGACACCATGACCAAAGAGCCGAGCCTTTCGGCCTCGGTGTGGCGAAAGATTCGAAAGCATCGAGCTCGTTGGCGGGAATAGGCTCAGTGGGGAATGAAGATTTCGATGAGAGGCGTAAAACGGTATCGGCATCGGGTTCCGACGGCATCATGCTTTGGTCTTTCATTGAGTGTTGTTGGGATTCAGCTGCAACCCATTCAGGGGGCGGGTTGATGCTTGAACAGATTGCGCAAGGTGATTGTGGAGTGTTGCAACGATGACAGCGTGTGTTGTCGCGTGTGGGGTTCTCGTATGGTCGTTGGCAGGAGTGGCAGAAAACATTCATGAAAGTGTCCGCCTGGGCATAGTCATAGACGGCAGGGTACTTCGACACGCATGACAGGCGAAGCTCTGCAGCCTCCAAATCCAGCGAGTGGCGGATCAGAAGATCATTGTAGGTTTTGAAGATCATCTCGCACTCTTCATATGGAAGAATATCATCGCAGTCTTCAAATATGATATGAAGCTTGTGGAGCAAATGGGCAGCAGTTTGGATGTCCACAGAGCTGCTACTGCTGTGGTAATAGCGCACTGTCTCTTTCAAAATAGCTTCGATGCTCCATGGCTTTGGATCCGATGCATCGGGCGTAAGCGGAAGTCTTACTTGAGAGATATCTTCGCAGATGCCAGCGACTACAGGACAGGCCGCTACACCTGTGGAAACCCCATTCCTTGAAGACTTGAAGTGATCCTCGCTTTCTGGGTATTTGAAGGGGGTCGACTGCTTCATTAGCGGGGCAGGACTAGATGGTCGCTCAAGATGGCCACCATCCTCCTCGAGGACAGAATCTTGAAGTTCCAAACTATCTTCAAGCTCCTCCTGGGTAGGCTCTAGAGTAGATTCTCGCCTCGCGAGAGAAGAAAGCCTTCTACCGTTGAAAGAACCACTAGCTTGGCCAGCATCCGACATCCGACGGTCGGAAAATTGCCCATTGGAGGAAAACGAGGCTCCTAGAGATTTGGAGGGTTGTGAACTGTCCGTAGATGCGGAGAACATTGGAAAACTCTCTGAAGAGTCACGCCGCTGGTAGCGCTCTGTGGTGGGGGGGGCGGTTGGATTCCAACGTCAAAACTTTCTTTGGAGTTTGCTTGAAGTCACGAATTGCGTCTCGTTTATCTTCCATCTGTTGGTCATAGTCGTCTTCAGATGCTTGTCGTAGCAAATCCGGGGGATCTCGACGGCGCCAGTCTGATCTGCCTGCAATAGCTCTGGGCGCAGATCTTTGGTCACTATCCGAGTCTGCCAGTCCTGGCTCCCGCAGATAGTCAATAGGTTGACCCGAAGCATATATCCCTTCGCTGGAAGTGGCGGATTGTTCTTGTCTAAGTGCTGCAGGAGCGGGGGCTTCGGGGCCTGACATGCCCCAGCCGTTATGAGAGCTTAAAACGGACGGTGGGAGTGGATCGAGGTCGATGGCATTTTCACTGATGGACGGAATTTGAGAGTCACTGTCCGTCCAAGAGTCCATGGGTGAGTCGGGCAACGGTTGCGCAAGTGGGGTAGTCATGTTCGATGTACTTTCAGCTTCTGTGGTGAGTCCTCTCTGTCCCTCCGTTTCCATAACACCCTTGAACAACCGACTCTTGACTTTCCCGTGTCGATTTTCATCTACCATCAATTGAGCCTTCTCTGGCAAGATTCCATCTTTGGATTGTCTGCCGTTCGCGGCGCCTTTCCCTGCAGGCTGCTCCCTCGACCTGTGTTGTAGCTCTTGGATGATAGCGAATTTTACAATCCGCCAAGTCTGTGCGAGTTTGGGGAGAGAAATGTCATCCGCACGCTCCGCGTTATGGTCGAGAGACTCCATGAGAGAATTCAATACATCTACATGGGTTTGGTTGTGAATGTTTTCATCCATCAGCGGCGAGTAGTGCCGCGCCAAGAATCGGAAGAGGGATGCATCATTCGTGGCACCAGGAATGCTTCCGATAGTTCCAAACTGACTAGGGGTAGGGGTGGAGATCTTGGCTAAAGCTTCTTCGAGGTCGAGAACGGGGATGCTGTCTACGGCTCCGGGTGGGGTGTTGCCGAGCGATTTCGATCCGGAGATCGTTGTGGGGGCTTTGGACTGTCGCGGCCGAAAAGACGTTGCAAGGACGGCTTCGTCGAGGAAATCGTCTGCTGGGCTTTGACTCAATGATATATCACCAGTGCTAAACTGATCGTCATCATTGAAGGGAAGAGATTGAGTGGTGTTGACGTTGGGAGGTTGTCGCCTCAGTCGTCTCTGGCCAAAAGCCACAAACTCACCATTGGGGCTCCAAGCGACCGAGCACATGGGGCGACGCTTGATGACTGTTGGAGAGTACCGAACATCTGTTTGTGTGAATGCCCCGGCCTCTCCGACCGTCCATAGCAAGTCCTTGGAATGCCAGAGTAGATCCGTGGCCGGAGCATCATATCGGTCAAACTCCCGGAATGGCATATGTGGGCGGCGGAGATCCCACAGGTGGAGGCGTGGATCCTCTTTGTCATAGGACGTGACAATCTGGGAAGACTGCCACTCCCCCGAAGCGGGCGAGTCACCCACCCATGAAGGTGGCCGCCAGCGGACGTTGGTAACGGCCTGGGGGGTCCGGAACTGAAACGCAGGTTTCTGTCGGCGCTCGGCGGAGGAGGAGAAATCCCAGACCTTGACTTGGCGGTCTGTACCACCACTGACGATATGCTTGCCATCAGGATGCCAATCAACAGCATAACACGGACGATCGTGAGCCGCAATCCTCATGAGCGGGGCGTTGGTCTTGCGCGAATCCCACATCTGAATGGCGCCGCTGTCCGAAGCGGTCGCAAACACGACACCGTCAGTGGGAGACCACCGGACGTCCCGGATGGCATCGCTATTGCCCTGATAGACATGCTTGCTGCCGCACGTGGAAGGCCCCCGATTCGCAGAGGCGGATCGTAAATCCCACATCCGAATTGTGCCATCTTGGCTGCCGGACAGCAGCCAAGATGCGAGATGAGGGTTGAAGGCCAGTCGGTGAACCTGGCGGTTGTGGCCCTGGAAACGACATAATTGGAGGCCGGGCCGCTGCAGGTCGTAAACGACGACCCGGCCATTGGCGACAGCCGTAGCGATTATTCGGTCGTAATTACCATGTGACCACTTGACGTCCTTCACGTTCAACTGGTCTTTATGCGGCATCGACACGCCCGCATCATGATGGGTGGATGCATAGCTGATGACAGTATTGCGAATATTAAATTCTTCCGATGAGTGATCAGGCGAGACTCGGATGGTTTTGAGGATATCCTTGCCTCCGATCACCGCATGTGTCCGCTGCGGCGAGATATCAAGTGCGGCGATGGCAATGCCGGTCCGGTGGGTAACTGTCTGAGGTTCGCCTGGTCTGGTGACGTTAGGTTGTCATTGGTCGATCTGAATGTGATATAGCAGGAAGGTTGATGTGATCCGATCTGGCAGAAGCGGGGAATGAGGAGTAGAGATATGGGGGGGGAAAGCGGAAGAGAGGGATCGTGGAACAGAAGGTGAATATGAAATCCAAGGGAGCTGATTGATTGTGCGATTGAAAGCACGAGCGGTGTGAAACGGCATGCAGCACTTACAGAGATTTGGACCTGATCGGTCTAGGGCCATCGACCCGGCTATTCTGAGGACTGGGGGGTCTCGATCCCGAAAAGAAGGGCTGAGCGAAGCGGGCTAACGCGTTCGCAGCGCGTGAGTACTTCTGGGTCGGCGGCGGCGGGGGAGGAGGGGCAGGTGAACGTGACCCTGAGAGGTCTGACATTGCTCCTCAGGTGGCCATTGGGGGCACACGACCAGTTGTCATGAACGGAGTGGAGGGGAGGGGGGGGGGGTTGGGAAAGTGAATGCGCCGAACGGGGTTGCGCAAGCGGTGAAGGGGGGGGTGCTTTGTGTAGATTCTCCAGCTTTGAACTTGGAACCTTGGGCGTCCGTTGGGCATGGCCAGGAGCGGTCTAGACGCCAACACATAAGAGATCAGATTGGAATTTTTTTGAACACTTTTCACTGCAGGACGGCCCGGCCAGAGATGTGAGGCAACAAAGGGTGGAGTGGGAGGTAGGTACCTAGGTATCAAAGGTACCCTCCATGTCATGTCATGTCAAGCAGCATAGACGCGGACGGACCCACGATAGATTCCATGGACCGGTTTGATCAGCTCATGTCTCAGTTTTCGGATTTGCGGGAGTCCAATGATGGGACAGCCCTGGAGTATCCTGGTCATCGCCCCTGATGGCAAAATCAAAGTTGACTAGTTTGACTAGCTGACGAGGGGGAGAGGGGGGGGGGGTGGACTACTCCGTAGAGGGAGGGGGGCGCAGTCCAATCCAACGAATCTGATCGGACAGGTCCAAGGGTTGCTTAGGGCGTTGCACATCACTTGGATCTAGATCGAGGTCGATGGTGCATCTGATCGCAAAGAAAGTACCAGTGAGAAGTATGTAATAGGCATGTGTATAACCAGATATTTATTTGGATTATTTTTAGAGGTCATTCCATGGTCTACCACAACTTTAGAATGGTTGGATAGTACTATTTATAAGAATAATAGGTACTACTAGTATTACTAGTACTCCAAGGTTTGAAAGTTCACTTGTTAAACCTTGGACGGTTGATACTCTGAATCTTGGAAGTCTTGACGTATGCAGACCGAGTACGACAACGACCAACACTACTACCTAGGTAGTAGCACATATAGTAGTAAATATTCTCCGTTGATATATAAAACCCATCACATGGAGGCCCATGAGATCTTCTCTTTTCCTTTTCTTTCTTCCCGCTCTTCCTTGAAATATCATATCTATACCTCGGTATTCTCATACTACCAACTACACTGCTAGGAGTAGTGTTTACCTAGGTCCGAGTCAGCCCTGGAGTCTAATGATCTTCGGTACTTTTTAAACTGGAGATTACCAGTTCTCCCACCTCCATCACTTCCTACAGAAGTACTACTCGTACTGTAGGAGTTACTATCCTGAAAATTCCAACCTGGTCCATCGGGCACCATTGCTCAACTCTGCGGCATCACATTTGATTTCCGACGCGGCTTGGAACCTAAGGCATTTGGCAAACATCTCGGAGTTAGGAAATTCCATGCTCGAATCCGATTATAAAAGACCCCGGGGGATCATACTATTGCCGGTGAGGCGAGTTGGTCTTTTGTTCTATACGTACTAGACTCCTCAGTGGAGCCTTTTTACCTTAGGTAGCTGCAGCCTGCATCCACACCGTCATTCTGGATGTTACTAGTAGTATACTACTCTTAGTACTTCCAGAGTGCATTACTGCAGTACTCCATACACCTTGAAGCATCTTGGACACCTCGATTTGTGATTTTGAATTCTCTGAATTCGCCACTCTTTTTGGTGTTCCACTTTCAGAAAGCTAGAAAGCCGTCCACCATCTCTGCTCAATTTTTGGTTCCTCCTTTTCCCCCTCCTTTCAAGCTTCTCTTCCTTCTCTTCCAAGGTTTCTCTCTTCTCTCTCTCCCCACCCACTTCCGTCTGCAACTCCCCGCCCTTTCTTTTTTAACCAAACATCTCAAAAAAAAAAAAGAAGCCAAGAAAAAAAGCAAAAAAAAGAGAGAGAACAACCTTCTCAAAGAAATTAAACAACGAACCTTGATTAGCTTGAAAATCGATTGCTCTAAAAAAGCTCCGACCCTCGTGGGGAGTACCATTTTCGCCATATCCCCGCGTCCGTCCGCATTCCTCGCGTCGATCCTTTTTGGCCACCAAAAAGGTCGTTTCCGAACCCGAACCCGTTCTTCCTCTTTCCTCCTTTCGGTTCGGGGACACCGCTGTGTCATGGAACTCATCTGAATATCACTCTTTCCTTTTTCTCCCTTTTTCCTTTCCTTTCCCTTTTTCTTTTTTCTCTTCTTTTTTTCCTTTCCTGATTCCGGGGAAAAAGAGGAGTGGCAAAAAAAAAAAAAAAGAGAATAATACGGCTCGGCCATCATGGATCCTGAAGCAGCTCGCGAGCTGCTCGACTACCTCCGAGCATGTTACCCGGTCATCCTCCTCCTCCTCTTCGTCGTGGCCTTTGTGGCCAACACTATGGTCCTTGCTCGCAATGCCAATCAAGAAGATGCGGAGAATGTCGGTCCTGGTGGACGTGCTCTTCCCCGACGGGCCCGTAGCCCGACCCCGAAGAAGACGCAGACTTTCTCCCGCACTGTCAAGCATTGCTTCAACTGGCTCTCAGTTGGAGTTCTCTTGACATTCCTCGCTGATGCTTCCATCTATGTCGCCCATGTGGTGATTGCTAGATCGGAACAATGGTGGCGGGGTCAGTCGGTAGTGGTAAGTTGGGAAGTCGCCCCCCAAGGGGGGTTGGTTCATGCGGGCGAAATTTGCCGACATCTCCAAAGATACCAAAGCTAACCAACCCTATCGCAGATCTACATCGTTGGCTCTTTTTTCGACTACGCCGTGATTCTCATGACCCTACTCGATACCACCCCATCCCCTACTCCCGCTCAACTCGTTTGTTGGTCCGTCGCCATCCCCTTCGAATTGGTTATCCTTAGCACCTCCCTGTCGTTTTACACTTCGCCCCACCATGAACCTATTGTTGGAGATCCCAAGGGAGGTCGACTTCGTAGGAGTATGACCGCATGGGAAAGCATGGAAGTGGTCTCCAACAGTATCCGTATATTCTTCCTCTTCGCTTTGGTCCTCCTTTATATCTGCAACTCCATCAACTTCAACAAGAATCATAACCAACATGCCCTTCACGGTGTGAATGGTGCTTCCGAAACTACTGGGCTTCTAGATTCTGCCGGGGCAGAGAATGGTCACACCAATGGCCACACCAATGGCCACGCTTATGGCTCGACAAACGGGGCCCCTCGTTCGGAAGCGAAACCTCAAGATCCTTGGGTACGCCCAACTACGATGCCCTCCACAAGTTGGTGGGAATATCTTAGGGGTTACTCCCTGTTCTTCCCATACCTGTGGCCATCCAAGTCCCGGCGTCTTCAGATTGTTGTGGTAGCTTGCTTCATTCTGGTGGTCCTTCAGCGAGTTGTCAATGTTTTGGTCCCAAACCAAGTCGAAAGGATCACTACAGCTCTGGTGGACCAGCAAAACTCAAGCACATTCCACGTCCCATGGATTGAGATCTTTCTGTACGTTCTCTATCGCTGGCTCCAGGGTGGCCAGGGCTCGCTGAGCTCTTTACGCTCCAGCCTCTGGATTCCGGTCAGCCAGTATTCTTATATGGAGCTTTCCACCGCTGCTTTTGAGCACGTGCATGGGTTGAGTCTCGACTTTCATCTGGGAAAGAAGACCGGCGAAGTGCTTTCGGCATTGAGCAAGGGCAGCTCGATCAATACGTTTTTGGAACAAGTCACATTCCAGGTTGTCCCCATGCTGTTCGATTTGATCATTGCTATTGGGTATTTCTTGGTTTATTTCGATGTCTACTACGCCCTGGTTGTCGGTATTTCCACTTTTGGCTATCTTTATGTCACCGTCCGCATGGCACAGTGGAGAGCTGAGATCAGAAGACAAATGGTCAATGCTTCCAGACAAGAGGATGCTGTCAAGTACGTTGATCTGTTCACGATTTTTTTCTGTTCCTTCTTATCTCGCTGAGCAGCACTGACATTTCACTCACAATCCAGGAACGATTCAATGGTGTCTTATGAAACGGTGAAATACTTCAACGCGGAGCAATACGAATTCAACCGATACCGTGACGCCGTTCATGAGTACCAAAAGGCGGAATACCACGTTCTATTCTCACTGACACTTCTCAACACCTGTCAGAATACTGTCTTCATGATTGGTCTACTCCTCACCTGTTTCATCGCCGCATACCAGGTTGCAACGGGCCAGCAGGATGTTGGCCGTTTTGTATCTTTGTTGACCTACATGGCCCAACTTCAAGGCCCCTTAAACTTTTTCGGCACCTTCTATCGTTCCATTCAATCTGCTCTGATCAATGCTGAGCGCATGCTGGAGCTTTTCCGGGAACAACCTACCGTGGTTGACAACGAGCGTGCCACCGCGTTGGGTACGTGCAAGGGCGACATTCGATTCCAGAATGTTGAATTTGCCTATGACGCACGGAAACCTGCATTGAATCAGTTGTCATTCCACTGTGAACCAGGAACCACCACCGCTCTGGTTGGAGAATCCGGTGGTGGCAAGTCGACGGTGTTCCGACTCCTGTTCCGCTTTTACAATGCCGAGAAGGGCTCATTGCGTGTCGACGGCCATGACGTCCAAGACATTACCATCGATTCTTTGCGTAAACATATTGGAGTGGTTCCGCAAGATACGGTGCTTTTCAACGAGACACTGATGTATAACCTGAAGTACGCGAACCAGGGCGTTTCTGATGAAGCTGTCTACCAGGCCTGCCGCGCTGCTAGCATCCATGACAAGATCATGGCATTCCCCGATGGCTACAACACCAAGGTTGGAGAGCGTGGTCTTCGACTCAGTGGCGGTGAGAAACAGCGTGTGGCGATCGCCCGCACTATCCTCAAAAACCCTCGAATTATTCTTCTTGACGAAGCGACTGCGGCACTTGATACCGATACGGAGGAGCATATCCAGCGGGCGCTCTCCACCCTCTCTCACGGCCGAACTATGCTCGTCATTGCTCACCGTCTCAGTACTATCACGACAGCGGATAAGATCATTGTCCTAGCGGACGGCCAAGTTGCCGAAAGCGGTACTCATGAGGAGCTCCTGGCCATGAAGGGCCGCTACGCTAGTATGTGGCGGAAGCAAATTCGTGCACAGAAAGCCGCTGCAGAGGCGCAAGTCCTTCAAGATCGTGCAGAGCGTATTCGAAACGCCACCAATAGCGATGACAGCTCCAGTCAATCAGACGAAGACCGGAATGGTACTACCCGTACCGCTCACTAAGGCCTTCCTTCCGTGGTCGGCCTGTATAGACTCCACAATTTGCAACCACTCGTCCTTCCACACTAATTCTGTCTTTCAATGTGTGCATATGCCCTTTTTTATAATACTTTTGACCGAGGAAACCAAAAAAGTGTGGGGACGTAATGTGGTTTGGAAAAGTTGGAATGGCATGAGTTTTAGGCTGTTTTGACACAAGCTTTTTCCTCTGTCACCCTCTTTTTGTTTTCGTTTCGGGTATTTCATCTTTTGGTGCCTGGTTTGATTTCCCTTGCGATTCATTCTATTCTTCATTGCAATTCTTGGCGTTGTGGGATTTACGAAGCGTATGACACGGTCCTTGTCCTTGTTTCATATCGACCTGGTGCAGTACGGTCACGATTGGGACACCCGGAAATAAAAAAACTAGATTAATCACTAGGGCCGCCGACACGAATACATTAATACAAAGGATATTCAATTAATTATGCGCGAGCAATTCAGATTTCTGGAGCAGTCAAGGTATTCACTGAGATGCTAGATACTAAGATCCTAGTAGCTAGGTATGAAGGAGTAGACGGTCGAGATGCCAAGGCCTGGTACTTTCTCGTCAGCCAAGATTTCCCCAACTTCCTAAGTTCTCCGCCAGACTTTCCCAACTCCATTAATTAATCGCCCAACATACTCTTCACCGATAATCTCGCTACCTTTGTCCACAATGCATTCTCCCTCACCTCAGCTTCTCCGCGCCCTACGCACGTCTCTCTCCGCCTTAAGCCCTCTCCGCCTCCGAGCTAACGCATCTCGATTTCCTCGCGCAACCCCGTCATCAAATGGCCCGCTCTGCGCCTCTGTCACCACCCCGTTTTCCATCCCATCCACCTACCGCAACAATAGTTCAGTTAGCCGCCCCTCCCGACTAGTCTCACGATCCCACACGCACAAGCCCACATCTCCCGACCGCGGCCCAGAGTCTCAAGAAGATACTCAGACAGATTTCGACACGCTCGACGTACTAGCAGATGCCGCAGCCCCTGCAGCGGCGATCGACGCCACGCTAGACACCGGCTTCGATCTGAGCAATGGGGTCCGAATGAGGAACGGCGACGCGCTGCTCCTGGTCGGTGGCGAGCCGTTTGCGTGGCGGCCGTGGAAAGCCATCAAAGGCGCGGCGAATGACCAGGCGGCCAAAGCGGCTATGGTCAACGCCAAGGGCCAGTTTGAGCTGCCTGAGGAAGTCTGGGGCTTACTGAGTGTCGTGTGGCCTCGTCCCGGTACGTGAGAAAGTTCGATAGAGCGTCAGTTAGTCACTCGGTCATGGGTCGCCTTGTTTAGGCGCATCGGGTGATGAGGGCTCGTTTTCCCTTGGGGGTGCTACGACGCTAGAGTTGAAACGAAACTATATATACATCGGTTGCCTTTTTTTTTTTGTTGCTGGGCTGACGCTGACGTTTCGTAACAGATATGCTTATTCTTGGTCTCGGTGATACTACGATGCCTTTGTCACCTGAGACTAAGCGTCATATTAATGCCCTGGGCATTCGAGTGGAGATTCAGGATACCCGGAATGCTGCTGGGCAGTTTAACTTGTTGGCTACGGAGCGAGGTGTCGAGGAGGTCGCCGCGGCAATGATCCCAACCGGGTGGAAGCCACGGACTAAATAAGGCGAACAGAGGATCCTATATTTGGGCTATGAAAGGAGAAATCTCCAATCTCATGTACAGTACTCCGTAGTGTTATAATAATTGCTGCACCTAAACACAACTTAATTCATGATCACGTGATTAATAAGGGTCCCCTCGCCCGCCTCTCGACTACTCCACACTTTGTCGGGGAACCATCTGGGAGTTTAGAGCTGTGCCTGGGCTCTTGACGACTTTATAATCACTCATCATGTCGCGGGACGAACCACTTCTGGCCCCGCGTGTCTCGTCTGAGCGTTCATCTATTCGGTATGCCGAAGAAGAAGATGCCCTGCTTACGGGGGAGGCAACAGGGCATACCGAAGCCCCTCGACGAGGCTGGCGTCGTTGGACAGAGATCGGCCTCTTCGCCTGGGCACTTATCGCCACAATTATTGTGATTGTCCTCGCGGTAGTTTACCAGCATGACTCGTCGAAGGACCACGCCGGCCCCCCGAAGGATCACTGGGGCCCTGGGGCCAAGCCGACCGGCAAGCGCAACTTGATCTTCATGGTGTCGGATGGAATGGGACCGACGAGTCTTTCAATGACGCGAAGCTTCCGGCAACATACCGAAGGCCTGCCTATCGACGACACCCTCATCCTGGACCAGCACCTCATCGGTCAGTCCCGCACACGATCCAGCAACAGCCTGGTAACGGATTCCGCCGCCGGAGCGACAGCCTTCTCGTGCGGACACAAGAGCTACAACGGAGCCATCTCGGTGCTCCCCGACCACTCCCCCTGCGGAACTGTTCTCGAGGCAGCTGCTCTGGCTGGATATAAGACTGGACTGGTTGTGACGACCCGTCTGACGGATGCGACTCCCGCATGCTTTGCCTCGCATGCCAATCTGCGTCAATACGAAGACAGCATCGCTCAACAGGAGGTGGGCGAGCACCCTTTGGGTCGGGTTGTCGATCTCTTGATGGGCGGCGGCCGATGCCACTTCTTGCCCAACTCCACCGAGGGAAGCTGCCGCGCTGATGACAGGGATATCGTGGGACTGGCCGCGGAGAAAGGATTCAACTACTTGAATGACCGCGCTGGATTCGACGCCCTGAATGGCGGTGCTGGAATCAAGCTGCCCTTGATGGGTCTCTTTGCCGAAAAGGACATCCCGTATGAGGTCGATCGCCGTCACCAGAACGATGTATACCCTTCATTGGAGGAGATGGCTCGTACTGCGCTAACTGCGCTGAGCGAGGCAACCCGGGACAGTGAGCAAGGGTTCTTCTTGATGATTGAGGGATCGCGTATCGATCACGCCGGTCACGGTAACGACCCTGCCGCTCAAGTGCACGAGGTAATGGCATACGACAGGGCCTTTAACGCCGTGCTCGAATTCCTGGAGAAGGACAGTACACCTGGTGTCCTTGTCGGTACTTCCGACCATGAAACTGGTGGTCTGGCTGCTGCTCGTCAACTCAACAAGGACTACCCGGACTACCTATGGTACCCGCAGGTTCTCGCTGATTCCAAGCACTCCAGTGAGTATGCTGGCAACAAACTCAACGAGTACACATCAGGAGAAGGAAAGGACAAGAGCGACAAGAAGAAGAAAGAGTATATCCTCCAGATCCTGAAGAAGGACCTGGGTGTTACCGATGCCTCAGACGAGGAGGTGGAACACTTGCTCCACCCTGACGTTTCCACGCAATACATCTTTGCAGACATCATCAGCCGTAGAGCCCAGATTGGCTGGTCCACTCACGGTCACTCCGGTAAGCAATTAGCTCGGGTGTGAAGCTTAGAAAGACCCATGTACTAATATCCGATTTCCCCAGCTGCCGATGTCAACATCTATGCATCCTCCTCTAAGAATGCCTGGCCACTAACAGGTAACCACGAGAATATCGAAGTCGGCCAATTCCTCGCGGATTATCTTGATCTCGACGTTGGTGCCGTCACCAAGAAACTCCGGTCTGCTGCCTACTGGACCGCAGAGGCAGAGGAGTCCCCCGATTTGGAGAAGTATAGTTGGATGGGCGATGCTCTTGGCTCCGATGTGGAGACCGATGGCTTGGACACGTACCACCACCAATTCAAGAAGCGATCTCTAGATGATTGCGGGTGCGGTGGACCTCACTAGGAAATGAATCTTTTCTTTGGGGCTTTCGGGATTTTCTTGTCATAAACTGGCGTTTTTGGGCGGGGCATTCTATCTACTTGGAACATTCTCTTTATACAATGGACATTCATAGAAATATAGTTCTTCGCTGTCGCTGCCTAAGGACAACTAGTAGCCACGGGAACAGTAAATAATACCAGTATAAATTTGTGAATAACACCAAAGTTCTGAAACTAATTACACTTGGGATATTGTCCACTCCATTTCAAACTTCCAAGGTTGTATGGGGTCCGAGCCAGGGGTAAAGCTTCGGAGTCGGGGTCGATGTACAAAAGAGCCCAACTTTGATTTCAATAAAATACAAACTACACAATGAATTTGATCTTTCTAGAAAGCCCTACGCCACAATGCATTTTAAAAAAATACCCACGGTAACCAGGTAGTCACCCCGAGCCAAGCTTAAGCCATCCTGGAGCCATGATTAACTCTAACAATACCAACCCCAATCCTAAAAACCCCGATCCTTACAAGAAGGGCAGACTTCCTCAATATCGCAATGCCATGAATCGATATTTGTCATATCCAGCGAGTTTCCCCTCCTAAGAGAGAAGCTTGTGACCGGCTGCCCCGTCCTACTATCCTTTATATACCGTGGATTGCAGTCCGGGATATCAGGGTTGAATGGGAGATCATATTTCTCTCGCTCAAAGGTATTGTTGATGCGGTTTAATTGACGTAATATTTGGGGGCAGAAAAGGTGGATTTTAAAGCAGGTGTGATCGCACGTGTATGTGTAGCCCTTGTACAGACACATGATTCTAGAGCTGTTAGATGGTATCTAGGCTGAGTTTGGGTAGATAGATTTTTCGCTGTAGCTAGAGACACTTACTACTAATTTGAATAGTGGAAGTCAGGAGATCAGATAATAGTTGATTTATTGCAGACGACTGCTCTAGAGGTACGGTGGCTCGATTGTGGTTGCAAGGCGAATTAATGGTAAGAGTAGATGACTACTTAGCCTATAAGTAGGAGTGAGAAATTATTACATGGGGACTATTTCGTTCGGTAACTTTCTACAATACTGTACCTGAGATTGTCTAAATGCTTCATGGAAGGAGTCAGCATTGACCAGTAAGTCGCAAAGGTGCAGCCCCGGGATTGAAATATTGTGCTCATGAGTGTCACAGCATATCGGATATAATCAGTTTGATCCTGCATGCTTAAGGGATCATCTCTGCAGGGAATTGATGGGGGTTTTAAAAAGAAAGGCAGTGTCAAATCTACCTAGGTAGGCTGGTTTGCAGGTATTTTGGCACTGGCAAACAAATGTCTACTGCACACATACATACACCGCGAGCAATATTCTGCAATGCTTTGGTTACTAGTAGTTCGATGTTTCCAGCCAAACCTGGGCTTTTCATCAGCACTATATTTCAAGTTCTAGTATCATTGAAGAGTTTGAACTTACATTGAAGCGGTTTGACTCCGCCATAGTGTACATCTTGCAACTTTGGAAGGCATCCATATAACTTCTCTTCTCATGAACTAGTATTAGCTACCGTGGTACTGCTACTACTAGTATACATATCGTCTTATTTCTTTGGCAAGATCATCTGCCATACTAGATACTTCAAATTATGAGCTCATTCTCTCCAATGCATAGGTAGGTATGAGTGGCCTATGCGGACCTAGTTTGGAGTACTACAATATCCGCCCTTATTAGGTACCTACCTTCAAGTTCGACCAGCCATTACTACCACGCCTATTTCCAGCTCTAGAGCGAATCTGCCCAGGCCAATTTAGAACAATACTTTGTTCTGTGAAGTTGCGGGTAGTAGGTACTACTGTCTTGATAGCATGACAAGTCGCCAATATCGAGCGAATACTATGATATCATGACACTATCTGGCTAAAACACGGTCTTAGGAGGAGCATCATGGCGTCACGATATTACAACCCCAGAATACGGGTGTAGAGCACGGATAACGATTACTTCGTAGATGTTACACGAGATATCAGCATTCCCTATGCGCAATGGCCCCCACGTGGACGTGGACGTGGACGGAATACGAGAGACGGGTGAAACAGTGGAGCTGGGGTGATCCTGCAGGGGCAATGCCACAACATCCAACCAGAAGAATCCTTCCCGTGCAGAAATCCACACCAGGAAATGCCCCTGCATATCAAATAGCTTGACTGAACGTCTGCTCTGTGGGGTGGAGTAGATCGAGTATACATATGAAAAGGGGCAGGGAGGCAGAGTTTGGACTAGTGTACGATCTACCGATAGTAGGAGAAGCAGAGCTAAGGTAACGAGAGAAATGTATTTGAGATAAGACCACCCATTATCACAGACCCAGGACGGGATATACGAATCCCGCCTGTGGAAAGACATTTTCCAAACATGTGCAGGAAGTCCCCGATTGGGGGAGTAGAAGTACATCAACAGGAACGTAATCAAACGGCGTGACCGTGGACGGAAATAACGCCGAGGTATTCAGAAGGACATAAGGATATAAGAGGGGACATTGGGAGAAAGCCATGAGACAGAGTCAGAAACGAAAATGAAAAGGAAAAAAAAGGAACCGAGGCACGGGTGCCAAAGATGGTGTTCATTAGGTTTGTTCAAAAAGGGACAAGTCGAGAAGCGGGGCAGGCAAAAGGACATGCTGGAGAAGGAAAAAAGATACACTCGATATGCATTGAATATCGAAAGAGAGAGAAGTATGAACTTTCGGTTATGGTTAGCCCGGTGGGGAAATTTACAGCGTCACCAGAACGACAACAGCGACCAGGACAGCGAAGAGCGATCCACTCAGGGCACGCTCGTTCACAGTAGTAGCACCGTTGCCAGAGCCACCCTGGCTGAAGCCAGTGGTGGTGGCAGCAGAACCGCTACCGCTGGAGGTTGAGCTACCGCTACCGCTGCCACTGCCGCCGCTGCTGCTGGTGGAGCTGTTGCTGGACATACCACCAGAACCACCACCGTTGTTGGTAGGGACGCTGTCACTGCCAGTAGCGGTGGCGCTGCTGCTGCTGTTGGCACCAAGGTCCATGTCGAGACCAGTGGCACCCAGGGAGCCCAGGACGGTGTCGTTGGCGGTGATAGCGATATCAGCCTCCATGGCGGAGTCGCTGGTATAGATGTAGGAGGTGTTGCCGGACTTCTTGGCCTCGGAGGGAGGATCGTAGCACACAACGTCGACCTCGGCGATGCTAGCAGCGTAGTAACCCTGGTCCTTGATGTCCTCGGAGTTCCAGTCAATTTCACCACCAGCCCAGTCAATGGTACCTTGGGCATTGCTGGCTTGACCAGCGGGCCAGAGAGACATCTGCAGGCGAGCGGGGGTCTGGGGGTACTGGTAGCGGTTGGCGGTCTCGTTCCAGGTGTCGGACTTCTTCAGGGTGCGCTTGACATCGCCGTCAACGATCCACTGGGTCTGCTCGGGCTGCCAGTCGATCTCATAAGTGTGCCAGGTGTCGTAGGTGTCTTCGCCGGTAACGGAGGCGTTGCCGCTGTTGTGCCAGTCCAGAACGCCCTGCCAGTAGTAGTTGGTCTGGACAGCAGTCAGGTCGGCACCGACCCACTCGTAGTCGATCTCGTCCTTGACATCGGAAAGTAGGATGAAAGCAGTGACAACACCCTTTCCACGGCTAGACTTGATCTTGCCGGAGATCTTGCCGTACCAGATATAGTGGTTGTTGGCGAAGAGGGTTCCAACACTGTTCTTGGGCATGGTGATGACCAGGTTGCCATCGTCGATCTTGGGGAAACCGCTGTAGGTCCAGTCGGCAGCGGAGGCGTTACCCAGATACTTGGTGTTCAGGACGGTGTCGTCGAGGTCGTCCCACTTGTAGCTCTTGTTCTCACAGACGGGCATGGGGGCGCAAGAGCCCACAGAGAAGGAAGCCTGGGGGTCACAACCGCCCAGACAGTATGCGCCAGTTCCACACTCACCATATTCTGTATCGCGGAAAGGTCAGTTGAATGCAATGGCAAATGCGACTGGGATTGGATGAGTACTCACGGGAGCAGCAAGGCTTGTCCTTGGGGCACTGGCTGCTGGCACTGCAGGAAGAAGCAGCCCAGGCGGTAGCCGACAGGGCCAAAAGGGAGGTCACGAAACGGACCATTGTGAGAGTATTATTTTATGTACTTTGGTTTGGGTATGTGGCAGGGTGGGTATGTGCGTTTGAATGAAACCACAGAATGTACACTTGGAAGGAAGGGGGAGGTAAATTTGCAAGGTTTGGGGGGATAAAACACCACAGACAAACGAGCGAGCTGTGGATATGAAGTAAAAATTGGAAAATGAAAGAGAAAAGAAGACCGAACGAAGGACAGCACAAAACTGTATTGGCGTTGAGGAAAGGAAGAAGATCTTCGCCCCTGGGAGGGGGAGCATCTTCTTTAGTAGGAGATGGTAATGCGATTACCAGGGCCTCACCCGATGGGTAAACAACCAGGGATTCATTGCGGGTGATGCTAACCTCAAATGGAAAACCCTTATCATGAAAACCAATGACAGCTAGGGATAACCACTGGGAAGTGGGCAAAAACGAGGGATTGGACTTGGAAGCAGACCATTGACATTGGCTACTCCACCGGTCCACCCCGGAGTCTGTGCGAGTTTGTCAATTACAATACCTGTATGGTACGGATATTCACTACCAGAGTATGTATTCTACCCTGATTTGTTCATACCTTGATTTGTTCATACCCTGATTTGTATAAGTGTATCAACTTGGTACTTGGAACCCTTGATTAAGTTGCAATCTGTACTCTGATCTGAATATTCTAGTAGATGTAAACATTGACATTATGATCGCTAGTATGAGTATCAGTAGTATCAGGATTCTAGTACAGATCAAGGTTTGCCTCCCTATGACCGAACTCGACCCATGCCCGTGCATCCACTGGACGCCACTTGAGACATTTCCACCCCAGGTGTTTGTGCCGATAACCATTGACATTACGCTTTTCTCTCTTCGAAAAATTCATCCTTTTCCCCACGCCTTGCGCCAGTACCCTGATTCACTGGGTACTGTGCTCCATATCACCCGATTCAAGCGAATTTCTCTGCCTAATCCCAGTACAACACTAAACTGGATCCATTAATCCTTGAATCCATTAATACCCTGGCTATTCATGCCTCCTCTGGAAGGTCGCCCACACCCGACCGAGTTCGCCACGGCTCTTCGCCCCCTCCGGAGCTCTCCACGGCGCTAACCGACCGGGCTGCACTCGCCTAGCTTCCTTTATGCATTACCAATTTCCTGCCCTTGGAATTTTGGAAGGAAGCCCGCGAGCCTTGGGGTAAAATACCAGCTTTTTTCATCCTGGGCGCCAACTCGCCGAGTTCGCTTAAGGACCTTGCCCAGTATTGCCCAGTATTGCCCAGCATCAGCCAAGTTGCCGGCAGGCTCGGCCAAGCATTGCAAGGGTGTGAGAACGCTTTCCAACGTGCTCGGCCTGCGAGATCGACTGCTACCCCCAAGCAACAAAAATCCGGCCCAGGAACGAGCAGCTGTCGATCCAGTACAACGGAACCTTGTTCTGCCCGACTGGCCACTGAGAGCGCCTACGGTCGCGCATCCACTCCCGGAGCTGCGCCGCTGATCGCTTGGGGAGCAGCTCTACTTTTCTTTGACTTTGCTCTTTCGGGGGCCAAAAAGTCAGGGGTTCCCAACCAGTAGTGGTGCTGCCTTAACTCCATACTCCATCCTCCGTACTTTGTAGATGGCTGTTCAAGGTCAGGTGCCCATCCCATCCCATTCCATCCCATCTCATTCCATCCCATCTCATCACCACAAGCCACTGCCAGAGCCCCAAGATAAAGCTCGATTCACGCGGCAACCACCACATTCCTTCTGGAAGAAATGTGAGTCCTCAACTTTTGTTTACTCGGTGGCTGTTTATGTCCGAGCCCCGGAATGTGTCACCAAGAGGCAAGGGAAGAAAGGAGGGGTGGAAACTATCCGTACAGAGTAAAAGAGGAGAGCACGTATGATGTAAGTATGGACAGTACCTATGCATGGCATACGTATTGATCAAAATTGGACCTGCATACAGACCGTGTGTATGTATGCAGTGTACAGCATACAGCATATAGCATGTGCGTATGTACTCCGTACCCCGTACATACTACATACATATGCATGCGCATGAAAGCAGAGAAATTGGACCTGTGATACCCACACAGTTAGAGACAGACGCGTCAGACAAAATGGCGCTGCAGTTGCACGCGCCCCACGACTTGTACAACCCGCACCACTATGTACGAGGTATCGTACGGTGTGATTGCTTATCCACATGCAGGCTAACGCGCTAGTTGGTGGAAATGAAGCCCGTGCCATCTTAATTGGCGAATAAGTAGGCTTTAAGGAGTATCATGAATATCACTATCTTACCTGAAACCATCTAATCTATTGGCTGTTTATCAAGTAATTAAAGATAGTCTCATTGAAGCAGTGGCGGTCAAGATAGGATGTGAATGGATCTTACAAACGTATTGGCTCTCATCAAGCTCCCTGATATTAATGAGAGTCAGCTGACTATCTGTCGGAGGATGTTCGTCTCGGCAAGTGCCGAGGTTTCAAATTTCTCGTCTTTCGTACGGAGTACATTTATCCGGATTATCTTCCTTTAGACAATGAGTTCAAGCAAATATAAGACATGAGGGGATAAATGCCCCGACTGGCAACCTCCTCATGGCACCTCTGTACTCCGGGCTACTAGAAGAATCCGGCATAAACATAGAAGTCATGCATTAGCAGGCCTTCAGATACTTTCCTTGATTCGTAACACTTGAACATTTAGATAGTCACAAAATGAGTTTATATTTGATTCATGATATCTCCTGGAAGACTTCTTGCGACACTAATGTATTCGTTCTAGGCGGCCTGGCTATACTAAAGCCGAAGCTACTTCTTGATATTCCCTGGCCATTAAGAAACAATGTCGAGAGAATGGGGGGGTTTCTCTTTTAAATTTTCCTCCGTGGTCGCTAAAGCAGACACTGGCAGTATTAAAGAGTAGAGTATTCCGACGAGCAGACGATATAGGAGCGAGATCGATCCGGAAAGCCTCTCGACAAACTAGCTCTTTGTTGCGAATTGCTGCAGATTATATTCGAAGTCACCGATCTTGACTGAATGGATGAAGCTGCTTTTTTTTGAAATAAAAGGTTTCATTTCGGCTTTGTGATGTTGCTTTCGTTGCTATTTGCTCTCTATAATTGCAAGATGGGGCCTAAGGGTTTTCCAACGCCGCTTGCTAGGTTGAGATACGGGCAAGCCAGCGGCTCATTCTTAGATGTGGCTCAATCGGAAACGGAATCTGGGCCGCATTGAGAAACGAAGCTTCTGCATGGAGAAGGCGGAACTAATAACATTCATCAACCGATTATGAGCGGGTTTAGTGGCATAGCTTGACCATCATGAGAGCCGATGTGTTGTGATAAAGGTGCTGCCATCTAATTTGCTGAACCTCCTTGAGATCTTGCCCAAGTGGTTATCTTCTGGATTATAAAAGCTTCGTATAACTTTTGATGTTGTTGATTCATATCTGATTCCAGCTCGGAATTGGTAAATCATATTATTCAAGAGCTGCTCGATCTGCCAGGGGAACTTCATCATCCGCGTGTTCATATAAGTCAAGTACTCTCAGCAAGAAAGCGTTCTTGCCGTATCTCTGCGATGCTCCGGGCTTCTCAACTCCGTTGTCATGTATTCGTACCTAGGTATGCCAGTGTCGTTTGATCCTGGAGGTTTAGGCCGACCGACTCTTTTTTCCACAATCAACCCGTTTCCCATATGGTATGGAATACATCCGTTTATGATATCATTTTAGCAAGAATAGAAAAGAATTATTCATCGCGTTCAAGTTGAAGCACGTTATGCAAGCTCCGAATTTTTCTATATTAAAATGTATCAAATTCATTACAGTCACAGTCTATCGCGTAAGCCAAGCATCAAACCTTTTGGCAATCTGTACACACCGTTCGTCGACGAACTTTGTGAATAACATCGAGACATACAGGTTGATAACAGAAATTATGGCAAATCCGACAATCCACGAGAATGCAAAGGGGGCTGTGTATTTACTCGCCTCCAAGAGTCCGGGATATGACTCTCTCGTAGCCACATACCACAGAAAACCCAAGATAGGGTCACGCACAATATGGTACACAGACTGGTGGACCAAGTAAAGAGAAAACGAAATCTTACCCAGATACTGGATAGGACGGGAATCCAACGGCCGCTGCAGAGCTGGGGATCTGCTTATCCCGTAAACGAGTAGCAATGAGCCTGTTGTCTTCCAGGTTTTGCTCACTATCGCCCAGTCGCCTTCCCAGCGAGACGACTCGAAGAAATTGAGGAATTGATACCCTGGTGGTAAAAAGCCATCGTCACTTAGACAGACTAGCCAGAAGCCAAACGTAAAACAAAAGAATGTTTGGATCATGGCAAGATTGATGCCCTTGAAGTTGAGAGTTGATGCCCAGAGTTTCTCTGTGTACAAAGGCAAACTGACCTCGTCCTCTGTTGAACTCGAGGATAAAACCCGCATTTCGGCAAGATAGAGACCAGCCAGGAAAGCAAATAGATCCCACTGTCCAAAGTAGAACCAGTATGCGGTCAGCGCTGCAATCGCAATACGTCTCATCTGCGGGCGCCAGAAGGCCAGTCCTAGAACTGTGATATAGACAACCAAAGACCCTCGGAATTCAAAGGGCATGGTCCAAAGCTGGCCGTTAAGACCTGGGTTTGCTTGAAAGTTGATGATATTCATGTTGTCAATCATGTAGCGAAAGACAAATTTAATGTGAAGCCAGGGCGCAGTCCAGGGCTTTCGACCCCACAGAGCATCATCGCCGAAGGTCCAGTTGTAAATATTAAAAAAGTAAAGGAACTGCGAAATCACAGTGATAACAAAGACAGGCAAGTAGATGCGAAAAATGCGGCGGGTGACAGCGGAAGACAGCCGGCGAACAAAGTCGGCAGGACTGCTCTTTCGCAACCTGAGAAGGTTGATAGATATGGCATATCCCGAAATAACTAGGAAAAGTGGCACCATCGCGTGTGCGGCGAAAAGGAGGCGAATGGGAGGCAGTTGAATTAAACGGCGATTCTCCTCCGGCGGGTCAGCCCAGAAGGATTGAAAGGCAGAGTCAAGCACGCCGCCCATGAAGTAGTGATCGGTGGCGACGATGGCCGCTGCGATGCCTCGAAGGCCATCGAGCCAGGTAGTGCGATCCATTGTCCTCATCCCCAGACGGAGAGAAGAGAGAAGTGTTGAAAAACAACTTTTAAAAAAAAAAGAGCATGTCTAGATGGGGTTAGCAATCCGTGGGAGGCCTAGCGTGTCTTAGCGGGGCCCGGGCTGAATTGCAACTCTTCAAACCCTGCACGCTGATAGACCCACCAGGCCAATCATTTCTGAGACAGTACGGAGTACATAGCCTTGAAGACAAAAATAATTTTCCAGCTTCTCGAGGGTCACGCCGGTCTTACTCCGCGGTGTAGTGGGGAGATAAATTTAGAGCCTCGCAAGCTTGCGGGATCGACAAAGCCGCTGCCCCATCGGCAACCGTCGGGTTTATACCGAGGATCCATCCGTCTTGGATTCGAGTTATTGTCTTGCAGCTTGATTAAATTCTGGTTTCTAAAAAATAAGAAAGGGGACAATATTATGATTTAGTCATAGCCACTATGTGCACTCTATTCCGTACACTTTATACGATTCTATCCTTGGCACTCCCAGTTCTCCACTCGTTCAGATAGCCATCCACTCACCCAAGGCAAGGTGGTTTGGCGGCGAGAGTCACCCTCAGGAATTCCACTACCTAGCAAAGCCATACTATCCATCTTGCAGCGGTCCTCATAGAAAGACCACTGAACACACTCAGTCCAAGATTTGCAAGCCGCTTCACAGGAATCTACTGATTTCCAGGCACTACGCCAGGTATCTGTTCCCTTGACCGAGCTTGGGGGCTCCGCATCTTTGGCGTTGTTTGACCGGATCTCATACTTTGAGGACCAGTTATCCCACCATTCCACCCGGGAATGAAGGTATGGGGCGACCAGCGCCTTGAAAACGTCACGGAATCTCAAAGGACCCTGTTGATAGATGTTAGCGTTTTGAGTTATCACTTGAGGGGAAATGTCACTAGATATCGTACCTGTTCAAAGTCCCAGGATTGCTCGAGGTTGTAGAATCGGGCCACGTCTTTCCCGTGGGTGTGGTGCCAGCTATAGACAGGGGAGCACCAATTGGCCTGTTCAAACCATGTAGACCAGTGCGATTCGGGATTGAATCCATATCGGAAACGAGCCTCATCATAGGTCTCGCCAAATTGCACGCCGTACTCCTTGAGAACATGCCCAAGAATGTGGTCTCCGCAGCCATGCTCTTCGGTGAAGGCCTGGAATTTATCCACAATCTTAGGATCTTTTCCGAAGCTCTGTTCCCATGCTCCTCTGGAGAGGGCAAAGCCGGAACCACCGTGGGCGAAATAGTCGCCGTGGATCCAGGCCAGGCTACCCAGGTACCATGAGTCTTTGTAGTCGAACCGTTCCAAATGACGGAGTAGATTGGGGAGGAAAATGTAGGAGTCATCTTCCATAAAGATGTACCACTTGGCATCTGGCTTGTTCAAACCCGCGTGTTGGACAATCGGTAGGAATTTGTATTTGTCAAGTTTCCAGCCACCGGCAGGGCCAGCAGCATCGCCGGGTACGTTGGACATCTCGGCGTAGTTTTGGCGCGATTCATAGTCTTCTTGTTGAAGGTATGGCTTGAAGTTCTCTGAGCTGCGCACGGATTCGGAGGTGTTGGCAAGGACGTCGATGATATCCCAGTCGCCGATAGTTTCGGGATAGTCCGAGTAAAGAAGGACGTTGTCATGATTGATGCGATTAGGAGAAAGGCTGGTTGCTAAATGAATGGGGACTCGCTTCCACAAGACTGTGGCGCCAGTTTTGAACATGAGGACGACATCGTCAGCGCTGACGGCTTTGGGTAAATGTAAAGAATGGCTGGTGCTCTTGCTGCTGCTGCTGGAGGGTTCTTTCGGTTTGGAGGATGGGATTGCAGAAGGAATGGCAGGGTATGACAACTGCTCAGCAGTTTCGTCCACAGAGTCCACGATTTCCACGATCGGGTTGGAATGTGTTCGCGGGGTATCGATGACAAGCTTGTCTGGAACGGCCGCAGCGGGGATCTCTCCCAGTGGACCCTGGCGGTCGAGTTCGAAATGATAGACGAAGATGAAAAAAGTCAACAGCATAATCCCCAAAGGGACCATACGGTTGTCTCTATAGAATGCGCGAAACATGCTGGCAGCGTGTTCCTCACATTCGAGAACAATGGAGAATCCAAAGATAAAAAAAAAACAAGCCCCTCCTTTTTTTTTCTGGGTTTTGGAGCATCTCAGATCTTAGCAACTCGCCAAGGATCGGCCACCGGGGATTGCCCCTGTACAGTTGCAACGCAGCCCCACTAAGCCTCCACTGTCTCACTAGATTTTCTCGACTACCGAGGGCCTGGATAGCCACTAAGCCAGACTACATCAGCCTAGCCAGCCCTAGAAGACACCTCCGAGCCAAGATCTCACTTTTCGGGTTGGTGCGGACCGGTACCGAGCCATGCGGCTCCTTTTCCCGCTCGCTCATTCGTCGCTCGTACCCGTTTGTACTTACAACACGAGGAAAAGGTCTCACTGCCTTGGCCGGGCTGACCGGGAAATTGAAGCAAGCCCCTGAAGAAGAAATTGAACTAACGCGATATTCACTAGACGGTGTGTGTTGGCATGTGTAAAGAATTTACTCAGCCGCTTGACCCAAGGGCCTAAAAAGATTGGAGGGGTGCCGTACTTCCATGGACGCCTTAAAATTTTATTTACTTTCAAGTTTTGCTCACCACATTCGTTTTCGCTATTTTTATCCTCATTCGTTCCTTGATTACTATCTCGTGATTTATCCTTCTCTGGTATTGCAGAGGGGACATCGTTATTCAAAATATTGACTTACACACATAACCACGCACTCGCACTCTCCCCTACCCCCTCCTCCATCGGCACTTTGGTAGTTAGTGGGGTACTTGAGTGAATTGGCAAGTGTGTTTTTCTGTATCGACTTTCGTTAAAACCATCACCATGGATTTCTTCACTGAAAAGTTGTATCCTCGACTCTCCTCGTTTCACGAGAGAGGGCCGGAAGTCTCTCGTTTTCGACAAATCCTTAATTTATTAGGATGCCTTATTGTACTTCCTATTTACTCAGTCATCACAGGCTATGCGCGCCATCCTTTGACTCTTGATATCCTATTGACAATATTCTCCGCGGAGTTCAATCGCTTCATGAACGAGGGTCGTCGGCAAAAGCTGCAGGATCTTCCGCAGAAGGGGGGTCAAGACCTAGAGAAAGCTAGAATCATGTCACCCAACGCGGGTGAAGGCGCAGAATGTATGGCCACTATTGTGGGCTACCGTGAAGACCCTGAGCTATTTGCTAGAGCCTTGGGAAGCTACAAAAATATCCCCGAGTGTCGATTGGTACTTGTGGGAGTCGATGGAGACGATGTACCCGACATGGAAATGACTCGAGTTTTTCAAGAGGTAAGTTAAAAGGCAAAACAAGATTTAGGCTTCCATACTAATCAATCACAGGTCTTCCCAGAAGATTCGGCCATCATTCACATTGACGAGCCCTTTGGAGAGGTCGCCATGCATACTTACGAGAAGACTTCTACCATCGATGGAAACTCGCGGGCTCCGGAGGCCTACATGGAAGCTACTATCGCTCATTGCTGTCATCTTGCAAGGGAAATCCTCGCAGAGCATAATTTTAAGCTTGGCCAACATGGCGGCGTGACAAAGCTTTGTCTCTATCAGCCACACTTGCACAAAAAGGGCATTATGTTCACTTCTTTCATTTTTTCAATCGTCATTTCTGAGATGTTGGGAATCGAGTACATGTGGTCCTCTGACTCCGACACGATTGTGCTGCCTGACTCACTGAGGTGTACCATCGATACTATCGCAGGAGATCCGCATGTTGGTGGCGGTAGCTCTGGTCTGATCGTCCATAACGAGGATGATTCTATCTGTACCAAGCTTGGTAGCGTTGTGTACTGGTCTGAGCTATACATGACGCGCTCTGTTTCGACGCTTTCCGGTACTAGCGATTGTCAAAGTGGTCCTAGCACGGCTTTCCGTGTTTCGGCTCTCCCTGCAGTTCTGTACCCTTGGTACACTCAAACCGTCCTGGGCCATCGAATGGTAAGTCTCGTATCCCGTTTTTTGTGACTTAGATGCAATTTCCTAACATTGTAACTCAGATTGTCAACGAGGATCGCCACCTCACCACAAACCTTCTCATGCGAGGATGGACCGTGACCTACGCGTCTGACACATTGGCAGCAACAGATACCCCAACCACCTTGAGTCGCTGGATCATGCAGCAGGTCCGCTGGAGCCGAGCTGGTCACATTGAATCTTTCCAGCAACCCAAGCTCTATCTTATTACCAACCCACTCTTTTTCTGGGCTGCCGTCAAGCGAGAGGCCGGACCTCTCCTGGGATTCGCCTATATTCTCTACTACTTGATCACCGGAGAATGCTTTGCCTACTTCAACTGGTATGATGTTGGCATTCGCATTGCTTACACGCTTATCTATAATTATTGCCGCAACCCAGACCGTGGCCCTAAGAACTCGTGGATTTGGATCGTTCCCGGCCTTCTGTTCTACAATATTCCTCTCCCGATGATCCACCTTTGGAGTTTGATTACCGTTTTCCAGGACGGGTGGGGAACCTCCATGCGTTCGACCAGTGAGATGACCAAGCGTGGACAAGCCTGGAAGCGATGGAATGATCTTGGATTCTTCGTCGTCTGGATGGGCGTCGTTGGTGGAACTCTCGGGCGAATGACGGCTTCAAAAGCCGGGTGGGACGATGGAAGTACCATGCAGGCTATTTTCTGGGGTGTTTTGATCCCGACGGCCGCGTCATTCTACGGCCTGGTGGTTCGTGATTAAGTGCTAGACTTAGAATTTGGACATATATTTTGATAGACTTGTCCTTAAAAGTTTCATAATAATACGAAATCTGATGATTATCCAGCTGAACCATTTATATCTCCATTCAACCATTGGATTCAAACGCTAGACCCTGACGACGGCGTAGCTCCAATCTGATCGCCACTGATCGTGATTTGGGATCCACTGGATCGACCTCACCGGAGACTCCCGAGCCTTCTTTTGAATCCATTCAGTGGCTTGGTGGCTGATCAAGTGGACCCGTGCTGATTACGCCAAATTCTTCGTATTCATGTGGTCAGCATGGTGCGATCTATCATTGTATTCTTCTCTCTTCGTTACTGAAAGCAGCCATAAGAAATTACGACACAGCTACACAGCCACTGTGTAGGTGATACGTAAGTAAAGTATCACAATGCAAAGTCCGATATCCTTTTAAACACTTTTCTCTCGATGCTATTGGTCTGAAATATCCCTGCTCTGACGTTTCCAATAACCGGGATCAAGGTCACATGTAAGCTCAATTACTAGTAAGATCCCAAGCCCAGGTTGCAGCGTCAGAAACAGCCCCAATTGAATAGCCTTAAAAAGTCGGTCATTTTAAATTGTCTGAAACCGGGAAATCTCTCTATGACTAGAGGAATATTATGCGAGGTAGCCCTGCTCCCTCAGAGGGCCGAAAAGCGGTGTGTGAGCGAGGGAGCCGCCACTTCGCTTTGGCTTGACAACAGTCGGTGATGGCACATTCTCATATTTTTTTTAAAAAAAATATATATGTTGTATCACCGTGTGCCTTGCGTGGTTCAAGCGCACGCCATTCAAGGATCAAGGAATTAGGTCACCGAGATCAGCATCTACTTTTCATACCCACCCAATATGGGGGCCACAACCCCTTCTCCCACTATTGTCTTGTACGACATTGACATGCGTCCTCCATGCGCACCGAATCCCTGGAAGGCCCGATATGCACTTAATTCCAAGGGTGTTTCCTACTCCAAAACATGGGTGGACATGCCAGACATCACCAAAACTCGCTGTGATCTTGGCGTGCCGGCCTCGCGCAAGCATGCTGATGGCACGGATTACCACACCTTACCGTTGATGACTGACTCAGAATCGGACTCTTAAATCGGAGAGTCCTTCGATATTGCAGTCTAATTCAAAATGCGTATCCGAAAACTGGCGCAGGAAGTCTTTTCCCTTAGCAAACGCTGGACTATGTCTATGCGAATGACCTCGCGGTGTTTGCGCCATTATCTAAGCTCAATGAAAAGGAACATGCCGAGTACGCTCGGTTCAATATGAATGTCGACGCGGCTTTCAGCGCACCTGTTCTGCTCATGGTACACGGTCTCCCATTACATCCCGATACGACTGAGAAAACGAGGGCAGAATTTATTAAACGTTCGGGGGTGGCATCTGAGGATGATCTAACCGTCCGCGGCAAAATTAGAGAGGAATTGAAAGCGTCTCTCCATGATACATTGGGTGAACTGGCCAAGCTTTTTCGAAGGGATAATACGGGTTCATTCCTACTTGGGCAGCAGGCTAGTTATGCCGATCTCGTTGTTGGCGCATGGCTGCGGATGATGCATGGAACACTGCCGGCAGAGGAGTGGGAGGAAGCAAAAGCTTGGCATGAGGGTGTATTTGGGAAACTAAATGATGCGCTGGAGAAATATGCCCTGGTCAACTAAGTTTGTGCATATGATACAACCTCCTCACATAGACCCTTTGATACTTTGTCACTATATGGGTTATTTCTCATGTTGACTATATATAAATTTGAAAGCATAATGACTTGCAGAAAAACAATTTGACCACGGAACGAAATAAACATGCATCATCCAGTACCTAGACAAAATCGACTTGAGGTCTCAGTACATCTTGAAGATAAAACATAAGACTGTAGATAATGCTGACCAGTCACCGCCCGCCCCCGCGCGGTGGCCAATTACGGTCGAAACCCTCTTGAACTCCCCTTTCTCAACCGCCTCCACTATCGATGCATTCCTTGTGGTTATCCATCTGATATACACGCAAGAATTATCATAATCGACAGTCACAATGTCCGACAAGTTAAAGCCTAAAAGACCCGTCAGCGACCGACGACGACAGCAGAATGTACGAGCTCAGAAAAACTACAGTATGTGATCCGCACTCTAACCGAAACGCCAGCTCTCATTCAAGACTAGGAGAAAGACAAAAGCAACATATGCAAGCTCTTGAGACGCTCTTGACTGCTCAAAACCACTTGACTCACGATGAATCAACACTGATAAAAAGTGGATGCTCACCATCAAATCCTGGCGCTATGACCGCAATCAGCCCTTCCCAGGACACTAGAGGCTCTCTCTCAAGACACGACCCATCAAGCCAATCGGAAGCTTTGGCATTAATCGCAAGATATGCCGCTCGTACCAATGAGTCTATCCGAGCAAGAGTGGAATCCGGAGAAATCACGATCGGGGATATCCTACAGGCTGGGCTGAATGAATTAGACCGGCAATCAACACCAACCTCATTAGCTCATGCCGAAATTCCTTCAAATCTATCATGGGTCCCTGGCCCACGGACGGACAAAATTTTGGTTCCAAGCAACCGCATGCAGGTGCATCATCATTCACTGCCAGATATTTACGCCAATAATTTCCGCTGGAAGCAATTCTCTACCGTCGCTGCAATTCGAGCAAATGCAGAATCTATTGGATTAACTTTCGAAGAGATCACACATCCTAAGTCGATATCACCATTCTACTCTAGCACTCTTGCCAAAGACCAAAGCCAGGTTATTTCAATTCGCTCAACCGGGTTTCAGGGCATAAAGCCACATTTACGACCAACCGAGACACAGTTGAACTGTTTTCACCACCCTTGGCTCGATATTTTCCCGTGTCCCATTTTCCGTGACAGATATATTCACCTCGTAACTATGGGCCCCTCGGTATTCAACGCTGATGAGTTTTGCATGGACCTCCAAAACGGTGGCCTCATTTGCTGGGGCTCACAATCGGGTGAGAAGCACGATGCAAGTGGATCAGGGGCACCCTGGGATATGCGAAGCTGGGAAGCTCAACCTTGGTTTCTTAAGAAATGGTGGTTCGTTCTTGGTGGAGAGGAGGGCGGCTTTTTCCAGCAAAGTCGATGGTGGCATGAAAGCAGAGGCGATCAGCTGCCCTATTTTTGGTGATAGACATCAGAGTCATTTCTAAAAGAAAATTCTGGGCCGGACCCACGAATCCTCTTGGTGAACTTGTCAACCAGATCAGTGTCATCATAATGAAGTCCATCACTGGAACATCCAACTTCACTTTGGAAACTGCCATCAAATGCCCCACCTCTGTAAAGGTTTGACCAATAAATACCATGCAGGTCTTGCGCTAAAGCATGCTGAGTTGAGCATCCGCAAAGTCCGACCAATCGGAAGATCGCAGAGCTTAACTCCGACCCATGCATTTCCATCTGCTCAACTCAGCCTACATACTCGTTCATCTGGTGACATTAGAGGAAAGACATGATGGTGAACTTCAAACATATATAAATGGCACCAGTTTCGTTCATTTTAATTCCCAGCACACACACCAGAACAATCAGTCACTCAACCGAATACTACCCTCTTAATAGTAGCAGCAATGGATCTTTCATCTCTACACCAAGCCCACAAGGGCATCAAGCACACCAAGTACGCATTTCCCTTGCTAAATACATATCTGACTAGTACTAAAATTTTCCGGAAAAAGCCTTGGCAAATCCGGTCTTAAAATCTCCCAAGTTGTTCTAGGTGCCATGTCGTTTGGCTCAGTCGACAAGTGGACGATCCCCGAGGAGCAAGCACTGCCAATTATCAAGCACGCCTTTGACAAAGGACTCAACACATGGGATACGGTAAATACCAGGGCCTTTTATTCTTTTGCTTTGGTAAAATCTCACCCGTTATTGTCTAGGCCGATGTCTACGCCTTCGGAGAATCAGAGCGCATCCTTGGCAAAGCACTCAAAGAGTACAACATTCCTCGTGAACGGGTTGTGATCCTTTCCAAATGCTATGGCGGAGTGCCAGCTCCAGGAGAGCTTGATGGCTTGTCGGAATTCGAAACAATTGCACGACTAGCTATCAACGAGGGTGTCATGGCGAACCGTGTTGGACTTTCTCGCAAACACATCTTCGATGCGGTAGATGCTAGTATCGCGAGACTAGGTACTTATCTGGATGTCCTTCAGATTCACCGCTTCGACCGCGAAACTCCCGGTGAGGAAATCATGCGAGCACTCAATGATGTTGTCGAGAGCGGAAAAGTTCGATATCTTGGCGCAAGTTCGGTCAGTAACTTTCTCCCATCCAACATATCAGAGGCGGGGAATTAACCATTTTTGGGGTAGATGGCTACTTGGGAGTTCCAAGCCTTGAACAATATCGCTGAAAAGAACGGATGGCACAAGTTTACCAGTATGCAAGACCACTACTCGCTTCTGTATCGAGAAGAAGAGCGCGAAATGTTCCCCTACTGCCGCAATGCAGGAATTGGTCTCATTCCTTGGTCACCACTGGCACGTGGCCTTCTGACTCGATCTTTCACTGCAGCTGGAGAAAAGACTGTGCGGGAAGGGGATGATATCACTGCAGAAATGATGATTGGCAAAACCACGGACATTGACATCGCTATCATTGGTCGCGTGGAGGAGCTGGCACGGAGAAAGAATTGCAGTATGGCGCAGATTGGCATTGTGTGGTGTTTGGCCAAGGGTGTCAATCCCATTGTCGGGCTTTCTAGTACCAAGAGGGTCGACGAGACAGTTCAAGCCATCGAACTGTTCCAAAACGGACTCTTGAACAAGGAAGACTTGCAGTACCTGGAAGAGCTATACATCCCGAAGGCTATCGTGGGATACTAGCCTATCTTGGATGTATTACCTAGGTATCTGCTACCTGCTAGATAGACGTCAATACTGCAAGTCCTGTGCGCATAATCTTGATCCTTAGTTATGCTTTCCTTTGTGCATATCTCAACGAGATAGATTTGGATACCTAGGGCACCTATTACCTGGTACAAATATTTATTTTCCTGTTTGTTGTATTCCAAGGTTCAAATAGTAATTTCCAACTTGAATTTACGAAATCACGATATATACTAGTACCTAGTTTGCCAGTGTGCGAGGAAATTTCGTATTATGTGCAGTTCGAATGTCCCTGCATCCTCAATGGGGCCATCCATACCCTCCGTGAGGGTATTATCAAAGTGTGCCCAACCCCCACCTGAGCACTATCCACTCCAGGGCTCTAGTGGGGGTATACGAAATTTTCAAACCTGGAAATTATATGAAGACTTGATCAAAATGGCAGGACCGACACAGGACAGTACAACACATGAAGTACCAATGTGTCTCTGCAGAAAGAATTACGCTATCGAATTACGGTCGCACAGCATAAGATCCACCATCTGGCAGGTGCAGATTCCAATCGATAAATCGGAGAGTCGGGAGCACAAGAAAAAGCAAAGTCTCAGCCGAACCAATCAAGCACGCAGGTTTCCCTTGCGTAGATTATCCCTTACCTAGAACGAACAAAATAGACACAGTGGAAGTGAGAATTGAAGTGGCTTATTTTTTTGAGCCCGCTCTTTTTCTTGCCTCCTTAGCCAGACTGAACTTGTTTCCAGTTTGTCCCCTTAGCGGCCTAACTCATCCTCGTGCTGGTCGACATAACCCACACCTTGAACCATCTCCAACTTTAACCCCGGGCACAAAGTTTCGATTCTGTCTAAATGGCGAGCCCATCAGATTTTGATAGAGATTCCGTACGGGTACACACACCATCGAAAAGAAGCCACATGCCGATCGACGAAACCTTCTTTCGTGCTGAAGGAAGTGGTGCAGGCGGCAAGAGGAGAGTCGATCACACATTTAATGAACATACAAACACGACTAGCAATTCCTTCAACTTTGTGTATGGTCAGTCTCAGGCTGATGGTGGAATCTTCTGCTCTGAAAAAACCCCCCCCAAGGCCAAACCATTAACCGACCAATTATTCAACGAGGCAACACCCTTAATTCACAACGACTCGCCAGGGGATGATTTGCCAGATGATGACGATGGCGATGAGGTGTCATGGAGACGCGAATGGAGACGCCTAATCCAAGATACATCCCCACTGGCTCTATCGGCTTTACTTGAATGTTCGCTCTCGACAGTCAGCATCATCGCGGTGGGCCGTCTGGGGACAATCGAGCTCGGAGCTGCGAGCATGGCTAGTATGCTGGCCAATTTTACGGGATATATGATTTACCATGGCCTTGCGGCAGCTCTTGATACATTGTGTATCCAAGAATTTGACACCGGCATGCTTCATCTGGTTGCAATCCATTTTCAAAGGATGGTATATCTCCTTCTGGCCATCACCGTGCCTATCATCGTTCTCTGGAGCTATGCCGAACAGATCCTGCCCAATATCCTCTCCAATGAAGAGACTGCCATTCTTGCCGGTCGATACCTCCGCATCATTGCATGGGGCACGCCCGGGTACGCACTTTATGAGGCAGCGAAGCGGTACATACAAGCTCAGGGTGTGTACTCTGCATCGTCATATGTATTGAGTGTGTGTGCACCTGTAAATGCGTTTCTCAATTGGTTCTTGGTTTGGGTATGCTCATCAGACACCTCGTTTCTAACTGCGCTGACCGGAAATCTTACTAGTACTGCGAATTGGGCTTCATCGGTGCTCCCATTGCCTTGACAATAACCGACTACTTGCTCCCGAGTACACTCTTCCTATATGTCTACTGGGGATCCCACGACGAGTGTTGGAATGGATTTACTCGCAGAGCCTTTACCAACTGGGGCCCGATGATGCGACTGGCCGTTGTCAATGTGCTCACTGTTGAAGCTGAGTCACTTATTTACGGAATTACTACTCTCGCCTCATCATATTTGGGGCCAGTCGTTCTAGCCACACAGACAATCCTTGTGACAGCGAGCAATATAGTCTGGCAAACTCCATACTCGCTATCAGTCACTACGCGAGCCCGTGTTGATAACTTGATGGCATTTGGCTTCGGAAATGCAGCCTGGAAAGCTTGCAAAGTTGCAATTTCCGTTGCTTTTAGCATCGCCTCGACGCATATCGTATTGCTATGCCTGCTCCGATACCCGATTGCGAAGATATTCTCAACTGATCCTGAAGTGATCGAATTGGTCGCTCAAGTGATGCCTCTCTGTGCAGCGGCCCATTTGGTTGAATGCCTAGTTTTGAGTACCAATGGATTTCTGGGTGGGATTGGCAAACAGGAGACTGCTAGTTATCTACAGACGACTATTTTCGCTATCGTCGCCCTCCCTCTTCAATTCGGGTTAACCTTTGGTCTGGATTGGACAGTCTGGGGACTTTGGATCGGTGCATTGTCTGGCTTCTTCTGTATTCTTGTCGCCCAGTGGCTGTTTCTGAGTCAAATTAATTGGGCGAGGTGCGTTCGAGAAGCCTCAATGGACTTTTCGGTGGCATCATCTTGAGAGGAAAAGCCTACCTAGGTACGATCGACCTCGGGAAACAAGGAGGCTTAGATGTTCACTGGTAAGAAAGAACCCCGAAAAAGAGAAAATAGTTTGCTTTGAAATAAACATTTTAGAATGTATTAATGAATGGGTTGCCCTTATTTTATTGAAAGGTACATAAGTCGTGACACATGCCAGATTTGAGAAGTTATTCTCATGGCGCTCTTGTCATCACACGAGCGACTGGGGACCACACATAAATATGCTCTCAAATCTTGGCTAGTCAACCGGAAAGAGGCGGGAATTCCCGAATGAAGCTGAGACAGTATTAGCAATGTAGCAGGGTATGAGAGTCGCGAGGTTGTTTCCCCACGAGGGTTGTTAAATAAACTTACTGAGCAGGGCACTCATATCCACCAGGGTTATTATTAAGATACAGCTGGTGGTACTCCTCGGCATCCCACCACTGACCAGCAGGTACGACCTCGGTCGAGACAGGCTTTTTATACCACTCCTTGCTAACCTTATCGGTAATGCTTTCTGCGATCTGTTGCTGCTCCTCGCCGTGAGTGAAGATGACACTGCGGTACTGGGTGCCGACATCGGGGCCCTGTCTGTTCAGGGTCGAAGCATCGTGCATGCGATAGAAAAACTCAAGGAGCTGGCGATAGGTGACGAGGGAAGGATCAAAGGTCATCTGAAGAGCTTCGGCGTCTGTTCAAAAGAAAGATGTCAGAGGTCAGTACTCGGTTTAGATAGCGACACGCGACCCTAGGCGACGCGCAAACCAATTTATTGAAAACTTACGGCCAGTAGAACCACCACACACAGCGCGGTAAGATGGCGAATTAGTCTGGCCTCCGGAGTAGCCGACCTTAGCGTCCAAAAGTCCCTTTCCATTGCCGAAGTGCTTGCGGAAGAGGTGCTCGACGCCCCAGAAGCAGCCAGCTGCCACGGTTGCGGTTTGAGTAGACATGTTGCGCGATTGAGACTCCGAGGTGAGGGATAGGGCCGGCGCAGTGGTAGAGAATGGACGGAGAAGGCGTGAGAAAAGAGTCGAGGCAATCGGTGCGGCGAAGGGCATCGGAATTTCTTTGGAATTTCTGGTGTCAAGTGGGGAACTGAATCTAAAAAGTGGGGGGGGATAGGAAGTGGGAGCAGACGCGACAGGGCGATGTCGGCAAGACTGGGATTGTGGTAGCTGTGGAGTCCCAACGTTGAGAAATATCGACTTCAAACAGTCACTTGTAGCTATACGCAGGAAGAGAAATATATTAGTTGAAGTAGGTCCGGGGTATGCAGATGGCGTCATCCTATCTGACAAAGCAAACTTGAAGCAGCGGGGAAACATGCCAAAACTGTCAATTGCCCCATTGGGCTTGAGCTGTGCTGTTTGATACATCCCCGCAACTTCGTGGACTACAGTCTGTTAATACATTCTGAACCGATTTAAATGATAGTGAAGACCACTTTGGAATTGTTCCAATCTCAGTAATGTACACAACGAAAAGAATATGTCGAACGAAAGAAGAAAAATAAAGAACCCTGAACAGCTGGGCGAGCAACGCATCCAGCATCAGGGAGCATAATAAAACACAAGAGCGAAAGAACAAAATGAAATTAAACACCGTGAGATCCATGAGTAGCCGTGCCGAGAAAAAAAAAAGGACAGCCGGCTTAAAAAAAAAGAGAAAAAAGGATGGTATCTTTTGCGCCAACGCCATGGGATGCCGAGCTTCGATACATAATAAGGAGTACCGGATAAACTTCAAATAAATCATCTACCGCAGGCCGCCAGAGGAGAAGTCCTGGTTTCGGTCAATTGGTGGTGCAGCAATTGCGCTGAGACGAAGAGCGTCTCGGCCTGAGATGCTTGCGTGTCGAGGTCGAATTTCACCTCCCAAGGTGGTACGCCGACCGGTGTTCTTCATCACAGGCAAAGTGTGAGGGCTCAGTACGCGGTGCTTGCCTTCGAGTTCCTTCTCGCTCTTGACCATGCGGCGTGCTTGCGATGCGGTGAACATGTTGCCATCACTAGGGGAACTGCCATATGTATTGGAGGTGGGGCTGCGGCGGCGATGGACTCGTAGAGAATTGGAGGATGAAGGACCAAAGTGTGAAGTGGAGATACGATGCATGGCCGAGTTGATCTGGAGAGCATCGTCCTTATCAGATTTCCAGTCCTTGTTCTCGGATGCCGGGCTGCTTGAAAAAGTTGCACTCGGGCTGCGGACGGCAATTCGTGATGGTCGATCCACGGAGGCTCGGTTTAGGAAGCTGCTCCCTTCAATGTCTCGAAGTGGAGAGTTCTCGTTGTCTGAAGACAGAGGTAGACTTGTCGTGGGCGGCGGTGCCAAAGGAGAGCTGCCTGCTTGCTTTGACAAGAACCCTGCCTTGAAGCGGCCGTTATTCTTCGGGATATTCAGGGACTGCTCGGAGGGTGCAGGGGGTGGAGAAATCGAGCCCGAGGAAGTAGATACCCGTGGGATGTTTCTTGGTATTGGTGATGCCCCACGCGGTAGTGTCGGCTCGCCCAAACCAGTCACTTCATCTGCAGAATCGCCAGCCTTCTGAGGGGTTTTCTGCCATTCCGTTAGGGCACCATCTTCTTCATCATCCTTCCAACGAACTGATCTCTTGGTAGTCTTCGTCTGTGTTTTCTTTGGCGAGAAGCTGACGCTCTTCCGACCAGCAGCAGCCTTTCGGCGCCGAGGAGAGCCTTTACTAGGAGAGGGTGGTGCTGCTGGGGCAAGTTGTATAGCCGGGGCGAGAGATGTTCTGGGGGGGCGGCATGCTGGTCATGCTGAATCTCTTCTTGGGCTTCGGGGAGCTTGGCGGTTTGACAGGACTGGGTGGTATCTGGAGTGCAGGCAGACTGCCATCTGGTTTGACAAGGCTGGATACTGTTGTCTCGCAGCTATCCAGCATCTTAGTGAGTATAGCGCGACCCTTCCTGATGGCTTCAGATGCGTTGAGGTCCATGATATCCTCGATGGATGCCATCAACTCAAACTGGGCTTGCAAGAGAACCTGCACAGCAACTGCTTCACCAGCCTTGTCCTGTTCCACAACCGCGGATAAGGCCTCGCGCTCTGCGTTTGATCGTAACACCTCAGCCTCACGGTCCAGGTTGGCAAAGTCGCTGTTGTCACTAATGTCGAACTCCTGTAATTGTTTGGTTGCGTTTTCAACTGCTGAATTCATGGCTCTGTCCCATGTGCTTTTCGACAATCGCTGATGATAATGGTGTCGACTGTCTTCAAGCTCGAGCAAGATGCCTTGCGCGGTCTTTCTGATCTTCCATAGGTTGGCTAGATCCTCCCCAACATCGCGAGAAGCGCACACATTATCGAAAGCGGCGATCCAAGACGACAAGATCCCTATACGGCGGCTGATTTGTCTCAACTTGAGCATATTGCTAGTCTTCTCTTGCCGTTCCGGAAGAGTGTGCTCATAAGCATTTCGAATACGAGCGACAGCTTCTCGCACAACAGCATCCTTCTTCTCAGTCTGTTTCTTGAACTTGGCGAAGGCGAGCTGCTCTGCATCCTTCTGCTGTGCCTTCAGCTCATTGATCATCTTCATTTGTTCGTCAATTTTGACCAAGAAGTCCTTGACGTGTCGGTTGACATTGAAAACATTCCGAGTCACCTTGGTCTGGATGTTCTTGGCTCGGTTTGCATATCGCAGCGTGTTCTGTGTCTCATCAAAGTGCTGGCTTGATGGACTCACGCAAACAATCATCACAGTCTTGCAGTTCCCGCCAAGAGCAAACTTGAGAAGTCGAGTGAGTTTGGAATTGCGATAAGGGATGTGGTTGCGTTTTCGGGGATCACAAAGGGCGTTGATACAGCTTCCCAGGGCAAGGAGAGATTTGTTGATGTTGGCACCTTCGAATAACCGCGCGCCTCTGTTTTGAGTCGCACTTGCACGTTCACTACCCGCAAGATCAATGATACTGAGAGTAGCCATGGTGGTGGGCTCATTCACATCCGCATTTCTATCCTTTTGAGCAACGTTGACCTGGAGAACCGCGTGGGATCGGGAGGAGGTGGCATTCGCTTCTGTGGGGGACATCGTACGGCATTCGTTGCCGCGCACAATCATATCCATGACTTCTTGTACGTTCTGAGGGTGGTGGCTAGAGAGTCCAGCCACCGAAACTGCCTGGTTCACGTCTTCGCGAAGCATGAGACCAGCCTTGTTGGAGCTGGGAACAAGCAAGTCACGGATTGTCTCGTTGTAGATTTCGAGGTATGAGAGTGAAATTTCGGTGCTCTTCTCGCTAGACCGCTCGTCGATTCGCTCAAATAGTTCTTGCATGGTCATGAAAATGATACCGGGTTGCTGTGCCGTGCCGGTGATTGTGTGTGTCTTTCCGCAACCAGTTGCACCATAGGCGAAGACAGTGGCATTGTAGCCATCGAGGACATTGTCGAGAAGGGAGCGAGTTGTGGATTCGTATACCTCTCCCTGAGAGGCATTTTGGTCGAAAACGCGATCGAAAGCAAATGTCTGGTCCTTTACTCGCTTGCCGTTGGGAACGACGCTCCTGGAGAACTTCTGGACAGGGTTGTCCTCGGGAGGATCGAATACCCTAGGGGAACGGAGTGTCAGTAGATTTCTCAGTGGTATGGAGAGTGTGGAGTCACATCAAAACTCACAGGCATCGGTCGTCAATCACCTTGACAATGGAGCGAATTCCTTTCTGGTTGAGCTTCGGGGTTGGTGCACCGGCTAGTGACCCATCGCCGAGAAAGAGTGGCCCGTCATCGGATTTGGAGATCTGCGCTGCTTCTCGAATAGTGAAGGGTCGAACTCGAACCGCAACATTGATTGAGGAAGCGCCATCGGGGACGGGCATGGTGGTCTTATCGTATCGTGTCGTGTTTCGTGTGTCGTGTCGTGTCGTGTTATGTTTGTATACTGTGGCTCTTCCCCAAGTCACGGTAATGCGGGACCGGATAAGCTGGGCGACACCCTGCGTCGACGAAGGCAGGGGGTTGAGATTGTCGATGATAATGAAGAGAAGAATGTGTGGATCTCAAGGTGTATCGTATGGGGTACGGGATGGGATGCAGTAATCCTCCGAAGAAGCTCCTGGCGTCGATCTCATTTGTCAACAAGTGATCCTCCGTTGCTATGAGCAACCATTGCTGATAGTGGTGATTGTCCTCATTTTGCCGTGGCATTATGGCTTGGCGGTCAGTTCTACACGCTATAAAGACGACACTAGGGTGTTTCATCCTATTGGCACAGTACTCCTTTTTAGTATTCACGCACCACTTTGCCTTGGCCGTGACCGATGTGGGGTTTTGGCTGCGGTGACAGCGAGATCTTGATCCATAGATGTTATATCGAAGATATTTGGATTGCTCCACGATTGTTTTTGGCAGGCCCCTTGCATTAACTGCCTTGGATAGCCGTTGAGTTGGTTCTCGTGAGGTCCACTGTCGAGTTTGGTATAGGTACAGGTACACCTACCTTGATCTAAGGAACGAAGTAATGTGCTCAGCAACTTGTATGCTACTACTGAATGTCTATTGCAGTGTCCGTGAGTACCTAGAGTGACCATAACGCCATCCCGGAACAAAAAAGAAAAGTAAACCATCAACATAGGTAGTAAAGAGACCGCCCACTCATTGACTCCGAGCCCGTGTTCCCCCGTGCCATAAAGTCCTCGTCCTCAATTGTTCCTCCTTTGTGCCCACAATACCAGACAGTGCTCCCTCTATGTTTCCTCAGGTCCCTCCTCTTCCTCTTCGAAGCTTGGTACAACCACATCCCAACCAGGGTCATCTAGATCAAGGCTCATGGCGGTTCCGTCTTCCTCGTCTTCCTTGGATTCCTCTGCTTTCATATCCTTGCGAAAGCGGAATGCAACCCAGTTTCCATTTCCAAGATCAGCATCTAAGACTGTGTCTGCCAGAGCTCTGCCACTATTCTTTCCAGTTTCTTCATTTGATGTATTCGTCTTTAGGCGTGTCCATCCTTTCTCCAAATCACTGCGGTCAATCGGTATGCCGAACTCGATCTCAGCTGCGTCGTCGGGGACGATTCCGCCGTTGATTTCGCGGACATCGCGCTCCTTTAGAGCATGTAGCACCTTCTGTTTCACGGATTGGAGTTTTTCGTGTGGCTGCAGGGAGAGGAGAATCGTGGTTTTGTGCTTCTTGAAGAGCAGGGTGACAGACCTTGAGTCTGTAGTGGTTTTTTTGGGGGGCTGGTGAGTGGGAGGTTAGCTTCTTGCGATAGGGTTATCCACACTCAATTTAATAACAAGCATATAGCATACCATCTTGTAGGGCGTAATTTAACCTGGCGAATTGCCCTGATCAGACCTGCACAACTAGAGACGGTGACGGAGGCGGAGAAGAGAGCGGCGGGTTTATTGCCGCTCGTCGGTGCCTGCCCATCTCTGGATTGGATGGAATCTCCCTCTCGTGATACCCAGACAATTAATCATTCACCCTCGACGAGTTGGTCTCCCAATGCCACTAGTCTCCGATATGGAGGACCCTCAGCCGCAGCATGAGTCTTCTTCGCCATTGTCTGCGCCCACTATGCGCGGCGCTGTGCTTATGAGGCTCATTTACTGGGACAAGCTCTTCGAATCCGACAGCCCTCCACGTTTAGGCATTGATGTCAGCAAGCGTATACCTTATGCGACATTTTCTGGAATGTCTGTTGGCATGGCGCTCGGTTATGTTCATGGAAGCAAGAAGGCAGGCCTTCAGTTTCGAGCAGAAAACGCACATCGATTTCCAACAACCTCAACCGGCTGGTGGCAGTACCACAAAACGAAAAACTACATTTCAATTGTCGGCGGTGTGAAAGAAGGCGTTAAATTAGCATCTAGGCTAGGAGCTGGGTCGCTCCTGTTTTGTCTATTCGAAGAAACTGTGGACTATGCCCGCCACGAGAAGCGGGACTTTCTCTCGACAGTGACGGCAGGATTGTCGTTCTCTGGAGTATACAGTCTGCTTGGTCAGTGACAACGCCAGAGCGACAATCTATGTCTTTTTTATCTAACTCTCATGGAGCTGAGCTAACTTTATTTGTCTTCTAGCTCGTCATGATGTCTACACTGCCGCCCGTACCGCGAAGCTCGGATTGAAGTTTGGACTGGGCTATGGACTGGTACAAGATGCCTTGGAATCACTGAAAGGAAACCACCCTGCATATCTGGATTTCCTCCTGGGCAAGCGGCGAACACAAGCTGCAGATGGAACCCCTGTCTGAGCTGGAACAATCCCATACATGCATCCTCCATTTCCTAGGTTGCTTTGTCTTCTAGCAGGACAACATCTACCTGAGCCCATTGAACTGGCTAAAAGAGAGTGTCTCATTTGCAGACAATCCCTGGGAATTTGTCCTGCCCACGCGTTTCTGGCTGTGTACCAAGACGGGGATCAAACAACCAGGCACGCCACTGTAACGATGCTGGGAGTACGTCCAGAGGGCAGTCTCAAAGCTCCCTGCAGCTATCATCCATGAGATCTCCTTTATCGCCAGACTTTCCAATTCGGACATTTTCATCTCCCGCGGAAACCCGGTTAGTGAGTTCCGGGATAAGAGACCATCGGTGTCCGGGTTTCACATCCTTCTATTTTCCGATGTACTATCCACACTTTGATACCCTATTGTACTATTTTATTTTCAAGAACTCTTCTCTCTTTCTTTATTGCAATGTACACCTAGCCAGGCCATGTCTGTTCAGGTCTGTTCAGCTCGATCTCCCACGTAGTATTGATGGCACGTGACCTCCTGCATTGCATCTGCCTGTTCTCAGCGAGCTGCGAACCCAATCGATCTGGCCACAATGACTGTCAAAAGTACTGCACAACCGTCACGAAATGATACCGTGGTTGATCACAGGGCTGAGAGTGGCTTTTTTTCTACCCGTGTTAATTGCTTTTTTGTCAATTTGAATTGGTTAAGTGGAGCAAAACCCTGAGGAATGATGTCGATGGCTTCCACCCTACACACAGTAATAGATCGTACCTCTAGCTTTTATAGGGGAGATTTAAGAAGGATTGGAAAAGCCTCTACCAGAATGATTATATCTGATTGCTCTATCGTACCTGATTTGATCAGTAAATGATTTTTTATCTGTTTCTCCAAGCTCCTCCTACTTAGTAAATTGAACACTTTCGTACGTAGTAAGCCACCACAATGCAATAAACCGACCGAGATTGACCGATTTGCCATCAACAGCCGCCCGCAGTGGACAAAGAAGAAAATGCAGAAATCCGATTTGGTCAAGGTGGAGCACTGTGAAGGTTGTCATAGAGTTTCCGAAGCTTTCCAGATGATCGGTGGAGCTCAACCGCATTTGACGTCGCAGAGTCACTTTCCCCCCCACCTTCACCTGAAGAGACCCCCAGCTCCGGCATCCTTCACCGTTGTCAACTACCCCTCCAGCTCTCCCACCCCTGCGCACATGCCGTTCTGCTAGCGCCGACGATCTACCCATTGGGTGTGGATGCGATGCCGACGCGGAGCCGACTCTGCTGCTGCTATTCTCGTCGACGTCATCGTTCTATTGATGCTGGAGCTGGAAGCCCCGGTCGCCTCTTTCATCTGAACTCCCCCCTTCGTATTACCAACTGCCCACGATGCGTCGCCATGGCAGATCTGGAGGCCCGACCAAGGCCGTGTCAGCCATGTCTGACACTGTCTCTCTGATCCATTCCTTCGACTCAGTCTTGAACCCCAATCGTCCGGCGCGACCTTCACCTCTAGCCTCCTCCAACATCAAAGCTCTCCCACTCGAGCTCGTCGATAGATTGCGATCCTTTCCCCTCTTCCAGGCCGTCCCAGAATCCTTCTTGTTTGAGGTCGGTCAACACCTGCGCCCACAACTCCACGCTCCCAACGACTATATCTTGACCGAAGGTGATGATGCAAAGGCGATGTACTGGTTGGTGCGTGGCGCCGTCTCTGTCACATCACGCGACGGTGAGAGTATTTATGCTGAGCTTCAGCCCGGTGCCTTTTTTGGAGAAATTGGTGTGTTGATGGATCGACCACGCACAGCAACTATCATCGCCCGGACACGATGCATGCTGGTCGTGCTCACCAAAGAAGATTTTCGCAATATCTTACCGCGCTTCCCCGAGGTCGAACAGGCTATCAGAGAAGAAGCTCAGGAGCGTCTCATGATTCTTGAAAAGAAAAAGAAAGAGACATCTGCTCCCGCCTTGGATTTAGATCCCCCAAGAATCCCGAGCCCGATGCGAAGAGGATCGAAACGATTGAGGGAAAACCACGCCAAGGACTTGGTCGCTGCCGAGGAAGACCTCAGCGTCAACTCAGTACATAAAAAGCGAAAATCACCGAGTCCGGGGCGGCGAGATCCTTCCAGTGCTCTTGCAAATGGCCTAGTGAACGTTCGTCTGCTTCTCAAAGAGCTGCCTCTATTCTCCGGTCTACCACCCGATATACTCCACTTCCTGGGCCTCAATGCGCAGCCGCGCTCATTCTCTCCATTCACGGATATCATCCGACAAGACTCCCAGGGACGCGAGCTCTACTTCATCGTACGAGGTGAGGTAGAGGTCGTTGCCGAAAAGGCCGAACCCCATGACGACTTAAATCACAAACCGAATGGAACCGATCGCATGAGAACGGAAATCAAGGCTCGGCTGAAACAAGGGCAATACTTTGGTGAAGTAGTCAGTTTGTCACTTGCGCCTCGAAGAACAGCGACCGTTCGCTCAGTCACATCGGTCGAATGTTTGATGCTCAGTGGGGAGGTCCTCTCTCAGTTTTGGGAAATGTGCCCAAGTGACATCCGTGAATCAGTAGAACGCACCGCTCAAGAACGACTTCAAACCACTGCCGACGGCGATGTCGTCATGAAAGATGCAACAGACGAACAGCCTCCGTTGGGTGACTTGGAATTCGACGATCGAGCCTCTTCTCGGAGAAAGTCAATGCCGTTATTGACCCTGACAGAGACTGAATTAGATGGTCCGCATCAGTCTTCGCCGGTCGAAGACCAAGAGCAAGCAGTACTGCGACCATCGGATCCCGATCCATATCTCAGTCTTGGGTTGGATAAAGTCCGCCTTCGAAGTCGCCGAGGCTCGGTGGCACCTTTGACACCAGAGGAAGTCACTGGTGAGCATCAAAGGCAATCTCCTACGGAACCACGGTCAGCTGGCTCGTCTTCTCTTGCACTTCCAGACACACTTGGCCTGTCAAAACCACACCAAATGCCACGTCCTTCCAGTGAGGGTCACCATGGAATCTTCCCTGACAGTGTCCTTCTGAACGTTTTCCAATTCCTTGAACTGCACCACTTGCTTCGACTACGTGCAGTGTCTTCTCACTGGTCTGAAATCCTCACCAGATCCCCTGAAGTGATTCGTGATCTCGACTTGAGTGTGTATAACCGCCAACTCACCGATGACGCTCTTGTGAAAATCATTTGTCCATTTGTTGGCAATCGTCCTCTTTCGGTGAATGTCAACAACTGCTTTCACATCACAGATGAAGGCTTTAACGCACTGGCCAATACATGCGCACCCAATGCCACAACATGGAAAATGAAGAGCGTTTGGGATGTGACGGCTTCTGCCATCCTTGAAATGACAAGCAAAGCGACAGAATTAAAAGAAGTGGACTTGAGTAATTGCCGCAAAGTAGGCGATACTCTTATGGCGCGGATTATTGGGTGGGTGTTGCCCGGGGGTCAGAAGCCTACCGAAGGCAAAAATGCATCCATAAAGCCAACCATGCAGACGGAAGATGGTTTGGTTTATGGCTGCCCGCGGCTCAGAAAGCTCACGCTCTCATATTGCAAACATGTAACCGATCGCTCAATGCACCACATCGCATCACATGCAGCGGGTCGAATTGAAGAAATGGACTTGACTCGCTGTACCACCATCACGGACCAAGGATTCCAGTACTGGGGGAATGCTCGCTTCACCAGTCTACGAAGACTGTGTCTAGCGGACTGCACGTACCTGACCGACAATGCCATCGTGCATTTGACAAATGCGGCTAAGAACCTACAAGAACTAGATTTGGTACGAGATCTGACCCTTCCAAGTGTTTTCCTAGCGAATACTAATATACCTTCTCAGTCATTTTGCTGTGCACTGTCCGACACAGCCACCGAAGTTCTCGCCCTTCAATGCTCGCAGTTGAAATATCTCAACATGTCGTTTTGCGGGTCTGCAATTTCCGACCCTTCCCTTCGAAGTATCGGTCTTCATCTTCTCTCCCTCCAACATCTATCTGTGCGAGGTTGTGTTCGAGTCACCGGGGTGGGTGTCGAAGCTGTGGCTGAAGGCTGCCATCAGCTCCGAACTTTTGACGTTAGCCAGTGCAAAAACCTCGCCCCTTGGCTCGACGATAATGGACCAATACGGTATCAACCCCGGGTCGAATTTGAGACCGTCGCCACAAATGGCAGAAATTTTCGATGAGAGCCAAGTGCCCTCAGATACTACGAGTGTCGCACTTCACAACACGTACAAGAACGTACAGGCCCCCTGTCTTTGGCATATCTCTCAGACTGATACAGCTTTTCTACCTTTTCCTCTGCTATATAGCATCCTCTTGATTTCCTCGTTCATATTCTGGATCCATTTGCATTCTCCCTTTCTTTTAGTTTCTATCGCAGCCATTGGAAGTATCAAGGTCGATGTCTTATAATTTGGGAGTTCGGGGCTTTCTGGGGGTCTTTTTTCTGTTTTTTTCTTGTTCGCTTGACCCGTATAGAATGACTCCAGATAGCGGCAGGTGTGCGCCGCTGCTGGTTCCGGATTCGGGCTGCGTATTATCTGGTTCTTGGGCTGGTCGAGCATGGCAGGAGTTCAGAGACTGAAAGCATATGCTGTGGTTTGGTTTGACTTTTAATAACGCCTGGCGGTCTTTCTTCTGGCTTCTTATTATGAAATAATGCTTCACTGTCTATCCTTTTATTTTCTGGTTCTTTCTTTTGTTGGTCGCGGTCTCCGGGGTCCTTGTACTCTACATATCCTGATACTAAATCTACTCAGTACTTTTGGACTAGACATTCCACCTGCTAGAGACCCCTACCTCGATTACTCCTACTAATCTCTAGATATTTCCATCACTTGGACCTTATCTAACTATTAGTACCTACTTAGGTAGGTAGTTACCAAGTAGTAGATAAGACTTGCGAGGGGGTATCGAATTTCAATAGGGTCGTACTTTATGAGAGGGTAGTAAGTCACAACTTGAACGGGGTACTAAATCTATTACTAGTTAGTAGATGTGATCCATTGTCTAAGCAATGTCTAAGCTCTCGCTGCCCATGTGCGATAAAGATCGTTTGACGTCTTTGTCATCCATAGACTGATTCAAGTTCTTTGTTCCGCCACAATGCAATTGATACGGACATTTCGAAACATCTCGCTGAAAAGGCTATACTGGTATGTTTGACACGTTCCTGTTAAATGGACTTCACTGTAAAGTACTTCTTTTCAACATGCACTTCTACATATGTTATTTTGGGTATCAGATTCCGTAAAAGACTATCTCTACCATCCACTATCCTGGGTGGTCCGGTGTGTCTTGGAATTCCTAATGCAAGTAAAACTCTACGTCCACCTCATTTCAAAGGAGGCCTCTGAATCAAGGAAGCGAAGCACTGTTAGATTCAAATACGTCTAAAAAAGTGACGTTCGAAATACCTCCATCCAACCCTCTTTTATTTCGTTTCTTTCTCCCTCGCTATTTAAGCCCTTCTCGCAATTTCCTATCTCATCTTCGCCCTCCCATCATATTTCGTTACACTCCGACAACATGGAGAACTTCTCTCCATGCGACGATCTCTCTGCCTCCCCTGTTCATTCAAGTTCATCTCCCGATTTCACGGTCATCTCCTTGCCACTGGCAGTTGCTCCCATGCCACCACGCACCAAAAAAGGCCGCCGAGGAAAGTATGACCCAGAGCGTGATTACTCTGCAGAAATTCGAAGACGATTGCAGCAAAGCCCCCGGGGGAAGCGTACGGCACGCGCTTGTGATAGATGCAAGGTGTGTAATGACTTCACTCTTCTCTCATCAAGCTACCAGCCACTCCTCACCCTTCTCTCATTCATTCATACTATTGGCCAAATACCAACTGCTTCCTCTCTAGTGTCGAAAGCTCCCGTGTGACGAGAACGAAGAAAGCTGCAACAACTGTGTCCGACATGGCACAGTGTGCTATATGACCGATACAAGCACCGGCCAAACCTATCCTCGAAACATAATCATGCAAAAGACTACGGAGATCTTCAATCTCCGAGATCAGTTGCGAGATCTCCAGTATCAGCTGCGAGAAAAGGATTGCCAAATTCGTGACTTGAAGCAAAGTATACAGAACTTGAACTTGTTGCACCATCACCAGTCTCCGGGAGTACACCTCGAGAACCTGAGCGAGTTCCATTCTCAAGACGGCGGTGTTATGCACCCGGTGAGTACTCCTCCTCCTTCCCAGAATCTTGCCCTAGCACCACATGCTGGAGCATTCAATGTGCACACGGTGGGATACGATGATCTCTTCTTGCCTATCTTTAAGACTCCATTTATGGACCATGATGGCTGAACGATACATTAATTGCCAGGACCAAGGAATCGCTCCGCAGCAACTTGAACTTCAAACTCGGAATCCATACCTGTCCGAACAATATCTGGTACAGTTGCCCCCTCCTTATTCTGATCCATGTTGTTGTTGTTGTTGCTTTTTGCTTTCTTCTGATACCTTTTCGGTGTTGCCCTAGAATACTTTGGAACGGTCGCATGCTGGAAAACATGGCCTGTAAGATCATGATGTCTGTTCCTGGAAAGCCCCATATTGGTCCGGCTTATGAGGGTGCGGTGTGTGAGCGAGACTTTGGTTGGCATGATAATACTAATAGGAGCGTCAAAATTGAACGTCTAGAGATAATTTTGCTCAGATAAAAATCATGTGTTTCAGGACTGCATATTTTCTTGAGTAGTAATCGAGATGTAGTACCGGGTATCATAAAATTAGAACGTAAAAAGGAGCCCCCAATGCTTCCAAAAAAACATGCATCTCACCAATTAGCATTATTCTTCCAGCCACAGCAGATGCCCTTATTCTCACACCACTCCCTGGCCGCTGCAGCATGGACCTCTCTATCCTCCCCAACAAGCCCCAGACCTTCGATGTTCAGCCATGTTGTAAAATCTTCCAGAATAACTGGGTCGTACATGAGGATCTTCTCATGCCATGTTGGGCGACTTCGGCTTCCGGATGAAGATGAGAGCGGCGAGAGCAAATGTTGGGAGCGTACGGCCTTAGTGATCTGAGAAGCCAAATCGGGTAGACTGCTGCGCTTCGAAAGAGCCGATTTGTCGGACTTAGCGGGTGTAGACGAAGAGGGCTTGGTTGTGACTTTAGATTTAGAGGTAACCGCTTTGCGTTTTGTGGGGCTTGTAGCCATTTCCTTGGTCTGAATCTCCAGAGATGGTTCGGGAGCGAGGTCGGAAGCAGTGGACAATATCTTCCGATAACGCTTTTGGATTTGACTAGGCGACGGAGCGGTCTCATCCTCGGAGTCTTGAATCTCTTCGACATCTATGAATGACGATGTCAAAGCTTGAGAGCTTGTGTTTGTATCCTTGGAGACTTTCTTGGAGTTGATAGAGACCAGGTTTTTTATTGGCGTGTCCATTTGTTCCGAGCATGAAGATGCACTTGGTGCTGGTGCAGATGCAGTTTTCTTCTTGGTCTGATCTTTGGGCCGAGTAGTTGTTTTCTGTGTATCTAATTGCGGGGCAAGCCCCTGGCTTTGCGACTGGGCAGAGTTGGAGAGCCTTGAACCATTGTCAATTTGTGACGAAGGCTGGGATTGTGATTGCACAAGAGTAGTAGTCTTACGGCCATTGCCGTGTTTGGACTCCCAGCACTTCTGCAAGAGCTCTATCATCTTCTTACGACCTCTTACTGATTTAAAGCCAAAGGCTGCAATCTGTTTGGTGAGTTCAGCATCTGTAAATCCACTATAATGTGGTATCTGAGGCTGTTGAGAGTCGGGCTCCTGATTGGGATTCGTCTTCGCAACAGCTTCATCAGCTTGGACCGGTGGCTCCAGGGGTTCCGAGGGCGCAGGAACGGCTGCAGACTTTGTGTTGTCCAATGGTGTCTTCTGCTTCGGGGAAGGCTTGGATATGCCATAGTCAAGCTCAAACCAGTCATCATTATCTTCCCAATTCAATGATCTTTTTGTTTTGGAATTCAATTCCTTAGATGCCTCTGCCGGGTTTGCCAGCTTGACACCCTCCACCCCTTGAGCCTGGACTAGGGAGCCTTCAGTACTCCGCGCAGCAGACTTCCAAAGATTCCTTGTACCGGGTTGGTAGGACACAGAGCCCTTCGATGCGGCCTTCGCTGTTGCGGGATGGCTGTTTCCGCCAAAGGCAAGATTCTCAGATGCTTGAATAGCTTGTTGCATTTCGGCAAGTGTCTGTGGGGAATCCTCTCGTTCAAGTTGACTACAAGTACCAAAAACGAGATCCTGATTCTCTAAAGACTTGAAAACGGCTTCGGGCGAAAGAACGGTAAACAAAACCTCCTCTTCCGTCGTTTTTCCTTTGCTTCGTCGTTTAGGAATAGTCTTTCTGGTGGCCGGAAGTTCTTCACTGGCGGAGCCATCGTCATTTGCGTTGTTCGAAGTATATTGCGCTGTCATTCGTGCGGTCAATGTCGTGAATCGTTTCGGGCCTCTTGATTTCTTCTTTGACTTAGGACCAGATGTCGACGAATCTGTGGCCTGTGTCGAGCTTTCTCCATTCGAATCGGCCTGATATACTTGGTATGGTTGGAGCAAAGGATCCACCAGTTCGATACGTCGCCTTTTAGTGGGACCTCTGCCCACAGTTGGGGGCATTGCGTGGACAGCTGAAGCTGCTCCAGAGTAATTGTAATTTGACACCAAATTGTCGAACCCACCTACGGCAGCTGGCGCTGAGCTTTTCTGTGTGTCTCCTTCGTCCCCCATTGTCAGTCCAGTCTTGGGAGAAGTATCTCTCGGTGGTGTCCAATCCATCCTCCTCCTCAGAGCTTCGTCTAGATGTAGCTCCCGATCTTTCATGTCGGCTTCGGGTTCTTCGATAGCAATTGGACCAATCGGCTCATCGGGCCTCTCACTGGGTGCAGTCTGCTTCTTCTTTCGTTTGCTCGGTTCCTTTACTTGAGCACTGCTCCCTCCTTTGGTAACTTTGCCCGTTAAAGTCATGTTGCCCGTCTCTTTTTTCTTAGTGCTTGCTGTGGCACGGCTTTTCCGTGGCGCTTTGCTCTTCTTCGCCCCGCTGTCTGTGACATTCTGGGTTACAGGTCCAGCATTTCCGGTGGTGTCTACCGTCGAAGCTATGCTCGGTACCTTTGATTTCGGCTTGGCTGATTCATTCTTGTCGTCAGAAGTGGAAGCTTCTGACCTTTTTGTCACCCGCGGTTTTTTCTTGGTCGCAATTTCTGGCACCTTCGTGGTGGGGAAAGAATCGAGAGCGTAACAGAGGATTGAACAGCTCCGAAGGTGACGGGATGGATGGTGGCGACGCCCCTCGTGGCGAACCATCAAGAAGCCTCTCGGAGTTTTGTAGTTGTCTTGTTGGAGTTCGTGTAGGGGGGGTTAGGAGAGGAGGATAGCACGATAACTTCGGCAGAGCTCGTCATCGTGGTCAGGGACGCGTTTCGAGTCGGAGGAGGGCAGGATAGTCGCGCTGCGCTTGAGACTTGGTCAAATCAAGGAGTATTGTGAGACATCATTTATCACAGCCGGGGGACAACCATTGAAGGATAGGGTTGGTCATTGAGCGATGTGGAGTAAAAATAATGATTTCAAGGTGGGAGGAGTGCAAAGTGAGGTCGAACTTGAAGATGACGGTCCAGTCTTGGCAAAGTTTACCAACACGCAGTTGGGCCGGGCAACCACATGCCATTTGCACTCTTTCCATTTCCAACCATCTTATCAGCCTCAATGCGTTTCTTTGCAATGTTTAGTCCGGGTCGCTTCCTGACTGGCAGGTATCTCAATTTCATAAAAGCTAAGAAAAAATTGTTCTTCTTTTCTAAAAAAAGAGGTCAATGCTACCCCAGTTCTTTGACTTGCGGTATAGAGCATTTTACTAGTCGCCAATCTCAGACAACTGACCGTGCAAACAAGGGCGGAATTTGGATGTTCATCGATAGCCATAAGGATTTACATAGAATAATTAAGATCCAAGTTCTTGCGATGTTGATGATCCTGTCCACCACTAATATCCGATCGACCAAGACCCATGGCTACTTTCTCCGTATGAATAGTAGTAGATATGTACTAGGGTACCTCACCGATACTACCCACGTGCATGAGATCAAAAAATGAATCACTACTCGATACATTTGTGGGGAACCTTGAAAACTAATCGTATCCCTACGTGGCCTATAAAGAGAGGTTCAGGATAATAATTCATGAATGGAGGGACTCCTAATACGCTATAACAAATCTTCGGTCTTGTCTAGTCATATGCCGCTTTAACACGAGCACAATCACAAAATCAAAGGAGGCCCGGTAACTGGAGAGGAGATTGTATGTTACAGCAGGCAGGGCTCATGATGCGAGGCAGTGCGATTATTCCGAGTGAGAGCTTTATTTCTTGCCCTGGTCCTTGGTCAACTGGTCGCTAGAAGGAGGTTAGCTTTTCTTCCAAAAAGAAGGGCGAGAGAGGAATGGAAGGCAATAGAAGGTATGCCAACATAGGGGAGATAAGACGAAGTAAGGACATACATGTGAGTCTCAAGTTCGTCCAGATGAGCGCGCTGATCGGTGATCTTCTTCTTCAAGGTGTGGAGCCTATCCACCCGACAGTCATTAGCTCCATGTTTTTGCTTTTGTCGACGGGGTCCGAAGTAAATTTCACCCGAATGACTTACTTCTCAAGTTCCTTCTCACGAATGTACAGGGCTTCCTGGGCAGCCTCACGCTTGGTGAACGCATCACTGTAAGGCAACGAATGTCAGCGATTGATGATGTCATACGACAGCGACAAGGCGGACACGCCATGCGGTCGAAAACGCAGATAACGCCACAGCACCCACACCACAAGGGAGATATGATGCAGGAAATGAGGTATTTGGAGAGTTGGCCACGTACCCCGAGGTGCCGCCGCCTCCGGATCGAGGAGCACCGGTGTCACCCTCACCCATTCTAGGGGCGATAGCAGAGAAGGAGCGCTGGCAGAGGGCACGGTTGGCAATAACAGCCGGTCGGGTGATGGATTGACGGAGCATTGTGAATGGTGAATTGATATGATATCTTAAAATCAAAGAGAAGGGTTGGGAAGAAGGGAAAGTATTGGATGATATTCAAGCTCGGAGAAGTAAGCAGGGTAGCTTGACAGGTGACCTTGACCTCACCCCATGACGACACGTGCCAAGACCTGTCAGGTGATCTCACCGGGGTGCGTTAGATAATGCATTATGTCAGCAGAAATCTCTGCGATAAGTTCAGGCTCTCTCATTCGACTCGGCAAGGCAGATCATGAGGGGGGGGATTAGCCTGGGTTTGTACAGAGTACGGAGTACGGAGTACACTGGCAGTGTGTACAGTTGTGTACAATTGTGTACATAGTGACCAGGTCTTCTCAAATAGCAATATACATCACACATTTTGAGGCTAAGATTCTGTACAAGGAAGAGGGCTATAAGATCTACAAGGATCGGAATAGATAAGGCCTGGACCAGAGAGGCTCTCGGTTGTTGGGTAGATGAAATGTGTTTCAAAGAAATGAGGGAAGTAGGGCTTGTCTGCCTTGGATTTGTACCCGGGGGAGTAACAAGTGGTTAAGGGGGGGGCGATTGGCGCGGGATGGGGGATTGATGGTAGCCACGATGACGCTAGGTCCACCGAACCACACAGAAGGTGAGTACAGTGGCCGTAGTAGGATGGTGGAAGCACACTGCTGAGGAAAAGAAAGGGAAATACAGAGAGTAAGAGTAATCAAATCAAATGGCACATGGGCCATAGGGGCAGTGGTAGTGGCAGTGGTAATAGTCATAGTAATGGTAATAGCAATAGTGTAGTGTAGGTCAATCCCAACACCAAACAACCTCCCACCGCCCTCCCCCTCCTTTCCCAGTCCATCTTCCTCCAACTTTCCCCTTCTCCTACTCCATCCACTTCCCCTATCTACTTTTCTATACCCTTTCTCTCTCTCTTTCAATTTCAGGTGAGTTTGTCTCGTCCCAATTTATTTCCATCGTTTTGCCTCTTCCCCGCCTTGCAAATCACCACACAACTCCCCCTCCCCCAAACCCACACAAGCACTCGACTCGGGCTTCATTGGAACTGGGACATTCCGGCCCTCTTCAAGGCCAAGACGGGGCATCCAAATCCCCCGAAAATACCTCTATCGCTGGGTTCGCATCATTTCTCCCTGAGAAGAGACCTTCATTCGTCTTCGTTTCCTTGTTTACTTGCGGGTCCTCTGCCGCGACCGCTACACTGTGATCCCCTTCAAAAACACCCACAGCCCCCGACGCACGTCAGTGACACCCAGTACCTCAACAAACAATGATCGTTATTATATCTACCACTGGAATCCAAATTGAGATCTCGATCGGATCAAAACACTCGGGGATACAAAATCTGGCGAATCTGGCCCCTCATCCCTGATCGAGGGCCGTCAGCGGACTCTACCCCTCCCGGTCGCTGGCGATGATGTCGATGGCGTGATCCCAGTTCCATCTCTACAACCACATATTTATCTTTGCTGTTGTTGCTCAGAATAAGGATAAAGACTAACCAGGAATTTCTTCAATTCTAGAAATTTTCACAATGGGTCAAGAAGACGCTGTTTATCTCGCCAAGCTGGCCGAGCAGGCCGAGCGCTATGAGGGTATGATATGCTATGCCTCCCATCTTCAAATTCAAGAAGAAGGAAATCCCGTACCGCGAAGGCAGATGACTGACGCTCACTCCAGAGATGGTCGAGAACATGAAGATCGTTGCTTCGGCCGATGTTGAGCTCACCGTTGAGGAGCGCAATCTCCTGTCTGTCGCCTACAAGAACGTCATCGGTGCCCGCCGTGCGTCCTGGAGAATCGTCACCTCCATTGAGCAGAAGGAGGAGTCTAAGGGTAACGAGGGCCAGGTCACTCTGATCAAGGAGTACCGCCAAAAGATCGAGGCTGAGCTGGCCAAGATCTGTGACGACATCCTCGAGGTTCTCGACGACCACCTGATTAAGTCTGCCCAGAGCGGCGAGTCCAAGGTCTTCTACCACAAGATGAAGGGTGACTACCACCGCTACCTTGCCGAGTTCGCCATTGGCGACCGCCGCAAGGGTGCTGCCGATTACTCCCTTGAGGCCTACAAGGCCGCCACCGAGATCGCTTCCACTGACCTCGCCCCTACCCACCCCATCCGCCTCGGACTTGCCCTGAACTTCTCGGTCTTCTACTACGAGATCCTGAACTCCCCCGACCAGGCCTGCCACCTCGCCAAGCTGGCTTTTGACGATGCCATTGCTGGTCAGTTTGCGCTAACCTCATTAATCCCCCAACAACGTCCCTGTGACTAACACATTCCTACAGAGCTTGACACTCTGAGCGAGGAGAGCTACAAGGACTCCACTCTTATCATGCAGCTCCTCCGTGATAACCTGGTAGGTCAACCTTTTGTGTCGCATTTCCTAGATCATCACTCTAACACTTTCATTAGACCCTCTGGACCTCGTCCGAGGCCGAGCCTTCCCAGGAGGGTGCCCCCGCCGAGAAGAAGGAGGAGGAGGCCCCCGCCCAGGAGGGTGAGAAGCCCGCCGAGTAAACGGAAAATTAAAAAGACCTTGATGATGGACCCACGTCCTTGGGGTGGATAGGACAACCAAGAGGGAGCTGCGCGATGGGTCTCCCGGTGCAAGGAAGTAAGCAGGGACAAGAATGGAAAAGGATGGTCGAGATGCGCTGGTTATACACTTTCAATTCTTCGGACCCAGGGCCTCACGGCCTAGGGATGGAAGAAACGAGATTCTTTCCCGACACGCTTTCGGAATCCCTTCCTCTTCGAGACCCCCCGCTCAGGCTTTCTGGCGTCCCCTTTCACTTTTGAGGATGGTGCTTTTCTTGCCCTGGGAACAGTCCAATTCCCACCCCCCTTTTTGTTTCTTCATTCTCCTTGTTATTTTGTCTACTTGTCTCTTCACTACCCAAAGAGTCCCCTGTGCGCGCACTCTCCAAATCCCCCACCAACAACACATACACACGAACAGAATTTTTTCTTAAATCAGCTCCTTATCAGGACTACAATCAGGGCCTCGTACCGATCCCCTATCTGGCTTCATCTTTTCCTCTCTTATTTTTCCTTCGTCTTTCCTATCTTATACCTCTCGTATTTTGCCAATCGGTGTTCTTCCTGCTAGATTTGGTTTTAAAAGGTCAACCAAGGGTAGTATATTTGCCTTACGGTATTTGGCTGCATAAATAGTATTGCCGTGATCTCCTTGGATCAAAACATGAATGGTCTCTGCCTGTAAAGTTCTCGGTATTAATTGGCGAGAAGTAGTAACTGGACCATGCCGGCGGCTTGCGAGCTCGAGT